CTCGACAGGTCTGATACGCAGGAGACGCGGATGTGCAGTCTCAGTTTCTTTTTATTTAACTACATACACATCATCCACTCATATGGCCGGCTGATGAACATTCCATGGACCTGTAGACGTGTCTCGACTCCTTTCGTATTCTCGACTACGGACTACCTCGTTTCTCATAGCCTCGGACTGTGCTTCATAGCCTTGCATAGGCTTTGTACTATATTTATTGGGTACAGGATTCCGCATCGACTACGGACTGGGGCACAGTACTAGCACGACTCGGTCTGACTTACTTATTAGCTTCATAGCCTCCTGCGGCTGCGCATGTATGTACTATATAAGGACGACCCTAGTAGAGGGGAGTTCTTTAACCTATTCATCTCTGATTTACCTCGTCTATCTACTCGTACTTGAACTAGTCCTTTCAGCAGGACTAGCTTCCCTTATCGATACCTAGAACCTTTGTCTGTGTAGAATCGCCACTACACCAGACCTTTGACCTAGAAGCAAGGCTTCTTAGAACACGGCCGATCGCACCTGTGATAGCTATCACACCTGCACCCGAACGCGCGTCCACTCTTGAATCACTATTCAAGCCTGGACATTACAGGCTGCGACGCGGGATATCCATATGATCGAATGCAGGGGCGGACTCATTAAGGAAGAATTTGTATACCTTTTTGAGGGGATTGCTCGAGAGTTGGTTTGGTCGCGAGATATACGAGACGCTGTATGATGCGATATGAAGGTGAGTACCGATGTATTCGTCACTTGGATGCCCGCCTGTTGACGTTTTGGCGTGTAGAAAGAATATCAGGACCTGGGATACCTTTTCTCCGGGCGTTTTCTGTTCTTACCTAAGAATTTGTGTAGAACGACGAACAGAATATTACTTCGCAATGTGTACGAAGATTGTATGGTATGAGTTTTTGTATGTTGTAAGATGCAAGTGACAAGACGGGAAACAATGCACAAGCCAAAACGTAAAGTCCACATTTAAAGTGTTCCGATTGTCCAGTCCGATTCATGTTACAGTCCCTGGGTACCAACGACACACAACCCCGCCGTTGACATCCTTTCCGAAATTATCCTCAAAGGTCCTTGACGCTCAAACCAAGGTATCAAACTCCTCCACCGCACTAACAAGACCCGACCGCGTAAACGTCTTGCCCTTGACTGACTCCAAGCCCTCACCCGCATAGGACACGAGGGGCGAAATCTCAATCTCGACGCCCTCCGCCACCTTCGCTCCCGCCTTCTCCAAGTACCTCCTATGCTGCGCGAGCAGATCGCGCCTGCTGGTATCAGGATCGTCCGAGCCCGTTCCGGGCGCATTCTTGAGCGGACTGAACTCGTCGTTCCTCGCGACCTCGAGGACGGCGAAGCGCTTGGTGTGGGGGAAGACGTCGAACACGAACAGCTCGAGCTTCATGCCGTTCGGCTTCGACGGCTTCACGATCTCGCCGCTCTCGAGTGACACGTGCGCGATTTTCTTCCGTGCGATGTGGAACGCGAGGTCGTCCTCGAAGGACGCGACTTCGTGCAGGAACGCGGTCGTGTAGAAGTGGTTCGCGATGTTGCCCGCACGGAAGGCGAGCTCGCCGTTCGCGTCTCGTCTTTCGGCTTGCTCCTTCGTGATCTCGGAGTACTCGACCACGCCGTATTTCTCGCCGCGCCGGGCGATGACGCCGACGGATTCGTGGGGAGAAGCTTTGGGGACGACCTTGGCGGCGCAGTCGGCTTGCTTGGAGATGGAGTAGCCGATGAAGACAGGGTCGGCGACGCGGGCGAGACAGTTGTCGACGCAGTAGGCGTGCACGTAGAGGACCTTCCGTGCCGTGAGGTCGGACAAGACGCTGCGAGATTTGTCGGAGGGAGAGAGGGGTGCACGAAGAGCGGCATAGAGGCCACCGTTACCATCGGGTGCGACGGCGACACGAGAGGGGCTCTCGAGCAGGACCTTGCCCTCCATGGTCAGACAAGGAAGAGTGCCTGTGATATTGCAGCGGTTAGAGCTTGCTCGGCGCCACATGGCAAAAGAGAGAGATGTGCGCACCTTGCTCAAAGAAAACAACATTCTTAGGATTGAGACCAAAGTAAGAGTTCTTCTTGAAGAACTTCTCAGTCTCCGGCCTCGTGGGCCCGCTAGTCATGATGTACCAGGGAACGATCACGGAACCCTTGGGCTTGTCGGCCTCGAGCTCCGCCACCTGCTGCAAACGTGCGATGCGCTCTGCCTGGTATTGGAAGAGCGTCTTGTGCGAGGGAAGGCCGATGTCGTAACACCCCTTTGGTGCTGAGCTGCCCAGACGCGAGCCCTGCCCGCCCGCCATCAACAAAACGCCGACCTCGCCGTTCGCGATCGCCCTGAGACCAGTGCTCCGCCATTCGGCATTCTTCGTGCTGTTCGCAAATGTAGAGTCGCTCGCTTCCTCGGGTAGCGGTTGTACCTCTTCGGCGACGGCACCTTTAGATGTCGCTTCCTCTGAGCTGACGGCTTTCTGGTAGATGCGGTTGACGCGTTCGATGTCGAGTGCGTTGAGTTGCTCCTGGAAAGAGGTGCGTTCGGCCTCTGAGAGTTTGGACCAGAACTGAAGGAGGTGGCCTTGACCTGCAGCCTCATACCGCTCCTGAAGAGATTTGAAAGACATTATAAGGTGGGTGTAGACTCTAGGCAAGTAGCTGAAGGAATGAAGATCGTGGTTGAAGGGCAAAAGTTGGGGATTCGGCTCTGGGCACCGCGTTTTATGTATAGAGGAACTGCCTGCTTATTATGTCACCTGGCTACATGTACTGCTTCCGGGGACTGCCGAAGGACTTTGCGCTCAGCGCTCAGCTTGAGGGGGGAACTTGCACAGCGACGACCTCCTCCATCGTGCGTCAACAGTTTCTCATTGCCTCTCCACTTGATGTGCCTTGACTAGGTCCATCGCCTCTGCGGTCCCTCGACTTTGTCGACCGCTCGCCTTACTGTGCATTGGGATATCTGCGAACACGCTTTCCTCTACCAGCTCGTCCCGGTCTCGCGCGTTGATCACCCCTTCCTTCCACTCAAACCCATTCAAGAGGGCGGTGCCATCACCACTCGTCCCACCAAGAACAGAAACAAACAAATACCGAAATGGTCTTCTCTCTTCAGTCAGTCGATGTGGCACAATCACTGCTCATGAAGCTTAGCTGTCCCCAGGCCTCCATTTCTAGTCTCATCTCATTATGCCGGCTCTACCTCTTTGCTATAACCTCTCTTCGCATTCACTTTTTCGCCTCGAAGAGTCTCTCTATGCTAGGCAGTCTGCTCTTGTCTCGAATGGAGCGAAATTTCCGTTGCATATCTGCCTGATACTCGACCTCCTGTCTATCCGCTTCACATCATATGCCAGCTCTGACGAACTTGCACTATTTCTTCAACAAGACTTACAGAGCACATTGCCCATTACCGTTTCCACGACAACTCGACGAATCAGCTGGCACCGGTTGTCCTATTTTCTCCGCGAAGAGGTCTTTATACAACGCCACCCATCATTGAGGCTGTGCTGCTCCTACTTCTCGTACTTTTATTAGAATATTATTACTATTGCTTTACGACCTACCGTGCTCCACTCTGCGGGTCTTCTAGGTACAACCTGGATCCTTTCTGTTGGCTGGTCTTTTGCGCAGCAAAGCGTTCGAGGTGGTGATAATACTACTGGCGAAGGGTAAGCCGTAAAGTCATACAACATGAAACGTACACCAGAAGCACATCGTATTACCCAAATGACCTTCGCAACGTCCGATTTTTTGGGGAGTTGTGGTCAGCTGCGATACAAAAAAAGAACGTCATATCCGACGCGATCATTGGATGGACGCACGGGCCCAAAGCGAGGATGTGCCTTGCCGTGTTTGGGCTCCACCTCCGCCGAGCGCTGTCTGCGTTGCTGCCTCCTGTTTCTGGTTTTGCTTGGAAGATGTCTCCATCTGTTATTTCTGTCTTTGGATTCTGGAAATTGTACGTTCCATAATAATGTCAATCTTCCAATTAGTGAATTTCAAGAGCTGCCTGGCGGTGCGTATCTGCGGGATGTTGGGATCTGCACGTGTCGGCGAATCCGCTTCTTGCAGGTTACGCTCCGCTCTGTCGTCGGTTTCGTCACGGTCGATCCATCCGTTACTCCCGCGCACCCTCATTTCCGATCCTATAAAGTCTGCACCGGTCTGGATCCTCTCCTCCCTCTCTCCCTCCCTTCCCTTTCCCTCCTTCCCAACATGCTATCCATATCCCGCCTCCTCACTACATGCACACTTGCCTTGGCTGCCTCGCGCGCCGCTCTCGCTATCAGTCCTGGCTTTCCCTACGGCTCTGAGAAGGTTCGCGGCGTGAACCTAGGAGGATGGTTGGTTCTGTGTGTATTTTTCTCCCGAGTCCTGTTTTACCCTGTGTTGACCGTAACAAACTCTTTATAGCGAGGTGATTCTATCAAGCGCTCTAAGTATTCTCGTCTCACTTTCTGATCCTGAGCTCTGGTCTGTTTATAGCCATGGATTACTCCATCCCTCTTCGAAGAAACGGGCAATACCGCCATTGTTGACGAGTGGACGTTTGGCCAATACCAGGATTATGGAACTGCTCTAGCAGCACTCCAGAACCACTGGGACACCTGGATCACCGAGCAGGACTTCATTGATATCGCCGCCGCTGGGTACGTTGACGTTCCTCTTTATCCCCGCAACCTGTCAACTCGCGTCTGTGGATCTTCCGGGCGCCACATTTTTGACGCGTTGTAACGTTCCTTCTCCACAGTCTCAATCACGTGCGGTTGCCTATCGGATACTGGGCATGGGAGGTCGGTTCCGGCGAGCCCTTCATCCAAGGTGAGGGACTTCGAATGTCGTCATGGCCGTGCCTCCGGACTTTTATTGCGTCGTGTTCTGACGTTGAGTTTGACTTTTGAACCTTCAGGTCAACTTCCGTACCTTCGCAAGGCTGTCTCGTGGGCACAGAGCCACGGTCTGAAGGTCATCATCGACCTTCATGGCGCTCCTGGCAGTCAAAACGGTTTCGATAACTCCGGTCAACTCAAGTCGTTCCCTGGATGGCACTCCAACCAGACCAACATCGCTAGGACCAATGCCGTCATGAAGCGGATCGCCTCTGAGTTTGCGAGTCAATACACCGTCGCCAGTATTATTGCCCCTTTGAACGAGTTCGTCGCTATCGTCGCGCTATATGGAGAAATACTAATCGGTCTTTGACATTACTAGGCCTGCCGGCTTTGACGGTGCTGATGTTCTCAGTGCGGTCAAGCAATACTGGTTGGACTCGTATGGCAACATCAGGTTCGTGGATCGCCGTTCCATCTCCCATACTTGGTACTGATATCTATTCCCTCCCAGGTACCCCTTCGACTCGAACGCGCAGAGCAACACTGTCGAGCTCATCCACGATGCCTTCCAAGACCTCAGCTACTGGAACGGTTGGCAATCTAGCCCTCAGTACTCGGGCGTCGCCATGGACACTCACATCTACCAGATGTTCTCAGACGCCGTACGTTGTTTAACCCTTATAATCATACTCCGTCGCGTGCTAATTGGATATTTCGCTCTTAGGAGGTCTCCCAGACCGAGGATGAGCACATTTCGACGGCTTGCGACGAGGCTAGCGATCTCACGTCTTACACCACCCTTTGGACCATCGTCGGGGAGTGGACGCCGGCTATGACGGATTGTGCGAAGTACCTCAATGGCCGCGGTGTTGGAGCTCGTTATGATGGTACCTACTCCGGCTCGTCATACCACGGCAGCTGCGATGGCCAGACCGGGTCAGGATCGTCCTTCAGCTCCAGCTACAAGACTTTCCTCCGTAAGACATGGGAAGCTCAGGTTGGTCCTCCTTTTTGCAGCTGCTTGTTTGTTTGGTTTCTCATCGAGTCGCATGGTGCAGGTCATCACTTACGAGAAGGCCGACGGATGGATTATGTGGACCTGGAAGGCTGAGTCTGCCGATGACTGGTCTTACCAGGCCGGTCTCCAGTACGGCTGGATCCCCCAGGACCCGACTGACTTGAAGTACTCTGGTATCTGTGGCTGAACAGTCTGAACCTCTTCTTGGACGATACGCCAATGACTTTTGCACGCACCCGGACTTTTGAACGCTTGGACCTGTTGTTGTTGACCGCGAACTCGCGCCGTGTATGTAGTTTACTCGATGACGAATATTATTCTACCAGCCCTTCTTTGCCTTCACAGTTGACATTGTCTCTTTCTTATGTGACATCGGGTTCCGATTCTCATAGATACCTTACAACGACGGACTCGTTGGACCTTCATATAGCTTGCTGTTGGGAATGTTGAGACAATAATTATATACCTATCTTGTAGTCTTCGCGATCGTCGGCTGTCTCGAGACTCCTGAACGCTGTTGCATCCGTTGCTAGTACCAAGTAGATATTATACCCAGTCCTACATAACACACACGATCCTTCGCATTCGCAATAATACACACGCGTTTCATTCAAATCTTTCCAGTTGTGTTAAACACCGTTGTCCCGAATCGGGAAGACTGACTTCCTCATCTGCTTGTGGCACCACATCTCCTGGTGCCACCCGGCGTCGACGATCGACTGACTGCGTCAAGTTCGACTCGGAAACCTCGACGCGTCCCGCCGAGGCTCCCGTTACACCAACATCCCCACACATCCCATCATCCGTACTCCCACTCAAACGCGAAGACTCTACAAGCCAGGAGAGCCGCTCACACGACTCGAATCGCCTTCCGATTTATGCGGCGGCACCGGCGAGCTGGGCTCGTAGCGGCGGTACTGCTCCTCTGGGCAGGGGTGGGTGCCGTTGCACGACCCTTCTCTGCCCGGGAGAGCGCTCTCAGCCTATCCCCACCATCATCTCCGATTGTATCAGCACTAGCGACGCACCACCATGCGAGGAACTTCGGCGACGTGCTCGGCGGCATAGAGACTTCATCCGCGAAGGCGACGATGACGACGGCACATGGCGCAGAGCCGGCCTCTGCCACGACCAAACTCGAGCCTCCTCACGGTGGAAACGCCAATCCTCTGCTCGGACCGACGGGGACGTCGCCGTTGAACGGTCTGTTGCCCTTGACGGGCACTGGAACGGGAACTGCCAAGACGAGTGCGGCGACGACGGCGATTGGTATCACGCCAGCGGCGGCGATCCCAGGTCAGGGAGGAACGCATTCTATCATTGGTACGCCTCCGCCTACGCTCGCGAAACCCACGTACATTCGGCCGACCGATCATCCCAACCCAGTGACCGAGACGGATTCGCATACGATCCTCGTCGCGGCGACGGCGACGGCGTATAACGGCAATAACGGAGAGACGGCTTCGATGCCGAGCGCGCCGTCGAGGTCGTCGGGCCCTTCGTCGCAGGAGTGGAGGATCATCGGGGTGGCGGTCAGTGCGGTCAGTGTTGTCGGAGCGGGGATTTTGGCGGTCGTGTTCTTCGATCAGTGGTGGGGTTTCTTGACGGCGTGTTGTTGTGCGGGGCGGAGGAAGAAGGATGGGGTGGAGGAGTTGGTACCGGATTGGGAGGGCAGGGATTGGGAGTGGAAGAATGATAAGGAGGGCAGGTTTCCGAATTTTGGGACACCGCCAGTGGGAGCTCAGGGTATGGCGCAGGGAACCGGGACCGGGAATGGGAATGGAAACGGACAAAGCGGGCAGTCGAGGTGGAGTAGTCAACTTGGAAGGGCTTGGATCGGAGGTGGTAGTGGGGGTAGTGGTGTGGTGGCTGGAAGCTGGAAGGTTGGGACCATCGCGCCGGCTGCGTTCGCAAATGCGTACGGCATCAACGGGAAACACTCCAGTGCCATCTCGACAAACCTCGCTGGACTGGGACTGAACTCGCTCGGTGTCCTCCCTAGTCCTCGCATGGGCATGTCCCCGGTTTCCAACAACAGTTACCTTAGGTCGCCATCTGCGCCGATACCAGTCATGGTGAGACCGACGATGAAACAGGCCACACCGACCATCCAGAAACAAGCTACTTCGGCAAGGACGCTACAGCCTGTGGGTTTGACCCATTCCAGTACGACGAAGTCGACTTTTATTCCGGACGATGCGTATGATGGATTGGCGTTCTGAGAGCATAACTTTGTAGGTTCGACGCTTACTCCAGACACATTAGTCAGAGAGACTCCTTAGTATACCACCACTATTCTATACCCATAGCTAGCATTCCAAATAATCACAGCCTGTACATCGACAGCTTAAGCATTGTCTTTTGATTGTGGTGCGGGATTCGCAGCAGGGATGGAATCCTCGAGTCGATCCGAGACGTAGAGACCGACAGCAGCGAAAGCGAATAGTCCGATAGATAGCCTAAGACGCGTCTGTGCAGGTAAAGCTGAGATACAAAGGTTTGATGGCCATGGTCGAAAAGACATGAGACACGGAGTACTCAAGAACGCACAAGAAAACGAACCTGCGTACGATTGCCAGAGTGTTCTCCTGTAGACGGGAGGCTCAGAAGTTGACGGTTTCGGGGGCTGTTGGGTGTGTTTGTCGTTCGGAGACATGGAGAGGAAAAAGTTGGATTGTTTCCGAGTTGGGGGGTGACCGTGAAAGGCAGAGGGAGACGCGCCGATATACGATCGAAATTCAGCTCGCGTGGCGTGCCGCCTCCGAGCTCCGACCCTTCCGAGGCTGATCGGAGTTCTGGTCCAGGTACGGCGCAAGCACGGCGCAAAGCCTCTCTCTCAGTCATACCACTCTCATCGCCGTCTCCGACAATATGTTCACAGGTTTGGTAGGCTCTCAGTTTGTGATGGCAAACACCAGCTAACCGGTCATCGTCTCGCTACCGTCCAGATCGAACACCTCGGCACCGTTGCGTCTATCGTGCGCGACAGCGGAGGGTGCACGCTCACGATCTCGGATAGCGCTCCTATACTGGAGGACTGTAGGATCGGAGACTCTATTGCTGTTAATGGTGCATGCCTTACGGTGACGAAATTTGAACCGAAGGAGAAAGGTGGCTGGTTCGAAGTATGGCTTGCTAACGAGACTTTGGAGAGGACTGACCTTGGTATCTTCCTTTCTCTAAATCACTCGAAAAGGAAAGGATACTCAACGTGATGTAGGAGAGCGAAAGGAAGGGGACCAACTCAACCTCGAGCGAGCGATGGGTGCCCATGTCAGGTTCGGGGGCCACTTCGTTCAAGTCAGTCCCTTCTACTGGATCCATGCCAGTGTCTGGCTCTGCGGCTCATCTTCAAGCTTTATTTATAGGGCCACGTCGACACGACCGCCACTCTCATCTCAAAAACTCCAGACGGCGACTCCCTCCGCCTCCTCTTCCAACTTCCCGAACCCACACCAGACCGTCCTTCCCTCCTCCCCTACCTCATCCCAAAAGGCTACGTCGCCATCGACGGCACCTCCCTCACCCTCACCTCCGTCGATGACGCGCAGCGCACTTTCGGGATCATGCTCATCCAGCATACGCAGGAGAAGATCACGCTGGCGAAGAAGAAGGAAGGGTCGTTGGTGAATATCGAGGTGGATATGGTGGGGAAGTATGTGGAGAAGAGCGTTGTGGCGGCGTTGGGAGGGGGCGGCGGGGACGGGATGCGGGCGTTGGTGGAGAAGGTGGTTGAGGATGTTTTGGCTAAGAAGAATCTGAAGTGATAAGTGAATGGATGTTGCATAGTTGACTTGACTTGCTGGGAGCAAGTAAGGAGCGTTGACGTATAGGAATACTAGTAGCGTAAGGTACGATAGACAGCGACTTGTTTGACGTATGCTTGAAACAGAGTCTCGCCGTAAAATGAAATGTTCGAGTTTCCCGCAGACAAGCATCCTGGTGACTACCGTGTGGCCCTGTAGGCTGTACGTTGTTGTGGCGTTTGATCTACCTCGCGCCATGCTGTCGGCGTAGTAAGATAATCCACGATTCCGCCTGGCGTCCAACAGTTCAAGCAGCCCTTGCACCGATTCGTATTGCGAGTCCTTGGAAACCGTAGGGAGGGATTACTATACAACGATGAGAAACTTGCATATGTATGGAACCGTCGCGGATAAGTAGACGGGCAGAGAAGACAAGGGTGTGAAACTTGTGTGAGCCTGGGGCTGTGGCCAAATTTTGTTCTGGCGCTGACCAGGAAGTACTTATGTCCAAGGCTTGGCTTCATTCTTGCATGGCAACATGTACACGTTTATTCGCAGACCTAATTACACAGCGGCCGACAACAGAACCGACAGTCTGGACCGAGAAAGTCCAGGGTACGGAAAAAGAGGAAACAATCAAGAACGAACTATCAGAGAGCGATGGATCCAATAATTACAACGAAGTGAAGGAACATTCGTCAAGTTTCAAGTCCCAATGCAGCACAAATACGTCGGTGCCGAACACCTTCGCTGGTGCGGACGTCTCCCGTGAAGGCTGAGGAATGGATCCCAACTATCATGACTTCAACCTAAGCCAACGCCTCCCCGATCGTGAAGTGCACATGATCCCCCTCTCCGAGCGTCAACCTCACAGGCAACCTCGGGTCAATCCTGATAGGTGCACTGTTTCCGATGTAAAAGTCGCCCCGACTGAAGTTGCGCGTGATAGCTGCGGCTTCGTCCTCCGTGAGCGGTCGTGGACGCTTCGACGGGCGGAATGTAGAGGTCGAGGCGCCGGTGTAGGCGCCGTTGTACTCGTAGTACTGTTGGTGCGTGAGGTTGGGCGGAACAGGGTAGGGCATGGCGGGAGGAGCGAAGGGGATGGTGGGTTGGGCTGTGCGAAAGTATAGCCTCCGCGTAAATAGGGGCATGCATGAGAGCGTGGAGAAATACGTACCGGACGCGTGCGACGAAGTGTCGATGGCATTGTTGGTGCTGCTGCTGCCGTTGTTGTTGTTGTTGCTCGGGGTCGACGAGTCAGGATCTGGGTAGGTGCAGCTCGCCCCGAGACCGCGCTTCAGGCAGCTCTGTGGGTATTGTGCAAAGACCGGTCCCACGCGTGAGATGACAGCAAAGCGATCAAGAAAACGACGATGGGCCTACCTGGCATGGGAGCACCTCGCTACACCTAGTCTTGCCAGAATGGCAGGCCGTACAAGCGCGTCTGACTGCAGGAGCTTTAGCTGTCGAACGATGGTATAAGCGGGAAAGAGAGAGAAACGGTGAGGAAATCTACTTGCGTTTGCGGGGGCTCTCTGAGGACGACTGACCGCCCTGCTGCTGCTGTTGTTGTTGCTGTTGGTGCTGTTGGTGCTGGTGCTGCTGGTGGGCGAGCTGCTGTTCGGCGAGGAGTTGCTGCTGGTGGAGGTGCTGGGTGTCGATCGACGGCGGGGCCGCGTCCTGGGCCGGCTGGGACTCGGACATGGAGGGCGGTTGGCGGGCAAGGGCGGCGAGCGAGGCGTCCGTGCGCCGTTCGGTCCTCTCAACGCCTTATAATCCTCCGCCGTCCCGGAAACTATCCTTTATTAGCTAATTTCTCCCCGTCCGTGTGACCCGAGCGCTCGGCAATCCCGCACCGGTTCCGGTATCTCTCCCGGCAATTGGACCTCGCCGAGACCGGACTGGACTTGTCCTCGACCACTTCCGCTCAATTGGCTTTACCCCACACTTGCTCTCCTACCACCACCATCGATGACAACCATGTCTTCTTCGTCTTCAAGGCCCTTCGACCAGCCCCCGGTTCCCTTCGACAACTTCGAGTTCACCTTCGATCCCTCCCTCAGCGCACTCTTCCCCTCGCCAGCCCCGCTGCCATCCTCTGCAGGCCTCTTCTCTGCCTCAGAGGAGACCGACATCCTTGGTTTTCTCGACAACTTCAACTGGGAATTTGACTCTAATGCTCTTCCACCCGGTCAACTTGATTCTGCGCCTCCAGCACCCCTCCCATATCCCTTTCATACAAACTCACTTCCGAATGGGCACGAACCACCACATCCATCGTCTTTGTTCGCTACCGAGGGTTCGATGTCACATCTGCACATGAACGGCGATGCTTCCCGTCCATCCTCATCACGGACGCGCTCTTCCCCAACATCACCCGTAGAGCCTTCGACGCCGAAGACAAACGGACGCACCGGCACGAGCAATGGCAAAGCTAAAGCCAAAACCGGACCTAAAGCACCACTCCTATCCACTCCCCAGAAACGTCTAAACCACATCATGTCCGAGCAGAAACGGCGGAACGCCATCCGCGAAGGCTACGCCCAACTCACCACTCTACTCGCCCCTGCCGGTGCTCCTCCAGGCACTGGGATGCCTACGCGAGGAAGGCCAAAGGGGAGCGGGAGCAGGAGTAAGGGGAATACGAAGGGCAAGAGTGGTGTGCTGTTCAGGGCGGTAGAATATTGTCATTGGTTGGAGGATGGAATTGAGGCGTTGAGGGCGGAGGTGTTGAGGGTGGAAGCGGCGGCCGGGATACATGGCATACCTTGAGATTCGGATCCATGACTTGACCTCGTTAGCATATTCCTTTGCTTGGTCGGTTCAGAATAAATCTAACTTGATTATTCACAGCCAGGTACCTCTGTCCCGTCCCATAATCTGTATCTCGAGCAGCAGCCTACGTGGCCTAGTGGGTGGCACATAATGCCTCACACACTTTGTGCTTTGAATGTCACAACCAAGCTATATCAATGCACACTTGTACTAGTAGATCCTTACGTTGTACACTATTGTATCTTAAGACTAACACGCTGGCCGTTCCTATGCAAGGAGTCTTGTGCGCGGTCAGATCCAGACATATGTACGACGAACGTGGGCCACATTTTGGCGTCACCCGATGAACAAATCCAGTGTCAAGCAATGTCTTCACAAAACTGAATCAATTCTCTAATATTACAATCATAAGCCATGCAAAGCAACAAGAAAATACAATACGTTACATCGTGCGTACATGTAATCCGTGAAATCGGGTCCGAAAACAAACCAACAAGGTAGATCGTGAGGTAAATTTAGTCAAAGCGTTAGTACAGTAGAACCATCTGAATTGGTGACGTCGCACGCGTAGAGTAGCACCGTCCGTCGGTGAGTATTTGGGCAAGCAAGTAGGTACGATGCCCGTCAAACGTAGGCTGTCCTGAAGAGCACCTCGAGTGTCCAGCAAAAGACTCTCATACATCTACTTCTTCTCCTCCGGCTTCTTCTCGTCAGCCGTGCCGTTTCTAAGAATAGTGAAGAGGTAATTCAGTATTTAAAGTCAAGATCATTGGAGCGTCGGGCCCCGATGGAGACTCACTCCGCGTTTCCGGCGCCTTCTTCCCTGTGAAGATAGAAGTAAGAACATGTGGTTAGCACAAGGCTGAGAGGACGATGGGAAGGTAAAGGGGTACGCACCCTGGTTCGAAGCGGAAGAAATCGTCTCCGCCGGACGTGCGTTGGTGTACGAGGGTTAATCTTCTTAGGTTGGTGAGGAAGTCTTCCTTGGTCTTGTTGCGTGTGCCGCGCTGGACACACACGAAAAAAAAAACCCCATGAGCATCTGGACTAGAGAGAACGACAAAGAGGACAAAAACTCACTGTCGATTTTCCGAGACGGTCGAGCCACTAACAAAAAATGCGATAGTGTGAGAGGAGTACATACACAGAATGACCGAGAACCGACTTACGGGGATCTTGTCGAGGATAAAGTACACAAGCGCGAGGATGATCGTGACTCCGAACGAGTACGCCCACACCCTGACGATCGTCACGATGTCGGTGTGTCCATTGTGTGGCTGATCTCCGGATATCCAACCAAAGATGGCGAATATGCTTGCGAGGATGTCGATGCCGAAGATGGCGCCCACGAGCTGCCAAGAGGGCCAGGTACCGGAACCACGAGTAACGAAGATCAACCAGTTCTGAAAGAAAAGGACGGGCAATTTAAGTAAAGTGTCAAGGCGTTGGAGAGTGGCTAATACGTACCTCGGTCAGAGCTACCTCCAAGAAGAGGATCTCTTGCACTGATCCCCAGTTGGCGATGAGACCTCCTTTGTTCCCATCCGGACTCAAGAACAAGGTGCCCCTCAAAATCCAGGTTCCTACAAGCGTGACACGGTCAGTTACGAACGTAGACATTCAAAGAATGATGGTTGGACGAACCGGCAGCAAGCAACGCTCCAAGGATCGTGCTCATAATCCAGATCTTCGGCAGCTGCCACTCTACCGGTGCCTTCGCATGCGGCGCATTGTCGTATGCAATGGCAATGGTGCCTAAGTCTGCGAACAAGGCGATGAAGACGATGAGGTCGGCACGGATGGTTTCGTTGAGTACAATCATGGAGATGGTCAGGTATATCTCGAGATGTAGACAGAGTGCGATACGGTAGACGATGTAGGCTGCACCGTTGGATCGATAAGTATCTCACGCGAAGTTTAACGAAGCGTAGAACAACGTACCCTTCATGCGGTGGAAAATCTGGCGAGCAACCTTGATAGAAGTTATGATAGTCGAAAGACCCTCATCCAAGAAGACAACGTCAGCTGCACTGCGAGCAGCATCCGAAGCACCTTCGACGGCGATACCACAGTCCGCACGCTTCAGAGATGGTGCATCGTTTACACCGTCACCAGTCATGGCAGTAAGATGGCCACGGTTCTGCAGCATCTCCACCACTTGATATTTCTGCAACGTAAATCATTAATGAGTACAGTATCATTTTACGGCGAACAAGATGAAGCTTACATGTTCAGGGGCGACTTCTGCGAAGCCATCTGCGCTCTCAATAAAGTCGTGGACCTACGCATCAAGATGTGTGAGCCAACGCTATGAAAGTGCCCAGAAAGAGCTTGCACACCTCAGAACCAGCCATTCCTCCCGTGATCAACCTTTCAGAGTCGTACACATGCGTCCCGAGAGCAAGCTGTTTACAGGTCTCGATGGCGATGGCGACGGCGTCACCCGTCAACATCTTGACCTTCACACCGAGTTCTCCGGCTTCGGCAATGGTCTACGGATGGAAGTACGTGAAACGGACATTATCTTCGCCGCAGTATTGGAAGAGAAGGGCAGGGGGAGAGTGCTAACCTGTGCGGTATCCGAACGGGGTGGATCGAACATGGGCAGCAACCCAAGAATCTTCCATTCGCCTCCATTCTCTTGACACGCGACACCAAGAGTCCTAAATCCACGGTGTGCGAATTCCTGCGTCTTCTCCTTGTACAAATCTTGAAGTTCCTTTGACGCCTTCGTCAACCTCAGAATTCTACAACATCATATCAGCAATCAGTCATGCTCCCTCCGAAGATGTACAGTATGGGAGCGCTCACGCGTTTGGGGCACCCTTTGCACAAGTATATCTCCTTCCATCTCTCTCGACCTCAGCCGTAATGCGCTTCGAGACCGGGTCGAAGGGAGTGAACTTGTGTGTCGTCCATCCGCCCTGTATAAAGGCCAAAGGTGAGCCTCCGTAGGACGCTTTCGATGGCGCAGAGTGACTTGCCGTGAGCATTTCTCTTGCCTTGGGATAGTCCTTCAGAGTCGTAACAGTAACCTTGTCGATAGGGTCAAGCGCCTTGATGTTATGCGAGGACGCGAGCACAGCAACCGTTAACCTATGAGAGAAGATACACTCAACCAAGGAAGACTCAGTGGACAAAATTAGATGACATACATCCAGTTCAGATCGACACCCTCAGCGGCCCAAGCTATACAAGTAAAAGAGTAGTCAGTGTTCAGTACTATGACAAAAGCAACCAGATAAAACAAAGGCATACGTTCATGCACACTAAGCTGGTTCGCTGTAAGTGTCCCAGTCTTATCTGTACAGAGCACATCCACTCCAGCCAAACTCTCGATAGCCGTGAGCTTCTGAACGATAGCCTTCTTGCGAGCGAGGAAAGCCGCACCGACGGCCATAGTCGTGGTGGTGACGCATGGAAGACCGACGGGCACTCCGATGATGAGGAAAATCAGGGTGTAGACGAGAAGATTGTTATCGGAGGGTGTGGCGATATTGACTCCACGGAAGAATCCACCTAGAAAATTAAAATAAATAAGCTATTTGTGTGGACGCCCGAACATCAGTAGACTGGCCTATCCAGACTGCGAACAACCAGACCACGACGCTGTTGAAAAGTAGAATATGAGCGCTATTCCACGGTGAGACTATTATGTGGTATTTAGACGTACAGGACAAGGAGCGTGGTTCCGATGCTGGTCATCACCCTCTGGAAGTGACCTTCTCCAGACCCGAGATTGACGAGCCGTGCCGTATTTCCCACGAATGTCTCCTTTGCGATGTTGCTTACCACCTGAAAAACAACAAATTAGCAGGAGAAGGCGAGGCGATTGCGCGGATACGAACCATGTAAGCCTTGCCACGCTTGGCACCCGTGGTGTAATAGAGGGTATCGCCGATATACTTGTCTACTGCCAGACTCTCGCCGGTGATGGCGGACTGATCACAAGAGAGGATAGAGGGCCCCTTATCGACCTTGTTCTCGTCCCCTTCCTCCCTTTCTTCCTTCTTGTCCTCACCGTCCTGTGCGTGCTTGGAGTCGCTACGAGCACTGGATGCGTCGCCGTTATTCTGAGCACCACCTACAGACAACGAGATAGATGTTAACATCAATGGGAGGACAATAATGAAAACATATCCACCTTTAGCACCGCTTTGACCGCGCTTGTCAAGGATGGATTTGGCCTGTGAACGGTCTTTATCCTCGTAAGCGGCAACGATCTGAAGTGCAGACGTTAGTTCATCATTTAGAGCCATTATCCTGAAGAAAGCCACGAACGTGCCCATCAGCGGGGATAGTGCTTCCCTCCTCCACGACGACAATGTCGCCTGGAACAAGTTCGCGCGCTTCGATCTCCTGTTCTTTTCCACCGCGAACGACCACGGCCTTCATAGCAATGCCTGCCTTGAGCTGCTCGACGATGTCGCCTGCCTGCTTTTCTTGATACCATCCGACGAAAGCGTTCAGTGCTAAGATGCCGATCTGCAGGAAAACGTGGTATATTAGGGGCGTATGAATATTGCAAAATTTTGAGCATGCGTACGATAACACCGAAGTCGATCCAGTCACGCAAGCCAGCAGCTAGGAGTACTGCGAGCTCCATAGTCTACAACGTAGTGAAGAATATCGTAAGGCCGGGCAGGAAAAAGATGAGCAGGAGGAAGAGTAATTACGTATAATATTGGCCCTCTGAAGTAGGACACGACCTGCAAAGGGAAGACGTCAGAACAAGGGCGAAACGTTCATTCCAATAAAACGACATGCCTTGAGTATTGGGTTCTCCCTCGGACTGTAAAGCATCCTCAGTAATGGGAACAAGATGGGAGAATGAAGAACACACACCTTTCCAGCTCGTTGTATCCAAATTTGCTTCTCCGAGAGGTAATGTCCTCCTCCGCGAGCCCCTTTGTCATGTCCGTCTCAAGCCACGAAGGGGGGACCTTCTTCTGTCCATCCTTTTCGACGGGCACCTTCTTCCAAGGAGCATACCAGAGCCTCCTCTTCTCGACCTCTTCGTCATCTCCGTCGCCATCATCACCTTTGTGTTTTTGTTTCTTCGCCTCTACATCGATATACTTGAGGAGACGCGTATACTCATCGCCTTCGTCAAGATCCTCGTCTTCGTCTTCCTCCTCTGGAATGGCGTTATTACGCTGCTTCTCCATCTCCGGGTCGCCTTGCTCAACATCGTGACTTGGACTACCTCTATTCTTCTCGTCCGTTTTGGCCGCAGCCTCGTTCCGTACGTTGCCCGACGAGGCAGACATAACGAGTGGTTGGATCGGGAGTGCTTATGAACAGAAAAGGAAACGGGAGAGCCAAAATGCGTGTGCGAGGACAGGTGCGAAGGGGTGGAAGTCGCAAGCGTTCGAGGACAGCGTTGCGCGCTGTTTGCCACATTTTATTGTGGAGAAGGATGGTGATGCGGATGACGTCTAGGAGTGCGAAAGGAATGCTATTGATAGACGGGTGGAGTTGAAGGCGCATTTAGACGGCGAGCCAATAGACCGTATCTGCGAGTGAATTTTTGACCTCGCTAAAGCTCGCTAAGGCCCAACGGGACGCGACGATTGGCCCGATCGCAGTTTTAAAGCCGTTTTAAACGGTTGCAGATACGGTCTAATATGCTGCTGCCCAAAAGGCGCAAACACAATCGGTACACGATGAACAAGACGCCGCCAACCGCACTGCGGGAACATGACGTCAGTCGAAACGGTTCGGAAATGTTGACGATCCGTGCATCAATTTGACTTGCGTTCAAAGCCAAGAACTGCAAAGTGAGATTGCCCAAAGTGAGGTGCCAAGACAACATTGTCCTAGACCGTTCGTCAAGCTCACACTAGAGAATGAGGAGAGCAAAGCCAACGTCGTAAAGAAGGACGCAACACAGAAATATAGCTCGGACACACCGTTCTGACTGCATACTGAGCCCCGCGTCCATGACGTCAATTCATCATAACCGCAAGGTTAGGTCCTTGAGGGTTTTGGCACCATCCGCGGTGATGAGCTCATGGTAGTACATAATGCTCTGGAAGGGTCGAACGGCGGTCCTTTCATAGGGGCAGTATGATGGCGTTTATGTGGCGTGCACGGCAGCCGTCACATACTGGGCTATAGAGACTCGGTTGCCAGTCTGGCGTGCACGGCTATATATAACTTTTGTGGATTTGCGTGGCCCAACTACCGACATAAATAAATATATGATACATATGTGTGCTGAGAAAGTTAGAAAGTTAGACATAGAGTACGATGAGGCACAAATGAAGCACTTACCCCGTACATCCGTAAAATCTGATAGATATCGAAAGGCTCAGGGGAAATTGAGAAAAGATTGGATCCCTGGATGCACCGCACGAAACAAGAGCACCCAAACATTCCGACTTAATTGAGCACCTTCTTTGTAACCTTCAGCAGCTCATACCACTTGTCCGCACTCTCCTTGTTGTCTGGGATCATCTTCATAATAATGACCTGCTTCAATATATGATACTCTCCAGAACTCAACTCGCCTGGTCTCCGTACCACCTTCGTGCCCAACAACTGTGGAAAATCGGAAGGCATCTGAAGTGTATCGAAGAAAGTCTCGAGTGGCTCGAGTGCTTTAGCGAAGTCCTCATCGGAGGATGATTTTTGACGGATGTGGGCGATCTCGTGCAGGAAGAAGAGACGGGTGATGGAAGCAGTTGTGTGCGAGAGAGGGGGTAGAGAGTTAGGGTTGGGATAGGTCAACGATGGTGAAAGAGTGTAGGCTAAAAGAAGGAGAATCAGGTCATGACTGATGGAATAACGATGAGGGAAGACTGGCATACCTGCGAGGTCTTTAATGACAGGCAGCTCCCTGGCTTGAGCTTTTGAAAGGGGCCCCGCCTTTTCAGCCTCCTTTTGGATAGAAACAAACATTACTATCCGCTGAAAATTCATCAATATCAACAGACGGACCTCCAATTCGTTCCATACCCTTCCCAACATCTCTCTCGACCTTGCGACCTCCGCATCTAGTTCTTCAACCGGTACAAAACTGATAGGTAGTTCTATAGGCTCAGATGGTAATAAGGAGCAGTCCACTTTATGCTTTTTCCAGTCTCGCCTAATAGAAAATATGATAAACATTTACGACGATCAAGTAGGTGCAGGAATCCTGGAGAGCGTGAACGTACTTCTGACATCGGGAACTCTAGAGGGGAAGATGAGAAACCGCAAGATCAATATCAAGACTCGGCATCATCAAAGACTGAATCAACTTCAAATCAACTTACACAGTAAAACCTGTTCTTACAGATAGAACATCGTTTCAGAGACTCATCACCCTCGGGCGTCTTACTACAGACTTGACAATCATCTCTGTTCTCTTTTGGCCGACAGAGCTTCGCTGTCGGGGAGAACGTGCCAGTAGATGTCACCAGAGCTTTTGATTTCTTCTTGTTCAAAAAGAGAAGAAATATGGCAAAGAGGCCGAAGAACAAATAAAGGAGTATACTCATTGCGAGCGGAAGGAAGAAAACGTGTCGCGTTGGGCCACACGCGGAGTGCGCGAGCTTCGACATAGAGTCACATCGTGAGATAGAGATCGTCACAGTGACCGATCGCGTTGAGTCGCGTCAGGTCGCGTCTAGTCGCGTCCAGTCGCGTCACGTTGCCCCTGTCGCGCTCGCTGATCATCTCACTGTATTCTCAGTTGTCTCTTCTTCGTCGATCCTCCTCTTAACAACTCGAACCAGTTCAGACGATGATCTCATATCTTTGCCCCTATGTTCAATGAACGAGGTTCACACCAGCTGATTACTATGGACATGAAGATTCTTGAAGACCACTGCATGATCCAGAACGTACATACAATTTCAAGCTCGATGTGAGAAATTTAGCATACAGAAAGACCATAAATACCTTGTGATACACTTCTTCGTTACAACAGATATCACTTCTTGTTCTGTTCCACCTGTGCTCAACTATCCAACACACGTACGGCTTCCCTCGTGGCAGTCATTCCCATGAGCCCTCTGCCATCGGCACTGCCGCTTTCCTCCATCTCTGCAAAACTCTCAAGTCCTTGCGCGGTTCCGACAAACTCCAGTGATGTCATTGCCCGCTGAGGGCCGGAGAGGCACGAAGATGCTGCTGCCATGGTCCGTGAGTCCCAAGCGCGGCGTAATGCGACTCGCATGTTGATGAGGATGGTGGAAAGAACCTAGGATACAAAGCGTGAATATACTTACAGAAGTCTTGCGACAGTCTACGACGTACAGGCATGAGGAAGCTCGATGGCCCAACTATGTTGACCACATGACTATTGAGCGCATATGGTATTGCGAGGACAATGGACGAGACGGCACAGATCATGGAGCTTTCAATCACCATGGCTGCAATTGACACGTAGGGCGCGGACAAGGCGTCAGAATCTTCAAGCGCTTCTCGAAGTCTTCGTCTAAATAATAATAGGCGGCCGGCGATAAGGGTCGGAAGAATGATGTTGAGAGCGGCGGTGAGGAACATATGAGCAAGCCCCCAGTCAACGGTGTTGTTACTGTAAACGCTGGCGCCAGGTCGCATGGACTCCCAAAGAAAGAAAATGCCAAATACTGGTCAATGAAGTTCAAAATCAGCCACAGTGATACAACAGATACTGGTGATGTTTCACCTATGTTGGCAAGGTACACTAATACCAGGGATATTAGGAGGTAATATTTGAAGCGAAATATCGCTAGGCAGCGATACAACTGGTTACAGAGTGGTCAAAAGTTAGATTTCCAGCTCAGTGCACAGACTAAGTAAACCCACTAAAAATCCGTCAGCCAACCATGAGATCACCACGCCGATCACGTTGAACGCCGCAAGAGGCCCACTTGCGTACTGGGTTCGTCCCCAGGCCATCGGCCCACCAGGATAGTCACGGTTATCGATGAACTCCAACTGATAGTTGCGCGCATACGATCCAGCGTATGCTACAGCAAGGGAGAACATCACGAGTGTGAACACGATGAGCGTCTTGTTTCGCTTAGTCCCTCGTCTGGGAGGATCCTCGATGAGGAGATGCATGGTCTGCAGACAGACAACACAGATCATCCCTACGAATCGTTTGCGATATCGATCAAAGGAGATTGAACATAAAGAAAGGTTCGGAAGGTACTTACCAAAAGTCATCCAACATGCAAGGCCGCCTATTAGAGTGGCACGCTCATACCAAAGAGCATCGGAGGACAGATCGGGTCTGTTTGTGTTTGACATCTTGTGAGGACTCTGTAGAGAACGTATTGGTCGCCAAAAGAGAGGATGATATGATGAGTTAGTAGGCGAGCAGCCGCACTTTATGTCTCTCCTCGGGCACAGACATAGAAAACTAAGAACTGAAGTCGAAGCAAAATGAGACGAGCCATGAATAGACTGTACCCGCGATCCTTTAGAATGACCTTCCAATCATCGCGGTCCGCCGGGCTTTAGCGAAGTTAAAAGAAACCACAGGCATATACGGTCTAATCCTGATGATTCTGAGAGAAACATGCTAAGTTGAGGTGTCTTGATGCTCCAGATGACTTGTCTGGGGCTTTGAAGTGTCTATACAAAGGACATATCAATATATCAACATCTAGAATGCTGAGCGCATGATCGGATATTCTGGACTGCCGAGCATACATGGATGATATTACTTTCCTTGCACTCTAAACAAAGATATCATCAGCATCAACCGCGTCCGACAGACTTCCCGGCATCGGAATGTTGAGGCTGTGGCACACACGGTCGAAGGAACAGGTGCGGGTTCTTATCATGAACATAGCTCTAATTATTTCGTCTCTGAAATTAGGACCACATGGTCAAGGAAGAATGAGAGCTGAGAAAACCTAGCACCGGCCAGTAATCATTATAATATCCGTCCGTGAAAGTAGTAGCAGATGTGCGACCTACAATGTTCAAGATATGTTTTCAAGTCCAATATGAGAGTCTTCGGAATAAAGAAAGAGCTTGATCACCTCATAGTCGATGCCTTCGTCACAACACACCTCACTTCTTGTCCTGTTCCGGCTGCGCTCCATCTACCAACACGTCCACAATTTTTGTGATATTCGTTTCCATAAGTCCTCTGCCATCAGCGTTGGTGCTTTCCTCCACCGCTGCAAAATTCGATGGTTTTTGTGCAGTTGCAACAAACTCAATTGACGTCATCGCTCGCTGGGGGCTGGTGAGGTTCGAAGGTGCTGCTATCATGGTCCGCGAGTCCCAAGCACGGCGCGATGCGACTCGCATGTTGATGAGGATGGTGGAAAGAACCTCAAATATGAACCATGAGAATCGTAACGAAAGACTTAAAAGAGTCTTCGACGTACGGGCATGATGAAGCTGGAAGGTAAAAAGAGATTGGCGACATGACTGTTGAGCGCGTACGGTATCGCGAAGGCGAGGAACGAGAGGGCACAAATCATGGAACTTTCAATGACCATGGCGGCGATGGAGATGTATGGCACAGACAAGGCCTGAGAGGTTCCAAGAGCTCGACGAAGGCTCCGTCGGAAGAATAGTAGGCGGCCGGCGATGAGGATGGCGAGGACGATGTTGAGAACAGTGGTGAGGATCACGCGCGCAAGACCCCAGGCGACAGTGTCAACACTGTACAAGCCGGTACCAGATTGTATGGTCTCATTCAGAAAGAAAATGCCGGATACTACGTCAAAAAGCCTAATTATTAGCTAGCGGTAATAACACGGACTGTAGTGACTGATCACCCATGCTGGCAAAGAACAAGGCCACCAGGAGTGCAAGGAGGTACAAATTGAAGTGAAATATTACAAGGCAACGATATATCTGTTCGGAAGAGTGATTAGGATATAGATTTTATTTCGGTAAAACAGCCTAGACTCACTAGAAAGCCGTCAGCCAACCATGAGATCACAACACTGATCACAATGGGCGACACAAAACGTGCACTGCTGAATTGTGTTCGTCCCCAGGCCATTGGGCCACCAGGATAGTTACGATTCTCGATGAATTGTAGTTGGAAGTTACGTGTATATAGCCCAATGAAGGATACGGCAAGCGAGAACATTATGAGTGTGAACGCAATGAGGACCTGGTTTCGCTTGGCCCCTCGTCTTGGAGGATCTTCGACGAGAAGGTGTATTGTCTGCAGACAGACGACACATATCATCCCTAGAGTTCACGATCTCCGTCAGAAGAGATGGAGCTCCAACAGGGTTCAAATGCTGCTCACCGAAGGTCATCCAGGACGACAGGGCGCCCATGAAAACTGCACGTTCATACCAAAGAGCATCTGCAGAAAGATCGGGTCTGTTTGGGCTGGGCATTGTTTGAGGGCGTGCTGGGAGCGAAGGGCAAAGAACCCGTCGGACGTCGAACAGAGAGTGGGGAATACATTAAGCAGTCGTTCACCCTTTATGTCTGTACTTGGGCGCAGACATAAGGACCGGGGACGAAGCACCTTGATTCTATTCGTATCATCCCGGAAGAAACCAAGCCGATTTGAGTTACCTTGACGCTCGATCCGCCAATTTCTTTCGCACGATTGTATATCGTGGACTATCAAGCATCCTTAGATGTAAAAACTCGATCCATTTGTGATATCAACGAGTATCGACGTTGGTCTGTCAGGTGGAAAAACTCAGTACACAGGTTCACTAAATTGACGAAGAACTTACCATGAATATTAGAAGAGTCACCTTCGCGTTCTAGACTTTTCCCCGGATGAGTTACATTCGGCTCTAGATTGAGATATCACCGACAACTTCATTCCGCTGCTCATCACCACATTGCCTGATATCAGAGCGTCAAATGATGCTGTAGCATCTACTGCAGAGCCAATTCTATTTTATAGCGTTGAGAGTCAGACTTGACGGATGAAGTCGAGTCGCGATCGACTGAGGCGGACGAGTGAACTGCAGAGGTTGGTGTCTAGATGACTGCACTGTGTTGCCTAGATAAGATCCTATACGAGTGTACAAGCAGAGTGATGAAACAAACCCAGGTGAGAGTCAAAAGAGAGAAGACGTGACGACGATGCATTGAAAGTTGTGAACGGCAGTGGCCAAAAAGACACAGACGATCGAAATTCGAACTTCGGAGATTTCCGGTGTGAGTTGTGTCACGGTGGCGATGAGAGAATGTGGCCCAGTGAGCCTGGTCGTACTCGCCGCCATGAATCCAAACAGAATTAGTGACATTCTCTTGCGTCACAAACCTACGGAAGACAGAGATACCAGAGAGAGTGCGACTGCTAACATGACTTGGACGAATTATAGGGACCATATATGATGATATACATGCATGATTAGAGCTCATCAACCTCACGAGTCCAGGTATGCTAAGCAGTGCAGCCAGTCAGGATGGGCAGTACAGTAACGACAGACCAGTCAATCGCCAAATAAAAATCAGTCAGTCTGAGTCGATCAGCAATGGGTACAGTAAGTAAATACACGGTAAGCACAGCAGTGAAGAGCGAGATACAGGTGGCAAAGACAGACGTACAGATCAGATATATACAGGGAGAGTTACAGATCAGCGTACGTTATGACAAGTATACAGACTCCGAGCCAGAGATCAACAACAAACGACAACGGTCAAATCACATAAAGATAGCATCAAAAAGCAGACCAGCGAACGAACACACAAACGAACGAGAAAATCCAGGTAGAGAGATTACACAGACACGGGCCCAACAAAAAGAAAAAAAAATCATTCATACCACGCACTCCTCAACCTCGAGCCACTCCTCTTTTCCTTACCACCACCACCACCTCTTCTACCGCTACCACCACCATTGCCAGACCTCCTCACCCCCTTCTTCCCTTTTCTCGTCCTCGGTCGCCTCACAATCCCACTAGCCCCCGCAGTCCACGCCCTATTCGTCTTCTCCGCAAACTCCTTGAACGCCGCCGAATGAACCTCGAAATTGGGCGGAAATCCGGTGCTATAGTACGACGAGCGCCAGTTATCGAACGTCTCTCCGTCAATGTCGGGGCCGACGTTGCAGGAGGCAATGGCGGATGAGAATTCACAGCTAAACGGGCTTGGAGGCGACCACAACAACGAGTGAGATAGGGCAATGGGGTGTGTCGTGGACGATCCCGAGGCCACCGCTGCATCGTGACCTAGGGGACGTGTGGGCAAGGATAAAGAAACGGGTGCGATAGCCATAGACTCGAAACTTCCACGCCTAGAAATTATGACGGAGGAGGCCTGCGTGAAAATGAGGGGAGCAGCTATGGATCGGACAGATGCAACTTCTGCATGGAGTGCGCTTAAGACTGATGAGCAGGTTGCATCGGTCGTTATTGACGAGATGGAGGGGTTCTTGTCGTTGTGGGCCGCCGTCGCATCAGCCTGTCCGGAGTAAAGTGTATAAGATGATGAGCATGGGTGGGGAGCCGGCTGGGGATGAAGCAGTGTGGCGTGGTGTGGCGCAAGAACGTACGCTGACTTTACCTTGTAAGGACGGCTCTGCATGGACCCAACTTCGGCATTCAACAAGCCAAGGGATGTCGACGAGATGACAGCACCACTCGACTTTGAGCTTTCCACATTACTCTGCAATTGATACGGGATTAGCACCTCAACATCACAAATCTCAAAAGCCGTAAGTGTGCGCACACCTTCGAGTTTATATTCCTCGTACCAGCCCCTCTTGACCGAATCATCACAGACTTTGCCTCCACGTCCGAATCAGGCCACACATCCGAATCGGACGTCGCCAGAGGATTATCTCTCCCTCCCCGAGGCGAAGGCATAGACATCTCCTTGTCGTCCGTGTCCACCGCTGTCACCACCTTGTCGTCCTCGTCGCCGTACACAGACTCAAACCCACAGTCTGAGTCCGAGCCGTCAGAGAAGAAAGTCTTCTCCACGGCGTTACTGAGGTCCGCTGTCATCAGTGGACTGTCATGTCCGCCCGTCTGAACCATGTCCCAAGTAGGTGAGAAGGACGAGGAAAGGGAAGGGGAAGACGAGAACGATGACGACGGTGATGGAGGAGACCCATTTGACGAAAGAACGAAAGCTTCTCTATTAATACGGACAGCGCGACTCGAATGATAGTCCGAAGGAGTTTTGTCGTCGTCCCGAGGTCCAAGCGAAGTTCTCCACGAGGGCGGTGGCGCCACATCGCCACTCGGCCGTGTATAAATCGTCCAAGGCATCGGCGAACGTGAAGGCGTACTGGTCAGGGACGGCGACATCGGAAATGCATACGGAAGACTCGAAGACGACTCAGATCCCCCAAAGGTCGAGCGGGAGCGCGACATCATCGCAAGCGAACACTCAGTTCCACTATCCGTGGACGAATAAAAGTCCGAAGTGGCGAGAGAGGGTGCGGTCGTAGCGGTGCTGCTGAACTGGACGTAGGACATATTGGAAAGTGACGGAGAGCGTGGCGGTAACACAGGTCGAGTACGGCTGATAGACACAGAGTCCCTGGCCGCAGGATCCGCCTCGAACCCCGCGAGGAAATTGTTGACGCTCATGCTCGGCACAGATCTCGAATGCCTAAGACCCGCCGGCCTCCGTCTCTGCAATTTCTTCGGACTCCTCGTATTCGTGGTCACAGGCGACGGCGTAAACGAAGGCCAGAGTAGCCTGTTCGAGTTCGTCATAGAACTCCCGTAGCCGGATTCGGACACCTTGTAACGGCGCGTAGACCGTTCGTTCTGGCTAGGCAGTGTATACGTTCGTCCCATCTTGACTTTATCGTAAGGAGAGGGAGAACTGGGGGTGTAACCAGGAATGAGCGTATATTCTTCGTCATGAGAAACCCCAGCGGTAGGCGCGGATACAGAAATCGGAGTCGGTGGGATGGATGATGACAAGGCGGAGGAAGGAGTGGTAGGAGAAGTTGAGCTGGAGGAAGAGGGTGACGAAAATAATCGTCTGCGGATGGGCGTCAAAAGAGTGGGGCATGGAGAACTGTAATCGGGTGAAGTGGGCATGAACGATTGAGCTTGAGAAGACAAAGGAGCCTGACTTGGATACGCGGGAACGCCACAGTACGGATGCACAGTGGCAGGCGGAGTACGCGGACGATAGTCATGGCGAGCACCAACATCGGAATACCTCCCCGGCCCTATATCAATAACATCCACCATGTAAGGAATCGTCAGAGGAAAAGGCTCCGTGAGCGCTCGATGGTGCTGCGTAGGTCGTTTAGGGCGTGAACGTCCGTGAAGCGCATCGTGAAGGAACGTAGACGCTCTGTTCTTCGCCTTTTGGAGGACGGAGAAGGCGAAGTGACGTGAGGGGAGTGGGCGTGGCTGGCAGTACGGTGGAAGGTGCATGATGTGGTCGGTTTCGTTGTCGTTGTCGTCGCTGTCGAAGAAAGACACTTGGGTGTGGCCCAGGTGAACAGCACCGAGCCGATTAACGACCGGAGGTGACATCGCAGAGGATACTCAGTCAAGTCAGCCGCGCATTGTCGGGTCGCATGGGGCGAAAGGAAGAAGGGAGCCAAAGCGAGGACATTCTGCACAGGTCGAACTTTAAGAGTCCTCAGTCGCCGGAAAGTTCCTCAAGTCGACTTCGATGCAAACACAGAGTTGCCTGAATCGTGGGGACGGTGACACAAGCTGGCCATATCCTCTGATGCGCTGGCCTGGCCTGAGACATAGTGAGTGTTAATGCTCTCAGTGACAGGGTCCAAAGCAAGGAGGAGATGAACAGTGGTTGACAGGTAAAGCCCTTCGGAGCTCGAACATACATTCTTCCTTCGCGGCAATACCCGCGATATTCTAACTCCGTCTTCTACTTCTGGACCTCAAGTGGGAAGCGCCACCGCCACTCATGATTTACTTGTACAGAACGGGGCCACTCTTCCAGTCGAGATTCTTTCGAATTATCATCCATAATCGCGCAAGAATGGTGGGGTGAAGTCCATCAAGCTGGACGCCTCAATATGAAACAACGGCACATCCACGATCCGGATTCGAGGGTAAAGTACACGAGATACCATGGGTGATCAGTGAGTACACAAAGTGACAACGTCCGCAAATCGAGACATTATTAATCAGTGGATCATGGTAAGAACACGCCTAAAATAAGAACAAGGAGAAATCTAACACCGGTCGTGACTTGTGTCAGATCTAGGTCTCCTGCCACCTGTCAACGCCAGGAATACCGACTCGAAATCAGGCCAGCCATCTTGGAGTACAATTCTGGGAGAGCCTCGCTTCTTATATTTGCGCGTGGTCTAAAGGGGGTATGATGTAAATAATAGTACAACTTCTCGCTACACGCGTGCGTACAGCAGAGATGATTACAGCTTTAAACCACGGGGAGTACAGTAAAATTGTCCAAGGAGCGATATTTAACGAGAGGAACGCAGTTGGAAAGTCGAAACAGTAAAGCACATGCAGTATTAAAACAACAGCACGAAAGAGCGTAGGATATGGTACACGCACGGTGGCAGAGACCAAAGGGGGCCTGAATGGTAACGAGCGGGAAAAAAGAGTGACGAGTGCAGTCCGAAAAAAAGGGGAGATATGACTCCATGAAATGGGAGAACGAGCAGAATAAAAGAAAAGAGAGAGAACGAATTGGTCCAAACACTTCAGACACCTTCGCCGACTCTCATCTCCCCGGCACGCTCGATGATAGCGCGCAGAGTCATCGGAGGTGTCACGGAGAAAGACAAGTGGGTCTCCTCGCCGTCATCGACATTGGAATCCGTTTGAGCACCAAGTGCCTGCAATACGAGCTTCACCCCACTCGACGCATGGGAACCAACCACTTTCACCATGATTATGCTACTATCATCCATGGCCCACACGATCGTGTTGCCCATAGAGCCCTCACAAAGCCTACGCTTCACAGCCTGCCAGCTCGGCGCGTTGACCAACACCTGCTCTGAACGCCTCAAACCGACAGAGGGGTGTGTGGATTGCGGAAACGCGTCGAAACGCGCTGGTCTATCGAATTCTGACGCATCGTCCGAACGAAGCCACTCAGAGGTTGGACGAGAGCGGGCGGTGACGAAGGTATCGGTGGTAGTGGCGGTGGCGAGAGAGTTCAGGGAGATGTCTCGGCGATGGATAGGGCGGTGAGGAGCAGGATGCCGGAAGTTTGTGAATGATTCATCGGTGTGTATCGACCTCAATGGCGCCACGATAGCGGATGAAGGAACTGGTGTTGGATATCTATGGCTGACAAACGCCTCGGCTTCTGTCTGGTAATAGGAAAAAGGATTATAGTGGGGTCAGTTCCCTGTTGATAATATGGACAGGTCTAGATTACATACCTCGGGAAGTGTGCTGCTCTCGACGAGTGTGAACGAACTAAGGGAAGGACTGGAAACTGAGAGTTGGTAGGTATCTTGTGCTGCCGACAACGGCGCAAGGTCTGGCGGGGTCCTGGAACGACGCCAGCCAAGACGAGGGGATTGGGAGCTCGCCCCTGGCTGAAGGAAGTTGCCGCCTGCTCCAGTCGAAGGTCCATGTGATGGACTACGTCTGGGAAAACGTTTGACGGAGAGATCAAGAGGCGAATCCGGAATATCGATGGTTGGTAGAGAGGGAGGCGATGGAGATCTAGATAGCTCGAGAGGTGGAGCAAGAGAAGACGGAGAAAATGACTCGGTCACTTCTTGTTCTTGTCCCTCGAGAAGACGGAACGTGGTTGGCGACTCTTGGGTGTATAGCGGGTGGAGCTGCCGTGGAGGTTGGAACGACCGATGACGCGACCGTATCGGCGTGGAACTCGTTGGGAATGACTGCCCATAACGAGGGGAAGGAGGCACTGAATAATTGGTGTCACAAGGGGAAGCAGGGGGTGTATGACACAAAACCAAGCTATCATAAGTTGCGCGGCGAGTATGACGAAGCTCCTGGATCTCGCTCGGATGAACGATTTTGACTGAATCTCTTCTGAAAGGGTCGTTGTCGAGAGTCAGGAAGTGTTCTGTACTGGGAGACACTTCACCACGGAAGATGCTTCGGAATTCGTGCTCCGGAGGTTGGAGGAATGATTTGTCTGAAGCGGTGGTTGGCGATGGAGTCACGGGAGAGTGGCTCGAGAAGGAGTCGAAGAAGAGTTCATTATTTGGGGACGATATAGAGGTATCAGGAGTACTTGGTGGAGAGAAGGTTGTCTGGATGGGGTACGAGATGATTGCAGCTGGTTTCCGGCGGCTGAAGGGGCTGAATTTGCCACGCAGAAGGCGGGAAGGTGTGTGCAATGTCTTCGTAAACCACAATATTTATCAGCGGGTGAAGAGAGAGTATATTGTTAGATGAAACGTACAGAGTCGGTCTGCGGTAAAGGCGAAACCGAGGGCAGGTAAACCGGAGAAGGCGGAGGCGGAGGCGTTCGCGGTGCTATGTACGAGGAACGAGGATCGAGCTCGAAAAATGAGAGGGATTTTGAGCAGACCGAGCGTTGCGGATAAGACGACGGAGATATCAGAGGCATGCTGGGGGAACGGGATAATTGGAGAGAATTGCCGGTGGATCTAAGACTAAGTGGCCTCCAGGAGTCACGGCGATACGTCAAAGGTCTGGCCGTAGGTTGCTGGCTGGGACGGTGGATCGAGGGTAAAGACAGATAATTGGCAGCACGAGAAACGATGGACGATGGGCTTGGTGGCATGTCATTTGGCGAAGAGGTGCCACGACTGGCGCGAGTCATGAGCGCTGTGGCGCGCGAGGTGACTTTGCGCATGAAGGAGGGTGGCGAGTAGTTGGAGCCGGTAGGGCTTGATCCATGAGTCTTAATGAGAGGAATTGGCCCTGGTTCCACGAATGTGCCGGGTGCTGAGATGGAGTCGTGGTCGAAGAAGCTACCATCGCTGAAGGCGGCGGAGACGAGGGAGGTGAACTCGTCAACGTCGGCTGTTACGCACGGGCTCATAGGAGTGTTGGCCATTGTGGGGGGAAGATGAAAGGAGAAGGAATGGAGGAAACCAAGAGGAGACGATATTTGAGCTGGCCGGCATCGCTGTCGTCCTCAAAAGGCATTCCGATTTGAACGTACATACGACAGCCAACCGTTCGTTTCTGGTGCAGTCGTATGCGCCTCGGATACAAATTGCGCCATGCAATCAATGCGATCCTCAAGCGTGACGCTTCCATGGGCTCGCTCCAGTCAGACCTATCTTATGATTCGTTACCTTTTGCTCTATGTATCATAACATGGCAAAGAGAGCACGCAGAATCAGCATGTCCGGGGGGGCCTTATGTCTAGTAGGCAGTGAAGACCAAGCTATGCTGGAAACAGCTCGAGAAAACATATCGCGTCGGCGCGCGCGCAATCCATAGAGACGTCGGAATCAGCAATTTAGATCGGCGCCGCACGACAAGTGCGAATCTCATTCCTCGACCAGAAGCGGAAGGGAACTTACTTGGTACGGTCTATGAATGATAGATGGAGGTGCTCGGTGCTTTCGCGAAGGAAAGAAGACAGATCTGGATCTGTAAGGGTATCCGTGCGTTTCGCACTGTTCAATTGAACTCCGAGCGATTGATTAGTGGTTCATACATGACGAGGACGAGTTGGAGGAATTCTGAGTGATCAAGTTGATCCTCGTCAGTGATCCCGGGGAGCCTCGGAGCCCACTGCTCCGCGGACTTGCCTGAGTATGGGGTCGCCAGTCGCCACAGCGTGACCGGTCTTCTTGTGTAACGTCTCAGCATGCTACGAATCCGCAAGAACAGTGTTTTCGCCATTTAGTCTGGTATTAGATACTCTTGAGCCAACATAGGCGTAACGAGCCACGCCCGAGGCGCCCGAGCTGTCCAATAAATCACTCGGACGACGTCTTCTGCTGATCGTCAGTTGGTCGGTCGTCAACGATGTGTTGCGCTCGAGGATGTATCGCGCTTGAGCAGAGAATCGGGCAGAAGCTGCTTAGAATCACTTCGGCGAAAGCAGAACAGCGATTGTCCAAGAGAGGGAAGATTCGGATGCTGCTCAGTAGACCGACCCGTCTCTCGATAGCTGTAGGTGCGAGAAGATGAGGAAGTTCGGACGAGGCAGGATCTGGCAGAATTCGGGGGATAACGGTGAAGTGGGATTTTGCGTTATGTATGCGGGACCTGCAAATGAATTGCTTGGGCTGGCGATGGGGAGCTTGAAAGTCAATGGCAGGAGGTCATGAACGTTCGAACATGAATTCTCCTTCTGCCGCATCGAGTAAGAGGAGGATGAGAGCCACGTGTGGCGAGAGCCGTCTCCTCCCGGGCTTTCCCGGGCCTCCCGTTCCTCATCCCGCGGGACTGCCGGCGTGGCCCCAGGCCCTTGTCGCCTCCATGCATACTCCCTCACCGAAAGGTTCACTACATTTTTCTCCGCGGCTGAGCAGCTCTTGTGTCACTGGTCTTCCCAGCAGAAGTCTCTCCGATCCGTAACAATATCGCTCGTGTTCATTGTTCGCAGAACGATGGACCTTGTGTCGGTCACTACAATGGATCTGAGGCGTCCATCCTCGATATCTTCTCCATGTTGACCGTATAAGTTTTTTTTTGTTCTCTGACGATGTTCACTACGGCTCGGTATTCGAACGCTCATGCTCGGGTGCTTCAAGTTCTCTACTTACTAGGAGTTCTACAACACGACTCGTGTGCAAATATTTCGGATCTGTTGTCTTCGGGAGAGGTGGATTAAGGTTCCGACGGGTATTCTACTTGCTGACATCAACGCCACCGTGAATTCGCCGTTGAACGAGGCTTCATGACCAAAACACGAGAGGTCTGTTACTCCGAGGAACAGGCAGCATATAAAGTCTCTCTCAGTGTGCGCTCCGACTCCTCAACACATTCGTTCCCCACCGACAACTTGCACCACAATGCTCACTTGTCTAAACTTACCATGCCTTACCCAGAGACTCAAAACGCCCTCGTCTGCGCCGCAATCGGCGAGCCTTTCGAAATCAAGGAGCGTCCCGTACCCAAACCTGGGCCAGGCCAAGTCCTCGTGAAAATCGTCTCTGCAGCTCTAAATCCTGTGGACGAACTCATCCGTGTGAAAGGTATCCATGTGAAAGGGGCTCTCATGTCAACCTACCCCACGATTTGTGGGAGCGATGCAGCGGGGACTGTGGCCGCTCTGGGCGAAGGCGTCGACAACTTGAAGATCGGGGACCGAGTGTGAGTCATCTTTGCGTTCGATGTGTACAGTTGACGAAGGTTGACTTTTATAATCCTCGTACCAGCGTCTTTCAGAACTGGTTCGTCCCAGACCGCGGCACCTTCCAACAATATGCCCTTTCTGACGCCGGAACCACAGCCAAGGTCTGCAACATACCCAACTCATTCTCCTTGACTTACGTATCAAAAACTAATCACAGTTTCTAAGCACAGATCCCGGAGAACCTCTCCTTCGACGAAGCCGCCACCGTTCCTATCGGGCTCGCCACCGCCGTCATGGGCTTCTACGGCGGCAAAGCCAGTGAAGAGCGCGGTGGTGCAGGCTTGCCTGTTCCCTGGGAAGAAAGCGGGAGGGACAGATTCCGGGACGAACCCATTTTCATCACGGGTGGCGCGAGCTCCGTAGGCCAATTTGGTTCGTTCATGAAATATTGTCCACTCCTTGTCCACGGAGATTCCGGCCCTGGTTCTGATTGTCTATCCTGCAGTGATTCAGATGGCTAAACTCTCCGGCTTCGGTCCTATCATAACCACCGCCTCCGCACAACACACCGAATACTGCAAGTTCGCCGGCGCGACACACATAATCGACTATCACACAACTCCCTACAGCTCCATTCCCTCGGCCGTCGCATCGATCCTCTCCCCCTCCCCAACAGCGTCCAACCCGCTGAAATTCACATGGGACTGCATAGGCAACGAAGAAACCAACGCGTTGTGCTGGACGATGCTCGCGCCCTCCGGAACCATGATCGTGGCGAGATGTGCGCCGGTTTATTGGCCGAATGTGGTGTTGCCAGCGCAGGCAACAGGCGACGGCCGCAAAGAGGGCAAGAAGGCGTATTTCTCGGCTGGGAACGTTAACCTTCCGATCAATAAGGTGCTCGGTGAAAACCTGTACGCGAACCTTGAGCAGATGCTGCGGGATGGGAGAGTCAAGGTTTGTTTTTTGTTCTGTGCTTTCGTCGTCTAGAAGAGATCGGAAGGCTGAGACTTACAGGTTCCGCTTACTTTTTCCTCTTCATGTGCAGCCGAACCACCTTGAAGTTCTGCCCGGAGGGTTAGTGGCTATTGCGGATGGATTGACTAGAATCGTCAGTGGGAAGGCTGCCGGAGTGAAGCTCATCGTACATCCTCAGGAGACTGCCTAACTTAGATCTTCCTGTACTAATTGATCTATACCTTACGCCTTGCGTCTTCCAATCCGATGTTTCATTCTTTTGTCTGTGGAGGTCGTTGCTGACTTCAACTACTCGGAGTAAAAGATATACCCGATGATGAAGGTGAACAGTTGGCTAGCCCTCTCGTTCTTACCCACGAGACAGGCGTCGACTTTTCGTAGTGCAGTCGACGTAAACGCTAATGAGACGTCACTACTAGTATAGGCTGGTGACAGGTAGCCCGGAGGCAACAAATCCCACATTTCCGAATAGACTGGCATTCCGACTGTCGCGGAGCTTATCCTTCGCAAGGGATTGAGGGTGAATCATGACATCCATTATATAATAGTACAACGCCACAAATGATAATGCTAGAGAGGCGTGGCCAGAGAGCATACTGTACAGGCAAGTTCTAAAGGTTCCTTGGGGTGCTTGTTGGAGCATGTGGCGTGGAGGTGAATTATCCAGCCGTGTCAACGACCTAATTGAGAGAGGTGAGAGAGGCGTCATTGATCCATCTCGATATGAGGTCCTAAGACAAAAAAAAAGTGAGTTAGTTCCTGGATGTATTCGGACGTAGCAAAGAGGAGCGCACCAAAGCCGCCTCGGGCTGATCGAAGGGGACCATGTGTCTAAGAAACGAAGAGCAATCAGCATTTTTACCACGAGAACGCGAGGGCCATATATTACATACCCTGCCTCGAAGACTTCAACGAAAGTCACGTTGCCAGCACCAAACTCTCCACCACCAGCGCTACGAACCTGACCAGACACACGACCAGTCTCCGTTGTTACCCACTTGGTGGCCTCGGACGCAGCAAACTCAGAGTGGAAGTCGTGCTCGAGGGCGGACATCCATGCCTCGTTACCCTTCGAGAAAAGACCAAGATCAGACAAGGAACACACGCGATCGGCAGAACGCACATACCATGTAGTTGCACATCGCATCTGGAAGGGAGTGGTCAGTAAGCGATGTCCGCACGAACAGTTAGGAGGCTTTGTAAACACCCACCGGCGTTACCAGCGTAGACGAGCAAACGGACACCATCGTTGATCAGTTCAGGGAGAAGCGCCGCGCTGTTGTGCATGCCGTCGCCTTGATACATGAAGTTCTGATTGACTCTGTCCATTGCAACGTCAATCAACCCGGAACATACGACAAACATAGAACGCAGGACGATTAGAGACGACGTACTCCATGTTGCAAGACTCGAAGGTTCTATCCGGGTTGACGCCGAGAGCGGCCTTGTTCTTCGGGTCGTTCATCCAGGTCTCAACCCAGCCCATCTCGCGGTAACAGAGGTTGCCATCCTTCGCGCGGTCGCACTTCCTCCGGAGATCGTACAAGTTCAAACCCGTGTCTGAGAGCCGGTCTCATCAATAACTGTCATAAACATCCAGTAAAACGATGGCAGCGTACTCTGGAGGGGACCGAACATCTGACTCCAACAATATAGAGCGGCCGGCACACAGGAGAACCTCGAGTTGAAGTCATAGCAAGACTTGATCAAGCGCTGGCAGGTTGGGACCTTTGTCCTCAACGCACTGCATTCAGGACCATCAGGGTCATACGGAGCGTACGGCCCATTGCAAGCAAAGTCCGGAACGGAAGCGAATTGGAGGTATGGGTCCGTCAAGCCGTTAGCTAGAATGATGGACGCGAGATTGATCTTCAACAAGCCCGGGGTAGGTGCAAGGGCAACTTCCTTGTTATTCTTATGGATGATGGACGCGATATTAGGCGCATACGTGCCACCGTAACTCTCGGCAGCGAGATGGAAAGGCTTATCGGCATACTTGGGGTAGCGAGCGAGGAAAAGTTCGAGGAAGGCGTAAACGTCCTGCCCGGCAACAGGACTTGTGTTGACGGTGGAGCCGTCCGAGGAGTAGGAGTAACCGACGTTGACGGGTTGGTCCAAGAAGATGATGTTAGCATTCTTGTTCCAACTGTGCGGGTTATGAGTCGTGTTGAGACCGTCGTTGGCGATACTGCATGGGCCAAGCTCGAAGAGGAGTCCAGTGGAAGAAGAGCACCCCGGACCCCCGTTGAGCCATAGAATTAACGGGTCATCTTTGGGCGATCCACGGGATTCAAAGAACCTAGCCCAATCCCCGAGAAGGCGTGAGACGAGGAAAGATCGAATGATAAAGGAGTCGCAGACTCACCAGAAGAACAAGTGCTTTCCGTCAGTGATATCGAGGTATCCCGAGTATTGCTGGACCGAGGAATCACAAAGGGTAGGTTCTGTCACTCGCAGAGAATGCTCTGCGAACGCAGGATGCCTGATAAGCTCGTCTACGACAAACATGTTGTCAGTAACAGCCAGTTCGAAGGCGACGACAGCATTCCAAGAGCTTACAAGTCAACCCATTCTGCCTGATGTTCTCCCGTCCAAAAGCGTCTAGCCACTTCTCGACATTCTCACTTTCGGCGAAGAGGGCCTTCTCGAGGTCTTGAACAACATGATTGACGCCCTTCGCTATCGTGCCGAGAAGACCACCATAAGCAGCGTCTGTGTATGCTGAAATGTCCCCGAGAACGGCTTGAAGTTCGCTTGCCGGCTTTGCAAGTACGAGCGAAGCAGTTATGAGAGGGAGTAACAGAGTGGGTCGCATCGTTGTTGATTGTTGTTCAGAACACAAAGGCAGCAACGCGTATCTTCCAGGTGAACTCCACGAGGGCGTCGCGCTGTGTCGCGTCGTCATCCATACGGAACAGGCGCGGTCCGGGAACTTGACTCCGCGATCTCGGCAAGACCTCACGCCACATCCGTGGACCTTCCCTCATCTCTTCAATTCTCATGCTTTTTACATGCATATAGGCCTCGGGTTCGGGGCTTCTCATGTACTCTTCAGCGCTCATCGATATCGAACTTTTACCTCCTTCAGCAGTTTTTCAAAACGAACTTGAATATACTTCACAACAATGTAAGCGCGAATTGTTGGCAGACACCTCTGCCGGATGCGCGTACAAAAGTATGGCTCACTACTGATTTTCTGATCTGTTCTTGTCGCTTGTTACTTGCCACGTAGGTCTGTCGTCTACCTGAAAGGTACGGCAGGCTATCTCCCCCCTACTTGGTTCTGAGATGCTGAACGGCACTCGTTCTGTTTTGGCAGCGGTGACCATAACCCTGGCCCAGCCGTACCCGTATGAGCTTGTCTTACAGGTGCGGCTTGATGGAAAAAAGTGGCAGGAGGCGAGAATTTCCAAGAAGCAGATAATCTTTGAGTCTAAATTGAAAAACATCATGTGCGTAACACTAGTACTGACGATGTATACTGTATACTGACGTTTGGCATCTCAGCCCCCTCCGACCAGAGTCGAAAGTACACATCTCGTGTCGACCTCGGTTCAAGTTGCCTGGCATCAAGATAAACACAAACATCTCGTACGAAGATGCCCGAAAACTTGTCTCCGAGTCTAACGGTTCCATAGGTGAGCGCCGCCCTCTATCGGCTGAAACGGCAATATTTACCATATATTATCGTGGTATAAAGAGCACAAACTTGCCGTGGAACCAAGAGTGACAGTCCACTTCCAGCCGGTACGTTAAGTGGCAATTGTTTCCATTTTTCTGCACTGATCCGCAACTGTCGCAGAGCCCTGATGATATCGCGATGTTGGATTCCGCCGCTGAGGCAGCTGGCCAGCTCAAAAGCGTCCTGAACCACCTTGGCAAAGTCACTCAAGGTCTTGATGTGCTTTTAAGCCTTGGAGAGGCCGCGAGTGAGGTGCGTCATATCATCTTCAGCGGGCGATTAGACATAATGCGTGCTAATACTCAAATGTCTTAGCTGCACCCCATTGCAAAGGTGATCGTGGGCGCTGTCAAGTTTATCTATGATGTAAGTTCGTCTATGCTGCCTTCTGAGCGAGGACGAATATTGAATTCAACCCTGTTGATCAGCGCCTCCAAGAGCAGGATAAAATCAATACCATGGTCGTGGACCTCGTCGGCCGGATGACCAGTACTCTCACTTACGTCCAAGTCGTCAACCAGTACGCACATCTCAACGAACTTACAGCTCGGCTCAAGCAAGTTCATCCACTTGTCGACGAAATACGAGTATTTGTAGTCCAATACGCGGCGGCGCCCGGCCTCACAGGTGCGAATGCTGATGAAGTCTGTCCGAAGTGCATACACTTATCATCGAGGATTGATTCTAGGCGTTTTATTGGGAAAAGCGAAAGAAACTGTCGGCCAACTCACTGACAAACTTGCCCAGTTCGACCAGGCCTTCAATATTGGTGTCTTGGTGCAGACAGGCAGCGATATCGCGAGACTGACAGCAGATATGGCGCAATTGTGTAAGGATTATATTCCAATCAATTGTTCTTGGGTCCTTTCTAATATCCCGGCTCGTAGTTTACAGGACGCAAGCTGCAGCTAGTCTCGCAAGGGCTCTCGATGCTCTGAAACCTCAAGGTTTGAAGCCTCTTGAACGCGAGCGCTGCTTTCCTGATACTCGCGTCGACATTACTGATCGCATTGAATCCTGGCTGCGAGATGACAGCAAGCCGAATATCCTATGGCTGCACGGTGTTCCTGGCGTCGGAAAATCCACCATTGCCGCGAGCGTAGCGGACACTCTTCGACAGCGTGGACAGCTCATGTCGAATTTTTCATTCGTCCGTAACGAAACCTCTCAGAGGAATCCAACCGCTCTCTGGCGCACAGTTGCCTTTGATCTCAGTCAGCGATATCGTGCACTACAGCCCACCATAGTCAAGGAACTTCAGGATGGGCTAATCGATCTTAATGACACGACTGCTCGCGATGTGCTGAAACAGTTGGTGTTGAAGCCCATCACAGAGTCTCCTGAAGTCAGCAAAAGCTCATTATCTGTTGTCATCATTGATGCGCTTGACGAATCAGGCGGACTTGAAGGGTCACGATCCCGAAATCGTGCAATTGCGCTGCGTACCATCGAACTTTGGTCTAACCTCCCCCAACAATTCAAACTCATCGTCACTAGCAGACCCGAGCATGATATTCAACGTGTACTTATGCCAATCAGTACAGCCATCGAGCTCAGTGTAGGTGCTCAAGTCACAGAGCAGTCTTCGGCAGATGTACGCAAGTACATCGAATCACGTTTCGCAGAGATCGCACTCCCACACAAGTCCGTGTTGGAATCCTCTTGGCCAGGAGGAGATGTATGTACAGAGCTCACTAACCGTGCTGCTGGTGTATTTATCTGGGCGAAAACGGCTCTTGACTTTGTTGGCTATGGACAACCACGCAAGGCTCTAGAACGGCTCCTCATGAAGGGTATAACCCGTGGTGGCGTCTACGAGCTATACGAGTTAGTTTTACGGATGGCGCTTGACCCTGGCGACGACGATATTCTTGAATCCTTTCGCATTATCACTGGGGCCCTGATCTATATGAAGGCCTCTCTTCGACGTGATGATCTTGTTGCATTCCTCGGTGTGGATGCTTTGACCTTTAGTCATGTCTGCATACATCTCAAATCAGTAATGGATTATGACTCGAATGATATACTCCGATTCACCCACCAATCATTCCCCGATTTTTTGTTAAATGCAGACGCATGTCCTCCCCAATTTATGCCCACTGGCGCAGTTCATCAACGACACCTTGTCCTTCGTTGTTTGACCATGATGAACGAAGGTCTGCACTTTAATCTGTGCCAGCTGAATACCTCCCACTGTCGCAACGTTGATAATCCTACGTTACCAGACTCGATTGCAGCTCATATCCCTCCAATGCTTTCCTATGCATGCCGTTTTTGGGCCGATCATCTGCAATGCATTGGCATAGATAACTCCGTCGTAACCGCTCTCAGAGAACTCATGTTCGAGCGCCTCTTATTCTTGATTGAGGCACTCAGTCTACTCCAAGATATTAGGGCAGGTGCAGACGCGATGTCGATTCTGGCGCAATGGGCTAAGGTAAGTTTTTCTTTTCAATGGCTCCTTGAATGCTCCGATTCTGCATGACTGATTCTTGCGCTGCAGGAGCTTCCTGATAGCGGCATCCACAGACTTGCAATGGACACCATTCGTTTCATTGCGCAGTTCTCATACCCGATCTCCGAAAGTACCCCACATCTTTACGTCTCTGCACTTCCGTTTGCCCCGGTACAGTCTGAGCTGTCACGACACTACTTGAAACGATGGCCGAGTGTTCTGACCGTTGATATCGGAAAGCATGAGAATTGGCCAAACCTGGTCATGACCATAGAACAACAAGAGAGTAGTGTTACTACCTCAGTTATCTTTTCACCCAATGGAAACCTCGTCGCTTTTGGTTCCCATGACGGGACCATTCATGTTGCAGATTCCCAAACAGGTACTGTCGTCTCAGGTCCTTTTGAAGACCACTCAGAAATCATGTCGATTGCTTTCTCTCCTGACGGGCAACACATTGTTTCGGGTACTAGTGGTGGTACAGTATGTGTATGGGACGTCCAAACAGGTATCATCACACTTGGCCCGCTAGCTATTCAGGAAAAGGTGACATGTGTTGCTTTCTCTCCAAACGGAAAATGCATTGCCTTCAGTACTGAAAAAAGCATTTCTATGATTGCCTGTAACCCAGGAACGGGTGAATTGATATGGACGTCACACGAGGGGCAGTCTTGTTTGGCTTTTTCAAGGAATGGGAAGCAGATTGTATCGGCACACAAACACGCCTCATCCTGTTATGGTATCTGCATCTGGGATGTAGAAACAGGACAAATTATATTAGAGCCTCTCTTTAGAGGGTACGAGTGGGATGAGAGTTCTGCCATATCAGTCTCGTTCACACCCGACGGTCACTTTGTTTTCTCAGCATCTAAGGTCGGGGGGGTAAGACGATGGAACTTAAAGACCGGGTGCCTTGATATGGTGCGTTGGCCATTCAAGACCATGGCCCAATTAGATGTTTCATCTGATGGCACTTTGTTTGCTGTAATCACTTACGACGGAGACATCGTGATCAGGAATACTCTGACTGGATCTGTCGTTTCTGGGCCATGGCGCGGCCACCGTTGGCGTTGGTCAGGAAATTCTCTGATGTTTTCTCCGGATGGAACACGTCTTGTTACGTGTAGTGTGGATGCAACAGTCAGAGTATGGGATGTACATACAGATCCAACGACGTCGAGTCTACCGCACCAATTAGAGCCAGTACGTGCCTTGGCCTTCCCGGAGAAGAACAAGGTAGTAAGCATCTTTGGCAAAAGCATTGTTACTTTAGATGTGTCCACAGGCCATGTCCTGTCTAAGCCACTGATTAGCTATCCGGACGAAGGTAAACAAGAAATGCCCCCTGCGACAATATCTAACACTGGGAAACACCTTGCGGTGGCTGGAAAGTATGGTGTTCACATCTGGAATGTGGACACCGGTGCCCTTCTGCATGGAGACCTCGGCGACGAAGACCGCACAAATCGTGCGGATATCTACTCATTAGTCTTTTCTTCCAATGACAGCAATGTCATTTGTGGTGATGCCAGTGGACAGATTGCCATCTACCGCATATCTGATGGTGATCTGCTTCGGCTAATTCCAGGCGCTCATGAATCCCAAGTTTCGGGACTAGCTTCGACGCCAGACGGGAAGCAAATCGCATCATGTTCGTATGATACGACTCTCCGCATCTGGGATATAGATTCTGGTAGCTCTGTAGTTGCACAAAAGGTAGCCAGCTATTCGCATATGATATGTATAGCGCTGGCGTCAGATGGGGGGTGCGCAGTAGCAGGCTCACTAAGATGCGAAACTATTGCTGTGTGGGATGTGCGGACCGGGGTTTTAGCGAAGGCGGGATTTGACTGGTTTGACGACGATGATATAGAAGCTGTAGCATTTTCACCTAACGATAAGTACGTGGCCGCTTCCTTAAGTCAGAACGTCGATATTTGGGACGTCAAGACTCGTGCAGTCATACATGGCCCTCTCGTAGGTCACAGAAGCCGGATTTTATGCGTTAAATTTTCGCCAGATGGTAAATACCTAGTATCGGGCGCCTTCAACGGCTCAATGCGGGTCTGGGACGTGTCCAGCCTGCTCGACGAACCTAGAGACAACCTGGAACCGAATCCATCACTCCCTCATACCGGTGGGTTATCTTAGCGTTTCTTCGTTCTATTTTAAATATTTTCACTGACGACTGTTTCTTTGGAAGGGAAATCAGGATTCACGACATTGAGCGACGACGGATGGGCTTCGAATGCATCAGGAGAATTGCTGTTCTGGGTGCCGCCTATGCATAGAGACAATCTCTGGAGGCCAACCAACGTCGCAGTCGTGGGAGATGGTGCAACCAGGATTAATTTTGACAATTTCGTGCATGGAGAAGATTGGGCGAGATGCTACGACAGCGGCGCTGCTTGACACGAGTGATAATTCTTGCTTCGAATTACTGTATTGCTAAGATTTTTTCTTCCCTGTGCTCTCTCCACTTCGATGTGCCACAGTCGCCAGATTTCCGTACGTTCCTACTTACGCCACACGCCTGACGTCTTACAGTGTGGCCCCCATTATGATCGTTTACTCACGCAGTCCTCGGATTTTCACAAGACTTTGACGGTATTCGAAAGGATCCTTTCGGACCCAGTCAAATGAATAAAGCCCAAAGGCATAAACACATGTCATATTTGACGACAACACGACCTAATACGATGGAAAACACAGGTAATACAGCAACACTACATGAGCGTGCACCACGAAACGACAGGAGTAGGTAGCGATGCACAGCAGAAACAATGGAAACAGCGGTGAACGGTGTGAGGAAGGATGGCAGTTAATATTTATATGGGCATATGAGGATTGGGACAAATGACTAAGAATCGTCGAGATTGGCATGGTAAAAAATCAAGGAGAAGGAGCATGGCGCGGAAATTGGAAAGGAGAAGATGGTTGAGCGGGTTATGGTAAGTTGAGCCCAGGAATTATAGATGCAAGCGATGTAAGCGAGTGATTCTAGGCGTCTGCATGGATGAGACAGATGTTGCAAGGGAAAGGCGAAGACTAAAGTGCGCAAGATACAGATGACGGTGGGGAACAGAACACGAGATGTGCAATCGATCCTGGAGTCGAAGGATTTAGGAGTCCCAGAGCTCTCTCTGAGATATGCGAAAGAAATTCAAGAGATCGTGAATGCTTGGACTTCCAGAACGGGAATTGTTGGTATAAGACGCCGGAACGGTATTGTGATTGGTTGATAAAAATACTTTGATGCTTGAGCTCCGAGATTGGCAGCGACACGTTGGATTTGACTGTAAGGAGAGAAAACATTGATGCTTTCGACGAGAAAGGTTGGAGAATATGCTATGCAAACGGCGAAGGCGACAAGACATTGTGCAAATAATTCGTGCGAGTAGTCGAAGCATTTAGTAGCCGTAGTAAGCGCGCTAGAATTATAGGTCAGCGCAAGCCTCGATGAGGGATGAGCGAACATACCATTCGATCACTAGAAGGAGGATATCGTAAGCCAACGAACAAAGAAGAGAACAGAAGCATACTCACAATAACCATATGACTTTCGACCCAGTCTTGCAGCCTCGAAGGGTGACGATATGGCCCCGGATGGAATCGTATAGCAAGGCGCGTTGCTCCTTGTCCACCTACAGGACATACCAGTGATGAGATAGATATCATTTCGCAGAAGGTGTAAAGAAATTTACGTTAGGAAGTACGGCTGCTATGAGTTGACTTCCCGACACAGATAACGCCAAGTCGACAATGATTGCACGACGGCCACTGGAGGATAGAGTCAGCGGTGATGTATTTTGAGCTATATGAGACCGTACCCTTGCGAAGGCTCCGCCATGCGCCTCACAATCCGGTCCGATGTCTCTTTTCCGCCTTCCTTCAGCGCCTTGGTCACCGATTTGGAGCCTTGCTCATTCGTGGCGAATTCGAGAAGGCCTGTAACGATATGGTCCAGAGCCATCTGGCGATGTATAGGAGAGCCATGTTCCAAAACTATCGCGAAGCCCATCAACCCATGCAGCACATTGATGAAACACGTTGACGTAGACTTACTATGTTGGACGCAGTAGGATCCCCATTGGTTCTTCGCAACGTCAGTGAAAACATGTCGACCTTGGTTGAGGAGTTCGTCGACGATTCCATCCTTAGCGGCCTCTTCCAGGTTCTCGAAAGCGTGCTGATTGGATCGTCAGCACATCGATGAACAGAAATAACTGGATAAGAGACACACCTGGACAACTAAAGATCCGGTCTCATGGCAAGCGAGAGCCGCCCACTTGCCTTTCAAGGACCTATTGACGCTGAAGAGAAGTCAGACAGCGTAAGCTCAAGCTACGGTAGGATAAGGTTATGCTTACTAGGCGAAGATAGGAGGTGCCGGTGGAGTCCACGTCAACTCCATGATCTGCGAAACAGTGTTAACATGCAGCGTCACTGAAGATAGCGCAAAACGTACTTTGCTCCACACGTGAGAAGCATGCTTGTTTACGAGGGTCTGAGCGGGATCGCCGAGGATCAACTCCGAGACAATCAGAAGACGTATGTCTTCTTCGCAGTCGAGAGCTTTCTGCAAGACGTGGCAACCGTAGCAGTTAGATGCCAGTTCGACAACCCGCCCCCTATGAGCGAAACGAGAGTAAGTCGCAGCACGGGAAGGTGTAGGTGAAAAGACTAACTTCATGCAGGAAACAATCTTGCGCCGCTCCTCGGGGGTGGACGCAGCTTCAAGGCATCTCTGAACTGCCCAGTTGCCAAAGCTACACGGAAGAGTAACGCATATAGTATCATTGTATGCGCATATATGCGCATGGGAAACGCATATACTCACCGATGGGCCATCATCTCGAAGCCACGAGCGCATATAGCGTCTATAATCTTGGCACGTTCCTCCAAATCGGCCACCTTCAACTTCTGTTGAAGGAAGATGGACGCTTGCTGGTCGGAGGACTTGATGATGCGAGATACGAAGAGAGCGTAAGGCGGGGAGGATGACGGGTGTAAAAGAGACAGAAAATTGATAGGCTATATGCAGAAGAGTCAGATTCCATAGATAAGTATGAGCCGATAAGTATGAACTGACCTCAGGTGAAGGTTCACCATTGCGAACGGAGGTAGGGGAATGCTGCTGGAAAGACTTTCTCATTGAATATTCATCGGGGGGAAAGCCAGAGCTGGGCTCTCGTATATGCATGTCGGTTCGGTGCCAGTCAGGGCCGCTGGGCATCCTCTCATGACGCCAAGCCAGCGTATCAGGAGCGGAAACGTCCTGACGGAGAGATGGGTGAGGGAGGATGGACGAAAAATGTTGCGCGGGAGTCATGGGCGAGACAGGAGATGGAACTTCGGAGAAAGGTTCGAAGAAAGGGAACGTATGCGACGATTGCTGGTAGGCGCTGGTAAATGGCGGAGGCTGGGCCGACGACGACTGAGGAGAGTACATCTCGGCGGACCTGTGAACGAGCCCGGTGTCGAGCATAAGACCATGAGAAGGCGCCGAGGGTGCGTAGTCATAGGTTCCGCTCGACTTGAAATCCATGAACCTGGCAGGTGAAAGATCGGTGGGAGTGAAGAGGCCTGAGGTGGTTGAGACAGGAGATACGTCCGGGGAGGACGGGTTGGTGTTTGTGAGGAGAGGTGGAGGCGGAGGCGGTGGGTGAGAAGGGTAGGGATCGGGTGAGTTGAGGTTGAGGGAACGGAAAAGCTGTTTGACATGCTAAGGACGTTTTCGTTAGTCACTAGGTCGGCGCATATATCGACCAAAAACTCACTGTATGCACTATGTCGGAGTCGTCCTTGAGTCGACCGTCGCCAATGGCGCCGACAGGTCTCTGTCGAGGATTAGTAGGGGCAAAGGGCCCAAAGATGTCTGGCTGAGGCGTGAAACCTGAGAGCGAGACCACACGACGAGGTTCGGGGCCGAGCCTATGTTTATTTTCTTCGGCATCGTTGGGGAAGGATGTCATGGTCCTTGGCCAGGTCGCCTCGAGAGGCTGTGGCTGGGGGGCCCAAATAGAGCTAGCAAGCGAATGGGAAGGTTCGTCCACGGGCGACGTCTTGTACAAAGGAAGGAAAGAAGACATGGTGGTGATAATGGCGGAGGAGGAAGAAAGGGATGGAGGAGGGAGAGAATTCCCCGGCTGGGTTTTATATGCCCGCCATAGTGAGCGGCGGGAGCGGCTGGACGAAGAACTTGTGTTCCTTTCCTGGCGAATCGCTCGCCGAATCGAGGTTCCGTCTTCTGCTCGTTCTTCAGACTTCGTCACATGCTCCATGAGCAGCGCACGTATGATGCCTTGACAGATGCCTCCGTCCGCTCCGAGTCTCCAAGTTCAATCAACTTCACTTTCAAACTCCGCAACAGACAATTGTGTCATCCGCTCCGAGACACCGTCTGAACAGAGACACAGCAAGCGGCATTGGACTACACGCAGTTATGAACAAGCTCGAAGGACCAGCAGGACTGGGAGTGCATATCAACGGACATTGAAGACATCAGCACCAGAGAAGTTTTACGGCGAGGATCCGTGTGCAGAAGCACCGACAAGGAAGGCAGTTGCACGTCAGCTTCGGTGGCCACAGAAGCTGCTGAGATGCCGATGTGACGCTCACCTCAATCGGCGCTCCAAATTGGGAACTTATCGACGTCTCCAGCGTCTGCCCCGCATTCGAATATTGAGAGGGCTCCAAGGAAAACGCATATATTCACCCTCACCCGACCACTTCGCCATGTCTGGCCCCCGCTGGTACACCTACCTCACCAAAGTGCTCACTGAGCACGATAAATCCAGTCGTAAGTCTCGTCCGCACACACCTTTCAGCCCCATCAATCAGACTCGAACTGACAGCGACGCACTTCTAATGCACTCTCTCTTCCTCGGCCGCCCTTTCCAGTCTATCAGATCGCCACCATCGACTCAGCCAACCGCCCCCACGTCCGCTCCCAGATCAACCGCGGCTTCCTCACCGCTCCCGACCTCCCCGCATTCCCCGTCCTCCTCACCACCACCGATTCCCGTTCTCCCAAGATCGAACAGCTGGGACATTCCAACCTCGTCGAGATCTGTTGGTGGATCGACGGCAGCTCCGACCAGTTCCGCATCCTCGGTCGCTCGCGGAATATTCTCTCCACTCCCACTACTCCGAAGGACGAAGACGACTGCATCGCTCTCAAAGCACTAGACGCGGCGCATTTCGACTGGGAAGCCAAGCGTCACGAGTTGTTCAATGCAGCAAGCTCTCATATGCGAGCGAGTTGGTGCCGTCCGGTTCCGGGTTCTGTGTTGAAAGGCGGGTACGACGAGGCGAAGAACTGGGTTGAGTCGGTGAAGAAGGAAGGCGAGGCTGAGACGGACGAAGAGAAGAAGTTTACGGCGCAGGCGTTGGGTAACTTTGCATTGATGGCTATTGAGCCTCTCGAGGTGGATTGGGTGCAGATGGGCATTGTACCGAATCGGAGGACAAAGTATTGGAGGGAAGGGAGATGCGCCCCTATTCTGGGCCCGTCAGCGACGAGACACACAACACCGACCGGTTCATTGAGAAATAAATGGTAAATGACCATCGATATTCGGTACAACTAAGACAGAGCTCAAGCATAAACGGGGTCATCACGTGCAGCGTGAGACTCCTCCGTGACGCGTCTTGCAAGAGCAATGTTTAATGCTTTCGTCGTCGTTCTTGACGGTACGCTACATCGCACAAGTCAAAATAAAGAAATGCAGCACCAACATTTATTCAATGCCAACGCATTTCACACCTTCAATGCAACAGTTTGCCTTCAATGTGTCCCTATCCTGTCGGTATAGACATTCTTTGTCTACATTTAGCACACAGGCCGACTTGGCGGTCTCGTCAGGCTCCTGCACGTATATGCTTACCAGCATATCTGGTATTCATAATATGGGCACAGAATCTGATATTAGAGCTCATTTTTCATCGAAGTCTTTGTGCCATAGTTTGAAAGGCTCGCTGTGAACAGGAACCAATGTGCACAAGTGGTGTAGAAGGTCTTGTCAGCATGGGCCACACTGAGATCCACAAGAGAAATATGTCTCGGCAAATAAGTACAGTCTGTACATGAGCACCGAGCTCATAAAACAATGAATATGCTCTTTCTCAGTTCTTACATGATTTTTTTGTGAAGATGAGACATTGTCGAGGGTCATACAGCTCAGGCTTGGCTCAGGCATAAGTACTCGAAGCCCCGACGACAGGTGCCACTGAGTGCCACAATTACCGCTGTCGACACTGTGAGGCTATACCGACAAGTCAGGGAGCATTTGGTAGAATTCTGTTGCATACTAAAGAGAGTACTGTATTTATACTAATAAATGTTGGAAACCGATTGTCTCATTTCGAGCTGTGTGTGTCTAGGGAGCGTCCGCTATGTCAGGCGAGGCATTAAATGTCGCACTTTCAACGCGGAAGTGTCACTCGTTGTCACGCTGCACGTGATGACCCCGTTTATGCTTGAGCTCTGTCTTACATACATCGTAAGGATACAAACAATCATACAAACTTGTGCGGTATTCTCGAGCATTGAACCAATGGTCAAGGAACAACAGGCGCATCCTTCCATTCACCTGACCTCGGACCCGGCGGCAGGACCCGGCGGGTTGGCCAGCGCCACTTTACTGTCTTCGCTTCCGTGGCCCAAAAATGCTAAGCAGTCAAGCTCGTCAGTGAGGAAGATTGATGAGATCTGTTCAGTATTTCAGAAGAACGCTTTTCACTATAAGACACAAAGTCAAGCAGTGAGTCGGTGTCATCGGCCCGTCGTAACTTACCATTGATGATGAGACAGGCAGACACCCTCGGAATTTTGATGGACGCTAAGACCTGATTGATCCAGACAAAGGATCGAAAACGATATACAGGACTACACCTAAAATACTTCTCTAGCAATATGTAGCTTCTACGGTTTTGTAGCCACCTCACATCCACTTGCCAGTCGACCACTCCTTGAACGCCTGCGTACTCTTGAGCCAATCGATCAATTCAGCCCTCTTCACTTCCTGACCAGTTTCGGACGACTCGACCTTCGTCTTTTTCCCGTCGACGAGCTGCCATCTCTGCTCCTTGACCTTCACGAGCCCAGCCTTCAGCTCGTCTGCGCCGAGGATGATCGCGAAGGGGACTTCGTCTCGTTCGCCGGCAGCGAATTGAGCAGGAAGTTTTGGCTTGTTCTTGGCCAAGAAGTCGGTCTGCAGCGATAATAACCAAAACGGCGATCAGCCACTAATATATTACTGAGCAGTATTTCACTGACCTTGATACCAGCCTCCCTCAACTCCTGCACCAACTCCATCCTCTCTTTCAACAGCCCATCACCCGCAGCCATCACATACACCATAACCTCCTTACTCCTCATCCCCTTCTCCACCCATTTCGGCCACACGAGCGCGAAGATCCTGTCCATCCCAATACTGATACCCACACACGGCATGCCCTTCTTCGTCTCCCCAGCTGCAGCGGATGTGAACATCGCAACGAGGTTATCGTATCGACCGCCTGCAGCGATCGACCCCACTCCGACCTGGGATTCGTCGATCTCTTCTTCTTCGGGTTCTGCCGCAGCGGATTTTTTGGATTTCTTTTTGGAGGGGGGTGCTGGTTGAGGGGCGGTTTGGGGGGCATCAGAGGCGGCGAGGGCGTTGGCGGATTTGAAACCTGGAGGTGCGGAGGCTTCGACGATGGCTTCGTAGATGATGCCGGTGTAGTAGTCGAGACCTCGTGCGAGAGAGAGGTCGAATGAGATCTGGACAGAGTATATGAGTATGATGACTAGAGTCTGGTGAGAAAGTGAGACGAACCTTGTCTATGACTTTGTACACCTCAAGGTAGGAGAAGAGGGTCTTCATCTCTTCGAGACCTTCTTTCGCTCTTGAGTTGGCGGTCAGTGTGGCGTCTGTGAGAAGTTGCTCCAAAAGATCCTTTCCGCCTTTGGGAGTGATGCTCAGCCGACCGTTTGGAAACGGCAATGATGTAGTCAACCTTACCTTTGTACTTGACATACTCGCCGATCTTGTCTGCGCAAACTGGGTCAAGGCCCTTCTCTTCTGTCATCTCCTTCTTGACATCTGCCCAAGGAAGCTAACCCGATATTATTGGATGTTCGCCACCCTGAGAAGGTTTAAGTCGCACCTTGTCCAGCTTATCCACAGCTGAGGATATTGGGCGAATCTTGTCGGCTGGAACGCCACAGACTTCGAAGATACCATCCAGAATTTTACGGTTGTTGAGCTTCAAAAGAAAGTTGAGCACCACACCGCCACGAAGACCACAAAGCCACACACCTTGATAGTGAATGTCCCAACATCCAACCGTGAAAGGATTGTGCACACCAGACTGATGATCTCCGCATCCGGAATCATCGAGTCCCATATTCCCGAGATATCAAAGTCCTAGAACCACATATCCTCACTTCAGCAACCCTAACCTCCAAATATTCAACACAACGCCACGGAACAAACGCACATACCGCCTGCAAGAACTCTCTCATCCTCCCCTTGCTCATCACAGGATTATCTCTCCGATACACCTTCCCCACCTGCCACAGTTTCGACTGCGTGTTCGTCGCGCCTCCCATGGCGAGGTATCGTGCAAGCGGAACGGTGTGATCGTATCGCAGTGCGAGCTGTTCGCCACCCTGGTCTTCAAGGTCGAAGATCAGCTTCGCGTCCTCGCCGTATTTGCCTGCGAGGATGTCTTTTCGTTCAAAGACGGGGGTATCGAGGGCACATCCGCCATAGAGCACGAAACATTCTTTGACGATGCGTTCGACGTGTTCACGACAGAACATCTCGCCGGGGCCATAGTCTCGTGTACCCTAGGGAGTAATAACACGAACGATAGGTATGTAGGAAAAACCATCCGATTAGCACGAAATTTAGGTCACGGATAGGATGAGAACATGAGCGCGAACATGAACACACCTTTGGTGTCTTCAACAGCAGCCTCTCCTTCTTCTTTCCACTCCCTCCAGCCTGCGCATTCAACTGTCCCAAAGCCTTCTTCAACTCCCCAAGCCTCTTCCTAACATCCTCCATCGCAGCCGGTTCCGCATTCTCTAACCTCAACTTATTGAACAACTTCGTCTGTTCCTCGATCTCCGCAGACAATGATTCCGCTGTGGCCATCTCGTTCTTCAATGATCTATTATTGCTGGACGTGTGATTTTGTCGACAAGGGTGAATATGGGGGCGATTGATGCGGTGGTGATTGATGGAGGTCGGGAAGGTGAATGTGGTATGTACAGGGCGAAGGGGAGAGGGATAGGATCGATGGGAGAGACGGCGGAGAAGATGGTGCATCCAGATACTTTTATTCCGGGCCACACTTGCTTGACTTTTTTGGCGGTTCGCGTCATGACTCGATCACCTTTTGAGCGGCTAGCTCGACGCCACAGCAGTTTACGTCCTTCGTTGAGACAATACATATGTGGCCCGCAAACATAGGGAGGAACTCAAAGCACGGTCAAAGTTGTTTAGAGTCAGGCGTAGCATCGGATGAGTAGGAGGTTATGAAGCACATTCTATTCTACTACCGTTCTAAACAACAGGTATGTACACGATGAAGCACCCAGACTCGGATGTTTGGTCAGACTGGTGGAGGTGCGGCCTTCTACAAATTGTTGTCGTCGATCGTGTCATAATAAGGAAGCCGAATACAGTAACCAGTTGAAGGGCATGATCACAAGGCTCCTTGCTCAGATAGACGTGTTTCAGACAGCTCCTGGATGCGACGTAGGAGACCATCCCGCAATTCCTGAATTTTGCCTACCCTCCAATGTCGGTGCTGCTTGGCCTCTCTGATGTCAGTTACTGCCTAAAGGAAGAAATAACGGTGAGATCAAGAGTCAATCGGTGGATGACTTTCGGTTTTGCATAGCTAACGTACCTTCATTACGCGTTCAGTTCTATCTGGGTGGTTGATGAAGACCTTTGCGAAGTGAATCAGATAGACCCCACAATCGCAGTAGTTCGTTTGTTCAGGAGCCTTTGGAAAGGGATGATGTTAGAAGATGTAAGATGGTAGAAACGGGAGATTTGATAACAGATAATCCGTACTTTCGCTCTTATGAATGACGGTTCAACCGCGTCCTTCTCGCTCTTCAGTTTTCCCCTATGAACCGCCTCTTTGGCTAGATACGAAGTCAAGACAGCCTTGGCGCGGTCTCGAGGATGGTTGAGAGAGTCGATTATATAGATACGTGCACTTCTACGTCCTGATGAGTTAGTGAATGACATGGTGGCATACAGCACGCAAGGCTACTGACCTGTGCTGTTCACCAGATCGTTGGAGGATTCCACTCGGATTGCATACGATGGCGAGATACCAGTGTAGGCTGCGACACGGAAACTGAGGATATCAATACCAGCGTCAGATACTAGAAGAGTCTATAGACGAACCGCTCGTGAACCGGGATGATGATGAACCTCTTCTCGAAGATATCAACGCCGTTGGTCCACTTTTTCACAAGGTCATATCCCTTCTGCAGACTGTATTCCAAATCATGAATACATACTCAATATCAGACCTGAAGAAGTGGCAACATACTCCTCTTGGTCGACCTTAGTATAGAAAAACGTGTTGAAGAAATGAATTCGGTCCAAGGCACCAGGCCTTCTGATCTGTAGATCGCTTCTTGCGAATCTGTTCAAGAGGATGCGCTCAGTCCCGAACGTCCGGTATCCTCCATACTAGCAGCGATATGGACGTACTTCAACCCCAATTCAATTAATTCATCATTCAAGAATTCTCCAGGAGTCAGACGACGCAAGTCCTTGCTGTATATGTGAGAGGCGTCAAGGTCCTTTGAAGGGAACGAGATGGCACTGAAATGATAATGAGTATGGATTTATGATGAGATCGCCGAGCAACATACATCCGACCAGTGTCTTCTGCAACGGAGGGTTGGGAGAGAGCTGTGATGGATGTGGACGCCACATCTGAGGAAGACTGCAAAGGCGGATGGGTAGGCTGCGCCTTCTTGGAAGTACGGTGGTTCACGTTTACTGGTGGAGTCGTTTTCCGGAAGATTTCCATGGGGTCGTCGAGTTCCTGAACCCTATGAGCGTTCCCAAATCAGTCAACGTATCATCGTTTGTGGAGCAGGTTTCATCATGCGTACGTAGGAGGAAGCACGTCGGGAAGAACACTCAAGGCCTCGGTGTGGCGAGTTGCGTGCGAGTTACCTGCATCACCGTTCGAGTCGACAGTAGACAGCCCGGCCATTTCTACGTCAATCGACTCGTTTGCATTTGCTTTGGAAGTCGACGGTTGGGCTCTTCGGGTCATGGTATCAGCCATACGGACGGGCGGAAGGCGATAAGCGGCCACAATGCGTAGCCGTTTTCTGGGCCGACCGTAAGCGCTCCCCAGGAGTTGAGCCTCGCGCAATTCTGAAGCGGTAATATCAGGATACAGCCAGGTGAGAATAGGAACTAGTACACAAGACAAAAAGTTGATCAGTGTCGGATCTCTCAAGCTGTCCTGTTGGAACGCAGCCCAATCCTGATTTGCCAGTGAGGGAACTACTATACCGTCTTCTCCAGCTGCAATTCGAGACAACAGCTCCTTCTTGCTTATCGGACCTTTTTCCGTCTGATGACCTTTTGCAGACATGATATAGTTTAGAGAATGGGGGAGCAGAAGGACAAGGTGGGAAGGTGAGGGTCATGGCAGGACGTTCGCTTGGGCAGCAGAATCAAACATGGAACGTTATTTTAGGTAAACACCGCACGGACAGCACGTGGTCGACGAACATATTGAGTGGCGTGGCATGACACGCAGCAAACATACGCGACGCGGTACAGCTCAGTTGCTTGCAGAGGGACGTGCTGTCGACCAAGTCTAACGAGATAATGAGATGCACTAAAGTATGAGGTGCGCCAACCGACACCGAGTTAAGCGTTTATAAAGTATCATTCTAACTAGTAAGCAGCGTTCGATGAAACAGTAAGAACGAGAAACATCATGCCGGATCGTAAGTGCAGGATTCTGTCCATAATCAAGCACGGGCATTGACAGCAACAGAGTTAAAAGGGACTAACAATCCTGCGTGCTTAGGAAACGTGTGTAAGATCGCGAAGAACACATCCACCTGGATAACAACTTCTACTCGATCTTTCGTGAAGTAGCTGGAGTCAATGGAGAGCCGAACGCCTTATTCCTTTTAGTCCTGCTTTTTAATCTGGTCCCACGACGACGACCGATGCCAAGATCCCCTCTCATCCTTCTTGCGAACCGTAAGGCATGCGATCCCGAGATAGTTCGTGATGTCGTTGATGACGAGGACAACGAAGCGAGCGTATGAGAGGAACGCGACGACAAAGGTGAGGCCGACGAAGATTGCGGTGCGTTCGGGAGTAGATTGAATGATCGGTTGCCTGAATGATCACGTTCTTAGTTTAGTGACTTTGTCTAGGACGTTGATGCGAAGATTCAAAGGCATAAATGCAAAGGTATTAAAAGACGCACCGTCCGATCAATCGAGGCATGTTGGCATCCAAAGCGCCGACGATACTCCAAATCCACATCGAGTCCCACCATGGGAACGGCTGGCTGGTGACATGGGCCAAAATCATCCGCCCGACCTGGTGAGCGAACTGCAGCCCCCACGCCGATACGAAAGGTAAGAACATGGGCGAGTATAGAATGGCGCTCTTCGTCGGAATGGGAGCACTCAGCCACGCGCATTGGACGAGAGCGGACAGAGGGAACGGTGCAAGGTAAAGAAGAGGTTGGAGGGCGGATTTATTGGATTCGCGACGGGACTTGTATACGTTGGAGTAACTGCAATTACCTCGTCAGTATTTCTTTTGTCAACGTACATCGGTGAATGTGATAAGACCTGGTGAGAATGTTGAAAGCCAGACCGAAGGTGCCGAATACCATGAAAGAGTCATTGAGACCAATATCAGGAATATAACGGGCAACCAAATCCACCTTATCCAGGCCGGTGACTGCCAAGATCTTTTGATCCCAGAACGTGGGCCCTATCAAAGAACTCAATAATGGGCTGCAGTTGACGGAGATTATAAGTTTACCCTTGAATCCAGTGACAACATATAGACCACATATCATGATGATACCCTCTACTGGGCCAGAGAAGACACCAAGGAAAAGCTGACCTGCTTTGACATGAATTGATGGTACAGATAATAGAGGCGAAGGGGCATACCTGTGTGGTATTCCTCCCATGTCGTAAGATAGAAATTCGCGAGAGTGGCAATTTGAGAGGCGACGGTCCACCATGAGCGGCCGAGGTTCAGGGCGTGAGCTGCCAGAACAACTTCGAACTATGCTCTATCAGCGTCCGACGTCCCGAAGTGTCGAAGTGAGATGAAATCCCTCACGGTGGTATTCAACGCATCGCATCCTGTATGGATATCAGCATCTCCAGCACCAGACAAAAGTTATAGAGCTGACCGTGATCAAACATCTCGCCTAACGGACCTGCCATCCCGGTTCTCCTTGCTTGTTTACTGTTCGACAACAAATATAAATCAGCATTTGATCCTGTGGAGTACTAAACAACAATTCACCCGTCAATCGCATCGAGGCTCTGATACATAAACAACCCAGCAGCCCAGCTATTGAGAACTCCTTTTAGCATGACCGAGTGTGGTGTGAACGACAGAGCTGGACTTGCGTGAAGTACACCCAATTCGGTGGACCTTGCGCACCACCTCCGACAGTCTTATATTCAGGATCATAATACAACAGGGTTGCGAGGTTAATTACGACCAAACAAAGTCCAGTTAGAGTAATCTACGGTGCAGTTGTTGAGCTTGCGGAGACCCCTGATCAATTGTTGTTATAGCTCACCGTGTTGGGTGCCACCGATTTGGGCCACAATGTGACCAGCCAGTTCCAGTACGGGTTCAAAACGTAGTTCGACAGCAAAGACCTCAATGGGCCCATTTCAGACTGGGTACACAGTGAATGCACCTATTAACAAGAAGAACGCACTTGTCTACGCCCTTGTACTTGTAATTCTTCAACCCAGCAAGTGCATGATCAGGAATGTAGCCCATCGCGTCGGAATAGCACAAGGTAAAAATGGAGTGGAGGAGGCTCGTCAATACGTGGAAGTAGGGTCCGTAAGGTCGTCAAAACATAAGGGTTCGGGGAGCAGAAGATTCTACGAGAGTTGAGTGTTCAGAAACGAGAAGGAGCGAACGGGCAAATTTGACTGCAAAAGGATGACAGCATAAACTGAGGATAGGGTTAGGAGTGAAGACCTCGGAGCCAATGACACGCGCCACCCTCGTCGACCACCTGCACACGCTTCCTTCCTCTGCTCCGTACCGGTGACTAGTGATTCTCGAGTCTTGGAAAAACTTTCTGCCAACTGTAGTTTCTGTGCATCTCTTCTGCCTTTGGAGTGCTACTTTAATAGGATCCACAGTGCGAGCTTGGGCATACGCAAACCGACTCCTCTCCCATCCTAAATCTTACTTGACCTCTTACGTTCTCAGCATACTAATGGCGAAGCATCGACGGGAGTTACTGCTAGCCGTGGACCCACTTCTATCACCCGCCATCCGATGTTCTCGTCCTCTTCTTGATCAAGTACCTGTCATACCTTGGCTTGGTCGACCTCTTTGCAGTAACTTGAGCAAGTTTGTCCAGTCTACTTCCTTGGAGATGTCTTCAAATGAACATATGGAAGACAAGTGGCGCCAATCGTCCGAGGCGTCAGGATCAACCGGACACAGGGTTGTGATACCTTGGTGATAACTCTCGACAGACATCCTCTCTTCGCTCATTGGCCTCCTTCTGCTGCGCCAAAAGACAACCTCCTTCCTCGTCAACCGATCATATCCTCAACCGCAAGAACAAAGTGAAAATACTTGGGTCAATACGCTTGGGTCGCATTCGCCGCCTGCTATTCTTGTGCTCCCGTGGGCGCGACTCCAGTCTTCCATACAATGCCGTCAGTCAGCGCCAAATAGTGATTTGCATGGAAGCCGCCGCATCCTATTCAGTTCGGCGGTGATAAATATCCTCGCGCCTACGCCGCAAACGACATCATCTCTTCCTCTTCACCTTCTCTTTCATCCACCGACTTCCTCTGACCATGCCGCTCCCCATGCATTTCCGCGCCGCGAGCGAGCCTGGCACTCGAAATGTTGCCTTCAAAGTCAACGGGAGACCACCGCCCCTCCAGAATACCAATAGCGCTGCACCCACAGAGCGACCTCTACTATCTGGCACATCCACCACCTCCGAGCCCCCTGGTGATCTGTCTGACGATACTCGCTATGGCGCAGCCTATGATGACAGCGTCGTTCCGCCATCGCACACCTACAGAACTCTGATTGTCGCTTACGACGGTACGGGCGATCAGTTCGATGATGATGTGAGTCTATGTGGCGCGTCATCGATCACTCAGAACTTACTGTGGCCCATTTCAGAACTCGAACATTGTACAGTTCTTTTCCATGCTCAAGAAAGATGACAGGGACCAGCAAATGGTCTACTATCAGGTGGATATACTACTCATGTACACCTCTGGTATATCAATACTGAAGAATCTTTCGAAGGCGGGTATCGGAACATACACCATCCCACAGATCGCTACTCCCGCCTACGCAAAGTTCTCGAAGATGGTGGACATGGCAGTCGCGCAGAATCTTGACGCTCACGTCATGGGTATGTATGCAACATCCCTACCTTGCTACTAGGTCTGATTAGTCTTTTGCAAGCCGGATACGAATTCCTTATGGAGCACTGTAAATACCATCCTGTAACCTCGACGTACGACCACTATATCTAACCAACTCTTGCTGTACAGACCAAGCGGAGGACAAAATCTGCATATTTGGCTTTTCTCGGGGCGCGTACACTGCGAGAGCGTTGGCCGGAATGATTCACAAGGTCGCCTTCTTTGTCTTATCGTCCCGCATCGGCGCTGATGAGCTTCTTCATTAGGTCGGGCTTCTCCCTGCGTCTAACAAACAACAGGTGCCGTTCGCGTACAAGGTAAGCAAAAACGCCGACGTATGGCGCAGCCCTTACCTGATGGTTATTGTTAGATGTTCACTCGTGGCGACGAGAAAGGATGGAGCCAGAGTACACTGTTCAAGAGAACATTCTCCGTAGATGTTGAGATCGAATTCCTTGGAGTCTGGTCAGCTTACCCTTACCTTTCCTGCTCCTCAAACTATGCTGACTGCCGACTGACGTCGACTAATATAGGGACACAGTTGCCTCTGTGGGTTTGGTTCCTCGCCACCTACCGTTCACAACATCCAATACGGCAATCCGCTACTTCCGCCACGCCATTGCCCTCGATGAGCACCGCGCTAAGTTCAAGGCCAACCACTTTCAGAAGTCGCCGCAGCATATCCACGCGCTCGGTACTCAACCAGGCGAGATGCCTCGTTCGAACCAAAAACCAAGGCATCCGCAGTCTGCGAACGGTGGCGCAAATCCTCGTCATCCTCATTCACACGCCGGTCAGAAGGTGGGGAGTAAACATCTCGAGAAGGATTATGATGTTCCGATCGTGGAGACGGACGTGTTGGAGGTTTGGTTCGCTGGTTGTCACACCGGTTCGTTTCGTCTTCTGGTTTGTGAATGGAACTAACACTGACACAACGACTTGCTGCGCTTTGAACCAGATATCGGTGGCGGATCTGTCAAGAACGGGACTCGTCATTCGCTCGCGCGGATCCCCTTGAGATGGATGATTCGCGAATGCTTCCGTTGTAACACCGGCATCCAATTCCATCGCGAGATGTTCAAGTACATCGGCATGGACCCTAACCATCTCTATCCCTTCGTTCGCCCACGTTCGCCACCGATCTTGTCATACTCCTATCCTCCCATCAAGAATGAGGATGTCGACCAAAAAGTCGAATCCTTTGATGAGACTGGTGACTGGGGGACGTTGACGGAGGAGGAAGAGGACTTGAGAGACGCGTTGTGCCCGATGTATGACCAACTGAAGCTGGCCAAGGGCTGGTGGATTCTTGAAGTCCTGCCGTTGAAAGTCAGGTCAACACAGCCGGATCGATCGGTGGTGGATACTTTCAGGTGTGTCTTTTCAGACGTCTGCTTGAACGTTGGCCATGAATACTAATTTTGTCTTCTCGCTCAGAGTGAACATGGCTCGCCCTCGCAAGATACCCAAGCAACACATGAACGGTATCAATGTGCACAGAACCGTGAGGATTCGGATGCAGGCAGACGCGGTCCAGACGCTCAACGGCAAGCCAGAGAAGTATACTCCGAGGGCGAAGATGCACGCTGAGCCAAGGTGGCATGACTGATTTGGACGAGGGGTTTCGATGACGTTTCGATGTAATCTCTTGTTGTGTTTGGAAGTTTCCTTCTCGATTTGTTCTTGACTCGGCGATGGTCATCATGATATCCTCTTACTTGTTGTAACTGTTTATGGTCGTGTCTAGTTAGTGATTTACATATAGCCTAGTAATACAACATAATTGCAACACTATTAACTCGTACACATACGCTAGACGTCGTGGATCTGTCTAATGCCGGAAGATCGTTGGTGCCTCGAAGAAGGGTTGCATGCTACGTGTCGATGTCAGGCTCCTCTTGAAATGGTTCCGTGACGAGCCTGATAGGATACGAATTCCTATGCTCTTGCAACGGGGACCTCTCCGTACCGGATGGGACGAGGTGCACCACAATATGGTCCTGCAAATCATACAGTAAGCCGTCATATCGAGTCAACCATTGCCTAACATTCTACTAGCCAGAACACTTTGACGAACCTTGACAAGCAACTGCCTCGTGAAGAAACTCCCGACCGTCTCATCCTGCGTACACCTAACCTCCCCCTCATAATCCAGATTTGCCAATCCATCATGGTCCTGCATAGCCAAGTTCACGTCCGGAGGAATCGAGCAGAGGTTGGCTTCGCCGAGCTTGATCAGCCTCGTGGCACGTTGTCCTTGGATGGAGACCGTGACCTGGCGAGAGAGGAAGACGCTGACTGTGGGTTGTTCGGGAGGTTGAGGGGTGACTGAATGGCGGAAGAGGGAAGAGAGTGCGGAGGTTGGAGGTGCGGTGTGCATGAATGCGCGAAGGGAGGATACACGGCCACGGAGTTGGAGGTAGACAGGGATGTTATCGCTGAGGGAGTAAATCTGGACGGCTGGGATGAAAAGCTGCAGAATAGAAACAGTCTTGTCTGAGTGATTGCTGGCCGTGTATAATGGTCACAGCAATACAAACGGCTCACCAGACAATCGATGGCTTCGATATGTGATTGACTGGGATATGGAACCATTTTCGAAGGAACCTGACGCCATTCTTCAGGTACCGCTTTGATTGTGGAGGAGAACGGGAAGGGTGAGGATAGAATCGGTCGGTAGGCTCTAGCTCGCGGACGATAGACTATTTCTGCCACCAGTCTGTTAGTTCAAAGCCTCGTGAGACTAGCCTCCGACTTGGAAACAGTGATTCTACGGACTTGTCACGGATATGCGACCGCCAGAGTCTCGAATCACTCGATTTCGTGACGCAGACGGTGATATTGTAGCTGCAATCGACGTCGAGGCCAGTAGGGCCGGGTAACTGCACTTTATAAGTAGGCGGAAGGTCGTACGTATGTCCGCCGTCTTCGTAGGTCAGCGAGAGGATATCCTCGAATAGCAGTGTTCCAGGGCACATTTCGGACGAAGGCGTTTGAGAGTGTTTGCTCCAAAGCGTGTATGAGCGAAGAAAAACGGGGACTTCCGCATAGGCTGTATCCATAATCGATAGTTTCATGACACCTTGTATCTTCAGCGAACATTCAGACAAACCGTGCAAGATTAAATGGAAGAGGGATAGCAGATGCACGAACCTGAACGGCGACAGACATGATAGACGCTGTATCCGAGTTTATGCTGATTTCGGCACTGACTACCCCACTCCTACCGTAGGTCGGGCTTGCCACACCCTCCTCTTTCCCCAGAATAGACAGAGTGACAGTGTCATTCCGCCAAGTAAAAGTACGAGATGGAGCCGAACGGCGAGCTCTCCGCGATGTAACAGCTATGCGTGTCTCGTTGGAACCAGGCTCAGCGGTGTAAGCAGGCGAGCGGCGAGGTGGAGAGTATGCAGGTGGAGAAGTGCTTCCCATTGTTTTGATTGGGAGTAAAAGGTTACTTCTCCATGTTTAAGTACTTCAACAGGAGGACTGCGTCGAGATGGTGAGATATTCGAGAGGTCCGCAGGATATGGTTTTCAACTAGGTGTCTCGGAAGCGACATAAGTTGCCTTATGACAGATAATGACTCCAGAGAGCCTGCCATCAATATACGTTCCTTAATCTGGACCGAAGCGCTGTGTAAGTATAGTGCCAATCTGGTCGAACCATGGCTCCGCGCATGGGGCATGTGCACCCAGTCAGACACTCCCCAGCGCTCTGAATGGGCTCGATCCGTTTGGCAGAGCAACTGTGTGAGAGTAGTTTTTGCGGAATACCTGGTCTAATCAATTGGATGGGAAACATCCAGAGCCCGAATGTGCACATACTGGCATAGAAACGGTACCGACCTTGATGTACCTGCGTGAGCATGTATCAAACCTGAAATGATGCATTAATCGCGGCAATCGCAGTCCGATGATTGGCTCCCTTGTATGGATAGACGCCTCGAGCACGCAGTCGAGGCAGAGGGAGGATTAGGGAGGGCCTGCGTAAGTTAGGAGCCGTATGGCGGTCGAGTCAAAGCTAAACCTCTCCGTCGTCCATGCAGTTCGTTTCGTTAGAACTCCGACTCTCTCCGACTTCCTGTCATCGCAGCCATTTGTTCAGTTGGTCCATTTTCTCAGAACGGATGGCCGTCCTTCCATTGAGACGGGATTATCCGCATCCAACTGTGGTAAATATGGACGTGCAGGTCATCAGTAGAACCAGGTGAATTATTGGGTGGCTATTGATAGGTGGCTATCCGGAGGATTCTAGGCACCCTGAACCAACCCTATACGCACAGATCCTGGGCTCACATGGCCGTTAAAGCCTCTGTCACAGAGCTGCCGAAGCTCCTCTGTGAGTTTGGAGCCGTTCTAAACACCCTACAGATAGCCGCATCCGTTAGCTCGCACAAATGTCGGATGGCAGAAGATGGACACGACTCAGACACGACTTGAACACGACCAACCCTCGCTATCTCATTCCTATCGTCGGCCATTCCTATGATTCAGATTCAAACCACCACAGTCATGCATCCACCTGAACCTTCTTCTCTGCGTTTTCTGGGCCAGTTCGTGCGCTTGGAGAGACCCGTACTGCGGCAACAGACTGAAAACAGCACATGTTGACTCGTCCGCTGTTCGAACGTATGATGTGTACTCGGATCGCAGCGATCGCAGCGCACGCCGGTGGGAGGGAACGTTTGAACAAGCTTTGCATGCTATATCTGTGAGGGCGCAATGGGGTACAAAGCCTGGGCTTTCCCAGCATCTTTCTGCTGTGTTTGAACGTTCGAGGGTGCTCCCGTTATGGACCGTGGAAAAGGTATGGCGTCTTACTATATAGTCTCGCTCTCAGAGAGCGTCTTTTCTTCACAGCTTCGTCTGATCTACCCCAGAACATCCCCCGCTTCAGTTAGATCGCGGTTTCTGAGACATACCAGACAAAGCCCGCGCTCGTTCATACATACTGATAATGCAGTCTTCCCACTACCCAACTTCTACTTCTTCGTCCGATAAAAGGGTCTCGTCCAGCTCTTCACGATCCTCTATGACGGCCGACATCGCCCTCTACGAATATCTCTACGGAGATTCATCACCCTCCACACAAGACTTCGTATGTTCTCTGCCCTCGATGATGAAGATTGTTTTTGATATCCGCACGCTATACAGTATCAGGCACAATTGGCCGACTTTGCATATTCGATACAGTCTCGTTTAGCCAGTGACGTGGCGCTGGTGGGTTCATTCTCCTTCTGATAGGCTGTTGGATATCTAACTTCTAAGTTAGGACTATATGCCTGACATGGACGCGTTGATATCCCAGTTCACTGAGGACGAAGCGTTACCCTCGTACCTGTCGTTGAAAGACGCCCTCACGCACACAGGATCAATACACCCTTTCCAACCCTTCACTCTCCCCAGCGACTCTCCTCCACAGCTCTCGGATTACCTCAACTGTCCTCCATCCCCGTTCTCATTCTCATCGCCATCTGAATCTCCGTCAGCTTCCGAGCGCGAATTTTCCGCCCCATCGCCATCATCATCTACTCCAATCGATTCGTACGACATGCAAAGCGACCTATTCGAGAACGATCTCTCACGATCCATGGAGTGGTCCGACCCTAGGGGTCTCCAGCAAGAAAACAGTATGTCACACCACCACCGACGGCTCTCGCATGAGTCCTCCACGCTCTCAGGTCCGGAAGACCGTGAACTATCGTTCGCGGTTTCCGGAAATGAGAGCACTTCCTCTGAGGGGCCTCACGCGATAATCGCGAATGCTCCCTCCACACCTTGCACGTCGGATGACGTGCGGGAGGTTGAGGTTCACGAAGTATGCGTAGCCGATGACATAGGGGAGTGGGATGGCTATCGGAAGGAGGGTAAGAAGTGGGTTTGCGAGTTGTGTGGCGAGGGCGTCACAGCGAGGAAGTCTGACTTGATCAGGCATCTGGACACCCACGGTCCGAAGAAGTTTATGTGCACGAAGAAGTGCGGGAAGTTTTTCGGTCGTCGTGATGCCATGCGAAGACATACGAAGACTTGTGGTTTGAACTTGAAGCGAGGCCCTAAGCCTGGTCAGAAGTCGAAGGGCGCACGAGCATCTCAATGATTTATATCCTTTTCGCACCTCAATTGTTCCTGTCTTTGTTATCGCTCTCCACACTCGATCCTCGTTGTTCCCTATGCTTTTCTATGTCTCGAGGTATTGTGCCTCTCATGTCCATTCTTATATGTTTTCTTCAAATGCCTGTCATACCCTTTTCAGTCTCATACTCCTTGTATACAGAGTTCCCAGACGTTGCGCTGAAGTTCCTTTTGTCCCTGTACTCCTCCCATGACTGTGATGCTTTTGTAATTGTATCTCGAGGTCTTGATTGCGCCTACCTCTATGTACCCTGAACGTTCGAACGGCAAATGTTACTCACGTTCCACGGATATTTGTACAGATATGTTCGACTATCAAGATATTTTAACGATGGATGGACGAACACTCCGTAAAGCTAGTTTCTTCGGAGTAAATACTAGTGAATCTAGACGTATGTATGTGATAGCATAGCATATGCAAATTGAGGCAAGAAACGGGATGATAACAAAACAATAGTATAGCAAACGCGCAGCCACGAAAGCTCTAAGCACTTCATTCTCGTACCACAAGTCAGAGAAGAGAATCCGGTTCTTCTATGAAAGGATCCGTGACGAGTCTTATAGGGTGTGAAAACTCGTGCTCCTTCAGCGGCGAGTTGACCGGGTCGGGAGGAACGAGCTGTACGACGATGGAATCCTATACACGACACGAAGATCCAGAGCGTTAGCACTCTGGATGTATGGAGTTTTATACTTTTCGAAGACCCACCTTAACTGATAACTGACCCATAGCAAAGCTCCCTACGGTCACATTCTCCGCGCATCTGAGCTCGCCTTCGTACTCCAAGCTAGCGAACCCGTCATACGGTCGGTCCGCTAAGTCCGCGTCCGGAGGAAGAGACCGTAGTGTCGCCTCTCCGATTTTGAACGATCGTCGAAGGGAATAGCCATGGGCTGCTGCAGTTATCTGGCGCGAGATGTATATACGAACGATAGGCTGGGCGGGAGGCTTTGTCGGTGTGCGTTGTTTTTTGAGGAGAGTCGAAAGAGCGGAGGGGTTTGTAGGGGTATGCATAAAGGCACGTATAGACGATACACGTCCGCGGAGTTGGAGGAATACCGGTATGTCTTCGGTCAGAGAATATATTTTGACTGTGGGGATGAAGAGCTGTGAGGATGAAGTTAGCGGGAGCTTGTGAGAGCACTAGCTGAGAAAACTTACTAGGCAGTCGATCGGTTCAACATTCTGAGCCTGAGCACGAGCGTATGTGAGCATCTCGGATGGAACTTGATGCCATTCTTCAGGGACGGCTTTGATCGTTGAAGAAAACGGAAACGGGTTGGATAAGACCGGACGGTATGCGCGAGTTCGTGGCTTGTAGACAATTGTGGCTTTCAGCCTAATTACAGGAGACTATCGTCAGGATAAACCAAAGCGGGAGAGGTCGAGAAAGATGGCGCACTTTTCGTGCACGTCAGACTTTCGAAATCTGGATTGTCGCCGCCTCGCAACACACACCGTAACCGTGTACTCCAAATCGACATTGAAGCCTTGAACATCCATAATACTCGCTGAAAATGTAGGTGGAAGCTCGCATGTCCGTACATCGTCTTTGTACGACGAAGGGAGAGCTTCCTCGTACAGGAGTATGCTTGGACACTGGGCCGGGGGTGTCAACGACGATTCGTCTGGCATGGGCCAGAGATTCTGAGTAAGATTTAGAAAGGTGACTGGTTTCTTAAAAGCCTCGACCACTGATGTGTCGTGTGTCGTCCGGTCGACTTCGACCTGGAGGATTCCCTTGAGCTGAAATAGACGAAAATTCTGCACTTAATAATAGAGTTGATAATAGTGCATGAAATCACGCACATATACAATAACAGACACTACGGCTGACGGGTCCTCCAGAGCGACCTCTGCACGAATCTGACCATTCTGACTGTACACCGGATTATCTAACCCTTCCTCCTTCCCAAGAATGGACAGAGCGATGGACGCATTGGACCAGGTAAAAGTACGCGTGGGAGAGGAATGTCGTCCTCTATGCGAACGTGTCACGGCCAGTAACGTCTCGTTGGCTCTTGGTTCGGCAGAGTACACAGGGGCTTTTGCAGCAGAGTAAGCGGGAGGTGAGGGGGCGCTGTTCATCTCGAGCCGTTGTGAGTCACTGCCATGCGAGTGAAAACCATTTTATGTGCTCGACGATGGCGCCCACAACCAATTGAGGGGCTGCGGTTGCGTCGTACACGAAAGGGAAAGAGAATAGTATGACTCCTCTATGAGGCCTTGCGACCCGGTCGACAATGTGCGTCGTGCTCGACGAGTCACTGGAGCTATTTCCGTAAGCGCCTTGTTCGTGCATGACGGAACAAAGTCTCGCTGTCGAATTGCGGCGCAGACCGATTAGTTTCAAAGCAAAATAATTGTCAACAGTGGAGGCACAGTCAACAGCCCACAGCGCTATGTAAACATACCGCATTGCGTTCAAATGTCCAACATTGCTTGCTTTCGTCTAAATCATACAGATCTTGAAGACTTGATGACGAGCAGGAATGACAAGCAGCCTTAGGCGTTCCTGGGATATTGACTCGTTGCGCAGAGTGCACCGCGGCAAGGGGAAGTTAGTTGACAGTTCCATCATTATGTCTGTCGACGGACGGACTCGAATCGTGCACCTTGCGTGCATCTTCTCACCCAGAGAGAGCCTGTCGCGCTACACCTATTCCAACATCAGAAATGCAAGCAACTGCTAGACTCGGTGCCGCAAATATGTACATACCCCCTCCGAAGCCGTCCGGAGCACGTCTCAACCCGTTCTTCATGTAGACAAGGTCACAATGAACGGGTTTCCGAGTCATGGCTGCGTTTCAACTGCGTTCCGGGTGATCCTCACGAAGTTTGTGCTCTCGAGGGCACCCGACTCATATGGCGAAGCTGGAGAATTTAGTAGCCACTCACTTGCTGATTTCACCAAGGGGATAAGGTATAGATTTCCGCACGAGCATTATTATTTTTGTAAGTCCTGCGTGATCCCAAGAAGCTATAAGTATGTGTGCATTGTGCACGAAGGTCTTGACTTTTGCGGAGTTCGCGAAGAGTTCGAAACTGAACCAGTTGGTGTGGCCAGTCCGGGACCGGCGTCCGAGTCTATTTATACGCTTCCGTGTGGCACCCAGATGTTCGCCGTCTTCTTCAAATTCGTCTTTGTCGCTGCCAGGATCAAGTGATGAGATAGTCATACTGCGTAAGAATAATTGTGTGGAGCATGTTTTCTTCAACATGAAGGCCAGTCTATATATGCCTAGTAGGAGTACTGAATAATCGACGTCGACAACTCTAGACTCACGTTGTCGTCTTATGCTGCTGGTTATCGCGATATGCAGCGAGAAGGTCGTACGGACCCCCGCGGATACGCCCCGTCTCGAGGACTGCATCAGTAGGCCTGCGGCATGCGAACTTATAAAGTCAGGCCCCTATTGTCGACTTGATTCCTGATATTTTCCACCTCTTCTCGACACATCATCATCGTCGAACTTCGTTTTTATGGCCACTGACAGTGAACCTCCAGAGGTGCTCCCGCCAGTAGGCAATGAAGCCGTCGCCGCTCAAGTCGATGAAGCAGAAGCATGCATTCCTGCGTCGACGAAGACATTCCCGCTCGCAGAAGGAATGTCTCTCTCGTATTGGCTTCAAGGCGTGAGGTCAAATCCTCTGCTGGACCACCGGTCTTCGGAAGAGATACCCGCGGAAGCAGACGTGGTCATTATTGGCTCTGGTGTACGTTCTTTCGTCCTTTTGTGTCATGAGACCATGGGCTTGACAGCAGCATTGTATGGTAGTTGACCGGGACGCTCACGGCGTATGAGCTGTTGAAGAGCGAAAAGCCACCAGGGAAGATCGTTTTGTTGGAGGCTAGGGAGCTGAGCTCCGGCGCCACAGGGAGGAACGCAGGGCATTGCAAGGTATTCCGTTCTCTCGAACGTATTAATGATACAATATACTGACACGGCGTATCGGAAGCCAGACCAGGTAGGCCCACAGCTGTATCAATACTCGATTCACGCTCACACGAAGCGCAGTTTCGTGGGTTTAGCGGGTATCAAAAGCAATTTGGAACGGAACAGGCTTTGAAGGTTTGTCTTTTTATTTAATCTCCCACTTGGGTTGTGCCATGTTCATCATGATAATTAACAGATACTGGCGAACGAGCAAGCAACATGGAAACGACTCGTTTCGTTCGTTCGTGCGGAAAACGTTGACTGTGATCTGTGGGTTGGAAAGACCGTGCGTCTCTCTCTTGTCACCTCACTACTCAAAGGCTAGACTTTATTCAAATTCCGTGTCACCTTTGTAGCTGGATGTCACTATGAGCCAAGAGATCGCAGACAAAGCGACGAAGTCCTTCGAAGACTTCAAAGCGGCTGGCGGCCCAACTGGGCATATTGAACACATAACAGACCGCGAAGAAGCCGTCAAGGTTCGTTTCCGCACCTCTACGACATATATTACCTGTCACTGAATTCATTCCACTGACAGCGCTCAAGGATCAAAAGCGCCGTCTCAGTTTTCGCCTGGGACGCCTCGACGCTTTACCCATGGAAACTCGTTGCCCATATCATGAAACTCAACCTCGCCATGGGTCTGAATTTCCAGACGTGGACCCCCGCGACCTCTATCTCCGAATCTACAGACAAACCTGGTCAATGGATAGTCAACACCGACCGAGGTTCGATCACGACACCCACAGTGGTCCATGCCACAAACGCATACGCTTCAGCCATCCTTCCCGAGTTTAAGACTTTCATCCGGCCTACGCCACATATGTCCGTCGGTCGGAGTCACTTCAATCTGAGTGCTACTTTCATGCTAACTACAATCCTAGGTGCAACAAAGTCATCCCACCGCGCTCCTGGTCCGGCCTCAAATCCCTCCAAAACTCGTACGGTGTCCTGACTCCCAACGGATCCCTCTTCTCCATCAACCCCCGCTGCACCGCCGATGGTATCGTCCTATTTGGAGGAAGCAATCCCGCGCAACATAAGCTTATGGAATACATCAATGAGAAGCCAGACGAGAGGCGGGTCGACGACGGGCTTATAAACTTCGAGCCTGTGACGGAGGCCGTTAAAGAATTTGCTGAAGCCGAGTTCGAAGAATGGTAGGTAAAATATTACTTCCTCACTCCAGATACCTTCTCAACTCACTTTATTGATGATTGCAGGGGGAATACGCCTGGCCCCGGGCAAGGATACGATTACTCATGGAGTGGGATCATCGGCAACGTGAGCTTCGTTTTATTCTGAACTTCACTGTTGTATTAACTCGCGGCCGTACTTCCAGAGCGCCGATGGTGTACCGTACATAGGCGCAGTACCTGACAAACCAGGACAATGGATCTGTGCAGGCCATAACGGCCATGGCATGGTACGTTACCCCATTCCTTTCCAACTCATGTAGAAAACTAACGTCTTTCAACCATCCTCGTCCGTCTTCGGCGCATCGATGAAATGATTCATCCAGGCTCGGATTATGACCGCTGCCCCAGGCCTCGTCAAGCTTATGCAAGGAGGAAGTTGGGCAGACACAGAGCTTCCGGAGTGTTATGAGATCACGAAGGAGAGGCTGACTCGTCTGCAAGAGAAGATGGAAAAGGACGGTGTGGCTGGTTTCCCTCGACTCGCTGGTGTAAAGCAACCCGAGACGAAGAGTACTGGGTCTGGTTGTATTGTTGCGTAGAACAACTGTCGATAATAACTACCATCCTAATAGACGTGAACAAGGCTTGTATACGCAAGTGCATCCACAGTACAAGATTGCACTGGCTTCCTTTGAGGGCCGCTAGACAGGTCTGAAATGAACAATTCGACAGAGGGAGAGCAAATAGCATTGACGTTGTGGAAAACGCGTCCATGATAAGGTAAGAAGTAAAACTAAGAACAGATGCAAAACAACAGAAAAGACCATGTCGCGAATCGGGACCTCACTGCTTCTGCGCTGCCTGCTTCTGGGACGCCTGCTGCTGCATGAGTCCACGGTAAGCTCGCTGCTTGGCCTTCTGCTTGACGCGCCTCTGCGCGACCTTCATCCTCTCCTCCCTGTCCTTGGGATCCAAGAACTTACCACCGACGTCCGTGAATTTGATGACAGGGCGACCGGGAGCCGCACCACTGACGTTGTACACGACTTTCGGGCGTCCCGACTCGGGGATGCGCCCGAGCATGTATGGAGAGGATTTCGCCTCTTCTCGGGCTTCCTTGGCCTCTACCACGTCACGCCTAGCCCTCTCAAGGATATCCATCATGATAGGATCCTAAAGTTGGTTGCAAAATGTTAGCGCAAACGCCCGAGGTCAGGAATCAGGGCTAAGACAACGAAATACTGACGTCTTTCTCGACCGTAGGCTCCCAGAAGAGACGTTGATACCGGGTTCGCGTAACATCTTCCGAGAGCTCGTCGACTTCATCAGCTTCGATGAGGTCTGTTCTCGAGCCCACCCAGTCTTCGTGCCGCCTGAACTTGGATAGGTCTTCCTTAACACCGAGAACTTCCTCCATACCCGATTGGAAACCGGTCTGGACTTGTTTGCCCTGTACAATAGAACCATGTTAGCAAGAGAATTAACGGGGAGGATAACACAAAGATGCGGTGGGTTGAAAACGGTATAACCAAATACCAAGTGATGTAAGGCACAAGGTATGTTTTTTCAATTCGCGAATGATGATCATGTCTCATCAGCGAAGAGGAAGTGGAGGATCACTAACTCACCGTCTAGAAAGGGAGGTTGCGGGTAATGCAGCGGTTAGCAAATACTTTAGAACCATCTTGAATGAGACAGGAGATCACCTGTTGAGGAGTCAGCATACAATACGAGATCATGAGGTCAAATAGAGTATGTGGATTCAGAAAGCCATGCATGCAAAGGTTTTTAACCATGTAGGTGTCTTTAAGACTAATCGATTTAATTCATCATGTACACGTCGCCGACGAAGACGGCGGTTGGAAAAAAATGAAACGGGCGACACGAACCTTCACCATATGGGCCTCAAGACCCTTCAACCTCAAGATCGCGTCAACGCGAGCCATACTGATGCAGTAGCGTTCTGATAATCGTCGAACCGAGTGGAGTTCAGGACTGGTCATGAACTGGTTGTAGATCGTGGTTCGTAGAGCATCAGATATAGGTGTTGGTGGTTTGAATGACGGGTTCAACGGGAATGGCTAGAATCATGCATGTCAGTCAGTCTTGGCTACATGAGAAAACAGCGCAACAAGACTGACCACGTCGCCTCCCAACCAATTCCTTGGGCGAACAGCTTGCTCAAATTGCATGCCTTCCTTGACCAACCAGGCATCAAAACTTGGGTCAGGTAGATCAGAGTCTGGCTCATCGTCCCGCTCGTTCTCTAGCTCGACATCGTCCTCGAGATAATCTTCCTCGTCGACCAGAGCATCATCAGGAGACTCCCTGAGGGGTGGCATACCGCCATTTCGCCGAAAAGAAGTTGATGCAATGGACCGTGATGAAACAGCGCCAAATCTATGAGAGACAGCGCATGGTGGCCTAAACGTTCGAGAGGAGGAGGAAAGGGCGAGGCGGAGGGCGAGCAATGCCATTGCGGACGAACGCGGAAAAATTTGAACGCATACTCACGGCCGCCCACGTGAGAACTTTAGGGTCGGCTTCCACGCGTTCGACGCGTCGCACCTCTCTGATCATCTTGCATTTGACGGCCAGACACAATGTCACAAACGTTGGATGAGCCGACTGGAAAGTCACTGCACAATATTCTCAGAGCCTACTCTGTCCTTGTCTCACCGAAGACTCTGGCGTTTCCTTCCAATTTGCCGTTCACGGTTGTTCACGACTTTATCCTACACTCGATCCTGCTCAGCCGTCACCTGCAACGATATCCACCTTCAATCAATTACCAGCTTCGGTTTTGGAAATGGGTCATCTATAACTTGGAAGGCATGATAGGCGACCAAGTATCTCTCCTCGATTGGGCTCAATCGCGCTGCGATCTCATCGGGCCACATCGATTTCTGTAGGACGTTGAAGTAGATGAGCGCTTTTACGAACATCAAATATCTCTACTCACGTCTACAGAGTATTTGTGAGTATGCACATATGCCTTCAACATATTGTTGCGGACGTTTATTGGTAAGGCCTCAGGATGTGGCTCTCCCACCGCCGCCCTCGTTCGTCACGCACTACTGGCGTCCGAAACTCATGGATCCTCAGAAGATCGATCTGGCTATATCAGGCATGGGCCTGACTGTCTTGCCCGACTATATAACCACGACGCTGCTAGAGTCCCGAACGACAATTGAGAGTGGTACAACTGGCCTCCGAACGTGGCGGGCTAGCTTCGTCCTCGCGCAATACTTGATCGCACACCCTGGTATAATCTCTTGCCACGTCTGTGATTCAGATGCTCTCATAAAACTCTACATATGATCTAGAACTCGTGGCCGGGAGAAACATCATCGAATTGGGATCCGGCACCGGTTTCCTCGGGGCAATCCTAGCAAGTTTACAGACACTGTTCCCGCCTTCTCCACAAAATGATTCGGACGGGCCTTCGCTATGGCTCACCGACGTTAGTGAACAAGTACTGGAGCGTTGCTCTGAGAACATTAATCTTCCCTGCAGTAGGTATCTTCATAGCCGTTCAGCTCTTTATTCCTAGTGCCTGACGATGTTGGTCTCGTTATAGATATTTCGTCGCGACATCCAAGGATATCCATACGACCGTTAGACTGGTTTGATGTGCTCGATCCCAGACTCGAGTTACCTATCACAACCTTCCTGTCTGAAGCGAATCCAGAACTCGTACTTGGAGCTGATATCGTGCGTACATTTATCGTCATACATATTGAACTACGCTCATAATTGCTTCGCCGCTGTGCAATGCGACAGGTATACGACCCAGATGTCGTCCCAGCCCTTCTCGGCACTATAAAGCTCGCCCTTACTGTCAACCCTACAGACGACGAACAGCCGAACCATAAGCATGCCCTTCTAGCGCTGACAGTGCGTAACGAACATACCACCCGGGCGTTCCTCGACGCATTAGGTTCGCCGTCTCCGTCTACTTGATTTTTCCTAGCAATCGGTAAATGACGAGGGTTGTATAGAAGAACATGCCTTCGCCGTAGAGGACATCACCTCCAAGCTTGATGGAGAGGACGAAAATACATTATTCGAACAGTCAGATTCGGGGATCGACCAGGACGTCCGCTTGCTGAGGCTTACTCGTCCCCGACCGCCGTCCCTACCATCATCATCAACGTGGATGTAGCACGGAGGAATTATCGAACAGATGAAAGTGCGAAAAGAGCTGGGACGTCTTCACACATCACATCACAATATAAGCGGATTTAAACTATGATAGTAGTACAGTACATTGCCAATGAAAATTATGACCCAATGGAAAGTGACGTCGACCATGTCGGCAAGCGTACACTCTGAAAAAGAAGGAAATGGAAGACCGGGCACAGCAATGGGGAAAAAAAGGAAAGCAATGAGGGAGCGAGGAAAACGTGATATGTATGCTACAATGTGAAGGGACAAATGAATGCAAAAAAAGTAACAGATATCCAAATACGATAGCAATGTGCGCCATGAAGTACAAGACATACGTCTAGACATCTAGGGTAAAGGCGACGAGCAAAACAACACTACTAATACACTCCTTCCAATAATGATATCATCTCGGGTCATGAATCGTCTGGTTCAGCCCATACCTCACTTCGCATCACCCAACGACATCCCCCTCTCCTATCGATCACCACCGTACAACATCCGCTCATTCCGCCAGCGCAGCCTTGTGAACCTGGAACACTCTGAACGACCTCACACAGATCAAACCCTTCTCACTCTTCTTCAAATTCTCCACTTGAATCTCTTGCCAATTTGGCGTGGGGATCATCGTCTTACTGTTCCCAGACTTCGAATCGCTGCGCCCCCGACTGGCAAAGGTACCGCTCCGCGACGAACTCGGCTCATCCACTGTACGGTCGCGTTTGTGCGTATTGGAATTCTCGTCTTTAACACGGTCTTTCCACTGCCACGACGGGTGGAGAGGCCAATTGAACCTTCGTCTTTCGAATCTGTGAGAATGAAGGATGTCTCGGTGAGCCACTAGATTTGTATCGAGGAGAAAGTTGCACTTACGCTCCATACTCCCCCAACATATCCTTCAACTCCTCGATCTCTTCCTTGACCGACCATCTCTCCTTCATGACCTTCACACTCTCATTCGTAATCTCTTTCTCTGCATCTGCCTCGCTCTCCTCGCGCTCTAGCGCCTGCTCCCTCTGCATCTCCCTTATCGCTTCCCTCTCCTGCTCCGTCATGACCTCCGCCTCAGCTTCCTTCTGAGCCTCCTTCTCCGCCTTCTCCCTGACAAACTCCTCCAAAAGTCTTCCCGAACTCAACACCACCTGCAGATTTCTTCGCACATGCATCTCCAACTCTTCCTCCTCCATCGGCATGAACACGTCCGGGAACAACACCAACCCGTTCGGCTGGTACGGAGGAGCATAGAACGGCGCGGAGAAGACGGGTTTCTTTGGAGGTGAGGCAGGTATGGGAGCGGGACGTGGCATTGGTGCGCCTAGCAGCTTTGCGGCTTTGGCGGACATGGTGGTAGGGAATGGAGTGGATCCTGGGATGGAAGGTAGGGGTTTGTTGGATGACGCCAGTGGGCTATGATGCGGAGGCGTATACGCGTGCATAGCGTGAAAAGACTGCGTGCTGGCGTTAGACGGCGGAGATGAGGGGAGATGAGGGGAGAACGATGGTGGGCTGGTGGATAAAGGAAGCCCGAAAGCGGCCGTCGTAGTCGCCGAAGCGACGAACCCGTCCGACCCCATCAGCTCTGAGAACTTCCTACTTCTCATACTCCCCTTGTTACTCTTCACCGTCGAAAACTCATCCTTCTCTCTATCCTTCTTCGTATCCCACTCGACGGTGAACAAAGGCCAATTACTGTTCTTTCCCTTCTCTTTTTCTTTCTCTTTCAATAACGCATCAACACCCATCTCTTCGAACCATTCTTTGCTCGGCAGACAGACCCTCCTGTCCTTCGACTTGCGTACGCAGTCCCTCCCGAAGGCAACGACCAACGCCCTCTCCGTCATAATCCTATTATAATCCGACGGATGCGGCTGGATGTTGTACTTCTCGTTCAGCGCAGTGGCATGCAGAGCCTCAAGGGCGTGCGCCACATCAAGTGAGCGATCGAACTCGCCTTGAGAGTCCTTATGGCCCATGCTCGTATTCGATGTATCCGTTGAAGAGTACGACTGTCGCTTGGCCTCGGTGTCGGTTTGTTTGGAATCTGAGGAATTGAACGAAGCGTGGGAGTCTGAAGAGTCGAAGTAGTAGTCCAAGCAGGAATCGTTCGCGCTGGGCCGGCGTGCAGCTACGATTCCGTCGTAAGCATCTTCCTCGTCCTCATCCTCGTTGTCGAACGATGGATCCAGGTCACGGTCGATGGTGGATATCCGCCTATTAGCGTTCACGGGCGGTGTATCTCGATCCCGCGAGACAGGAGCCAGTGGGGGAGCAGGAATATCCATGTAGGGGAAGAAGAGCTCATCGTCGATGAGCTCCATACGGCCGTCGGGCGCGAGTACGCGTTCAACTTCGACGAAGAGACGGCGCCACTCTGGTCCTGGGATTGCGAGGGTGAGGTTTGCGAGACGGATGAAATCGAAGGAGTCGTTTGGGAAGGGGAGTCGATAATGCAGGCTATGCCCATCGCAAATATCAGGTTTAAGACGAAGAAAATCAAGTTAGGAAGGAGAGGGGACGTACAAATCATGTTGAACCCAGCCAATGTTATTGATCACGGAGTCGCTGAGCTCCCAACAGTCCTCTGCAAGTCGGACCAGGTCGAGGCCTGTGAACTTCGTATTGGGCCACGACCCTGCAGAGTCGACTATCCAATCACCTCGCCCGCATCCGAGGTCGAGGACCCGTGCTGGCGGTTTATCGCCATAATCGTGAAACGATGGTCCGTGATTGGGAGTCAACCGTCGTAGCAGCATGGTGGTATATCGTTCGCTATAGCCGGATAAAACCAATAAAAACGTTGGCTTTGTTGTCCAAACGGGAATATGAACTTAAACAATGCTTACTTTTCGAGTGTCGCGTCATCATAAGGCAAGGAATACGGCACATTGCAATCCGAATACGGATGATACCTTGTCATCCCATCCCTTCCAATCTTGAAGAACGGCCTCTCTTGGAATGTGCTCCTCCGGTCATCGATATCTCCCGCGCCCGACTGTTCCTCCCTCGACCACCTTTTTCCACTCACAGGGGCCGCCTCCAATCCCTCCAACACCGACGAGACGCTCGATTGTGGCGAGTGTCCGAGTCCCGAAAACGTCGGGGATGCAAGCGCTGAGGTGACCGTCGAGTCGCTGTGCTCACCGGACGATCGTCCTTGGAAGAGATTGCCCAGCGAACGCTGTTTCGTCACTTTGCGAAACAAGGACCCTCCATTGTTGTTGTTCGGGCCAGTGCCGCCGCTGTTGGCCGGCGGCTTATTGTGCGGGAAAGCGATCCCTTGCCGAGCTGCGGCTCTCGGATCGTCTGCGGAGGGTCTAGGCGACGAGGACGACTCGCCATGGGAGGTGGAAGGACGACGACTGGTTCTGTATTTGGATGGGGCTTTGGGAGGGGATGATGGGATGAAGGAGTCCGGGAGAGGGAGATGTGGGGTAGATTTCGAATGTACAAGACCTTCCTGCACGGGCTTTGAGCGATCCTTGCCCTGCCGTCGCTTTCGGATTAGTGAGGACATAGAGGGTGTATCGAAGACGGTGGTGTCGCGAGACGAGGTTGCGTTGTCGGATGTGGGTTCCTCTTCTTGCACGTAGTGGGCGTTCAGAGTATCGCGGAAGAGTACAGAAGAGCGATGTATTGGAGCGTCTCCCGGTAAGGAAGCAGAAATGGAATGTGTCCACTGTGATATTCGTTTCCGGTGGTTGGGGCGCGCAGGGTGTGGCGGAGGTGGGACGGGTGGCAATACGGAGTGCGGGAGGGCAGACAGGGGAAAGGAAGAAGAGGAAGCAGGAGCAGAGTTGGGATTCAGTACCATTGTGGGATTTATAAGCACTGCAAGAGTTGAATGACACAATGTTCAAAACCGACGTTTGTCGATCGTGGCTAGTTTGCCTCGTGCCAGGCTTGCTTGGTTACAGGTATCGAGGAGAACAATGCACGGATAATGCCAAGTGTCCGACGGGACAAAGAGGATCGGATGCGCAGAACACAATGAGAAGTCCCTTTCAGGCGAGTCCTTTGGGAAAGACCAGATTCGAAGTATTACTTCCTAGTTTGGCGTTCAGAAGAACGTAGGAGTCGAGGAAAGGGCAAGCTCAGGCTGCCTCAGATGTTACTGCCAGCGTAGATGGTGGTAGTGGGGAGAGAAGGGGTTCGCGGCAGCGCCAGCGCGCGCGAGAGCAGGCTATGATAAATGGTGTGTATGCGCATCATGATGTGCGGCTATAGCTGGGTTTTCGATTGAGTGTGTGGGTCTGACTGTGCGCTTTGACAGATGATAGCCCGCCTCCTTCGGCACCCGGCGTTCGGCTCAGCCCGGATGCTTTCAAAGGCTTTGCTCTCAAACCCGTCCACTCCGGCCAATCAAACTTCCTTCCAAGATTCCAAGTACACAGCTCTTCTCACCCCTTGCTATTCGCGAATATATCGGTTTCTCGACAGGTATATTCGGGCCAAGGTACTCCAAGGTCACAGTTACTAGTACGCTACTCAGTCTATTTGGATAAACGCCTGCTCTCTGACGACGCACGGTGGTAGGAGGGACATCACATGAAGATTGCAATAGCCATACGTTCTAGGAAGACCTGGCTCAAGACCCCTCGTTGAACCATAAATACCATATGCCCTGCTTTGCCAATACCAGAAGCCGTGATCATCAGTTCTCGTATCGCCTCGACAATTCTACCGCCATGCATGCACCGCTTTGAGGATAAGCTCATTCTTCATCCTTAGCCGGAGGAGGTCCACACGGCTGCAGCATACGCTACGAGTCCAGAAGATAAAATCATAGAGCATATCAGCGTTCAGCATCAATCAAACATCATGACTGGCAGGGCAAAGAGCGAACGTGGCGCACCTCGGTCATTTCGAACTTGACTCGCCCGGTGGCCTCTCCATCGGCGATGGCGAGGTAGGACGCGAGCGTAGGGTGACCTACGATGGAAGCAAGGGTATCACGGTGTTGGTGCGTCAACCAGTCGCTGAACCGGCAATGCAAAACATACGTCGTGTGAGCCTCTGGTCAGCCATGCTGTACAAGATCAAATGCTCACTATTTGCTCAGATCCGCGTGTCCTGGTGATATAATTCGGTATCAGTGGTCGATTATCATAGGAGTATACGATAGCACAATATCAAGTTGTGCGGAAGGCGAACTCACCAGTCCCAGTGTATCGTGCATGGACTGTGCGGGAAAGAAGTCAGTGAGAATGCGACGGCCGCACAGCATGAGAATAGACACTGACGATGCTCCAATTGAGTGTTCGCAGTATATCTCAGTTCGGAGGACTGTATGATAGAAATATCAGTATACGACGTGGCAGAATAAGGTGCGATGGTGACAGACCATGATCAAGCTGAGTGGTGGCGAGAAAGTGGCGAGTTCGAAAGGGCGAGCGGGTCGACGTGATTTACAAATTAGAAGAGCGGAGATAAGATAAGATTGAATCGCAGGATTATTATGTATATCATTGTAGGTCCTCTCTTTCTACGTAACTCGTGGCATCCCTTGCTCTGCAGCATTATCTCCTTGATTCCAGTGCTCATCATTCATTAAGCATTTAGCCATACGGAGGTGATATATGTCTCTGTTTCACCATCAAAACATTCATATTGTATAGCATGACACCATTGAACTGACACCCGTCGCTCTCCTCATCCTCAAGCCTCGCTCAAGCTCTCCAACTTCGCCAACAGCACTTCATGCCTCTTCGCGCTGTATGCCATACTCCTAGAGTCCAGGAATCCCTCTACAGTCTCATATATCTTCGCACCGTCCTCCGAAGTCGCCTGTAAATGTCCATCAGCGACAAATGGTCAGCTCAACTGTCATTCATTACCCAGATGCACACTATCACTGGCAGCGCACGGACCAGCGAGGATGCTGGCATTTCGACGTGGCATGGTGCTGACATTATGTACTACAATTCGAAGGCGGACAGCACATAGTGCGATTCAAGCGCTCACACGTCTCGTGTAGTCCAGGGATTCAGATGTAGAGGAACAGGAAAAGAGTAACTTAGACTGAACTTGATACCCTGCACCATTCAGCACGACCTCCACCGTTTGATCCTCCAACAGAGCGACTTGAGCAATCGCTTCAGTGTTTGTGTTGGACACGACACGGAAGGATTTGATCGCTCCCAGGTTTAGTTGCTCCTCCAGGGAGTTCTGGAGTTCATCGACGAAGAATTTTTGTGGGCGTTGTCCAGGCAACATGGGTGGATCGTAAAGAGGACGAGTGAGGCTTGCGGGCGAGAGTATGACAATGATATATGTTTATTGCAGCGAAGACCTGGCGTTGACGAGGTCAAGGAGGACGTCGTTGTATTTATAGGATCTGATCGACCTCGTAAGACATCTGAAGCCGCAAGATAAGATTAGATTACTCAATTTCGAAATCAAGCCCGATCTTTCTGCGTTCTCAACGACTTTTCGCCACACCACAACCTCATTTACCAGACCTCATCCTCCTAACAAAGAAAATGGCCGACGACACCTCAAAAGTAAAGGCAAAAGCGGACACACTCTCGAACTCCCTCTCTCAACTCGAATCCACCCTCGAGCCCCTCTTCGCCAAATCTCTGCCCGAAACCACCCTCGGTCTGGATACAATCCAACAGGCGAAGCTTCAAGTGGCGATCCCGTACTTAGTCTATGATCTCGTCTTCAGTAGGTCTCATTATTGGCCTCCGCTCCGTATCTGCTCTGTATTCTTGCCTTTGCGGGAAATCATAAATAGAGGGCTTTGCTAACAATGACCACCACAGTCTACCTCAAAACGCGGGGTATCGACCCTAAGACCCACCCCGTTATCGCAGAACTCGTACGCGTTCCACTTCACACCCCATCGCAGATACACCTCTTCATTTCTTTCTTGAAACTCTATAGGACAGGATCCGTCAATACTTTGATAAAATCAAAGAAGCCGAGGATCCCGCCAAACGTACGTCCTAGGCTCCCCCTCTTTGTTCACCGTAGTCCTCTGCTCCTCCCCTTTTCTTTAATATTCACACGAATATGGTCCCGTAACTTACATGTCTTATTTTGTGCAAATCAACAGGCTCCCTCGTCGTAGACAAAGCCGCCGCCGGACGTTTCATCAAACACGCCATCTCCCAAGCTCGCGCCCTCGCCGATCCTCCAGCGCCTTCCGTCCCAGGCCCTTCCACCTCCACCTCCACCTCCACCTCCACTCCTTCTGCCGCCAATGTTACTGTCCCAGTGAAAGTTACTGCGAAAATGCTTGCTCGGGCGCAGTATGAGAAAGAGATGAGAGAGGCTGACGAGGCTGGAGAGGAAGAGGACGACGAGGGTTTGGAGATGTATGATGGCGAAGGTGATGTAGGGGTCGAATATGAGGATGAGAGTGGGGTGGCATCAGATGGCTCAACGGGGAAGAAGAACAAAGGGAAGGGTAAGGCTCTGGAAATCGACGACGACGCTCCGGAAGTGGCGACGATAGGTTCCAAACGTCGACGGCCACCTGTGGACGTGTTCGCAGGTACGTCCCGTTCCATAAATTAATCTCACCGTCTTTCATTATTTTCTAGGTTATCGCTCACTGACTTCACCTCTGACCTCCACAGGATACGGTGAAGACACGCTTGGCTCCGCGACCCCGACAACAACAACACCTGGACCACCCACTGCCACCAAACGAGTCAAGCTCCAAGCAGTTGAGAACGACGACGCCGCCAGTTCAGGTTCAGGCTGGAATACGCCCGTCGATACTTCGGACGGGAACTCGAAGAGCAAGAAGGGCGGCAAGAAGAAGAAAAAGTCGAAAGCATCGCCGATATCTGGGTGAAGGCGCTGTGTCCACTTGTCTCCTTCCTTCCTGAGTTGCGTAGTTTTGTGAGGTTTTTTTTTGGATTATATACAGTGCTTTCAGCATGTTGACCCACCGTGATCCATCTGTCACTCACAACCTCACAACATATACACAAAAATCAACGGCAGCTGTACATTATAACCAACGCATACATACATGGTGTAAACACGAACAAAAGGAAAGAGACACAAAAGAAGAAAAAAAGTCTTCAAATGCCAATGAACATTGAACGTCGAACGCCCTTGTCAAAATGGTGCAGAGTGCTAGCGGAAACCGGAGGGCAAGTAGGTACTAATAATGCATGAACGGAGCGGTGAAGACTAACGGAGTAAGAGATGGAGAGAGGAATAAAATACACGCGGGCTGGAGCAGATTCATCGCCCGTTACTGTCTATGTAGGCTGTACAAAAAAAAACACATAATCTGGAGGGAGAGAGAGAGGGGAGACAGAATGAGAGAGATGTATATATGGACCGTGGAGGGACCTGTATGAGCGAGACAAAGAGAGAGGAAGACCGACTAACTGGAGCCCTATGGCCCAGCGGCCAATGTAAAGTCGTGAGATCGTAACGCACCAAACCCGCCAGCTCCTGTCCTCGTCCCCACAGGCCACCTAGCAACCCAACAGCACAGATACACAAGCACCGATAACCAGTAGTACAAGCAGAGTATACAACACTATAACACAGAGAAAGAAACGATGGTAACACAGAAAGCAGAGCAACTCACATCTCACATAATCGTACACCCATCCCTCTCATTATGCAAATCCAACAAGCTCGGCGTATTCGCACCACCAGCAGAGCCCCTCAACCTCCCGTTCCCCCCACCAGGCGACCACCACCTCGCCCTCCCAGCCCCCAAACCCGCCGCCCCTATCCCCCTACTCCCACCTCCCCCAATCCCCGTCCCAAGACCTGACCCACCCTCCTCATCACCCACCGCATCCGTCTCCAAATCCGTATCTCTATCTCTATCTCTCCCTCCCAAAGCTGCCTTCCTCGTCCTCTTCCTCTTCGCCCTCGCAGCGGTGACCGCATCCACGCTCTGCCACGAATAAAACGTCTTCACGACCACCCTGCCCTCATCGCACTCATCCATCCCGACTCCGAGCCCCTCATCGTCCCTCCCGTCCAAATACCCCAACTTCCGCGTCTCGAACTTCCGCTGGCCCTTCCTCGCCCTGACCTTATCCTCGCCCGCCAGTTCCTTCAACACGCCCTCACCGACGGAGCGACAGTCGATAGCGACGACGGTGGCATCTCGGATTGAACGTTCCCGAGCGCGATTGACGAACGTTTTGAGCGTGGGGCCGGAGAGACGGGTGCTGTCCGCTTCGAGGACTTTGAGGTGGTGACAGTTGGTGATGAGGGCTAGGAAGGCTTCGTTGCTCAGATGGACGGCGTACGAGACGACGAGATGTTCGAGCTTCGAGCCTGGTTCGCCTTCTCCTTCCTCCTCCCGCTCCTCCTCACCATCGTCTTCCTCACCGTGAGACCTCGAAGGCGTGAGCGCCTCAAGCACCTTATCCGTAATCTCGCTCGCATCCTCCAGATCCACCTTCCTAATCCCCGGAAGCGTCTCCAAAAGCCTAACGAGCCCCTCATCCTTCATCTCCGCCCCTATCCCCCCAAGCTCCAACATCTCCAACCTCGGCATCGCATACGCAAGGTGCGAACACGCTATATCCGTCAACAGCCCACAACTCGAAAGCGATAAATGCCTCAGCCGCGTCACCCGCCTCCGATACCGATTCGCAGCGTATCCGTTCGAATCGTATTCCCTCCCCGCCTCGCGCGCCGACAACACGACGGTCTCCATCTCCGGGTCCAGGACGTCCACCATGTCGCTCATATCGAGCGGACAGGCCGTGAACGCCTCGATCGAGGAATTATGCAGATCCTTGCAGTAGCTCAAATCGAGCACCTCGATTCCTGGCGCCACCCTCCCCAGACTCTCCATCATCCCGTCCGTGATACCCTTCAGACCCGAAAGCCTCAACTCCCTCAGCTTGAGCGCTTTCTGATCCCTGAGCGCGAACGCGGCCATGGATCGGATTCCGGCGCCGGAAATGAGCTTACAGCGGCTCATGTCGAGCACTTCGAGTACTTTGCACGACTCGTAGATGATCTCGCAGGTCTCGTTCGTCACTGCGTTCAGGGCGCGCAGTTTCAGGACGTTTAGGAGGGGAGAGCGCCGGAGGAGGTGGTGCAGTGCGGGCGTGGTTAGGGATGAACAGCCGGTGAGGTCGACGGAGGTGAGGAGCGTGTTGTTGGCTGTGGTGGAGCGGAGAGAGAGGCTGTCGGTGAGGGTTTGCAGGGAGGAGGGGAGGAAAGAGGTGTGGCCTGCGAGGGAGAGCGTCTTGATGAACGGTCCTGCGGATTTGGCGATATGCATTATCTGCGAAGGTGGCATCTTCGGGAACGGTCGCACATCAAGGTCCGTCCAAAGCTGGCCGTCGAAGACGAGTCCCATCCATGACTTGCACACCTATCGAGTCCAGTGCAGGAAAAAAACCAAAAGTGTCACCACACCGTTTCACTCAAAGTCAGGGGTTGGAGCGTAAACTCACCCTACTCATCCTAACGAGTTCCCTAACCCCCTGCTCGCGCCCCACCCATCTATTCTTAGACGACCCCGCCTTATGCACCGTCCACCTACCCTCGCCCATCCGCCTTACATGTTCCTCCTCCCTCCCATGCACCAAACACGCAAAAACGTGGAGCCGCACCTCGCGCGGCAACATCTCCTCGAACGCACTCCTCAGCTTCTCAGGCTTCTCCTCAAACGCATTCCTCGGCTTGCTCTCCTGCTCCACAGCCACAGCCTTGACGGGGAAAGTCAAGGCGAGAGGTAAAGGCACGAAGACGTCGCTATGCGTGAGCGAGGGCGAGAGGGGAACGAGATCGAGAGCGGAGACGAGTGGGAAGGGAGAGGAGTAGGAACGGCCTTTGCCTTTGAGGTTGAGGGGGAATGCGGATTCGCGCGTGGGGCGGGGGATATGCCTTTGAACTTGGGATGTGGATATGGATGTGGATGTGGATTGGGAGGAGGGGTGGGTTTGGATGGGCGGGTAGTAAGATTCCGCGACGGGCAGTTCTTGAGCCATAATCTGCTCGATATCGACATTAAAACAGTTAGGGATACTGCTCGATGGACTGGGCGAATTTGAGTGGCCGCCATCCCTATCCCTATCTGACCTCCGTCTCCAAGGCGTGAAGCAACCGACTTCACAAGCCTGGATCGAATCAAAGTCAAAGTCGAATCTCCCGTCTACATACGGTGAAGGAGAGGGTGTAGCGGAAGGGGAGGGCGTAGGACTGTTGGTGGTGATGGCAGAAGAGGGCGATTGATCCCCGCGCTTGAAGAGCTTGCGCGCGAGTGTAGACGGGCCTCTAGTATTAGCAGAAACGGAGGTGAGACGCATCCTGACGCGGGACACGGATCGTGCGGCGACGGAATGCGTAGAATGCATAGAAAGATTAGAGAGCGATCTGCGTCTGGAGGGCATCCGGATGAGGACTGGCATCGGGTTCGGAGTGTTGTCTTGTGCTTGTGCTGGAGAGGGGGTGACGGGAGACTGAGATTGAGCCGTCGTGGTCTCCACGGGACTAGGATCTTGACCGGTCGTTGTGGCGGTGGTGTAGATAGAGCCGAAAGAGGACGGACCTGGGTCGTTGGAAGAAGAGAACGTGGATGGAGAGCCAGAACCGTACATATCGTCGTAGCTGAATTCGGTGGGCGAGAACGTCAGAGGGGGAAGAGTCGGCGGTAGATCTCTGCCTTTGCCTTTGCCTTTGTCGCTGGTGGTGGTGAAAGGGAGGTCGTCATCTTGGAGGGACATAGACATGGAGATGTCGTGTGTTGGGTGATAGGATCCGAAATCGGGGTCATGAGAGGTGAAAGGGGATGATGCGTCGGGTGATGTCACGGTAGGATGGGTGAAGCCTGCCTCGGAATCGAAAGACATGGAGAACAGATCCGCATGTTCTTCGTCTTCTTCGAGAGCCCCCCTAGCTGCTCTAGAGACTCCCTTTCCCTTGTCGATAGCGATTGGAGACGAAGGCGAGTCGGCAGACGAAGAGGAAGAGGAAGATGGTTCGTTAGGGGTAGGGGGCGGCAGAGAGACTCTGGGACCGTCCGAGACGACGTGCTCGAGACTGGCCGTCGAGGTAGAGAAGTCGCCGTCCATGTCTAAGCTACTGGGACGGGCAACAGAGGAGGCCTGAGGGAGAGAGAGAAGAGGGCTTTATAAAGGGAAAGGAGGCGCTAGACAATCGATGTCGCACGTCCAGCTCGTGGCCTGAGCCGCGAGGAATAGGAGCGAGCCAGCGAAGTAGCAGCCAGCAGCGAGATAAGTACCACAACTGATTATCGCTGTCGGAGTACTTAGAGCAGAGGATGAGCACAAGCCTACATCTATGTCCTTCAGCAGCTCCGCCGGCCCCATTACAAGACCCTCCACTCCAGTTCCCACGCACTCACTTCGGCCATCCGTACCGAACAATATCACATCATGTCCTTGCTCTGAGCGACGAGACATCCGGCCAACTCAGCATTCGCCTCTTGACAGCGTATACATCGTTTAACGCGGCAGAGCAATTGCACGAACAATTAGAGCATTCACAGCGCGAGCAAACGTATAACACACATCGACAAGAAGCAAAGAAAAGCAGGGTACTAATGGTATTGAGCAACAAAAGTAAAAACAGCGTCACCAATATGGAAAAAACGTCGAAAGGACAGCGCAGGTAGAAGGAATCGCAGAGGAAAAAGAAGGAGAATCGAGCGACCATAAGGATAAACAGAAGATGCGAGGTCCAAAGAAAGAGCGAATGGTACACATCCACATTTTACGACCAAAAAAAGCGTAGCCTATAGCGGAAAGGGATTGAAAAGCAGACAGCACATACACGCGAGCAATTTAGAGGCCAAGATGTTGAAGCCGAACGTTAGGTACAGGAATTGAAAGTGAGGACGGATGGACGGATGGGGGGAACAATGTCCCCTCGGTAGAACGTGTGGCAGTCGCGGGCGCGTCTCTGGCGTGCGGTGCTTCAAGAAGGTTATGGAATAGTCGAAGACGGGATGTACCCCGCATCACGCGACGCGAACACGCGCAGCGAGGAGAGGTCTCCTCAGGCAGCGTTCTTCGGGTTCTCCTTCGCGGTCTTCCAGTTCGCAGTCGCGAGCTTGAACCTACAGTGATGGGCAGCAAGGACAGAAGATGAGATCATATGGACAAAGCTAGCGTGTCAAGAGGGCAGAAAAGCGGCCAAAACAAGAAACTCACCGGTCCCGGTGCTGAATGTCGGGCTCAGTCTCCTTCAGGCGGGCCATCTCGGTCTGCATGAACTTGTTGTACGGGGAGAGCTTCTTGCGTCCACCACCGCCGGTAGACTTGGCTGAAAGACGGCGGACGATGTGAGCAATAATAATCAAACGGCAACGACGAAGAGAGACGCACTCTTCTTGGGCTTCTCAGTGTCAGCCGCCTTCTTTTCGCTAGCACGGGGAGCCATTGCGTGAGTGTGTTGCGGGCTGAACCGGCCGGTCGCGCAGACACGAGAGGACGCGAACGAAAAAGACGCGTTCGACCCCAAAAAGGAATGTTGAACGACGCGAGCGCGAGGGTGACGAGGGGGGAAACAGAGACGCGTTAGCGGACGAGCGGGAGGAACGACGATGAGCGAGCGACTAGGAAATGTAAACGGGGGGACTCACGGGAGAAAAGCTGGGTGGGGCGCGAGTGGGCGGGTGGTGGTGGGGAAGAGGAGAGGAGGGTTCGAGTTAGGGGGAGCGCGAGCTGGCCCATTCAAATACTCTCAGCACCTATTGTCGATCGAGATCTCCTCTGCCGCACGCCTGCCGGGCCTCCGGTCACCCCACTCGTGCCCCGCCTCCTACGGCGCACCCCGCCCACTCGTTCCAGCTCGCATTTTTCAGCGCACATCCCTCCGCAGTACACAAGCAACAGCACTGGGAGAGTTTCAGCCCCAGAGGAAAGTGGGACGAGCGTTCGAGGCCGAGGGAGGACGTGCCCCGTACCCCGGACGCCGGCGTCCGCCACTCCTCCCAGGGGTCCCAGCAGTCAACCGGAAGATGCCAGGGCGCGGTTCGCGTCTCGCGACGCGTCTTTGCAGCGTGCTCTCGAACGCGGGGCAACTCGGGTCCCGTTGTAGTCAATTCACTCCAGCAACACCGATACCGCTAAGGTTGTCCACCTTATCTCGCCCTCATGCAGTTCTTTTTTTTTGCCATGCCCCTCGGTCTAAGCACTTACGAACCGGCATCGCTGAATACCCCGATTTCTTTCTCTCGCGGGTACGTAGCGACTTGGGTCACGCCTCACGATCAACAAGCCAGGCTCAGTGCACGGCCCAGAGGGCTATAGTCAACGTTTTGGTTAACTCCCTCTGTAAATAAGCCCCCACCAGCGTGACCCTGCTCGTTGATCTGGGATCATTTCGCGGGACACCAGTCCCACGAACTGGCCCTAGGCCCTACGAGGCATATAAGCCCGACCGCCTGATCATCAAGCCATTGAACTGAGTGCTAATGGATTCATTAACGGTCAATACTCGAAAGTGGATATATTCACGCTCATATCTCGAACAAGTCCCTCGCATCCTCGGTCCTCACGAAACCACCACCGCGTCCGACGCCGCGCCCGCCACTCCCCGCCCCACACCCGCGATCCCCTCGACGATACTACTCCCACTAACGATCCCCGTCGTCGCAATCAAGAACTTCCTCCCTATATCAGGAAAGCGACAAAGCAGCAAAAAAAGAAAACACCCGAAGACGACGACGAGTGCGGACACGGCCGAACCAGCGCACGGGGACAAATCCATCAACACAGAGCTTACGAAGAGGATGGGATGGTCCAGGGCGGCGGCCCAAAGAAGTAATTCCAACGACGAACCTTGATTCTGCCGACCCGCCCATCGTAATGCCGCGATCTCTGTATACGTGCATCCACCGAGGAAGAACACCACGGTCGTCGAGGTCTGCTCCCGCCTAGGCACTGCGATTCGCCACCCCACCCACCGGATAAGCGATTCATCAGTTAGTGTTCACTTTTTTTCGCGCGCACGGGCGTTTCGAATAATAGACGAAGACGAAGACAAAGACGTACTTGATGCAACGGGCGACGGTCCACCCACATCCCCACCCACGATGCCCTTCTGCATGATATCCACCGTCTCGCCTGGGATACTGCCCACCGCGTCCTCGAAGCCTTTCCAGCCCACGATCGGATGCGCCTGCACCTTTCCTCCCACCGTCGACTTTGCCGTCTTCCTGTCCGCACTCTCATCCCCTTCACCACCACCATTTGTGCTACCGGACGACGTACCCGCTTTCTCCTTGACGTTCGCCGGGTTGCTTACCACGCCGCCTTTCTGCGCTATGCATTGGACGAGACGGATGCTGATGGGCGAATACCCGGAGTAGACGAAGCTGATATCGTTCTCGAGTTCGTCTAGAGATTCGGAGCCCTCGATGATAAGGCGAAGAGACTTCCGGAGCGGGACGTAAGGGTATTTAGAGGCTACGAGGGCGGCTGGCGCTGAAGGCGGTAGGGGGTTCGGGAGCAGAATGCCCAAGGATGGAGAAGACAGGGACAACAGGAGCGGAAGGAAATTATAACCATATGTCTGACGTGCATAGGTCAATATAATGTACGTGATCATAGAGAACTGAGCGATACTAACCTGCAAAATCTCGCGCTTGATGTTATCCAGCGCCTTGCTCTTGATACCACCGGCGGTTATACTAGCCAGACACAGCAGTCTGACAACGACCTGCATATCCGCGCCCTGGGCAAGCAGGTCCTCGATCGCGGTGATCTGCCCTGGAATATCATACGAAGCCAGGAGATCTGCAATCGAGTTAGCTGAAATCGAATGGGTTCGAGGACGGGGAGACCCACTCTGCTGTATCTCTAGCGACTTGTTGAATACTTCCGACCGGGTGACAGGCATAATGATCTCTGACAATCCAGTGTCTGTCGCATGCAATGCATAGGTCAGCCCAGCGCCAAAACATGAAATGGTGTCTGACCACTCACGCAGCCTAAGGGACTGATGCTCCGTCTGCAGACTCCCCAATTTCCCCACAAAATCTTTCAATTGGCTCACGCTCTGTGCCTTATGTCTCGCCTATCAGAGCATACATGTCCCAGGCACTGCAAGGTAAGTCATGGCCGAAGCAGAAAGCAGAAAGATCCAACGAACCTTGAAATCCTCGTCTAGCCTGTGAGCAATCCTATTCAGTCGCTTACCGACGACCGCGAAGTTCAGATCGCGAAGTTCCGCCAGAATAGGGTCGTTCGCGGCCGTCAAGTGATGTTTCCTCTTCTTTTCCTTCGCGAGGGCGTGGGCTGGCGCTGTTGATGCTGCCGTAGAAGCGGACGGCGATGTGGAAGGGCCAGGAGGGTTCGCAGGCGCGTTGAGGAGCGACACGGGGACTTCTACGTGGGCTTCGAGCGATTATGTGAGAAGATGGACATGGAGGCGAAGGCGGAGGCGGAGAAGAGTGTGACGTACAGTTCTTGATCCCGACGACTTCGTCGATGAGGCCTTGATATGTGAGTTGTGTCAGGAGCGGGGTGATCATGTCCACTTTTCGGTCGAGCACGATCAGAGAGTCGAATTTGTCTGAGATGGTCATGGTGCTGTCGGGTCCTCCGTTCACGTTTTGAGAGGTTTGTCGGTTGAGCAAGGTAGCAAGACGCTGAACGAGCCAAAAGAAACATCAGGACACAAGCGGGGTTCAATGGGGACGGACTCACCGCAGCGCTGTCTCCTTTGCCCAATATTCGAGGGAATATACCAAACAGCTTCTGCAGCGTATACAATGCTTGTGCAGAGTCGTACACCGCCGTCTCATCCCCGTCCTTCTCGCAAAGTCAGTCAAACAGCGATGCTCAAGTGTATCGAACAACACGCACCACCCATATCTCCTTGAACGCCTGCTCATTCTCCAACGAAAGCACATCGTCCGCCAGAGGGATGAACTGCAAATTATAAGACGAAATCGTCACATCGCCCAGCACACCCTCCTCTTCCAGCACCCTGCTGACAAGAGTCGACACACGGGGTACGAGTAATAGCGTATACGTGTGCGTCTTCCCCTCCCTCGAATGCCGCTTTATATGATCTATACTTGAGAATGGTTTGTTCATGGAATGACGGTCTTTAGACCCCTGAGCGGTGAAGCGGGGACGTACCAGCGATGATCTTCACCCATTTGATCTTTGGACGACAGAGGTATACGATGTTGGTCGAGACGGCGGAGAGGGGGCCACTCTCTAACCAGAACATCTTGTCCACCCCATGATGCTGCCCGGGATTGAATGCTCATGTCAGTTTCATTGATACTGTCAAGCAGTGAGCTCTGCGCACCTGAAGCAGGGAGACCTCCGTCACCAAGCTCAGAGGACCGGCCAACGAAGGGTCCAACACAAGAGTCTTCGCACCATTGACCTAGCATATTCCGTTAGCATTCGGCCGGATAGTGCGGTACGGGGTGGTCGCGGTAGACATACGGAGTTCAAAGCGTGAATGAGCGAGGTGCGTGCAAGTTCTTTCAAGGGATTGATATCTAGAAGCTCTGCCGAGTCCGAGTCCAGCCTAGAGGCCTGTTCTTCAGATACAATCGTAGATGCGGCCATCGTTAGAGGAGAGTCACGTACGATACAGGTCGCGTACTCTGTACCGTGAGAACGTCTGGTTCTTGGGTGTTCGAACTTCGCCACACCGACGCCACACACTTCCCCTAACCGCTGAGCAATGAATTCCAATAAGATTGTGTGTCTAGAGATACATATTGCCGCTAATATACACTTCCCCCAACCATCCGATTATTATAAGGTAACGTTCATATATCCACCACACCACAACAGTCATAAGATCAAACCGAGTTCCTCCGCGCACTCTGCCCCTTCTTCTTGCGTTTCGACGCAGCATCTTTCCCGTCTCCATAGCCCGACGGTAACTTGCCCTCCTCCTCAAACTTGGCCAACATCTCCATCGCGGACGTGTATCCTTTTTGCTGTATCTGCTCAAACAGTGAGAATTGCAGGGTACCGAACTAGAATAGACGTGTGTCAGCTTGAGAGCCAAGGAGTTTCAGGTGTATAAGTGGAAGAGAGGTACGCACCTCCTGGACGGGCATTTGCATGTACAAGCATCCACGAGCGACTTTGGCTTCCTCAAGAGTACGTACACTCGAGACACTAAAGTAGAACAGTGAATTTCGGATCAACGCACAAGTTGGAAAAAAAACATACTATGCTAGTCGACTCTGAATCTCAGCAATGGGAGGCACGGTCCTCGCACTTGAGAAAGGGTTCCAGCGATTAATTAGAAGCCACCATCCTGACACCGTATCGCCAAAGTTACGTGGTGAATTGTCGTCAATCTATAAGGCCAGGTGAGCAAAGGTAGGACAGTGAGATATGACACTGAAACTCACCGAACCGACGTCGACAGCGAATACAACTTTTGGCCCCATCTCAAACATAGTTGATACCGGCAAGTTATCGACTATCCAACCAACCGTAATGAGCTTCTGCAATGAACCCATATGAAGAGTTAAGAACTCACGATAGCCGCCATCGACAAGCATGTTACCGTTATCACAGAGCGGAGGAAGGATACCAACGAGAGTCATGGAGGCACCTAGAAGCGACCACCATAGTTTAGCGATGGAATCGCTCAGCCATCGACAAGGGTTGAACTCACGGATAAATCTCCAGGCATAACCGGTCTCGTGGAGCTCCATCCTAGAAGCGTTGATATTTGTAGAAACACAGAAAAAGGGGAGCCACATGTCCTCGATGTGAAGGTCGTAGAATGACTGCCATGGAGGAACATCAGCATCCGTTTCCCCAACTATACAGCGAAAGACAAACTTTGTATATGGCTCGATTGAACTCGTGACCCTGTAAGGCTAGCTTCAGCATCTGGGACAAGCGAAAGACGAGACTGACGAGCACGTACAGTGGTGTAAGCAACAAGAGGATACGTGACATCAGACAACATTCTCCAAATGTTGCCCAGCCTAGCACTGGCCTGTTTTGCGCGACCAGCGCTGGATATGATGTCGCCTTCTCTGGCATACAGACCACCAATGAAAGAACCAATGCTGGTGCCACCGATGTGGTCAACTGGTATACCGTATTCTTCCAGTGCTCGCAATGCTCCCTACAATTATACCGTTAGGACAGATGTAAACGTGATGCAAGAACATGTCAACGTACCAGATGAGAAAGACCTCTAGCGCCACCGCCACCAAGGACCACACCGACTGAAGTACCGCATATTCTCCGAGCAAGTCGAGCAAAATCGTTCGAGTGTGGTGGGCGTGGTGGGCGTACTCCAGCACGCGTTCCACGATATTTTTGTAATTCACTTTGGACCCTGTCTTTCACCTTCTTGAGCGCCGCCACGGCTGCTGGGTCTTGGGGTGTCGAAGGTATCGGCCTGGACTCTGGGACTTTAAGGCCCTGTCATGGTCGTAGTGAGTTTAGAGCGTTGTCGCAATAGCGAGAATAGTTACCGGAAGTTCAACATGAATGTGTTGGTGTATCCAAGGACGAGTCTATGGAATATGTGTTAACGATAGCTCAGCAGTATGGCTGTGAAAACGGAGACTCACCTTGAGCCACTCCCGGGTGGAACCCGGTACCACAGACCGATCAGGGTGAAGGAGTATCAGCTCCTTTCGAGCCGTCGTCTTCATCGATAGCAGAAGTCGCTCATACTCCCCAATCGACGGATCCTCGCCCATCCCGAGCACCATCACGCAATCCGCCTAGAGCAACCCTCGCATAAATATCTCGCGGGGAATAAAGTAACGACTAGGACGATAAGTGGTGGACGTACCTGACGTATACATGTCTGCGTCCACGAATTACTGACGACGGAGTCCGCCACATACAGCACTATATCGTACCGTTGCTCCTGATCAGCCAACCAAGCCGCGGTCTTCAACTTGCCCATGCGCGTGAAAGCATGTCGACCGAGCGTGTTGGATATGGACGCTTGGTTGAGGTACGACGTCGGAGTACCGATACTCTCCAATGCGGCATGTAGACGTCGAGCGAACGCTTCGATGGGAATATTCCGAGTGGATGGAAGAATGGCGACTGTCTTTAGTTTGGCGTTATTGCGTCGGAGTTCGGTGGCTGGGTTGCGTGTTCGAGCTATTGAAGCAGTGTCGATCTCGTCGCGAACTCGCGAAGCTATCATGCGCAACAGCCTATAATATACTCGTCAGTCCGAGGCCAGAATTCCTATCATCAGCGAAGAGACGCACAGAGCGGTTGTCTGAGGGTTCCGAGACGAGATGGCATTGAACAGTGTTTGTGGCATGCGAATCAGCTCCGTGTCTCGAATGGCATGGACAGTGTTCCTGCGCGGAGTACTCGTGATAACGTCGATCTCGCCTGCCGTGTCGCCCTGACCGTATTCCGCCTCGATGTTCACCTTGCCTTGTTCCTTCTCGGTGATGGCGCGAAGACGGCCGTTGATGACGATGTAAAAGCTGTCACTGGCATCGCCTGCTCGCCATAGAACCTGTCCGGCGTTGACCTGCACCCAGTCTAGAGAGGCGTCGATCTGAAGAACTGAATGTGATACGTTGATGAGAGTGCATCATGATGAGATTAGAGGGACCTACCAAGAGGAGACAGAAGGGAGATGAGACGTTTGGCTAACGTGAGGAGGACGATGGGCTGCTTCTCCAGCAATCTCTCCAGCGCATGATGTGGCAAGAATCCGACATAGGCATCCGTCTTGGCCTGAATGTCGACATAGGAGGCGATGTTGGACAACGAGGCTTAACGTCGAAGGATTAACCTAAGGACTACAGTCTTATTGTAAAGGTCGAACTTACCGAGATAACCAGCGATCCCTCCAGGTTTCACCGTGAACAAATGACGACCCTTCGGACCCCGTTCAGTCGACTGAGGGTTCGTCGGCTTCGATGGTTTCGAGGTCCCCTTCGTCGAGCCGCTGGTGACCGATTCCGTACTAGCGCTCCACAATTCCTCACGCAACAAGTCTGGCTTCGTGTCCGGGGGCGTCGATTCTTGTTTGGCCGCGGCCTTCTCGTCAACTGGCAGCAGGATATCCAAGAATCCCTCGATGACATAGAACAATCCTAGATCGACGCCCCTTAGAAAATGAATGGTTGCAGTTGAAAATATGGAAAGGCCTACCCGTATTTCTCTCTCCTGCACGAGCGAGGTAGGACCCGGCGGAGAAGAACAGAATCTCAACCTCATTGTCCAGGCCACTCAAGTACCCGCCGTTCATAGTGAGCGACGACGAACCACCAGTCATACTTGACTGGTCGTCAGCCATATCCAGAAGCGACAAAGAGCCAAAAGAGGAGGGATACGCCATCCCACCGCGTAGACCATGTCCATCGACGGCCGAAACCGCTGGCGAAGCCTCCGCTGAGCCATCTCCACTCATCGGGGGCTGCAACAGCCCAATCGACACCGCAATGCAACTCATAACTTCCTCCCGAAGATCAAAGTCCTCTCCCGGAGTGAGGTGCTCAGACTGATTGAGTGCCGTCGAAGCTTCATTCTCGAGAGAAATGTCGCGTCTGAACTTCGGTGCCTGCATGTAGCTGAACTGTCGAGGGAGCCTGTATGTGTCGTTCGAGTGGTTCGTCGAGCTGAGCAGATCTCCGGCCTGTTGGAGGTGTCGATTCGAGCGTGCGCGCATCGTATCGAGGAACTTTGGCGATGGGCGTTTAATGGCGTCGGGCGTTCTGGGCTTCATCGCCTCTGGACTTTGAGATAACTTGAATATCGACTGACTGCGATCGAACTTGCGTGGGCCTCCTGGGGATAACGGGGTGGATGACGAGGTGGTAGTTGACGTTGTGGTCGAGGGCGTATGGCCAACGTGGCTGAAGTAGTCGCTGGGTTCAGCAGGGGCGTCGAACCGCTGGCGCAGTTGCTCCATACCGCCACCTTCGAAGAATGAAGGCGGAAGGGGATGGCAGGCGATGTCGTTTATGGCCTTCTCGGTGCGCAGAACCTCGGTGGTCAGACCAAGATACTGATGTGCGGCGTTGAACGTCACGCGTGAGAACCGGGTCATGATAACTGCAATTCCAACCCGTTAACCTACTGGCTAAGTTATTTCAACGAAAGTAAATACCTTGAACAATGTGGGCCGTAGCCTTTGGAAACTTCTTCGTCAACCTACGGAAAGCCTCTGCCGGAATCACAGCCAACGTCGAGTCCTCAGTCGCCCGTGCCACAGTTCCATGATGGATCTGATGCGGATGGAGAGAGGGCATCTTGCGCTGCTGACCCCGTTGTGGATACGAAGGAGCAGGAGTCGATCGGCGCTGGGGCGTGGACGGAGCACTCGACGTACGGCTACGAACAGAGGGGGACCGCAACGCTGCCACAGTGGGCGAACGCAGGGTCTGAGTACCATCCGAGTCTACATCGCTTGCATTAGGAGAGCGTGGGCCCGTGCCCGTGATAGTGGGTGTCGGTGACGCTGCTCCCTCTCCTGCGAGGATAGTCGACCCAGAAGACGAAGCGACAGATGGCGAGCGACTACGAGCAGCCGTTTGCCCAGGCAAACTAAGATCGAAATGCGAAACGTCCGAATTCGCGCGGTTGAGACGTGTACGGACAGCGGAGGGGGGCATCGTCAGCCCGTCGTTATCCAAGTCGGTCTCAGTGTCCATCCCTGGTTCGGCCGCGGCGCTGATCTTGACGTCTTCGGTGAACAGGCTGAGAATGGTGAAGAGACTGGAAAGGGTGCCGCCGCTGCCGACTTCGTTCATGAGTTCGTAACCGTTCATGTCCTCGTTGTCCCATGATCCGCTTTGCGACTCTTTCTGCTTTCCACTGGGTGCGAAGACTTGGACCGTTCCATCAACGACGCAGTAGAAACTCTTGTCCTGGTCAAGGGACAGACTATCCCCAGCAATCAATCGTCTCGTCTGCAGATGCCTCGCCAATTCGTGGAAGACCTGAAATTACCACCCTGAATCAGTCATAACGGTCACAAAACGAAAACACAGGGACACCCCACTCACCGGTTTCTCCAAGAATCCAAAAACCCTAACAGCCTGCAAGAACTCGTCCAAATAGTTGTGAAACGCAGGTGGAGGGTCCGTGGTATTAACGTCCGGATGTAAGGCCTGCGCATCCGGCTTCTCTAATGGTTTCTCTACGAGGTTCGCGTAGGAGTTCAAGTAACGGAAACGGATCCAGTAATTGAGGGCCACTCCGGAGAGGACGAACATGATGGCGAAAGACCAAAAGTTGAGCTGTGGCCCACCAAAATTCGGTTCGATATCCCATATACATATACACACGTGAAGAAATGAGACGCACCGTCAATGTCATTGAGTAGGATAGAATGAAATATATGAGCCTTGGGATAGTGATGGTCACGAACGCCACAGCCCATTGTACCCAGGACAAAAGGTACACTGTCCACTCAAATGATAAATCACATACAATCAGCACAACACATTTCAATCAACACAGAAAGACCATACGACTACGTACGTATAACCCAAAAGAAAGCAGACAAGAACGAAACGACAGGATGCCTGTCCGCACCCGCTCCATACTCCGACATCGATTCCAAAGCAGCCTGAGCAGTGGTCGTCACAGTAGCGATAGCCGTAGCAGCAGTCTGAATCCCCTCGAGTTGCAGGGAGGACTGAGCCATACTCGATAATCGGCGGCGGGCCTTTTATAAGTGCACCAGCAGGACCGACGACCGTACGTACAACAGTAGACCCGGGGAAGGTAATGATAGCTACACAAGTCGGCTCGTTGTAACTTTTGCAGGAAACTTTGACGAAAGACGAATTTGACGCCGACGCGCAAATGCCAAAGACGCGTTGCTTGAGGGATCACATGACGTCAGAACAGCGAACGTTGCTCGCTCGGAGGATCGGACCGGAGTCTGTTCTGAATTCTTTCGATTTTGTGAGGTTTACGATTGGCTGCCCCCCATTCCCTTTCTCGCGCCCCCTCCCTCCGAATGCCTCGCAAGTTCTAAGACTAATTGTACTAAGCACTTGACCAACAAGCCCTACGAACGTGCGCACCAGATGGACCGATAAGCAACGTCGCGCTCCCACAGACTCGACTCGACTCGCTCTAGGCAATGCGAGTAAAGCAAAGCATGTACAAGTATATATTTCTGAATCTCCCATTCCGAAGAACCCAAATCCCCAGTAGCAGCCCCTGCCCCAGAATTGCAACAGACATTGGTACATACACAACTCCTCCCGGAATCTTCCAAGAACAACGAAACACGAGAAACGAAAACAACGGACCCCAACGCACATTCGATGTGCGCCACCAGACCGAGACCGAGACTGATCACAAAAAATGACAGAGACAGAGACAGACTGGAGAAGAAGAATGGCAGAAACAAAACAGGGGGACAGAAACTGGAAAAGGAAAAGGGGAAAGAAAGAAGAGTGGGGAAGGAGGAGAAGAACAGAAGAACAGAACAGGCGGAGCGAGAGCAGCAGGGGTATATACAAAAAAGAACACGAACGATATAGCATATATTAATATATACGTATATACGAATAAACAATTGAGATTGAGATTCCCCTCGGAGCCAGGTCCACCCGAATGGGTAACCTTGCACAAAAGGGAGACGCGAAAGAGCGGGAGATCCGGGAGAGTTCAGGTGGAGGGGTTCGAGATGAGAACGAAGCGAAGGAGGTGAAAAAGGTACGGTACGGAGGAAGCCTGAAGAGACGGTCAGGGTCGCGAAGGACGGAGGAAATGGAGAGGGAGAGATTAAAATCCGAATAATCTGAATATGAGGTAGAGGAAAGATCCAACGAAGCGAATGGCGGAAAGACCGGCACTGCAGAAGATCAACATGTTAGTGAGTTAAAACAGGTGAAGGGGGGACAGCATCGAAGAGACTGAGACGTACAGAGCGAAGAAGAGGAACGTGAGATATGGGTTGAAGTTCGAGTCTGTCGACGTCTCGATATGGTCGCTAACCCAGGTCGTGAACGCCGAAGAAGTAAACACAACGATCATCAACCTGCAAGCCGCGCCCACACCCAGTCCAGTCAGCACCACCCAAAAGACAAAAACTCTCAGAGCCACGTCGATAAAAAACGTACATATTCGTCCCAACCCACGCCAACACGACATTCGTCCTACTATTCCTATCATGATCCGCCTGCTTCGTCTCCGCGTCCCGATGCTCCTTCTGCTCCGGAAGCTTAACCTGCAATGCCGAGCGCGACGCAGCCCACAGTTGGTCGACGTCCTCCCGTTGGGTGGGAAGCTGAACCTCCATGATCTCCTTACCGTCCTTGCCCTCGATCTTCTTCGCGCCTCCGAGGTCCTTGGCTGCGCCGTTGTCACCTTTGGTACCCCAGGTGACGTCGTGCAGGTTGCACATCGCGTACATCATGAGGATGTTGACATCTAATTTTTAAAAAAATGCAATGTCAGGTTAAGTCTCAGCGTGCTTAGGGTGTGAGTGAAGGAGGGTGTGCTTACAGCTAGGCAACAAGAACATGTATTGTATGAACGACGTGAACATATGCCATGGCTCGAAATGCATGAACGACGCGACGAAGTACAACCCATAAGTCGCAGCAATAGAAATCACGAGCTGCTGCAACGCTTTATTCTTCTCGACCAACCTACACATCCACCCCGAGGACATCAGTACGATTAAGAAGAACAGCGGCGCCGCGGGTCACATTCTGAGAGAGTGAAAAAAGCTCACTCGGGGAAATCTTTCCATCCGGCGACCGTGTGAGGGACAGCGAGGTAGATGGTATATCCCGCACAATAAAGCGTGATGATATTACAGAGCCCGAAAAGGATCATGGCGATCGAGTACGTCCATTTAGAACCTTGAGGCCGATTACCGAGCGAACAGACGATGATCACGAACAGCAGGGCGATATAGAGCTAGTCGAACGCGTTTTTGTCTCGTCAGTGGGCGAAGTAAACTACCTGCATAGGTAAGGTGCGTTACCTTTAGGAACACTTCGAACACGTCTGTGCCTGCACCTTTGCTCAAGAAGTTGAACGCATCTGTGTCACTGTCTGAAGTTGCCGAGGAGACCAACTGAAAGAAAAGGAGGATATCAGCGTCAGCACAGCTCAAAGTATCAGTATCACAGCGTTCTGCGCCGCAGACATTGTCAGCTGAACATCAAGACTCACGAAGAAGAAAGCCAAGTAGAAGTTTGCCAAAGACGTCCATGTGAACAACAACTGAACAGCATTGTAAATGAACTCGATCTAAAGCAAGCAACAAAGTTTCCCAGTGGGTCAATTGGCGTACTCGGACACAGCCTTTGTATGTTGTGTGAAGAATGCTACATACCTGCAGCAGGAGCATGCGGAAAGGGTTCTGTCCGGATGTCCAGATTCTCCAAAAGAAGACCGTAGCGTGAACCGAAGCAAAGAGGGAGCCGTTGAGCCACCGACGACGTTGGGAGATGAATTCGGGAACAGAGTTGGGCACGTCCGTGGCTGCTTTCGCGCTCTTGACATACTTCAACCTATATGACAGATATAAAGTTAGATCGATATTCCTGGAAATACGGATATAAGGAGACATACACCCAGCCTTCCCGCTTCTTCGTGACGATCTCGAAACAGAGGATACGGTCCTCGGCGAGGTACATGTTGCGTTCTGATCGGGTCACCTTGTTAGCATCCGGACCTCGAGGACGAGTATCATTCGTGACATACCGAACAGGCCAGCACCATCAGCACCACCGCCGTGCAAGGTCTCACCCTTGAAATACGAAGCGAGAGGGCCCTTGCCGTCAGGACCGTTCTGCAACGCCCGGTAACGGTATGCACTGAATGCACCGGGCAACACGCTGATGTATCCGAAGACGCTCTGCAGGTCCTGTCAGTTGCAAGAACCAACGGGAGTTATGTTTTTGGTGAGAACACGAACCTCAAGAGGTTTATCGAGAATGTTCGACATTTTATACTGTGGCGACACAAGTCAGCGACGTCCGCATGTTCCGGCAATCAGGTAGATCGTCACCTCAAAGTTCTGAGATGCGGCGAGCGGGCTGAGGAGGATATCGGAGCAGCCTCGTCCAGTCTCGACACAGATCCTGTGCACCGATAAGTGTCACGGACAAAACAAGCCGACAACAGTCGGATAACTCACTCTCCGCATGCACCTCCTACGTTCGAGTGCTTGTCGAAGCCTAACAACGAAACGAAAGTGTGAGAATCTAATTTGTTCCCATCAAAGTACGACACGTACATTTCCAGAGTTCATAGATCGATGTTCCGGTGGGTTTTGTCCCGACGTCAAGGAGAACACAGACTGTCGCAAGCGGGTCAGGTCCACCGCTTTCAGCAGCGACAACAAGCCGCGCACGCACCATTGGGCTTGATCAAGGGGCCAAAAGCGTTGAAGAACCATCTGTGGCTGTTGAGCTTCTTCTTGTTCGCCTCCTTCAAGCAGAAGATGACCTGAACAGGGCATGCACCCGTCGACACTTCGCCAGTGGCGGAGACGACGACATTGGAGGTGTATCTGATGGACCGGGTTAAGTCGAACTCATAGGACGTCAGGAGGTATTAAGGCTCACTCGAAGATATGCGCGGTGACATCCTTGGTTCCGACGTGGTCCTTCGCGATACCCTCCTGGTAACAACCCATCTGTTGCACGGCGTGAGTAGCAGTCACGAGTTGCAAGGGGGAACCAATGACGCACGAGGGAAAGCACTTGAAGGGTCCGCTTGTTCACTTTGTTACGACCGTCGGACACAACACAGACAACGACCTTCTTCCATCCTTCGGGTCCCCACATCTTCGAACGATTGCGACCACACAAATGTGCGATATTCTTGATGACGCTTCACATCCCGACGAAACAGATGAGAGCGGAGCAAGAAAGATGGGCCACAGCCAGACTCACGCATTCATGGTCCGGGTGAACAGTACTTCGTCTTCATTATACATGGTCATGACGACGAAAAGTTCCGTCTGGCGGCCATACAGATACGGCCTCAGGAAATATTTCGACCGCATGAAATCGTCGGGGTCGCACGTCGCGGCCGTGTACCGCATCTTGTTCATCTCGTCTGAGGTGTTTCCTTTCGGAACGATATGCGACGGGACCTGGACGTCCAAGACGAGATTCCCGTCCTGAAGCTCGACATGACGCACCGAACGACGCTTCATGAGCTTCTCCCTCGCCGCGGAATACCCGCCCGTGCTTTGCTCTCGAAGCATGGGCGCCGGGTAGGGTTGTGCCGACGGAGGATAATTGGGCTGTGCGGCGTTGTTGTAGGGCATCATGGGGACGGGGGGCGCATTGTGGACGTTGACTTGGCTCATCTGGTAACCACTCTGGGCGTACGGGTCGAGGTGGGCTTGGGAGCCATAGTGACTGGACTTGTAGGAAGCGTTGTCCCAGTTCTGCTCGTGTTCGGTCTCGTAGGATTGTTGGTGTTGCGGAGTGGGTCTCGCACAGTACCCGCCGGTGGAGGGGTATACTTGACCGACACCAGTGCCAGCCTGGGGGTATGATTGTTGTTGTTGGGGATAGTAAGGATCGTTGGGAGCGTGGTACGCCATGGTATCGAAGCCAACGAGATTAGCACGGGGTGATCGACTTGATTGAGGGAGTGATGAAGTGAAAAGAGTGAAGCTAGGCAAAGACCTAAGTAGTTAGCCTGAGGGGAACCGTCGAGCTCGCTGGGCTCGACTGAGAGAGAGGACGGCGATGCCGCTGGGGGTGACGAGGTGGAAGAGAGGAAGGATGAAGAGGGCCGTGTGCACAGCGGATAGCCGACTAAAGCTGCTCATGCTTGGAACGCGTTTCAGCCGCAAATCTGGGCCGAAAAGGGAAAGCCGTAGGCACGCCGCAGCACTTCTTTGGGAAATTTGGGCGTAAATTTAGCCCAAGCAGGGACGCAGTGGCCCCTCCGAGTCTCCGACAACGTTCCGTTCGCGACGCCCGCGATCGTTGTTGGGACGGCGGCTGGGCGTGGCCGCGGAGGGTAAAGTCATGAGAAGAATCAAATCTCGATATCATTCGTGTGTTTATGTATACATGAGGTTTCTACTTGACGTCGATACAGAAAACCAAGGCTAAACACGCTGCGAGTGACGTGAAACCCACGAGAATGGGCATGCGACTGAGGACCATTGCCACGCCACTGCGAGGATGGACGGGAAGATGGGCTGATGAAGTAACGTTCGGGGGCATAAGTGTGCGTAGCGAACGAAGAGGAACTTCCATCCATCTAATAGTCGTCTTCCAGAGCAACCACTAGCCAAGCTGGGTGAGGAAGTGGAGCAGCAGGTATGGTTCATGGGTGATGGGCATGGGGAAAAGACGTCAGAGCGTTCGAATAGAACCGGAAGGAGCAGGGAAACCGAGGTCAGCGAGCCGGATCAGGAGCGGGTGGCAGAGCAGTGCATGAGAGCGTTCTGCAGGAGCGATATTGAGGCTGAGGACCGCGGTGGCTCACGAGAGTGGGAACGTGATGAAGCTCGAGCGCGCACACCGGAAAGCACAGCGAGCACGGGCGGATACCAAGGCCCAAGCGTGATTGTCCCAAGCTAGAGGCGGTCGAGTACAAAGAAGACCACAAGCGGCGACAGAACTGCCGGTGCAAGCTCGGGTAGATAGATCAGATGCATACAGCTGCCGAGCCGTGACAGCGCTCGCAGAAAAGCAAGAATAAAATTGAGACGGTCAGACCATTTGCGATGGCGCCAGGGCAGACACACCGATGCATAGCTCGCTGTGGGCTGAGGGGGCTGAACGGATGTGGTCGTGGCTGGTGTGGGGAGAGGAGCAAGGCCGAAGTGGGAACAAGACGAGACGCGATTGTGAGATGATGCAAAAGCGGAAGAGACGCCCGCCACGTTGGCTGTGCCTATATAAGGCCAGGTCAGCCACTGCCCGCCCTCAGCCCTCCCGCGACTGCTTGCTCTCTCTTCCTCCCTCCCTCCACCTCCAAGCGTCATATCCCTTTTTCTCCTCCATCGAAATCTCACTACCATCCCAATTTCCAGCTCATATCAATCTGTAGGTTTTCTCATTTTTTATGCTATTTTTTCTTCAACACGCCCGCCGACACCCAACGGCGGCACGTTTTCCGTCATCGAGATCCACCTCGTCTCCCACTCTCCCGATGTTTTACTCTTCAAGTCTCCTGTCGTACCCGACGTGGATTTGCTGTACTGGGCCTCCGAACATACGTACTGTCGAGCATCGATAAGGGCGTCAGGCGACAGGCCATTGTTGACACGAGCGACGCGCTCTGCTCGGCCTGCCAGCGTTTCCTCTTCTCGGTCTCCCTTATCCTGACTATCCCATATCCCATCTCGGCCGCGTCGCTATTTCCAGCCTTTTCTTCCATCGATACCCGCTCTTTATTGTTGTGCGTCGAGCTGATCTTCCTTTCTCTCCCAGCTCTCCCCATCATCACAATATGGCCGATTCGTCATCCCACCGACTCGACCTCCGCGTAGGAGGTAAGTATCGCCTCGGCAAGAAGATCGGTTCGGGCTCGTTCGGTGCGTAAAGTCCGCTCTACGTGATACCACGCCACATCCTTAGCTTCAATTTTATACAGGTGATATCTACCTCGGAATCAACATCATCTCTGGGGAGGAGGTCGCCATCAAGCTCGAGTCAGTCAAGGCGAAACACCCTCAACTCGAGTACGAGTCAAAGGTCTACAAGACCCTGGCTGGCGGTGTCGGTGTTCCCTTTGTCCGTTGGTTCGGTACTGAATGCGACTACAATGCGATGGTTATCGATCTCCTCGGGCCCTCGCTCGAGGATCTCTTCAACTTCTGCAACCGCAAGTTCAGCCTCAAGACCGTCCTTCTCCTCGCCGATCAACTCGTAAGTCCCCGCTTTATCCGCATTCTTCAGTAACGCTCATACCTTCTTTCCCAGATCTCGCGCATCGAGTACATCCACTCCCGCAACTTCATCCACCGTGACATCAAGCCCGACAACTTCTTGATGGGTATCGGTAAGCGCGGCAACCAGGTCAACGTCATCGATTTCGGTCTCGCCAAGAAGTACCGTGACCCCAAGACCCATCTCCACATTCCCTACAGGGAGAACAAGAACTTGACCGGTACGGCCCGCTACACGTCCATCAACACCCACTTGGGTGTCGAGCAGGCCCGCCGCGATGACTTGGAGTCGCTCGCCTACGTTCTTATGTACTTCCTGCGCGGCGCCCTTCCCTGGCAGGGTCTCAAGGCTGCCACTAAGAAGCAGAAGTACGACCGCATCATGGAGAAGAAGATGACGACGCCCACCGACCTTCTTTGCCGCGGCTTCCCTCACGAGTTCGGCATCTTCCTCAACTACACTCGTGCTCTCCGCTTCGACGACAAGCCCGACTACTCCTACCTCCGCAAGCTCTTCCGCGACCTGTTCGTCCGCGAGGGCTTCCAGTACGACTACGTCTTCGACTGGAGTGTCCAGCGTGGAGCTCAGGATGATTCTTCTGCGGGTGCCAGTTCTAAAGCCGCTGGCGGCAGGAGGAAGGTCGTGCAAGAGGAGGAAGGAGGAAATGACCGCCCCAGCGACAGACAGTGAGTGAGCACTATCCGTTCCCTACGGCTTTGGCTCCCCTCATGGATTTCCCTTTTCTTACAGGCTTAGGTCACATACACGCCAGATGCAGCAAGCTGCCCCTGGTGGTTCCGGTCAGCAGCGTGGTACCAGGGGGCGGGACGGTGAACTTTGGTAGATGCTCTCCTGCTAGTCGATATCGTTTGCTTGTGCGCGCCCGGAGTACGACCGAGCGAGGGGGCGGAGGGTAGTGGCAGTGTGTCGTGTTTGGCTCGGTCGTTGATGGTTTCTCGTGAACCATGGTCTCTTGGCGCGGTGGGGGTTCGACGGGAGGAGTAGATGGTCTGAGTATTGGGGGAAGGAGAGGTTGGGGTCGGGTTGGGGCACGCCGGGTTCTTTGGTCTCAAGCATCGCGACCATCTTCATGAATTCGACAGGCCACGGCGCATACGACACTCTGTCTCTACACCTGCTCATGCCCGTTGCTCCATCTCATAATTCCAAGGTTCGGCATTGTGCAAGGGTTGATTCCAACCGGCCAACAATCTGCGTTACACCCTGCGTTCGCAACGCCACGCCTCTTCCATCCCGAACGGACGCTATTTTCTTTATTTCTGCTAGATGTGACCGTGCACACAGTTTTGACGACACGGTCATGGACGGCTTCTGTCTCCTCTTTTTTATTATCGAAATGATCCCCCGATCCCCTGCGCGCCCGTTCCCCATCCCGTTCTATGTTCGTATAGTCAGCTTTATTGCCACCATATCATTTCATCCCCATTGTCGCACGCCATCCAGCTTTTGTGTTGTCGCTCGCATACACTTCCGTTGTCGCGTCTTTTTTTCTTTCAGCTGTTTAATATCCACCGCCCCACACATCCACCGCACGCTCCTTTTTCAGGTCTCATTATTTCCATCTTATCTCTCTCTGGCTCTTTCCACCCACGTTACCCTCCACTGCTGCTGCTCATCCATCATCTGTTTTTCCACTTTTTTTTCTCGCCTCACCGCACCACCTCATCCCATTCTCGTTCTCGTTTCATTGCACCATCATTTGATTTGTCCTCTGGTCCCCCACCTCGTCTGTTCGTGCTGCTCCAAGGGAGTAGACCGACGAGGGCGAGCGGGACGAGAGAGGGCGCCGAGGAGTTGTTGTAGGATGTGGCCGACGGGGAGAAGGTTGTTGGCCTCTCAGTGTCCGGCTTTTTTTGTGTAGTTGGGAGTACGACGGGAGGGAGGCGGGTGTGGGTTTGTGTGTCGCTTGTCGTGTCGTCGTTCATCGTCTGTTACGGTGGTTGACGCGGACGTTGAGGCAGGGTTGTTGTTCAGTCGGATGCTGTGGATGGCAACGCAGAAATGTAGATTTTATATATAAATCCAGTTCATGACCTCGTGATGCCCCTTTGATATTTCGTGTGATTATTTTGTGTGGTTTCCGTTTCGCGCCTGGCGTTATTTGGAGATGGCGTGCTCTTGACTGGCTGTTCCTTCTTCTGAGTCACATCTTCAGTCAACGATTCCGAGATATTCCGATGACTTGAGCGTTCAATAAGTAGGTGTTAATCGGCACTTCCTCAAGGAATCCTCAAGATACCATATGGGGGTCCGGGAAATGCCGTGTCCCTTGTTGAAGATACACCGCCGCAGGGCGGGGACGGCGTTGATCCGAACGGGGTAGGTACGGTGCGGGTGAGGCCCTTGACTGGCATTTGGCGGTAGACAGCGGGTAGAGGTTTCTGTGAGACGTCGGTACAACGTTGACCAGCTGTTGCAACAGTGTACTGTCATGCCAAGGCTCCAAAAGGAGAAAAGAATCTAGCCCGTGCAAAGAATTGAACCAAAGATCGCTGAAATGCGGACAGAAGCCAGCATGCCCATGCAATGATAACCACAGCGGCATATGGCCATACAGGGCCATACTTTGTCACGTTGGGACACACACTGTTCTATAGGCACATGCAGCGGAGGCGTGTCTCATCGAATCAGGTCTCACGCAAGATAACCGCTCTTCCCTCGTTACCTTCGTTCTGGTTTTATTATCGTGTGAGTCCTTCTATATCATATCTTTCACTCCACCTGATAGTCCCACCATACACGAACATGCGGAAACCCTTAAGGTTATCATAAAAGGAGACTGACTCCGGCCGCTATCTCGCCCCCTTCCCTCCCGTCAAAATAGAGAAATTGCATCGGCACTCGTCAGTCCTCCCCCCTCTTTCGTACCAAAAACTGAGAAACCAGGAAAAATTTATTTCACCCAAAAATCTATCTTATCCACACTGGGCGACGAAACAACTAGTCACCAAACAAGAAATTGTGAGGGCGCATCCGCGCCACAACACTTTCGGAATTTGCGACGACTTGGTGTGACTTGGACTTGGAGCTCAGACATCTACCATCAAATGTGCCACAACTTGGTCAGTCTTCCATCTTCCCTCTTCATTTATACTCAGTAAAACTGTCTAATGTGTCAGCTATCGTGTCCCATAAATGATACTTGATCTGTCAAAGCATAGCTTTCCACAATCCATCAGTAACTGGGGAGGTGTGTGGTCCAGCTGTAGACGCCACTGGCCACAAAATGGGACACTACTCGGTCAGTACTTTGTTTGACCTGTTTCTTTTTACCCAGTCTGACTCATTACATTGTCGTATATCACCTCCCTGGAACGTTACATGACTCGCTCAAGCATAACTTCTCAGGACTCGTCGTTAGCTGGAGTGTGTGTGGCCTAGGCACCCTCCACACATATATGCCATTACTCGGTTAGTTCTTCGTCTTTCTTCTTCATTTCTACCCAATCTTACTCATTGATATGTCTGTCAACGCCTACCGAAAACGATTCGTGATCTGTCCAATCCTGACGCGGCAGGACGAGTAGTTAGCTGTGGGGTATGTGGCCCAGACACCCTCCACAAAATGTCTCACTATTCGGTCAGTAGTATGTTTTATGTCTTTGTTTCTACTCAATCTGACTCATTGATATGTCTATGAATATCTCCCGAGAACGCCTCGTGATCCGTCCAAGACTAGCTCTGCCGGACGAATAATCAGCTGTGGAATATGTGGCCCAGACACCCGCCACAGATATATGTCACTACTCGGTCGTTTCTTCATTTAATCTCTTTGTTTTGACCCAATCGTACTCATTGATATGTTAGTCAATGCCTCCCGAAAACGCTCCGTGATCCGTCCGAGCCCCACTTAGCAGGACGAAGAATTAGCTGTGGGGTATGTGGCCCAGACACCCTCCCCAGGTATATGTCACTACTCGGTCGTTTCTTTGTTTCATCTCTTTGTTTTTACCCAATCGTACTCATTGATATGTTAGTCAATGCCTCCCGAAAACGCTCCGTGATCCGTCCGAGCCCCACTTAGCAGGACGAAGAATTAGCTGTGGGGTATGTGGCCCAGACATCCTCCCCAGATATATGTCACTACTCGGTCGGTTCTTCGTTTTATCTCTTTTCTTCTACCCAGTCTGACGCTTTAATATTCTCGTCATTGCCTTCCGATAACGCTACGCGATGCGTTCAAGCATAGCTTTGTGGAATGAGTTACTAGCTGTGGGGTGTGTGGCCCAGACACCCTCCACAAAATATCTCACTACTCGGTCAGTAGTACGTTTTATGTCTTAGTTTCTACTCAATCTGACTCATTGATATGTCTATGAATATCTCCCGAGAACGCTTCGTGATCCGTCCAAGACTAGCTCTGCCGGACGAATAATCAGCTGTGGGGTATGTGGCCCAGACACCCTCCCCAGGTATATGTCACTACTCGGTCGTTTCTTCGTTTCATCTCTTTGTTTTTACCCAATCTTACTCATTGATATGTCAGTCAACTCCTCCCGAAAACGCTCCGTGATCCGTCCAAGCCCCACTCGGCAGGACGAAGAATTATCTGTTGGGTATGTGGTCCAGATATCCTCCACAAAATGTCTCACTATTCGGTCAGTAGTTTGTTTTATCTCCTTTTGTTTACCCAGCCTTGCTCAACAGTATTTTCTTCAGTGCCTCCCGGGAACGCTACGCGATTCGTTCATGCATAACTCTGCAGGACAAATTGCTAGCTGTGGGGTATGTAGCCCAGACACACAACACAATATTTATCACTACTCAGTCAGTACTTCGTTTTCTCTCTCTGTTTCTACCCAGGTTAAGTCCTTGATATCTTTGCTTTTGCCTCCCGGAAACGTTTCTAAGGCGACAATCCTCATCCTGGATCGATAAATACTTTTTTTGGTCTCTTTGCCGCTCTCTGCTCGCCCATTGATTTACTTATCCCTGAGTCATTGTAAGAGCCCGCCTGTCAAAGATTGCCCCTCGTATCCCCCACTACGCTGAACAGTTTGCACACGCGTGGGACGTCGGCACAGCGTTTTGGCCTCATCTCACGTCAGATGATACGGAGACCCGGTGGAAGAAGACGATCGATGATCACAAGTCGTGCATACAACCCACCTCTCTTTCCTTCTCACAGATTTCCTAAGATGATATGATGCATTGTCTACTCGAGATCTCCCTGGCTTTACAGATCGCAGTACGGTTACATCAAATTCCCTGAGGTTACTTTCCGGTTATAGACTCTGATATCGGTATGTTTCCAACTATATCCGACCTCTTTCGTTTCAATGGTTGCAACAGGGTCTGAATCAGCTACTAGTAAACGGATTATAAACACCAGGTCATTTTGCTGATGGGGTGTTCCCGCCTGGCCACGATATATGGCTCAAAAGCAAAACATTCTCGTTCATTTATGGGCAATATGATTTACACCACCTTCCGAGAACTTCCATCGACCCTCGTTTGCCCTTATCTTAAGGGAACGACTGTCTATAGGTCTGACTGTGGGAGACTACGTTTACCTCTCGCGCTGCCCTCGAACGCCTCCAAGACTTCATCTACTACTCATGCTCTTTCTACTCCACTCTTCTCACTTTATGAACACAACTTTCAAGGGTTGCAGTTTGGATGTCCAGAAGCCTCTAGAGACATCGCAAGCTATTGCATCGCGGTTGCTGCCGTGGTGGAATATCGCTCGCGACTGATACTTCAAGGGCGTCACCCATATGCTCGCCCCCCATGCGTACACTGTTGTATAGCGGAGTTGACACATCATCCCACCGCCCACAAGAATGCCACTAATTCTTTGATTTCTGTGTTATGCCTACGAATATAGATAGAGATAAGGGCTGCGGCAGTATTGCGTGCAAATTGTCGCCAGCAAGGGCGTATCATGGTCCGCCTAGTACCCATCAGAGGTTCACGCTGCACGGTAAGCCCGCCATTTTCTGTCGTGGTTTTCACTCTGTAAAAGTCGCCTAGAGGTTGATTATTACCTCCACAAATCACCTCCCAACGCGCTTTTTTCTTGGTCGGCAGGAATCGTGACCAGCAGGGGTATTTTTGTGGCCGACACACCCACCATTTGACACCTCACTACACGGTGAGTTCGTCATTTTATCTCATTAATGCAATCCAGACTCTTTTCCGTATCTAGTGTGACTTCCTGAAAACGTGGACCGTTGCGATCGGTCATCAGTACACAGGAACTGACCAATACGCGGGGAATGTTGCTGAGTGCGGTACTTGTGGTTCACACCACAAATTTTTATGTTACTCGGCGAGTTTGCCGTTTTATGGCGTGGTTTCATCTCTACCCACACTAACTCATACATACGTCTAGTGTGCCCTCCTGAAAACCAGGTACATCACATATGCATTGGACTGGAGTATGCCAGACTGGAGAGGAGTCAGAGGAGGCAGGATGGTGAGAAGACGAGGACGAGACGGGTCGAGTGGCGTTCGGGAGAGTGCAGGGCAGGGTGATTCAGCACTCGCGTACCGTAAGTACTTTCGGGTGTTCATTTGTGCTCGGGTTGTGTTCATCGCATCCCCCAGCGTTGCAGCGTCGCGCTAAGTTCTCGGTCTCGTTTGGTTGTGATTCACGGCGATTCCCTCTCGAGCGATAAGAGAGCAGGACTTAGCCTAGTCTACCATAGTTCCAGAGTCGTTGATAAGTTACGATTCCATGAGTGCAAATAAAGGAATCATGGATAATTGATTCCTTCGCTGATTTCTCCTCAGTGCCGCCAGATGCCGCCTTCCTTTTTCCGGTTCTGGGGCAGCATTTTCACGCTTTCTTTCGGGCCACACCTCTCTCCACTTTCTTTCGTTCTCCTCACTTGTAGTCTCTGTTCTATAGTTTTCATCGGCTACGGCTATGAGGTCTTCTGTTCTCAGCTCCACTTATGTACGTCTTTTCCTTTCCCTTGCGATTCCTTGACCCTCCGTGCTCGCTGCATTCGATCGCCTGTCGGTTTTTTTCTCTTTTTTTTTTGGTATAATATCTTCGGGCAGCAACCGCGAATTGCAGCCCTGCCGCGAGTCATAGTCGGATGCGATGGTTTTTACCCCGCGATCTGTCGTCTTCGTCAGCGTCGTCTGTTCACTCCTCGCTCCTTTCCCTCTTCGCACATATTCTGTCTGATCATCTTCCTTTATACTCTCCTCTATTCTATGTGGTTGTAGTGACTTTGGACTTTCCTTCTGCTGGACTCGCATGCGTGATTGATGTGCTGATTCACTTACTGTGTCCTACCTATACCCGCTCCCAATGGGCTGTGACGGGCAGACGTCGTGCGTTCGAAACAAGATGTGTTATGCCTCTTCACTCCCCCTTCTTACTATCTTCTCTTCGCTCTGCTCATGTTCCCATTCCCATCGTCATTTAGTCCCCGACTCCGGTTTTATCTGGCCAAAATGCATCGATTCTCAACGCCTCCGCCCTCCCCTCCGCCCGCCTGTCCATCCACTCCTTCCGACACGCCTTCCATCTGCTCGACCTCACCTATTCCGTCTTCCTCACCCAGAACGACCACACCACCCTCCTGGCGGATATGGCCGCGAAGTTACCAGCTACGATGCTCAACAGTGGGCTGACAAACTCGATGCACGACTCTGCGTTCTTGGTCAAGGAACTGAAGGGGATGGCGAGGGATAGGAAGGAGACTGAGGAAAGGGAGACCATTTCGGTCGTTGTTATTGGTGGGTTATTTGAGCTTTTTCTATAATCCCTTCTCCTAAGATGTCTGGCGTGTGATGTTTCCGAGCTGACTATCATTTGTGCTGTTCATAGGTGGCACCACTGCAGATTGTGGTATGCTCCTCGTAAGTGGACTTCCCCGCCGGGCAGCAGCCATCACCGAGACCGGAGGGGTACGCATGAGCTTCTCATGTCCCGAAGTAAAAAGGTTCGCTTGTTCTTCTCTCCTCGCCACATGACCAGCCCTGCTTCCTCCTCCGATCCCCTTCCCGCTCCATCTTCTATGCTTCATGCATCTTTCAACTCTGACTATACTTACATTGTGACTTTCCAAGGTATTCCTACAAAATAACATTGACATTGGCGGCGGCCCTGTCGGCCCTAGAGAGTCATCTTCCTCTACCAAAGTCACAATATGCCCGGACTACGTCGGTCACCGTAACCAATAGTCCGCCATCGTATTCGGCAGGACCACATCACCGTGAGAGATTACGCTGTCTAGGCACAAAAGCTGGTATATATTGGGGACCCATCTCTCCTGGCGGCCAGCTCCGAATTTACTCTCCCTGCCTCGTTCATGCTGTGGGTGAATCCAAGTGATGATGAAGATGATGGAGAGATTGATTGATACGATGAAGACGAGTGCGGAGGACGTGACAGTGTTGCTCGTGGGTAGCAGTGCGGTCTTGGTTCCGGTGGATGAGGGAGACAGCGCGAGTGCGGAGTTTGCGGGGTGGCGAATGAGATTGGGACTGGTAGGTGCTGTCTTGTTTTTTCTTCTCACTGTCTTCGTTCACCCCCCACTCCCCGCTTCCCTCTCCCATCTTTTTGTGATTTTTTGACTGACTTGCTCTGCTATTGACCTGTATTGATAGGCACTATGAATACCATGGTCCTCACCGTCGACAAATCAATACAGACGCTCTTAGATGAGATATGTGCGAAGGCGGTGGATGATACGGTCGAGAACGGGCAGTCACGGAGACGGCGATGATCGCGGAGATTGATTCGATTTCTTTTTAGCTTCGTGCCTTTTGTCTCGCGGTTGTAGGTGTGGTGAATGAATTCTGTGCCCGTGCTGGTTGTGGCTTGGCCTTGGTATGGTATGTGCAGTATGTGGCGAATACGTCGAGAGTCATCGTTCAAGGTTAGTTCTTTGTTTTCATCGCAAACAACAAAATACTAGCCAGCTGACTTACCTGTCGTGAACCAGAAGTGGGGATACATCTTTTGGGAGGTGGGTCTGGATCAGTGCCGGATGTTACATTCTTGGAGCTGGTGCGAACCATTCATCGTTTCCAGTTCTTCATGCAACCTCTCCACTCTTTTCCCTCATGCCTGCTGTAAACTCATGCCGAATATGACATGTGAGTGGCCTGCGAATGAGTACGTTGAACGTTTCGTCACCCTTCTTCTATCATGATAGCCCTTATGATGCAAGGCTGACTCCTAGACTCGTAATGTGCAATGATTTATCGCAGGGTGATCGAGGCGCAGAAGTAGGTGAATGGTATGTTGAAGTATAAGCTTGATTCGGCGATCGCGTTACAAATTAGGTGGGAGTTGGTTGCAGGGTACGCGTTATCCCTGGGTTCATGTTCTCTCGACCTCAGAGCTTGCACCGTTGCGTACGAATAGGCCTGCTGCTTGGTGCGACCAGAAATATGAGTATTGCCACCGTTGATGGTGACTGTATGGACCGTAAGTGTTTCTCTGGGTTCCCCAGCGTTGTACTAGCCAGGATTATCCGTGTTGTGCAGGCGCATACCCTGTCACATGGCAGATCACGCCGATCGTACTGGACGGAGATTGGGCTTACTTTGCGTAGACCGCCATTGCCGATGGTAACGCGAACAACATCGTGGAGAATTTATTTCTCTTCTCCTCTCCACTCTTTTCCTCTTTTTCACCGCACTCAACCAATTCCTACAGATCATGACCTTCGCCAACTCCAAAAAAGGATCGAACGCACCTTCCGCGCCGCCCTCTCCAAATCGGGCTCTCACGTCGCCTGTGTTAGGGTCCTTGCTCTGGTCGCAATGCCAAATCCTTAGTCGTCGAAAACACGATTTCCGTCGCCTAGCGCGTCTGCCGCGCCGTTGTGCTCTGCAAGTCGCGAAGCGAGCTCGACAATGTGATAGACGTGATCGCTGACAAGGTGGGAGTGAAGGAGAGCGCGAAGGGGTTGTTCAAGTGTTCAATCGTGGGTAAGGTAAGTTAGACGGTCAAGGGACATGCGTACGCGGAAATCGTTATCGCTGCGGAGGAGAGCGATGGCCACGGGCATCAGGTGGTACAGAGGTTCAGCGGATTAGTGAAGGTGCCGTTCAAGAACGAGAATGTCCTCGCTGCGCACGTGGATGTCTCTGGCAAGGAGCCGCTTCTTGCGTCGGCTCCGGATCCCATCCTCGTTCTGGACACAAACTTCGGAGAGGCAATTGGTATACCGGAGTACCTGTACGGCCTGTTATGTACCATTATTGGGATCACAGCGAGCGAGAGGTGGACGAGTATGGAGAGGGGTATTGAGATTGTAGGGCCGAAGGCGTCTGGCATAGATGATGTGGGAGTATATGCCGCTTGAGACGTTCAATCGGAGGCAGATGAGCGTCAACGATGAGTTTGGACCGAAGAGGGTTTATGCCCTTAAGGTTCGCAAGTCTTTCGGGCTTTTGGCTTTGAGGTGTAACTGATGACATTCTTTTTTGTGCGTTCTATTTTCCTGTATGGCTCACTCAATTATTTCTTGACGATACAGTGGTATTCAAGAGATGCGGGCGATCGGTATCGAGGAGCGTAATTCCTCTGGCTTGTGAACCACTACGCCTCTTCCGTTCATAGAACACTCACATTCATTGCTCTGTTCTCGATAGGACTCTCTTGCTCAATCATCCTGGGTAGGTATCATACTCTCGTGCACTACTCATCTCGCCTGAAAGTCCAATAACGACGGGACGGACGTTTCAGATACTCTCCTGACGATGCCAGTGTGTCCTTCCGCCTGGAGTGAGCAGCCCCTCGATTTCTTTTTGCCCTGTTCACACTCTCATCTTTGAACTTCGCCAATGCCTCCCTTTCGATCACCGAAACTCTGCTCAAGCGACTCAGGTTGATGAACTCTGGCCTACGCACCACCACTGGCAGCCCGTTCCCTCCTTCAAGAAGTGACGACTCTGCAAGGCAGACTTCATATCCCTCACTCTAGAGTCGGAGTCATCATCCTCCAAGTCAGTCCCGTCAAAAGAAAGAGTCCCACCGAAACCAAACATTGATGTATCATCTGAGTATTGTTCGAGATTGGGGGAGGTCAAACAGAGATCGTGCGGTCGCCTTCAGGATGATGCGGAAGGTATAGCGGGTAGAGGTGGTGCAGAGAAAGGAGTGCGAGGAGGCAGAGCAGCCATCAAAAACATGAATTGAAACGTGGAAAGACGACGTCCATGGTGGCCTGCTGTAATGAGATCTTGCAACCTTACGAAGTCCTGGTGGAAAGCGAGGACAAGTTATAAAGTTCCGAATACGAGTGATACAAAGGACGCGCGCTGACAGTATAAACGCACTACCATTCCCAGCTACCGAAAGAAGAACCTACTTCTTCTCTAGGAAGATGCATGTACTTCTCACTGCACGGCTACGCCTTGACAAAAATACGCCACTCGATAGCATCCAGAGCGATGTCACCACACGAGTGCCCTTTGACTAAAGGGTTGGTAGGCAGGAGGCAGGACATTGAGTGTTGATTCCATAGCAACACCAAGTTTATGCGTAAACAAAGCGAGTCCTCGTAGGTTATGGGAACCCGGGACTCGTCCGGGATCAATGGCACCGTGACTGTGGTAAAGAGAACCACCAACGACAAGACGGCGACTGGCAACCTTGAGAGAACTAGAATCCAGCGGTCATAGGTCTGAGCGTGAAGAGGGGCTAACAACGGAGGTGAAGCGATCTGAGCGGAAGTCGCCGGCGAGGGGTTTAAGAGGGGTCTGCGCCAGCCGGTTGAATGATTGGCTACTCTGCTCTAGGATAGTAGGTCACACCCTCATGGATAAGTACTCGTCTAGAAGTGTCGGTAAATAAAGAGTTTTCGCCACCCAGAATCTACCGAAAACGCGAAGATTCAGAACGTGGAATGCGTGCACAGGGAGACGAAGGCATCCTTGCCTCTAGCAAGTTCAATAGGACGCGATTCGGAGCATCGCGTATAGACTTCGCTCAAATATTTTTACATTTTTTGTGCGCGAAATAGTACCGCCAGTCCAGAATATATTTTCCCAGATTCTGGGTGGCGAAAACTCTCTAGAATCAGGGCATCGATAAAGCAGTGAATTTGGATATCGAGTGCCTCAATGAGGACGGAACGATCTGCGGGCTCTGACTGCCCAGACTAATCACGAAGGATTCTCCGAGTCACGACATAGTCCTGCTGTGCGTGAGAGAAGAAGTCGATGAGCGAGGGAGACATGAGCTCAAACGATCCGAGACTCAAGTTCCATCTAACAATGGAATAGAACCATTTCACGTACTTGTAAATCTGAGAAAGGTGAGAGGGAACTTGGAAGGTCGGACGTATGGTGGTCGCGCCGTGCTGCCTTGTGGCCTGAAGCCCAGCCCGTATGGTGTGGATGATGAAGAGCCACCAGTCAGGGGTTCAAAGACGGCCATTAAACGCTCCACCATCTAGGCGGACTCCTCCTTGGAGCATTGTCCAATTATTTTCATGATCTTCGTTCGATGTGGAATATCGCAGACGTGCAGCAGTTCATGGCTAAGATAGAGGAGGAGATCGCCGAAATCAGGGTAATCCATCTGCTTAACAACCTGTCCATACACGAGATTATGATGCCGGTAACAACTTGAAGAACGCTCACTTGATCATCGACGACGAGGACACGAGCTAGTCGCTGCAGTTGGTCGGATTATCCTGCCCCATCGGACCGAATCGGAGAAGTACCTTGTCTACGTTTCAATCTCTCCTCTCATCCGTCCAGCTCCCTCTCAATAACGACGTCCTCCCATTCCTTCGCGTGATACATCTGCTGTTGTTTGTCCAATTACCTGTGTTGGGTCGAAGGACGCTGATGTCAGAGGCAGCGCAAGGCAAGACACATACAATATGAACGAAAATAGAATGGACCCACTTGCATGGGCTGCCACCGTCACGATTTCCAAACCGAAGTCGATCCGAACGCACGTCTGACCATCTAAAATGCCATACGTCGATAGCGTCGAACGTCGACGAGGTTGAATTCTTCTCTGGAGCAACATGCCAGGAGCAGGTTCTTGCGCGCGCGTTTCGAAGCGGACTGGGATGAAGCCTCCACATCAGATTGGAAGTAAATGTGGTATGATGTGGGTGTGTGGCGTAAGGTGGGTACTTATGGGCGTATATTGAGCGCCCGGTTCGTGTTCTGACGGAAGTAGAATTGGGTGTGACGGCCGAAGATGAATGCGAACTCGAGGAGTTACTGATATTCGAGTTGGAATCCCCCGTGATGTTTCGTGCTGTCGAAGCAGAGCTTCGAGGGTCGCAGCCTGCATGAGACGATCAAAAACGCCGTCGGCTTGCCAGTTGATCTCGACTGCGAAGTAAAACAAAAGCGTCATCAACCTTCTTCTAACGCAGATGCCTCGAATTCGTTTGGTCGTGTTTGTTCTCCTCTGTACTCTTCTCTCGATGACTCTTCTTTGAGCCTCTAACTTGATGAGGCTAAGCACTGGATGTGATGTTCATCTGTCTACAATAATAAATGACCATCTCTGACTCAACAAGACTCGGACTCGACACTCGATTGGAAAATATTACCCGGGGCTGTTCTATTCTGCCACCTTGAACTCGGTGTCAGTATTCAAATATCTACTGCCATTGTCCCTATATAAGAATCGTCCCTTTCGGTTCTAACTTCCTGACTATCTTACTCCTTCATTCTCAACACCTCACCTCCGAAGATCCCCTACTTTCTACCTCCATGTAGTGTCCTCTCCTCTGCTCCCAGGCTCCTTGCACACTTTTTTGGTCTTTACCTTTCGCTGCGACCCACATACATTCTTTGTATCCTACACCTCCTTGAGGGGTACCTCAGTCATTTGTACATTAGTATACTTATAATCAAAGTTATGATTAATGCTACACGATGCTTGACTGGAATAATTGGGTCCTGTCCGACCTAAGTACTATGGACCGATATGCGCGAGGCGTAATCTGCTGTGGCACAGGCACAGCCCCTCGAGTCCTTCCCACTCAAAGAATCTCCCTTGAGGTCGCGTCCATCTGCCTTGCTCTAGACGTGATATATGTCTAGGACGCTTCCTAGAAAAATGTACTCGCCGTCCTTCAGGCTACGATGGTAGGGACGTGGATCGGTAGCTTGCCGTCTCCGTCGGCAACATCCGGTTCTCTGTTGCACGATTTTGCCTCTCGGTCGTTCTGGTGCGCTCCGACTTGCACTCTACGCGCCGCAGTTTGTCTCGCCGTCATCTGCATGACTATGTACTATCAGAACTCAGCGCTCTCAACCTTCTGTCCTGTAGCAGTTCGTACTCCGAGATGCAGAGGCGACAATATTCTTGCCAGCCGCTGCGTGCGCTTTACCTTTTCGAGGCCATCCGAGCTGAGTCTGCGTGCACCATGTTCCTGTCTCCTTACGAGCTACGCTCGCATCTTGGTATAGTTGCGGCCAAATGATAGTCCATGGCTTGCCTGCTGGTGAGTCAATCTGACTCCTCTCTACAAATACGACCTCAATTTCCTGCGATCCTCATCAGGTCTTCCAAATCCAATCACCTTCCATTCGACTCCTGTGCCATACCAGACTTACCGGAGCTAGGCTCCAATCGTCGACAACTATCATATAAGCAGTCAGCTTATACGTAGAACCAAGATGCACGGAACGGCTCAAATAAACGTCTCAAAAATCATAAGGTACTTGATACGGGCTGAAGGCTTCAGCCATCCGAACAGGGCGATCACTATAGCCATCTCGATTGAATGTCTCGCCTGAAAGACCTGTTTTAGTACTGCAAAGACCAGAAGCCCAGCACTCACTGTACGCTAAATATTTACTTCCTTCAGAGCGTCTGAGAGCACGCTAAACGACGCACGGGCGAGTATGTCCATTTCATCTTATCCTTCTTCCTTCGCTGTGGCTAATGACCTCGACAATGTTCACGAGGGAGGCTTCAGTGATGGCCAGTGACCGTGTTTTTGGTACGCTTCGCGCACCATCCGAGGAATTCAGTTGTAACTGCTTCGTCTGAAACGCGGTTTCGTTTTTTTTTTTTTTTTTTTTTTTTTTTTTGGTAAAACTCAGCGTCGAGCAGTCGCCAATGGCAACTCTCTTCCGCCTCATCGTCGGTGGGCGCGCGGTCGTGTTTATCGGCCTCTGAGCTACTAACTTCCCATAGTCTACGTTCAGTGGTCATCCCCGTAATTCGATACTTTGTCTCGTCTCTCTATGCCTTCTCCATCCTAAACCCTCACCGCCATAGTTCAACATCCAATCTTTGCCGAGGATTTTACATCACTGCTTCGTACCCGTTCATTCACACATCTGGCAGCAATTACCCTCGTCTACGATCGATACCTGTTGTTGTTAACTCACTGTACTATACCAAATCTGATAAGTAGCTGCATAGCATTGAAATCGTCACTTTTATGAACCAACTAACTAGCGGAGCGTAGCTCCGGTGAGTCTTGTTCGAATAAGGCATACGTACTCCGAAGAGATGTATGAGGTAAATGAGATTGATGAATGTACCGTTGGCACATACGAAGATGCTGAGTCTCTTGACCCTGCCGTATATTCTTAAACCGCCGCAGAGCAGGCTGTGTCATTGAGTCATTCAAGAGCGAGAGCCGATTCTGCGGAAAATACCGTGTTGTGAGAGCTCAAAGCTCCATCAGAGCTACAGGAGATCTTCAGATTGGACAGATTATTGGAAGCGTGAGTGACAGTCAACTTGAAGGCGGTTTGGGCGAACGTCGTCGAGCTGTATTACTTCCCAAAAGCCAAGATTTATGGAACCGGAGTGAACAACAGCTGGAGCGCATCCCGTCCAGTGGCAAAACGGGAGATTGATAGATCGTGGAACTCATCAGGAATATTATGATATTATTCCGGGTGTTGAGGGATGACAATCGAGTCGCCGGAAGGTGGTGACGTTCGGGTAGTTGTTCACTATGGTGCAAACGGCTTAGTCATCACCACTTTTGTACAGCGGCCAATTTCGTCGGCGAAAGTCGAAATCCCCATTTATTGAAAGAAAATTCCTGGCACCCCCCTTGGTTTTCGGAAAATAATAAACAAATGAATAAAATATTCTTATTTGGCGGGGTGGCCAAATCCAAAAGTTCATCTTTGCCAGTTTTGAGAATTTGGATAATCCCTCTAGAGGAACTCTTCCTTACATCAAAAGGAGTGTTTCTGGAAGAGGGGTAGTGAAAATTCTCAAATCTCGGCCCGCGGCACCGTCCTCAACGTTGTGTACAGAAGTGGCGGCGTCTAAGCCGTTTGCACCATACATCAGCAAATCGCTCCAAGGCATCCAAGGCCTTGGGGGACCTTGGAACTCTTGCCCGCTGCTTGGAAGAGCCCGAGTTACGCTGGAAATGAAGAAAGTCCTGAAACGGCGGTCTTCGGACGCCGTATAACCTCATTTGCAAGTCGCAAATGAATTCTGCGTCGTCGCACCGTTAGGCGAGCTTGGACAAAGCTCCCGCATCTGAGCCAGACTCGGAAGGAATGGAAACTTGAGTGCAACGCACCTGCCCTAAACTCCGTTCCCCGCTCGTTCACGGGCGCTCTCCTGAGTCACGGTGCTCTTTCAACCCCTTCCACCGTCCTCGTTCTACGTCTCCGGTGTTCACTCTCTTGTAAACACTAAACCTTCCTAAAACGTTTCCCTGCGACACGAGTAATACTATGTGCACGGTTTCTAGTTGATCGCCTTAGTCCGCACTGGTCACTGTAACGGGCAGGTCTGCGGGAGAGCAAGGATCCGGGCGGGAAAGGGACCCGCCCGAAACTGGTGTTGATCAGACAAGGATACATGGCGCTACGCTACGAGTATAAATACTAGAGAGCGAAGCTGAGTAAGGTATGGAAAATAATCAGACATATAGGAGGGGAGTCTGGAGTGGTGGCGAGGGGTGGCGAGAACAAAGAGTGTCGGAAGTGATCGGATGTGGCGGGGTTATGGTTGTGGCACTAGCCATGACCATGACAGTCACGTCGTGCGCAGACCCCAGTAGCTCCCCTCGAAGACGAGTAATCGCTCATACCGGTTCTAGGGCTTGTCTGATTATTCGAAGGTGGTCAGTCTGGTGATTGCTGATTCAATGCCTTTTATTGATTTGCCCAACGGGCTCCAGTGTTGCGACTTTGGAAATAGGCCGTTCACGCTGATCACTGGAACTTGTCACGGTGTCTGAACATCGTGCACGAGTTCTGAACTATCTTTGTTGCGTGCGTTCAACGGTTGCATCTGTGCGTCATTTACTCTGTCATGTCCGGGCCACACAGCATAACGAAAGAATTTCACAGCCCCGACGATCGCTGAATACGCGAAGACCATGGACACGAAGTGCGCTGAGTTTTCCGAAGGACGGTAGAGGTTTGCGTTGCGAGGGGCATTGAGGCCGACGGGGTTTGGTAGCTGGTAGGTCGCAGTTTGGTCAGGTGTGTAGTTTCGGTTCATTTAGTCTTGATGATTTTCTTCCTTGCCGGACAGGAGTCTAGGAGCAGCCATCGGAGAATCCCAGTCCATTTAGTCATACTGACATGCTGGAAGATCGGTCACGCTTTTGCTTGCGGAGACACCATCATCCTCAAGCCTCACCGCTCTCCGTATGGCCTCGCTCACCAACGTTAACGAAGCCGGGTTCCCGCCAGGCGTCATGAATATTCTCGTCGACGACATCATGTCCTCTCATATGGATATTGAGAAGTTATCCTTCCTGGTTCGACGTTACTCGCGAGAAAGATCATGGAGAGGGTAGCACAGACAAACTTGAAGGATTTCACGCTCGAGCTTCGGGACAAGAGCTCGAGCATCATCTTCAACGATGCGGATCTGGATTTGGCGGTCGATTCGAGCTCGCACGGGATCTTGTGGGTCTTTCTCTTTTCTTCATCCGCTCCGTTCAATGCCATGAAGCCTACCGTGTTTGCTTCACTATAGCTTGAACCACGGCCAAGCATGTTGCCCTGTTTCCCGGATCCTCGTGCAGTCTGGTATCTACGACGAGTCTCAAGAGGCTTACCGCGAAGGCGGTGTTTATCAAGCTCGATGATCAATCTGCTCACGACTCGTACCAGGATCGTCAACTTTCGCAGCAACATTGCGGCGTACGTCTTTCCATTTCTCTTGACGCACCCTTCGACATACCCCAATGTTACTGCTATGTGATTCATACTCATCCGCTGCGCCCGTTCCCCAGCACAGCATGTCCTACATCGAGTCTGGCAAATCCGAAGGCACGACGGTCCAGCTCGGCAGCGTCCGTCACAGCGAAGAAGGCTACTACACCGCCGGAGGGCGGGGATGATGGGACGGCGTTGATCCGAACGGGGTAGGTACGGTACGGGTGCGGCCCCTGACCGGCCTTTGGCGGTAGACAGCCGGTAGAGGTTTCTGTGAGACGTCGGTACAACGTTGACCAGCTGTTGCAACAGCGTATCGTGCCAAGGCCCCAAAATGAGAAAAGAAGCTAGCCCGAGCAAAGAATTGAACCAACGATCGTTAAAATCCCGCTAGAAGCCAACATGCCCATGCAGCGATAACCACTGCGGCATATGGCCATACTTTGCTAGGTTGGGTACTAGAATATATAGCGTGCCTGCTCCGACTTCCACAGGCTCTCTGACCTTGGTCTCTCCAAGTTGCTCCGCTTTTTCGAGCCAGAGCAACAACCATTCAGCTTGCAGACCTGTTTGAGCAACTTTTGCAGCAAGTGCTCAGAGCAAAACAGGGAGTGCACAAGGAGAACACGACTTCGCTCAGACGCGAATCGCGTTGGATTCGACGCGCGGGTTAACATGCTGACTCAGCGACTGCCGATTGAGCATCGTCTGTGGAACGCTGCACCGACGTTGCAGAAAAGGGCTGTAAGATTCTTGGCGGCCAGTAACCACGGAGCAATATACGAATTTGTCGGAGCAACGCTGTCCCTGTGGCGAAGCGGGGCCCTTCCGGCCATGGCCCGACGTTTGGCGGCCTAGGCCGGGCCATGCTATCAGTCGCCCGGCGGTGTAGATCGAACCAACCATCTTCACGAACACAGCAGTCAACATACGAATCGTTCAACAAGATATCTTCGTGCCCGTCGGGGTCGTAATCAAGTTCGAGGACAAAACAGAAGTGCTGCGGCAGCCGAACGATTCGCTGTATGGGATGGTCGCGTTGGTGTTCAGGCGGAATATTAGTAGGGGCTTGGGGTCCGCACATAAGCTCAAGGCGGGGATGGCGAGGATCACTCGCGCGAACCAGATATATTTGACTGACCTTATTCGTCTAGGATTCCTTTGAACCCCCTCGACATTGGGTCAAGTCCATGAGAGTAGGGCCAAGTGATGGGAAGTTCTCCCAACTCTGTGGTTTGTCAAACGGCACCGGCGATGTTGCTGCCGAATGAGAGGTATGCGTTGTTTCCCTACCCCTTTGGTTTATTGCCTTGTCGTTCGCCGGCACATCCATATGTTCCACGCTGTTCGATGTTTCCACGGTACATAGGACGTGCAGACCATAGCTTACATAGACATACTCAAAACACTTCTCATTCCGTCGCCCGTCTGTACCTCGTACATATTGGTAGAGCGTATGTTGTGTTCCCCTCCCCTTGGTGACAACTGCTCTCGGGTAAGGTAGACTAGCTATAGGATATCACGAATAAATCTTTTTGTCCAAAACGAACAGTTGTCTTGGCTGGTAGAGGAACAGCGCCCAGGTGCAGGAGCCAAATGAGTGCTTGAAACTAGTGTTACAGGGTCTTGCATAATAAACTGGAATGTCGCGCATAGAAAAATCCTGGGCGCCCGAACCAAACAAAGCCGTAAGCGGTAAGTACTCTCGGCTTGGCTTCGGCAGTGGCGCACCTTAGGCTTTGGTGAGTGGTGTCCGTTCGTCTCACCCATCTGAATCTCCTCAGTGTCTCTCTGTGAGCTCCCTTATTCCCTCACCTAGAGCATACGGTATCGCGCGCTATGATGAAGAATTTCCGTCGCTGTATCTAGCAAGGAAAAAATGTGGCCTTTTGTACCGACATCTCTGTTATGCAGACCGACGGCGTCAATCCGACGTCCAAGGCTGCCCGCTGACATCAACATAACTCCTTCTCCCTGGAAGTTGTACGGGAGATCGAGCGTTCGTTTACACGTCTCTGGTGCCACACCATTCCTGCCGAGGATCGCTGAGAGGACCTGCCATTTACGGCTCTATTTGGTCCAGGCACGCAACTTTTTTGTGCGCGCGACATTCCAGTTTATTATGCAAGACCCTGTAGTACAAACAAGCCAGCGCGACTTGGGAGTTCGACGGCGACGCGGTGGGCGCCCGTGATGCGCGTGACCGTTCCGTGGGAATTCAACGAGCTGAGTTTCAACGGGCGCGTCGAATCTGGACTCTGGTAAGTCTGGAGTCGCGCCGTGCCCTCCCTCTTTCCTCCCTTACTCTCGCCCACTTCGCTTGTTGGGCGTCACTGCCCTCACTATCGGTGCTACTCTCTATAACAATAACGGTACTACGTCAATGATTACCCTCACGGAAACACTTATGCCAAGGTCAATGACGGGGCGCGGTCCCGTTTCGTCTTACTCCACGCCGTGTACAGTTTGCTACACGCAAGGCCCATGCACGCGTAGAGAACTCACGACCAAGATATAGCGGGGCTCCCAGACTCTGATAGTAATTCTGCGAGGTACGCATGTATCAACCGTTCCTTCACTTTGCGCCCTTCTTTTCATCGAAGAGTCGTTCGCCTCATCGCTTCCATCCTGTGCGTCGTTTACATTCGATCCGTCAAGAATTCACTCTCACTACATATATTTTACGCGGTTACCAATAGCCTTTCCCGTTCAAGATAAGATGTAGAGCGGAGATCTATCCTAGCTAAGAACATACGGGTGAGCTTCAAGTACTTCCGTTGGCCCTTTCAGCATTCTCATTCCACACTTGTTGTGGTGATCTTCAGCCAATTGTTGAGGGCAGAGAACGCGGAGGCTCAATGGTGGCAATGAGGAGTCTTCTGGTGAGCCACTTCCTTTCTTTATCGTGTACGACTGCACACTCGACAATGCGCCGTCTCACTACGTGAGCTCTTGTAGGCTTATGCAGAGTCTCTAAGTGCGTCATCTCTCTCATTCTCATATCCTCATCTCTCTCATTCTCATATCCTTTGAAAGATCGCGTTCATACTGGTCCCATCTGCTTCCTTTAGACACATCCTGCCGGTGAGCCTGCTCCAGATTCATCACCACCCAGTACCGCACCGTGCGCAACTACGTACACGAGAATCAACATTCGTGAAAGTATCGGGACTGAGGAGTGTTGAGGTATCGAGACAGGCCTGCCAATTGTCGGCGGACCTTCAATGGCTGAGCCGGTAGCGAAAAGACGGTGATTGAGGCGATGGTTCGTATATGCAAATCTTGTTTGATACCACCGTAGCGTAGCATCATGTAAATGAATTGAATATAAGTATTTTATGCGCTCATGGTGAAGCTGGGACGACTGGAGATGTCTGCCTCCAGACGCTCCGGATGGCGGTTGTGATCCCACACGAGCTCCTGGTCGCGCGTCGGTCTTTCTGGGCTCATGCCCTTGTCTGGAGCTCCCAGAGCTCCAGAGACCACCTGGACGACCTGGTCCAGACGCGTGCGACCTTGCTGATGTGACTATCGTCAGGTCGTCAATCTACTAACTTCACGAACTGTACATGTGGCCCAACCTGTGAGCTCGAGCGTTTCCCGTATGCCCGTACACGAGCGACCCCCTCTCATTTTCCGCTATGAGAAACATCTGAACCGCCACAATGATGTCTGAACTGTTAAGCCCCTGACTTTTCACGTTGCTGCGGGATACTAAAGGTTCCCTCACTTGCTTTGAGGGAATGAGGTTCAGACCTTCCTTCCTGTAGGCCCTCCACAGTCAGGAGAACTATCTTCATGTGGCTAGTGTGGTTGAAGGTCAGATGCGGGTTGGCAAGCTTTTCCAGATGCTTCGTCGAATGGGACGCGATCATCTTGAGGTACGCCACAGTGATGGGGGTAAGGGATTGGGTTTCGGCAGAGAAGTTTTCGGTGACGGATGTCACTTTAACTGTTAAGAACAATCGTACATAGTGATGGTCCATCTCAATGGGCATAATTTCTGCACACGGAACATGAATATATTGCGCAATACTATTGCTATGAGACATGGGAGGTGTATGGTGCAGGGAACAGAGTACAGTAGGAATCAGACTAACCAAGAACCAGAGAAAAGAGTAAACACACGACGGCTTACCTCTTCCGTGCATTACCCTCCTTATCATCCGCCGGGGCTCGATGACCTCCCCCGGCACACTTCCTCTCGCAATACTTCCTCTCTTTCAAATCCACACATCAATATGTATACCCAAATTCCCACACCCTCGCCTTCCCGCTTCTCCAAGGCGCCCGGTCCCCGAACTCCATCACACTCACACTGATCAGCTTCGCACTCATATGTGCCTCCGCCACCCTCGGATTGATCATCCCCCGTGTTGTCGGTGTATAATAACTATAAACAACGATCCACCGGTGTGGTTTCATCCTTTTGATCTCTGCGGCGTTGTCGTTGAGCCATGCGAGGTCTTGAATGGGCATCGTGGTGTACGCGCCGGGGGTGAAGGTTATGCGCCGCAAGTCCTGAATCTTCTAGATCTGAGGGTGTCAATCTTGGACTCGTCAACGTGCGACCAGAGCGTGTAGCCGATAATGATCAGGGTGCGTCCATGTCGTACCGGTTGCGGTTGAGGTGGACGGAGGGAGGTGGACGAAGGTGCCCAAGGTGTCTTCCTGGTTCACAAAGCGGGTAAACACGCGGAGTCATTTTGTGTATTCGATTTGTGTGCTTGTAGAGTGCTGTGAGATGAGGTGGATGTGAGAAGGAGGGAAGGGGGACCATAACTGTCGAATCTTACACCACTGTTGGTCCTCTTCCGGTTGATCTAACTTTCCTCATCTCACGCTTCAACCTGCCCAATCCTTCGCTCATTCCTTCACTTAATCTTGTCTCCATTCGGTCAACTGGTAGCGAGTTCCTGGATGAACTGGACCAAACGCTACCGCTCGAAAACATGGTGCTGGCAGGTGGCGAAGAAGCCATGAAATGGGGGAGGTCGCTCGAGATAGCAGAAGAGAGCAGTTCACCGAAGGAGGAGCGCTTGATACGGTGGAGGCTGACCTGGGAGCTGTCGAGGAATGGCTCACCGTCACCACCAGCGGAGTACGCAGTGATCTGTACCACTTTGCCAGCTTCGATCCGGGTGGTGTGGAGCTCGAAGCGATAGCGACGCATGTGAGCGTGGTACACATCGCCCAGAGTGTGGAAAGAGGACTGGTGGTAAAGATAGATCGGCCGGGGAAGTACGCGGGGCAGCTGAGAGCAAGCCTGCAGCTCGGCGTGAGACAACTCGCTAATCATACCACGGTCAGTATGCTTAATCAGTGGCGACATAGAAAGAACGTACTTGTTTGAGGCCTTTAGCTTCACAGTGTCGCCACCATCTCGAATATCCCTAACGACCCTCCTGGGCTCAGACCCTTTCTTCCGCTTCTTCAAAGTCTACAAAGCAACATCTGCCTCTCTTCTCACAATCTTCCTACCCTTCTTCATTCCTATCCCCTGCATTACTACCACTCACCGTGTGATTGCTTGTCCTGATGGCGGGAGACGCTTCAGCTCCTGATACCCATCCGAGTGAAGCCTTGCCTGGTAAAGATATCGAAGTGCTCGTGACGGAGAAGACCTGATCGAACTGAGAGCGGAGGTGGTTGGAGAAGTGATCGAAGCAGGTGAAGATGTTGCGGGACAAACTGAAGAGCAGGGTTGACGAAGGTGAAAACAACCCAAGTGTTGATACGCAGGAGCTGGGGCGCGGAATCGAACAATGGGGGATAAGCTCGTTGATAACGGCTGCTGCACCAAAATCTAGTCAGTATATGTAATATCACGCTATGCAGAAGTCGAGACAAATGACTTAAGAGTCTTCACAGTGGGTAACTTGCCCACCCATGCGTGAATACCCATCTGCCTGACCGCTGTGTGTGTTCGTTGCGAAAACATGGATCGTCCTCTTCCTTCAGCCCATCGCGGCCCATCTCCGATCTGACGCCACATAAACCCAGTCGATGGCCCCATTCGTTCGACCTCTTCGAATGTCATGCATATGCCAAGGCGCACTGTTATCCTAGTAAGAACAATAGGTTATTGCCGTATATGGATAGGAGAGAATCGAACGTGTCAATACATCGGGACCATACCTTGACAACCTCGTCCTCACCACCTCCGCCAACTCCTGGAGTACAACCTTCCCACCTGCGTGTCCTCTGGCACCGCCACTAAGCGAATGATAATAAGAGAGGATAAACGAGAGTAGGTAATAAATGGAAAATCTTAGAAGATAAATGGTCGAGACGTACTGATACAAAGACAGGCTCGTGATGATGATCTCGGACGACGGGTTATACCAGCCAGAATCCACAATTACACAGATGAAGCCGAACCCATTAGTATATACCCTCCCACCCTCATAAATCCCCCGTATACCGAGGAAAGAGCAGACGCCCCTCCATAGATAAATTACGTCACCGGGATCATCACCGCGCACTACATCCATACAAACTTCATGTCAGCATCCAATCCGATATTGCACAAGAAATAACCAAGAAAAAAAGTTGAAAACCAACGACCAGCGATCAAAGACCCATCGAGCATCATGAGTGCCTGTTGAGCTTGAGGGTCGTGCGAATGCGACAGACGAGAAGTTGCGGTTGTTGTTCGAGAGGATCAGGGAGCTGGAGGGCCATCTCAGGCCAGGGTGGCGTAGGCACGAAGGATGAGGGAGCTTCAGAGGCTGTGGATGGTAAGGAGAGGAAGCCGAAGGTGGAGGCGGAGGAAAAGTCGAAGATGAGAAGTCAGGAGTTAGCGGATTCGACCACGATCATTGTGCGCAATGATCACATACCTTTCCTATGTGGCATCAACACTGACCTATTGAATTATTCAACGGTCAGAACTTAGCAATTGACACATTCATGCGCTTTCACGGCGTCACTCGTCTATCACAGCCGGAAGATTTTCCCGTCATTGAAGACTGGAGCACCTACAACCGAGACGACTTACCTTATGTCCTTCACGTCCCTGATGTGCACCACTGGCAGGTTCGTCTTCACTGGAACGAGCGGCCTACTCACCCGCATAATGCGGCAATCATTGCGGACCTAGCGAGCTGGGCGCATAAGAACGGTGGTGAAAACTATGGTGGCTTACACTGGACACAAGCGTGTCATTCCTGTTTTTCGAGGCCTGGTAAGTCTGCATTGGAGTGCATTCTCCGCCAACGTACGATAATCTCATCCAATAGATTAGATTCCATCTCAATCTCGTCGATTGGACTCGGCAGAACTCGACTGGACTCCGATCGCGTCGAATCGCGTCGAATCGAGTCCTTTCGCGTCTAATCAAGTCCTTTCGCATCCAATATACCTCTCGTTTTGTGGTTTATTGGACTTGAATACAGTATAATGGAATAGAGTGGACTACATTCTACCCCATCGGTGTCCATCCTGCTTCGTTGGACCCTTTTATGAGGGTCCCTTTATTAAACTTCATCTAATAAAAAGATAATGGACTGAACTCCAAAAAACAGAAGCTCGATAGAACGTATGAAGGTTTTTACTGGACTTTAAACCAGGAGTCTTTTTTTTGAAGCTAGATTGTACTTCTTTGGGAGCCAGTGTAGTAGATTGTACGTGAATAGTTGTGATTAGACAAGATTAGACGAGATTAGATATGATTCGACGCGATTAGATAACATTCGACGAGATTCGAAACGAATCGAAATGATTCGACGCGATTGAACTCGAATCGGCGACAATGGAGGCCATTATCTGAAAGCTAAAACATGTTTTATGTTTTATGGACAACATTGGACAACAATATTGGATACCATTGGACACCTTTCGCGCACATTGTCTTCGAGAAATTCGATTTTTTTGGAATACAATCTGTTACCTTGGTTTCCAATGAAGTACAAAAAATGAAACGGGCATTGAATGTGCAGAATGAATGCCAAAGGTGTAGAATAGTGTCCAATCTATTTTATTCCCTTCTATTCGCGATCATTGGACACGAATCAAGGGCAGAGAATGTTTGCGAGTCTGCACCTATGTGAGCCAAAGGACGGGAATCACCGCGAATAGAATCTAATCGTTTCCAATCTCGTCGAATCTCGTCGAATCGCGTCGAATCTCGTCTAATCGACGCGATTCATGTAGAATCTTATCTGTTAAATAAGATAGTTCTCCGTTGGCGATGAACATACACAAATCGTCGCCAACGAGCTCCAAAAAGACAAAGACAAGGTACTTGAGTCCAGTAGGAGCCACCATAGATTTCAGAAATCACGCTATTGGGGTATGTCGAATAGATGTCTTACCTGGCATCGTCGTCCGACTCTTGTTCAATGCTCATGCGGCCTCGTTTCTCTGGAAGTGCCAAGTTCGTCAGCGTAAACGCGATGGTCTTGACCCGACGGGCGAGCTTAGGGACCCATGGTATGATGCTGCAATGCACCCTCAGCCGATGTCAGACGACGAGGACACAACGGATGCAAAAGGTGCCCCAATTTGCAAGTCGCGTCCTGGCGTCGACGTTGGGTTGGACTGTGGGAGGAATGGGTTGGACTGTGGGAGGAACATAGTGGATGAAAGGATCAGCGAGGCGAGTTTGGCGGGTGTTGACACGAGATGAGTTTGGAGGATCCTGAGCCATGAATGAAAAAAGAAGTAGCGATGGTGGTGAAAGAGTGTGAGGGATGTGGCAACTAAGTACGGTCTGACGAACCTCGGCGATGTCTCTCAGCCTTTATATCATAACTATCCGACTCCCTTGCAGATCAGCTGTTTATCTGGAGGAGGATTGGTGAGAACTCCCGCAAGACTGAGGGAAAGTATAATGTATTGGATTCACCCGAAACACTTCGATGTGGAGCAGTGGCGTGCAGGGAGGATGAGTGAGACTGTTGGTAGCAGTCAGCTTTCATCTTCGTTGCTGTTGGGAGGACGGTGAACTTGACAAATAAAGATATATGGGGTGATTGAAGTCCTGACCTAGAGTGAAGTCAAACTGAAGTGCTGCTATTTGGAAGACAGACAGTCGATTCAACAGGTCCAACTTGGAGTGCACTCTCACAGTCAAGAGCGATCCTGACGAGCTGCTGTACTGTTCAATACAGCCGGACGTCTTCCCGTGGACATTGAGTACAAGGACGACACTCACCAACCCGTATTGTCCGCTCATGCATTGGCTCTCGATTGCATAATCTTGCTCCTTTGTGCCTTGAAGAATATTGTTTGTGAAGGCTTCCTCTCCGTTGAGACTGGGAAATGGCATGCTGAACGCTTGAACGCGTTGAATGCCCAGCACAGATGGTTGCGAGAGGAGGGTGGCATAACCTAATCTAGGTTCGATCCGTCATGCGTACAATTTTGGGTCGCGTCGGAGGGGTCAAAACCCGAATCGGCAAGATTGGGCTGAAATCGCCTTCTGAGGATCAAAGAGGTCATCAATTTCTCCCGATTCATCAGTTCTTCGACCGGATTGAGCTAAAACTGCGCTCAATATACCTCGCGCAAGTCGTAATTTCTTTGTCCGCATAAGATCGGACCTAGGTTAGGTTATGCCACCCACCTGTTGCGAGACATGAAGAACATCGTAAAGGTGTGGCGCGTCAACGCGTTCAACCCTGTCACACGGTGGTCACAGTGACCCCTCGCACAGGAGGGTGGCATAACCTAACCCAGGTTCGATCCGTCATGCGTACATTGAAACAGCTGTAGAGTACTCAAAACAAGATGGGCTAGCAAGAGCAAACAAGGGTTATAGAGAAGAGGATAACAATGACGTCACGGTCTGACATATAACCTCATTACCCAGTAGCTGCACTGAAGCTCTTTCCACTTCTCGTCCTCCGCTCTGGCAGGACATAAACAGCATCAATATTCTTTTCCGAAGGTGAAAGAAAGCCTTCAGCATATCCCTTCCAGCCCCTCTTGGCAGCGATGCGGCTCTTCGCTCGCTTAGAAGGAGGTGGTGCAGTAGATTTTTGAGTTCTACAAGACAGCCGGTCGTCCTCCCGTTCGTGATCTGGTAAGGTAAGGTAATTTGCATATATTGCAACAAGTGTGAGAAGAGATAGACGGACCAGGGGAGGTATGTGGGGAGGACAGTTGCATCGGTTGAGAAGAAATAGAGACAGAGCGTTGGGGGGTGTACATCCGGATGGCAGGGCGTGCACTCCAAAAGAGGGAGGGTTTAGCTGCGAGAGATGTGGGCTTCAACTCCGACTGCGGGACGGCCTGCGCTTGCTTCCTCTCATGGTTCCTCTCCCTTTCCCTCTCGCATTCACTTTCCTTCTCTCTCCACCTCTCCACCTTCCTTCCCTCTGCCTTCTCGACTGCGCGATCAATTGAGACGCGGTGAAACCGTAAATCGAATTTGCCAGCAAAGACAGAAGTAGCGGTTCGACGTTGTCGTTTGTGTGGTGGTACGGTGTAGGATGGCATGACGTGTAGCGGCGGATTTTGTCAGGAAATATGCGCGCGGTTTGGTGGTGAAGTAGGTGTGGCACACCACCCGCAACGAACCCAGTTCCCTTATGCGTGTCCGAAGACGTCAGGAAGTATGAGCTCCATTCACATCATTTTTGCCGCCCTCTGTTTCTCAGCCTTGCCTCTCACTCATCTGTCGTTGTATAATTGTCCATTCCCGGGCGTCATATCCAGCTTGTCACAGTATATACTCATCATCCTTGTGATGTGATGTAGTTGCAATCATGTATTTCTACTTTCGCTGTTCAAGATGTTATAGCTATGAGAGGAGAACAAAGCAACCGACAGATCGTATGGACATTGATACACGATGGATAGGCTTCCCTGGCGAACCGCAACACAGTGTCAGCATTTGAGGACAATCAGAAAATGCTACCTGACATACCTGGGCAAAACCGAGAGTTCGTAGTGAATTGCTGGTTTTCGATTTCACGAGCGCGATGTCTGCTATATAACGAGCTGGGAGCAGCTATCGACGGCAATGACGGCGAAAGACAGAATAAGTCGTTATATTCTTCTTCTGTAACCATCTGTATACTCGTAGCAAACCCGCACCGCCAATCGGACAGCGTCAACAAGGGAAAACAAGGACATCAAGCGAGCACCGCAGCAGAAGGAGCTGATTCGGACCTACAAATAAATGGAACAACAGGATACAAACATATCGTCGCAGATCGATACCTCAGCAACGTCCAGCCTTCTCAACATTCTCGTCCCCCCTTTCTCTTCTCCGCCACTCAACACAGAATACCCCACTCTTGTTCGCAGTCGCCACTTATGCTCATATCTCCCCATCCACACTCCCCCTCATTATCCCACGGCCCCAGCCTAAGATTTCTCACGCTGCCCACCACGACCATAATCCCTTGCACACCCTGTCCAATGTCTTCTCCGAAACCCTCGAACATCTCCATCAACCTTCCAACATTCTCCAACGCGAAATCCTCCATCTCCTCCGCCAATGCCAACTCCTCCCTCTCTCCTCCATGCATATCACACTCGTCACCACTTTCTCCGTTCCCGTACCCATTGAGTTTCGTCGCACGTCGTTTTTTACCCTCCGCAATACTCGCAAGCTGACACTGTGTGGCGTTGAGGGGGGGGGGTGGGGGGGGGTGAGGGGGAAGGGAGGGGGACCGCCAAGGATGCAGAGGGTATCAGAGAGAAAATCGTAGAGGGAGGAGAGGAAGGAGGCGTCAGATTCGATGGCGATGCATGCAATAAGCTAGGAATAGGTTGCAGAGATCATTTGGTTCGTTAGGGTGTTCGAGTCTTGTCCGCTGAGATAAGCATGGGTACGATCCTACAACACACTTTGAGTTAGTATCAAGGACGAATAGACTCTCAACATTGGTTGACGATAGAATATGTCGAAAGAAAAACGTCGGCACTCACATCGCACAAGCCTCCCTGACACCATGATGCAGATAGAACCTCAAGATCGGCAACACAAGCTCGAGCATCTGACTTAAATAGGGAGCGAACTGTGTCCCGAGCGTAGAAACGTAGATCACCAACGTCTCGAACACCTGGCATTTCTCGTCGATGGAGGAAGTGCGAACGACGACCTGCTTTCCGTCCATGGTGATCGTCTGGTGTCCTTCTTTATCTTCTGGGACGTCTTCGTCTTCTACGGGCATTCATGAACCAAAAGTTATGAGCGTTGGATGGAAAAAATGTGCAACGGACGAGAGAGAAGGGGATGAAAGGGAACTTACCGTAAATCGAAACATCCGCCTTCACACTCGCAGCCCTCAACAACTGCGGCATAACCGCAGGTAGGAAAGGTTCAAATTCGGGCCCCATAGTCTGACAGATCTTCGCCCACGTCGCGATGAGGTAGTGAGGGAGCATGACATCGCCGGGATCAACTGGGCTGTCTTCAAACGCAGACATGCGTCAGCCAAATCGAGGGACAAAGACGGAGAAAAGAGAGACGTACTTTGTATTCTGATCAACTGCTCTACGAAGACTTGGGAGCCTGGCCTGTCACGTCTCGTCCCACCGCGATCGCTATAAGTATAGTCAGCACATCGAGCCTCGGACGGATTCAACAAGGGAAGAAGGAGACTCGACACACCGATCAACCCGGCACACTCCATCGCCTTGAGTCTCAACGTCCTATAATCCGGTCAGTTCGCGTTCTTGAGGACATTCAGGAACAATGACATGATGCTCGAGTAATGCTATTTTGACCACGATCCACCAGAGCGCCACATCATCCACGCCAGTGCAAGCCACCCAGGCACAACGTCACCCGAGCAAGAAGAATCCAAACCAACGTCAGTGACATCAGTCTAACTCCCACCACAAGGGGAAATGGAGAAAAGCCCACCTGCGCGAACGTATCCTCACTCGCACCTGCAACCATCGCCAACGTCGTAATCACCTGCTCCTGCACATACCTCCTAACGCCCATCCCATTCTCGTTCCCAGCCCCATTTGCATCTGTGTTCGTGGAAGAGAGGCTGGCAGGATTAAGATGTTTGAACAGCTGCCCGACGATAGGACCAAGGTAGGGGATGAGTGTGTCGCGCTCGACGCCATCGCAGAAGTTGATGAGGGCGGCTGCGGCGTGAGCGGGTACTTTGTAGTCAGCGAGGTACGAGAACAGTGTATTGTCAGGATGATGCGGAGGGCGAAACAAGTGGGGAGAAATAACGGGCGAAATTGGGCAGAATGAGAAGAATAAAGGCGGAGAAAAGTACATCGATTCGGGAGCCTCGAGCGTAGGAATGAGCACCGAGAATAGTTGTTGGTGGTACTCCGCCTGGATCACTTGCTAACCAGTGGAAACGGAACACGTCATCGATCTGCATCTATAATTCGCCACAGTACTCGTTGAGAGTCAGACGTACCTCGAGATCTGTACAAAGCTGACCGCTAGATAGACGAGGGTGTATAATGAGTTTAAGTGCACAAACAGAAAGAGATGCGGAAGGATGCTGGCGAGAAGATGGAAGTACGAAGTGTGCAGGAAGGGAGACGTACACACATTGGCAAGCCGCATATCGCACCTTCGGATATAGATCGCTCAACAACGGGAGTATCAAACAGAAAGCAAAACAAAACACGGTGAGCACTTCGTCCGAGTGACGTCTCACGCGTAGCTCCACCGCCCGAGTCAGACTCCACCCGGCACACGCTCTCCCATTCTACGGTCGTCCAGGAGTAAACACTAGCACGTAAATATCCGTCACTGCAACTTCCTCTCTCCAAGCCGCTGCCACTTCCTTCGAGTGAAGGATGGGCCCTAGAACAAAATATCGAGGAACCCGATCACGACTCTTCCAACTCATTCACTCTGCATCCCAACTCATGTCTCCACACACCCTTCCTGCATAACCTAACTACCAAACCAACGATCCACAAAAGGAGACAAAAACACGATGTCGGACGGTAAAAAGAAGAAAAGAAAAGAATGAGGTACGAAGGAAAGAACGTAATCGACCACCTTCCCCCACACCAGGCATTAACCCATTATTGGCGGGCCGACGAGCTACTAATGGGTTACTCACAGCGCAAATTATTCAATCAATTCGGTGATGCTGAATGCTGCGGATATTTCAAAACTCTGAGTAAGCCGATTGTGTGGCAGGTATTTCTAGTTTGTGAGACAAAGGGAAGCACTAGAAAAGGTCCATAACATGACATACAGAGTTAATGCCGTCCTCTCTGGTGTAAGGAAGAATTTCACATTGGTGCATGCAGAAGGGGCATCTGCGATCTGGGAAGAAATGCAGAGTTTCAGCACACATTCCGCCAAATTGGGCGGAATATGGCCTGGAATTTGAAGTGCATGGCGGAAAGTGTTCTGAAACAGGCCGAAATTTGAAGTTGGTGGCGGAAGGCAGATGGAAAGGCTTACTATATTTGGAGTTTCAGTTGTGTTTCGGCACGCGGATCGACGCACGTATTCCTCATTGCATCTGCATTGCAACCAGTCCGAATGCAGCGGCAATTTCTTAGAACGTCTTCACAGCGGGTACGGTGTGCTTGGTGGATAATTGAAATATGAGATTTTTACCGGTGTGGAGGGAATGATCATGGTACTGGGCGGATATAATATATACATGCGTTCTTCGCCACAAAGTGAGTCGGTCTTATAGTTGTCTTAGCAGTAAGCGACCCGATGCCGATCCGCCAGACTGAAAGCAGTTGATGCCTGCTGTGCCCAGCTCATTTTGCATCACCTTACTCGTCCCCTCACCTACCACCGCGATGTCCATCAGGCCCACATATCTCAACCTTCACTCGTCCCTCGCCTATAGGCCCATTCAAATCTAACGTCCAGCACCGTCGCACCGTCGCGCCGATACACACCATCACAATCACGAACACCAGCCCAAGAAGTGGAGAGGAAAAATAAAAGGTGAAATAGATCAGCTAATGGAGACGATCATAACAACGAAAAGAAAAGAGACCAAGGGCAACGAACAAAAGAAGGACATATAACATCCCCGGTATGAACTGGAACGCAGTGGGCAGCAGTGCTTTCCCGCCAACGGCGCGCGCGAGCCTGTCGAGCGACTGTTCGTAGATGTGGGGCAGGTGTCGTCTGTCGGGTCATCGGAGGGCTGCATTATTGTCGAGATTGGGTCGGTACGTGCGAGTGCGTTGGATTCGTTAGTGATTTGGACGATTGGGTAGGTGATAAGTGAAGGTTTCGTCCGTGGAGTGGGGTGGAGTGGGTAGGTTATAGGCCGACACGAATGTCATACAAATCATGGAAAGGTCAAAACAAAAATCGAGGGCGGTCAACTGCTAATAAATGGTCAGGAATGAGACCAGGAAATGAAATGGGGTTGTATGGGCGATACAGAACACCTCAAGTGCCACATCCAATTCCACGTTACCAAACAGGGGACTGTCGAACCACCCGATCCACAAGGAAGTCAAACAATGAACGAAATGAAAGAACTCACATCAGCCTCCAACCACCCGCCCAACTCCGCCTCTCGCATATCAATCCCCTCCATCCCGCCCAAGCACTCCCTAACCAAAAGATGAACCCATCCCTCCGTCTTCCTCAACATCCCCGGTTTCGCCTCGCTCAAGTTGATCATAAACTCCAGCGCGGCCTTTCTCACCTCTTCCGCTTCGAGGTCCTGTTCGTCTTGTGGGTCGTCGTCCGCGCCAGAGAAGTGGGAGGGGAGTGTGCGAATGTGAATGCGCCGGAGGGAACAGAGGAAGAGGAGGAAGGGAAGGGACAGGCGACGGTGAGTGTGGGGCCTGGGTCTGCGCTAGGGAGGATGAGATCTGGAAGCCAGTGAAGGAGGGCGGGGAGATGGTGTGCGAAGAGGGAGGGAGAAGAGGTGGCGAGTAGGGTCATGGTGTTTGGGAACCTGTTGTGGCGGTGGCGTTGGACGATATGTTAGAATGCGTAAGTGAGATGAGAGTGAGAAGGGTGCGCGAGAGACGTACCGAGGGAGTTGGAAGGCAGGGAGAGAAGGAAGAGTGTTGAGGGTTGAATAAATTAATTTGAGGGCGTGGAGGATCGCGTGTGACAAAAGGGCGGAGAGGTGCGGAACGGAGGCTGCGAGGACTACGCGAGGAACCTATGGCAGAAAATAATAGTTAGAACGAATAGAACGCAGTGGTCACGAACGACCGAAGTGAGAAAAATATGGATTCAGATGTTGACATCGAGATATGGCGACGGTGTAAGAACGCCATCAGAGCAAGACGGGCTACGACAGACGGGACGCCCGAATGATAACATCCCATGAACCTTTCAGAGAAAAAGAGTAAGTGAAACACTCACATCGACGCTGCGGATCCTGGAGCCCTCTGTCAAACACCTCCACCACCGCCTCCGTCTGACAATCCAACACCAGATTTGGACAGCCACCAAAAACGCTAAACGCACTCTCCCTCTATCCCGTCTCTCCCGAGTTCGTCATCTGGAGCGCCTGGGCTTGAAGCGCGTACCACGGCGTTTCTCTGGCCATGTAATTGTTCGCGAGATCGGTGACGGTCTACGAATTCGCGGCGGACGACGGGGAAGGGTTCGTGTGCGAAGGAGTGGAGGAGGCGTTCAAGGGTGGCGAGAGTTTGGGATGAGAGATGGTCATAGAGGGTGAGGTGGGAGGACTGGTATGGTTTGTGGGGCGAAGGGGATGGAGCCTGGCGGAGGAGACGGCGTAATATGAGGACGAGAGAGAAGGATCACATCTGGTAGCATCTCAGCAGACATTCAACGATGAAACAAAGATAAGACTTACGACTTCGGTACTGGATGACTTCCCGTAGGGAAAATAAATGTTTATTTGGCATTGATTCAACGTGCTCGGCATCGCTCGGAAATGACAGCTGTTCAAGAAATCGTAGACGCGACGACTGGTCACTGCTGTGAGCACACTGGTCACTGTCGAATGCATTCCCGCTCACGGTCACTGTCGCAAATGTGCTGACACACTGGAGGGGACTTGCAAGGGAATTATGATGCGAATATGAACATGAACATGAATATGACGAGATGTTGCACACAGACGAGTAGCCTTTGCGGAGGCTGCGAACTGGTGGCGCTCCTTGTAATTGTTTCTATATGGGCTATACTTGTCCATAGTCAATGTCGCGTCTGAACGGACACACTAGGATACAGTCACTGGCTAGAAATGTGGACCAAAAATTTGCAGAGGAGAAAGCAGAATCTCGGGGAAGCTGAGCCCACGCAACCGAAGCTCATCCATGGATGATGTTAGCCATCCATCAGTATGTCGATGCGTATAGACCCTTGAACTTGACCAGGGCATATCAGACCTTTGTTCTCAGCCTTTTACAGCACAATATTATCAGACGTGCCTTGTAGTAATTTATTACTCATTTTCACGATTATTATGCCAGCTACGTGGGCATCGTCGAGCATCGTCGACGCTGTCCGAAAATTCCCGGAAAGGTACCCGGCGGCTCCCGGCCGTCGGCGCGCCACCTGAAGAGGTGGCTCGCTAGGGCAGACCGCCCAAATCTGTATCCAAAGACAATCATGGTCACGGAGACCGTAAATCAATGAATTCAACAGTCACGTCCACCAACGGACGTCGTACCAGGTACTTCGAGGCCTACTTCATGTCCCACCCACCGTTCGCTATGCACCAGTTTTCCCGCTGGGTTTTTATACGGTCATACTGGCGGTGGGCCTGGTTGGCTCTACCAATTCATCTAGCGCTGGATGAGTTGGTAGAGTCAACCATTATGGTGCCCATGCACTATATGCCGGGTGTGTTTACTGACCTTGTAAGTACTTACAGCAGTATCCAGAGACCGTGAGAGGCCCGGTATGCTTTGTGGCTATACCGAGGGTATCACAGCGGTAATGGGTGCTTGTCTGTTCTGCTGTAGTTTAGTTTGGTACATACACTGCTACAGATAGGGATATTGGTCCTCATGGGCCCATTTTGTATCCTGAATATACTTCCTTCCTTCCTTCTCACGGGGAAAACACGCTCCTGTCACGCGGTAAGTGCCGGGAGCGTCTTGTCTGTGACGGAATCGTGTTTTTGTGGCACCTGTGTAGTTGGTTTGTATGTCTTGGGGGAGGGGTCCTGCAGCAATGAGAACCGCTCGAAATTCCCTCGAAATTCCACGGCGTGACAGCTTTGATGGCCATGAGGTAAACCCGGCAACGGCACCCGAATAGATAAGATTGATGAACGGCGCCTCGCGTATAATTCGCGTACCCCTCAGGCGCCCGCACTGGATCGTGTTTTTGATTATCGGGAGCGTGTTTTTTCGGCGTCGTCCCACCTTCGGTGGAATTCTGGCTGGCAGCTTGGTGTGAAGCGCCCAGGTGCGCAGACACCTTCCTATCCAAAAAAACACGATCCAGCGCGCCTCCGTCACGTCGCGCCACACTCCCTGTCTTGCCACACTCTCCGGCGCCCTTCACTTGCTCCCTCTCAATTCCACCATAAACAGATCCCCAGTAGCTCTTACAACCACCCTCCAGCTCATGCGTAATGTGTAAACGCTACGAGGTACAAGTCAGAATATTTTCTGGGCCGCTTCGCGGCTCTTCGTGAAGTGGTCAATGATTCCATGACTGTATATAGATGTACATGACTCAAAATGCATACATTTTTTACTTTAAAATATATTTTGCACTCTCCATGCATTTAGCACTGTCTCTGCGAGCCCCACTCCATAATCTGCCCTCAGAGGCCATGAATGTAACTCAAACGGCACCTCCACGCAGCGGTGCCACACTCCGAGAGCCCAATCTGCACGCACGGCGCGTCGTCACGAAGAGTCACGTCACGTCACATCGTTACCGTAGCGCGTTTTTTCCATTTCCCAGTTCCACTTCCTTCCGCGATGGCGCAGCTGCCGGTTCTTCCCACGACTACAGATCCGGTGGGTGGCGGAGGCCACAACGTTTGCGTTCGCGAACGTTCTGGATACGAGTTGCCACTTATTTTGTAGCCTTCAAACGCACTTCACTCGCCCGTTTTCCCATTCTGCTCATCCTCAGTCATAGCTGGTAACTACCGCTTCATCCCTCCTGCTCAAAAAGAGATGATAGTTACACTGCACAACAACCATTTGAACACCCGGGAAAATGACGAGTTGATAGCAGAGCACAAAGCAAGAGCTGGCATGATGCTAATATGTACACGGCTGAGGCCTCAAGAATATTCGCGAAAGTTCCGTTGTCGGGCAAGCGTCTTGCGTGGCCTCCGCCACCTACCGAATCTCTAGCCGTGGGAAGAACTAGTAGCTGTGCCATCTCAGCGGCGCGTCTAGGATTTCTTGAACAGCTGGAAGATGGCAGCCAACCACAGAGCTGCGATCGTCATTTGTAAGCTTTGCCGAGCGGTGATCGCGTCGAATAAACTTAGACCGACATGAAATTCCCAGGCAACGGTAACTCATTTTGACTGGTGTGGCAATCTTTCGCTGTTCATCTGCGCAACGGTGTGAAATTTCTCACTGTACCCTCGCAATGCACCAAGTGAAATCTTGTTTTACTGAAATGTAATTCCAACAATATTTGTGGTGGAGGGGAGTTTCTCGTAAACACTCTGCTGTCATGAAGGACGATACATATAAAGTGTATCCGTGAAGCCTAAGGTCTTGCAGAACCAATCCTTCCCATATATTGGCGCCACCTCACTCCCCACCTGCCTCCTCTTCACCAGCCATCATGTTCGACCACCTCCCAAGCCGTCCTGTCATCCCCAACGTCCCCATTGTCCTCATCGTCCCCGTCATCCTCAGCTTCCCCGTCATCCCCAGCGTCCCCATCATCCTCAGCGTATTCATCGTCCTCAGCGTGTTCGTCATCCCCATCGTCTATGTCTACAGAGGCTCCGGTGTCAACCGGTACGTATGTTGATCTTGACAACCTGACGTTAGCAATCTCTACAGTCGGCAGCTCGAGGATACCGAATATATCCGGGTGAGTGAACGCGACATATTGAAGTGGGTGTGCTGTAATGGTCCTACTAGCTAAAAGGTCCATAAGTCTGCGGAGGGGACCACCAGCAGTATTGTGTCGGTTCATGAGACGTGAAACCCGGGCAGAATTGTTTACATACGAGCGAAAGACGATCTTTTGCAGTAGTGGGACAGGGTAATGGGTATCACAATCCACAATATGCAACGCATCAAAGAGTGGGTATAGATCTCCGATGTCGACCGCCAACACTTTGATGTTCGGAAATCGCAACAAAAGGCCACGGAGAGAGATGGCGCTGGTGTATGATTGAAACCAAGGTGACACGGCTGTCGGACGAGATATGAGTTCAAGCGATTGAACTATTGTCTCAGAAGGAAAGAAAAGGCTCTCGAGAATTGTTACGAGGGCACTCTCCCGTGGGGCATCGATCTTAGGAAGGTTGAACTGGATCACCAAGTGAAGATGGTAATCGACCTGTTGAACATCACCCTCTCGGAGTATATTGCAATGATAACGCGAGGGTCGTTTGGCGATGACATCAATGACACCGTCTCGACTAAAGTCCAATGACAGGAACTCCATACTATCACTGGAAAATCCGGCCCTGATGGCGTCGCGAAGCCACTCGAGGAATCCCTTCGGGATTACGCTGTCCAGAAGGTCGAAGTTGAGGTCGAGAGTAGACAGCGCAGTGGCATGGAGCCAGGGGACAGGAGGGAGACATACAGGTAGATCCTGCATCTCCACGTTCTTCAGTGATACAAACTTTAATTGTGGAAGAAAAATCTTAGGCAGGTCTTCGCCATCCGTCTCGTTATCTTCCGCGAACTGTATGGTCAGTCGCTCAATATTCGGCGTGCAGGCCAAAACAGTCCAGACTTCCCGAAAAGTTGCCCGATGAAAATGGATGTCGAAGAGATTCGGTAAAAGAGGCAGTGATGAAGCAGATACAGCCTCTGCAGGGACTAAATCGTCGTCAAGGACCATACCGAGGTCGACTCGGAGGGTGCTCAGATTGGGAGTCTTGCACAGCACGTTTGCGAGCTGACCCCAAGAGAAGCAGTGAAGACATACAGAGCTCGGGTTACTCCACAAGGGAGAGGATGAGGGGATGTAGAAGGGGAGCTCGACACAGATTGATTCCAGTTTGGGCGCCCGACCAGCAAACAATTTCACGGGAAGGGGCATTGGCTTCTGTTCCGCACCCTTAGCCCAACCTAATTCGTCCCATTCAGGTTCAACGACAACAATCTCCAGAGATTTTAGCTCCGGAGCGCCCTGAGAGCAGAGATGGTCTTGAACAAAGGTGTATAGCCTGGACGTAGAGAGGCCCTCCTTATGTAAATACGGCATTCTGGGCCTGGTGGTCAAGAAACGGAGACGCTGGATTCGTCCAATGGCAGAAACGAGAGTCGCGAGGGACTCTAGTGAACGAGGACGACATGCTAGATCAAGTGAGCAGTCAAGGCACATCTTTTGACTGTGTTCAATGCAGGCTTCCATGATGCGGTCGGATGCATTTGGAGTCACCGTCGCCCACAATCGAGGGTGGTCGAGCGCAACAAAACGCCAACGCTTGCAGACAAGTGCAATAGTGGCGAATGACCACGGTCGAATCTTTCGCCTGAGTATGACCTCGCGGGACCCGGTCTGATCATCGTTGGTGACCGGAACACGTCGGCGTTTGAACATTTTTTCGCGGGGGAACCCTTCGTCGTCGTCAACGCAATAGCGGAAGATGTTGCGTAGGAGTTCTGTAGGGATACGTTCGATACCACTGAGGCAGTCGAGCATGGTGTCAATGGTGCTACTTCGTCTAGAAAATATCACTGACCCAGAACATAGGTCGGAGGAGGTATTGGGACGCGATGATGTCTACGTGCGAAGAACGTGTTATCAGCGAAGGGCACTCAACGAAAATAAGGCCAGGATGAATCATACCGTTGAAGCATAGACAATAATACCACCTTCACTGCCGATCGTGTTCTCCATCGATGTCAACTTGTGAGATAGACAAGGAGGTTAGAGAGGACAAAACTGAAATGAGTAGGGATTTGCATACAGGGTCTGGCATCACCTTATAATTATAAACTGGAAGGATGGAAGGAGAAGAACCTCGCGTGGCTGAACCAAATAAGGCCGTAAATGGCAAGCTCTTCCGGCAGGGCTTCGGCAGGAACTTGGAAGGAAGGGGGTAAGTATCTCAGCCTCGAGACGCTCGTGTCCCTTCTCATCCCACCACTACCGACGACTCCGAATTCAGATATCGGCGGCCCTAATCGTCCACAATCCGGCTGGCCATCTGCGGGTGCCCGTTCCTTTCCAGTCGAAAGGACGGTCTTCGATCGAGGACACGCCCTCTAGTCCAGTTTCAGCAGAGTCACCCAGTGTATGGACTCGGCGCAGTCAGGATGCTCCGCCCTGTACATCGTATAAAAAGTTGTAGGGGGTGCTGCTCCGTTCTCGGTGGTCTACTTCCCCCTGCAGAATCGTCGTCAGGTTGCCGAAGGGGTATGGGGATAAGTACCAATCCCTATCGCGTCGGCGGTTTATTGGCTTGAAAGGAGTGTCTTCTGGCTCGTAACTTTTCGCCGCAGCATGTGGACGAGTCTTGGCGATTGGATTGGGCACCCAAGTCTGCCACTCTGTGTGAGGGCCACAGAGGACCTCCACATCGCTCGCGTTCGTCAGTAGCTGCATGTTTCGAGCTCGGAACACTCTTGGATAGTAAATAACATCGTTTGACTCTTCATCTTCGAACATGGAACACTCACTATTACTTTTCTTTGATTTTACGATACTGGATCTCACTTAGCCTCCCCCTTCGTTTCCCGGACATTCTGATTAGCTCTCGGGATCTCTGATCGTTTCTTTCAGTGTTATGGTGCACTTGTAGCTTGCCCGACGGCGCATGAGAACGTGCGGCTGATCGGGAAGCAAGCTATTCTTGTCACTTACTGTCGTGTGACGGGTTCTGCAATCGGATTGCATAACCTGTCCCTTTACACATTTCCCCCTACGAAAATAATTATGAAGGCTCGGGATACGTTCTATAGCATGTAAAGACATGCCATGAATATTTAGACCATTTTTCAGAAGCGGGATATACTTGATTGCAAACTTGCAATCGGTCGACTTGCGTTTGCAACGGTTTTCAACGCGACTTTCGCGGGCCGAACGACCGGCTTGCAAAAGACAGTCGCACTCTTGTGCAAACCACGTCCAAATCATTTTCAGCCTTGTAACTTTTACGTGGTGACCACACAGCAGAGAAATGATGGCATGATTTTTTTTGACACCGAGAGGAAGGGTCACAAAAATACAAAAAAAGAAATTGCAGAAATTGCAGAACCCGTCCCGATTGCAGAACCCGTCACACGACAGTATACTGGTGTTCTGCCACCCCTCGAATGCAGGTCCCCCCTCACCCTATGAACTCGAACGTTTCTGTCTGCCCGTCTGTCTGCCCGTCGTCGTCTGTCTCTCTGACTCGTCAACTCCATCATCCGCCTCTCGTCGCCATCGCCCTTCGCTCTTTTTATTCCGCCTCCACTCACCTCGCCTCAATACCCTCACTTCTCTCTTCTTCTGCTCTCTCCTTTCGTCTTATTTCTCAACTGCGTTTCGCCTTATCCTTAGGGAACTCGAAACCTCTCAAGACCCTACAGGTGTCCGCATATATTAATCGGGTGCATACATTGCTACTCTAATTCTCCTCCCATTTCCACTCGCTTGATCGGCCTCCGTTCTACCTCAGTAGACCGAGCGACCACGTCCCGATCCCCTCCTCCTCCAAGTAGTTCCGTACCTCCACAACGCCCAGTCTGCTGCCGCGCAGCCACCCCATATTCAAAATCTTCCTCGATATCTGGCCGATGACGCTTTCGGTGCTGAGGAGGGTAATTATTGCGGATCTGTAGGACGCGACGATTAACGACCGAAGGGAGATATCAGTTGAGATGATGAGCGACGGAGGAGAGGCGGAAAGGGACAAAGGATAGGGGTAGGAGGGGAGAAGGACGGAAGGATGAATGATGGGACAGGATGGATACCAAAAGCGGCGCCACTCGTCACACCAGAATTAAAACCGCTCAAGGTGGCAATGCTGGTAGAAGACAGAAAGAGAAAGACCGCACCGTTCGAACCAGTCCCCTTTACTCTCGAGTTCGATGAGGTCGTGAGAGGAGGATGCGGCGCTTGCGGAGGCGAGGCCGTGGAAGGAGGCGGTCATGTGTGAGGAACCGACTGAGCATATGTTCGATGGTAGTTAGTAAGACAATGAGGCGAATGAATGCAGAAAAAATACAATGGGAATGGGGACGACGAATGAAGAGATAAAGGGGAAGGAGGAAGTGCAAACGCACGAGAGTTCAGAGATCGGTACCGTCCATGGCCTCGATCAGCTGTGTCTCGTGGAACGGAAAGACTTTGTTACGGACGATGAACAGCGGAGTTTGGCGTGTGTCCACAAAAACTAGCATGTCACGTCCAACATTCGTTAAATAGCCCAACCACGACCAAAGGAAAAGAAAACGCACCCTTAATATCCCGCTAACTAAACGCTTGCCCATGACATCTCACCACATCCTGCACCGCCGAATTCTGGGTCCTAAAATAATTGCCACTGAAACTCCACATCTTCTCCTCCCTAACGGGCGTCACGACGTGGGGCACGCAGCAAGCGACGTTGAGGCCGAGGGGCGGGTGGAAGGACTCGAGGAGGACGGATTGGGGGGTAGAATGACCGAAGAGTTCCATTGTGGTTTTGTGTGGTTGCGGGTGGGCGTTCGTGGATGGTATGAAAGGGTAGATAGCGAGGTTTATAGGGAGGAGGAAGGGGCGATGTTCAAAGCGTTCGAACTAAACGTCGAGCGCCAATCGTAACACTGCGCCGTGCACACAGACTCTGAGCGTTTAGTGTGCGCATTGTTTGTTGACTGATTTGAAGGGGAAGAGCAGAAGCGAGCGAGAAGAAAGATGGTCGGAGGTTGGGACGACGCGATCTTGTCTCGTCGGAGGGGGGAGTTACAGCAGGGGGCAGCTCAATTCTACAATCTTGCTCGAGCTGCTTGAGCGACCCTCATATATTATATTGCGAGTGATATGAGATGGCTATGAGATGCCGGCAGACTTACCGTATTCGTACACGATCTATTTGCGACCTCGGTCAGTGTTCCTCTCATTGCTCTCCCAAGACTCGCTCGTTTTTGACGATTTTTGCTCGCTCATGCATACATTTTCCATGAGTATGCGATTGGGACATGACGAAGAGAGGGGAGGGAAAAGTCAGGATGGTCAGCGCAACCTGTGGCTTGGCTGCCGCCGGGCCCTGTGCGCGAAGCATCCCGGAGACCCAAATCCGGTAACGCAGCACGTCTGGTATATGAGCTCGATATGAGCGTATATGAGGGAGCTCGCGATGAGTTTGAGCAGGTTTTTAGAATTGAGCTGCCCCCAGAGGGGGATCGCACAGCGTCTGGCATAAATACATACGGTTGGAGTGTGCCCTCACCAAATTGCGCCATTTCGAAGGGCTCGGATCCGGGCCGGGTCTGGAACGAGAAGGGGAAACACGCGAGCGATAGCGGGTAGGAAAGTGCCTTATATAGAAGGTATCTGGCTTTTCCGACTCTAAGCAAAACCTGGTTCCTAAAGGACCAGGTATCGATATACGGTCTTGGTGCTACACTGAACTCCAGTGAGCATTCAAAGCCATAATGGCGAGACAATCACCTTCCATTTGACCAGCAAGGCGTGGGATGACCTCCAGTGTCCATTACCGTAACAGGATGGGAATTCCCAGGGCCACCGGAGGTCATCGCTGCCCGGCGACATCATTTACGTTCGGCGAAGTCCATCATTGCGAGCCAATCTCAGATTTCTGGGATTTCTGTGATGTCAAACAGTATCTCGATATTCTTTGTCTTCAATATTAGCGAGTTTGGTTAACGGGAGCTAGTGCAAGCCCAGAGGTATCGGTGACGCGAAATGGCGGGTAAGTAGTGCGCTCCAAAGTCACTCTATCGTGTGTGGGAGCGACATCGAGCGCAGATGAAGTTGACAGATGGGGGCGCTGCCATCCAGCCGTGAGTTACGAAATCATTTTTTTTGATTTCTTTCTCAACCCAGTCTCTATCACACCCCACTGTTCCACTCAATGGCGCACGAACTACCCCTCTACGAACAACTCCAGAAGTTGCGTACCTATGAAAAATTGCAAACCTTGAATGGTATAACAAAGGCCCTTTCGAACGTCAGAAAAGCCGCAAGGGGAAAGATAGAGCGCGAGGTTGGGAAATATGGGTATACCTCAAAAGAAGGTGTGTGTTTCACTTTCGATTCGTGGCGCGTCGATGCGGGGCTGCTCTGAATCCGAGGTCTCAGCTTGGAGATGTTTTCCTACCGTGCCCCTCTGGGCATGTTATGCCGCTCAACTTTTATAAAGGGTCCATTACGACCATAAGAGTGTTATTCCGTTATCTTGGGGGGCGCTCAAAGAAATGCCGAATCTTTCACCTGTTCTGAATGGTTCAATTTGGCGAGAGCATTCTCCATGACGGGTTAACTGGCGATAGGGCTCATATAAAATCGTAATCCGAAGCACTCATACACATCCATGCATATCGTCTGTACGGCATCTTGGAATGGTGTGTAAGACCATCGACGACGACGACGACGATGACGAGCAGGCCTTGAACTCCGCTCGGCATCATCTCCAAGATGTGTTTCGTCTCGCATTTCTCCTTGGCCCGACTCGACGCGAATCGAGTCTGGCAGATAAGCGCGGCCTAACAAGTTCCTGGTATTTCCTGACTAAAGTAACCGCACCCGTATATGATGTAGGTTTGATCAGAGCGCTAGAAGAGCTCCAAAAAGCTTTCCACACTCCTCCGGTGAACACAACAACAGGCATGTCTTATTACCACTCCTTCCGTAGCATTCAGCCGCTCTATTCGTGCTCGACTTTGATCTCTCATGTCTGACTGATTTTTGATCGTTATATCTCGTTCTCATCGCACGACATCGGTACTTCTGCACCGTCCTCTCAAACTGATTGAATAGATAAACCTCCTTCCTCCGGTAGCGCTCCTGTCCAGCTATCGGACAAGTCTGAGCCATCGGCTGCGGACCCAAAAGGTGTGTGTTCTCGTCCTATAAATGTTCTGAGAATACTAACCCAGACAAAGAAAAAGAAAACCCCGTCGCCGACCATGAGAACCCCTCTGAGCCACGGTCCACCACCGATTACACTCCCATCGAGCTGTCAGATAGGTCTCAGGCCTTACTTGTAAAAGGTGTGTTCTCGTCCTATCAATTTCGTAATAGATCCTAACTAAAACATTCCTACTTATAGAAAATGAGCACCCCGTCGCCGCACCTGAAGAGGTCCATGAGGAGAACCTCTCTGAACCTCAGTCCACCATTGATCACAATCCCATCGAGTTGTCGGATAGGCCTAGGTCATCTCTTGTAAAAGGTGTGTTCTCGCCATGTGAAGCTTCTGATAGATCCTAACTAAGACACTCCCTCTGGGAAAAAAACGCAGACTTCTCTGAGGTCCAAGAAGAGTCCTATCCTGACCAGACCGTATGGCGGTATTTCGATTTCGACGCCGATACTCCTCCACTACCCAATCAGCATCAACTTGCAGATCAGCCTCCTTCCGAAGATTTGCCTAAGAATACTGTTACACCCTCACCCTCACCTCAGAGCGCGCCCCTTACTAAACCTCCTGCCACCCTTGATATATTTACCCCGCTCTTGGGAAACCCTCAGTCCACATCCACGGACCAACAACGTATGTACTGTATCTTATAAAGCTCCTAATAGTTCTCAACTAAGATATTGCCAGTGGCAGAAAATGGGGACTTCGTCGCCACGCCTGAAGAAGGTCAAGAGGAGACCCGTCCTGGACGATCAGTCGAAAAATGTACGTCATATTACCATGTATACTGTGGGTCGCATAGCTCTAGTTCAGCTTGCACTGACGATCATTTTGTATACCCTCAACAGTTACTCCCGGGACTGTGGAAATGGACATCGATCCCGGGCCACCGCAAGCTGCACAGGGAAGCGGTGGGGTTTCCTACCTAGATCTGGATCACAATTACGATTATGCGAAGGACGACGAGAATATTCTCGACGCCGCCTCTTCTCCTGACGATGATCATGTGAATATGGACATCGACGTTGATAATCCCGAACCACCGACTTCCTCCAATCCTGGCGCTGGGTACCTCGAGCCTAGTATCCGCCGCGACCATCTCCGGACAGGAAGACAAGTGACCACCTCCATCGCCCAGCCCCCGCCATCCAATGGTGGAAGAGTTCTCAAGGTCCCAACGGAAGTAGAGTTCGTCGACGAGACGGGTCGGGTCACTGTTATGGATTCAAGGCACGCAGAAGCTACCCGCTCAGATGTTCTCCAAAATATGTGTGCCCTGGAGAAAGGGCGGGACATCGCTCTGGCGGTGTTGCAGATAAAGGTCCGTGGGTAATCATTCTACACTCTACGATGAAACTCAAATCCCTTATTCCAGGGCACAAAAACCTTCGAGACCCGTTGCCTCAAGTGCATCAAGAGCGGAAAAGGCCGGAAGAAGGAGAAAGGTAACTCTGACGCCTTCGCAGATGACATCGACATCCTCGAGTGCGGATGCGGTGCGGATGCGGCGTTGATACACCTGTGGCTGAGAAAGCAAGCTTTAACGACCTCCTCAAGCCGAAGCCGCCCTCTCCCTGACTGGGATATGAAGTGGACGTTTACACACAACGGCCTCCCCTACGTCCAACACGCCATCGAGTCGACTTCGGGGTTGACTACCAGCAATTTGTTTGAGCCTAAGCCACAACAACTTGCTGCTACCGCGGACTGGGTCATAAAACAGCTCAAGGAGGAGGATAATTTGGGGGAAGATTGCAGAGCTGCTCTGAGACGGTTCAGAGACGACCTGGATAGGATGGACCTTGACTGATGACCACTTCAGTATCGCTGGTCGTCCTCACAGGGTGTAGCCAATCAATAGTTACATATTTCTCTTCGATTCACAGGCAGATTTTTGCTTCGCCTCTGTCCTTGTAGTGAAGATATTATTTGTACAAAATCTCTTTTTTCATATCAATACGACACGATTATGTTCTTGGGTGAGATTTGTCGATACGCATTTGATAGACATATATACTGGCCAGATGTCGTGCTTCTGGCTGAAGTGGACAGGTCGTGAGTCGGATAGAGTGGATGAGTCACTGCGTTGAGCGGAAAGTGTTGAGCGTGGATCGAAGGAGCTGATACGTGAGGGCCCTTTGTATCAGCGGCGGAGAGTGCGTGTCATAGACGCGCCGCGGATTCAGAGCTAGGTGGCCCTCAGGCAGGTTCCTACCCATCCATCCGGGAGAGGGTGCGGTAGACGGGGGGCAGCGAGGCACGGTGGGCCCTGTAAGATAAATACTGTAGTTTTTCGACCTACTGTTCGTCCCCTGTCCCCCGACCGCACCGAACCGAACACTTTTAGGGGGACTGTCCCCCCCTATGGGTCTTCCAACGAACAGGTAGGGGGGACACATCTGTAACTCAATAAAATTCATAATCATAATAAATATTCACGAAAAATATTCAGATTGCATTCCACAGTATTTATATATAGAAAGTCCCAAATATATATCATCCCATCAAAACAGCCCGTAATTGGAGAGAACCATTTCTATTTTTACAGGAAGCACGCGCGCAGACATGGTCCATGAACGACTGTCCATGTCTAAAGTATGACAGTAATCAATCGGACGCAACACAGGTCCTCCGTCCGTCCTGTAGCTAAAAGACGCCAGGCCACAACAGTCGGCACACACATTCCGCCACACAAGTCAGAGCAGAAAAATGATACTCACTACAACGGCCCTGAACAACTCCGCCGCATTCCTGACAATCCTACAGCTCACTCCGAACTCCGCACACCTCCTCTTCAATTCGGGAAGCGACGGATGCTTCGCACCTTCCTTCTACAGCATCAACACCACATTACGCGGGCCATCCTCACCCAGAGTGGCCATCAACGGCCCCAACGACGAAGTCTCATCCACACCGAGAGGAATGTCTTTCAAAGCGACGTCCTTTCTAGATATGAACGCCGTAGACCGCTCGATATTTGAGCTCTCCAACGAAGGACATTCCTTCGCCAGGGCCGTTGCCTCCGAAACCCCCTCAATTTCCCGGCGACTCAGAGTGCGAGTTCCTCAACTGGCTGCTTCATGACACGGAGAAGGCTGAAAGTCTCCGATCGGTGCATGTCTTGTTTAGCGATTTGGCTGCGCTTGAGCATATCCTCACCGCGCACGGTTCGAAGCTTCAATCTCTTTCGTCAGACTCGAAAGCTTCAGCGCACACGGCTCTTCGGCGACAAACTGAGGCGGGTAGCCACAAAGCGAGAGGTTTTGGAGGCCGGGCCAGGCAGATATGAGCTGAGGGAGAGAAGTTGGTGGATCAGTTCGTGAAGCGGGGAGTGACGGTGCATGATGCAGAGCAGAGGATGAATAGCGTTTCCTCGTCGAACGTCGGCATTCGTTCTTCTGCCGGGCGAAACTGAGAGTGGAGCCGTGTGTGTTTCGGAAGGCGGCGTGGGGAGAGTAGGCCGTGGAGCGTAAAGTCGATCCCTTTGAGGTTGAGGCACATTGTTGTGGTTAGGGAGAAGGAACGAGGAAGCAGACAGAAGGGCTGGGAGGGTTGATGGTTGCGCTGAGAGTCCGGACACACAACGCGACGACACAACCACGTTCGGTACCTGGATCAACAACAATACAAAACGTGTTGGGTAAGCTGCGTGAACAAAGGCCGTTGTGGCGAAAGAGGAGAGTCTGGGCTGGAGAAGACCATGACTTATAGACAAGGGAGCAAGCGAGGAGGAGAGACGTGTCGGGTTCATAGGTCGGGGTGATGGATGCGAGTTCATCTATACTGAAGATAAGTTCGGCTGGAAGGGCGGCCAGACCGGCATTAGGCTTGGGTTTACAGAGCGCTGGAGAAGCAGGGGGTTCCCTCGCAAGCATCAGCTCGTATTTGGAAGCGCGCTGAACGATCTCCCACACCGATTTTGCAATCGTCTAGTTGTAGGGGCCGGGGCGTCGGAGCTGAGGTCGTCGTTGACTTGGAGGGCTTGCACATCGGCCCAGACAATGGGAGGTGACCGAAGAGCAGTTTTGTCTCGGCAGTGCGGAGGCCTTGGTCCAGTGAACGGGGAGTACCAACGTCCGGGTCGTCGACATTTACAAAGAAGAACATTACAGGTATGTGGTCTTCTAGCATGGTAATCGAGAAGGGTTTCAGAGAACGTTGAGGGACAAAGACGAGAAGCTCGGAGGTCATGAGAAGATAAAGAACGACATACCATCGACAACCTCCCCAACCTTCGGTGGTCTCAACTTCTCCTCACTAGTACTAACCAGCATTTTTCTCGAGTCACAGTCCTCCCCTTTCGCCTTGTCTCACGGTTTCGCCCGAGAACGACATGCTTGTTCGCGACGGCTAGGTAATCAACCTCCAGGCGTCATGTTATTGTCAGTATCGTTTGTGGAGGAGCAGAAGCGGGCAAGTAAGGTGGGTTTGGTGAGAAGCAAGAATGATAGAGTGAGGGTGGAAGATGTGTAAGGGGTGCGAGAGGCTGACGGGGAACGATCGACTAGAATACCGTGTTGGTACTGAGTAAAGAAGGGTACACAGAAATCGTACCTTGAGCCGCGAGCTAGCATGCTCGTGAACATCGTTCACAAAATTCGGCCCATCGTGAGCGCGCGAGACAACTTGATCAGATCCAGGGTACACGGCGGGCGTAGCGGATTCAGCACGATGCGCGAGCGCGTGCGGAGCGCGAATGTGGGGGGAGGAGCTACAACGCACGTCACACAAGGACCCGAAAGGGTCAAGCAAGTGCACGCGCGTTCTACACTCGGGCGGGCTGAGAACTTGCCGGGATGGTCCATAACAAGTGGTCCATAACAAGATGGAGGTGAAGGGAGGGAAAAGGATGCAGGGACAGAAAGTTTGTCGATCAACGAGTAAACGAATAGAGCAGAACCAAAAAGAGCGAGAGATGCTGGCTCACTATAGTTCGGAGTAGGAGCCGCCAGCGTCATCGTGTGCTCGACTGTCACGTCGACGAGCGCAGGTGATGATCAGAGCGAGAACGAGCGACGCTCAAGCTCGCTCAAGCACTGTCAGATAGGCGGCCGTCGACGCGTCGCGGTTTCCACAGGCATGTCGGAGGTGATGGAAAGGTCGGCGGATGGAGTATATAACTCAACATATCTCTTACGAAAGAGATAGGAGGCAGGTCCAAAAGAAAATGGGAGCGAAACGAAAAGAAACGAGACGAAATAGAGAGGAACGTACCGGGGGCGAAAGAACCCGCATGCTCTCTGTATGCTCAGTTCTAGCTCCGCATATTGTGCCCTTCTTCCTATTTTACTTTCCTGACCTCCTTTCAGGAGTCTTGAAACGAAAGCCATGCACGTTGACAGGCGGGCAGGTGGGCGTACGGGTGTAGGCAGACGTGATCTAAGGTGGGTGTAAGCAGACGTGATTCAGGGACGGTGAGGCGTACTGATGATACGCACATGGGACGGAGACGAGACACATAGCGGCTTGATAAAGGCTAATGGAAGTACGGCGATATGGTAGATAGATGAATTACGAGGAGAGTGCAAAGTTGAAGAGACCAAGGTGGCCAAGCAAAGCCAGCGGACGCCACACACGACAGTGTGAATTCTGCTCAAGACCCATGTCAGCACCGGCTGTAATGCTGGTTACAGGACGGCCACGGACAGTATGGATGTGACCAGCGTTGTAGCAGTGAATTACAGAACGAGTGTAGCCCGAGAAATGACAGAATGCGCACAAGAGGTACAGATCGCGTACGTATGCTACATTCCGTGTGTGGCTTAGATTACAGCCGGATCGCAGAAGGCCGCAAACGCAGTGAGTATATGATTAATTGGGGAAACTTACATCGGCTTAAGTTTCATGCGAGCAGCCACGGATATCTCTCAGATCAAGGCTAACGGATTCATCAACATAGACCTCGACATCGTACAGCATGCTAGCCATGGTCGAATAGCGTTGGAGTGGGGATTCGGAGAGGGTTGGGTGGCGAAAGCGCTGGAGCGCTCTAGGGTTAGGGCTTGAGTCAGCACTCCGTTAGCATCAGATCCACATCGCTCCACATCGAGGTCTTCGTTGACTCTGTGACTGGTCTGGCGTCTTGACTGTTTGGCTGGAGGCACGCCATTTTTTTCTCCGCGCGTCACTCCGATCTCATATGCAAACGGCTGTAGCACACCAGGCATCAACCTATCTTGGGCGGACCGATGAGCTTCCAAACAAAGTGGTCCTATCTTGTATTTGCGTTGGCCGCAAAAAGTCCATCGCCGGTCCGCCAGGTCGAAAGGAGTTGATGCCTGCTGTGCAGGATGTTCGTTAGTCTTTGCATCTTCGTGTGAGATAGCAATGGGTGGTTTTTTGTTCCCGTTCTTTCTTTGTACTGTGGTAGTGATGGATGAGTGTGCGATGAGGATCTCAGGGGTATATTTCATCGAAGGAGGTACGTTAAAGGTTTTCGAGGAGTCCAGGTGGTTCCTTTTTATGGCGAAGCGAAGGGTCGTGAAATCATCAAACGGTAGTAGGTACGAGTTGCGACACGCAGCCGACTGCTGGTACTTCCGGTCTCAAGCTCCATGTCCTCGTCACCACGTGAGCGGCTCCAAGGACTTTACGTCGGTCTTCAAGAACGTTGATCGATGGGAAGCCTTGATCGTCGATGAGGGCCAGCAGCGTTAGTTCAAACATGCTCTATTTAACTGAGGAAAAATGCTGACTTCGTTGCATCTTGCAGTCAAAAACGACGGCAGTCTCCTTTTCAAGAAGTTGAATGAGCTCAACACTATCCATCGCATAATCATGACAGGGGTACGCTCGCTGTACCTGTCACTCTTTGCTTATTTCTTGATCTCCGAGGTCCCAGACTCCTCTGAACAACAACATGCGTGAACTGTTCGATCTCATGAACTTGCCCAACCAGACCAATGGAACGATCTTACTGCGCTCGAGGAATACGATCAAGAAAACCTAAACGAAGAATCGGTGAAGGCCCTACATGAGAGGTTACGTCCGTATTTCCTGAGACGGGTCAAGGCCGAGGTGTTGAAGCTGCCGCCTAAGGTATATAATTTCCAATCAACAACGCTGTGGCCCAACTGAAAACACTGTCTATTCTCCCAGAACGAGGTCATCGTTCCGTTGTCCCTCACTCCTTTACAGAAAGGGCTGTACAAATCCGTACTCAGTACGATCATATCCCAGGCAATCTTTTATTCCTGTGCTCATAGTCTATCTAGGCAAGAACGTAAGTTCCTCACCAGTTTAACACGTTCGCTCGGACAATCTGTCAAGGTAGCATCAAACAAGTCGAACGTAACGAACATTCCCATGGAGTTGCGAAAGTAAGCTCTCGCCCCGACTTTGTCTCTTCATTTTGACTAAGTTCTTGGCTCGTTTAGGTGTATTCAGCATCCATACCTTCTCTCCCTGATATCGAACCCAGAGGACTAACCCAGCGAGAGACACATAAGCGTTAACTTGCTGCTAGTGCCAAACTTCGTCTGCTGGAGGTCCTTTTGCCGAAGCTGAAGGCGCGTGGCCATCGGGTGCTCTTGTTCAGTCAAGTATACAACTATCCTGGTCGCTACTCTTTATCGTACATCTGATTTGTACTGTACACAGTTTGTCATTGTTTTGGACATCATCGAAGACTTCATAAATTGGAAAGGGTCCAAGTATCTTCGACTGGTCGGTTCATCTCTCGGTCTTGGTCCTTCAGATGCTAATAGGCAATAATATCATCTCACGACGGGAATACGAAGCAGCCCGATCGCCAGAAGGGCATGGACGAGTTCAACCGTCCGAACTCTGATGTATTCATCTACCTCCTCTCTACACGGGCTGGTGGCGTCGGAATCAATCTCTGGAGTGCGGATACTGTAGTCATCTTCAGTAAATTTAAACCCCCATCAGGTCTGTAGCTTTTCTAGACCCTCTTTATGAACCTAAACATGTTCACAGGATCTTCAAGTACGAGCCATCGTTGCACTGTATTCTGAGTCTGATTTCTGAAAGTGTCACATCCAGGCTATCGCACGGTCTCATCGATACGGACAAACGAAACCATGCCTCGTCTTCAAGTTGATGGCCAAGGACATAGCTGAAGGTAGGCTGTTCTCTGTACTATCCACTGTCCTCTTCTTTCTGACGGATCATAATAGAGCGAATCGTTCAGAATGGCAAGAAAAAGCTCATACTCGACCACGTTATTGTGCAGAAGATGGACGACAAGGAAACCGGCGAAGACGTCTCTTCCATCTTAACCCACGGCGCTGAAGCTCTTTTCGAAGAAGGGGAGGGAGCCAAAGACATAACGTGTACGCCTACACGAATTATATGTATAGATTACGAAAATGATGTCGATAACCTGATCACCACGACCGAGAGCGAAATCACTCAGGAGGAGCAGGTTTCATCGGCTATGACCTTCTCGTTCGCGAAGGTCTAGGCTGCTGATAAGGATGGTCTGGAAGAGATGGCGGATGAGGAGGCCGATACTCAACAGGCAGACTTGTGGGCCCAAACTCTCAAACGCATCGAAGACGAACGCGCTAAGCTGCAAGCCATGGACGTCGCTATTCTCGTCATGCAGCCGCAATGGCCGTAAAGCCTCAGGTAAGCTTTCTCATCATCGTCTAAAACCGTCGCGGGTTTCACTAATATTCGTTATGTTCAGCAATTCATCGACCTTGGGAACACACCCAAGAAGAAGACTAACGGTGAGAAGTGCAAACGGTCGGAGTCGACAATATCTGATGAGTCAGAGGGCTTTAGGGGCTCTGTGGCATCTGCGATTTCCGATGGCGATACGACTGATTCGGGCGTAGTCGACGAATCCATTCCAAGGACGAAGAAGGCGGCACGGCCGTCGACTGATGCGTCAAGCCATCACCCAGTAGTTCAAGGCTCGGATGCTTCAGGCTCGGAAGTTTTCTGCAGTATATGCAATACCATTCATTGCGGGCCTTGCAATATGACGGACAACCCAGAGAACTTGGCTGCATATCGACTAGCTTTGTTAACGAGGGCGGACAACGAACCCATCGAGGAGAAGGTATATCCCTCCCTCATGCGTCCGTTTTCCCTTATTGATCTTTCTTTCTAGCGGGAGGCCATCACTCTTATCGAAACCGTTCTCAGAGACCATGGAAAGCTTCACCTCATAGACGGCCAACCTCTTCACCTCGTCGAGAGGCCACCGCCGGCAGCAGTTTCCGTCAAACAGTCCAATGAAACATCAATACTGCATGCACTTCCTAGCGCTCAACCACCTGTGGCACCTGCCGCGTCGTTTTCCAGATCAGCTCCCGGGAAGCGTGTCTCTGCTCGCGATGGCAGTTCTTCGTCTTCAGCTGCCGCACGTCTAGCGCCGAGTTTCATGAGTAGATTCCGAATCGACCTCTCCGTGAAGCCCTCCAAACCGAAGCCCAAACCGAAGCCCGCGCGTTTAGAGGCGCTCCAGCAAACTTCACCGATCTATGCGTGAAGACGTCCAACATCATATCGCCCTGAGACCCGGTTGGCTTCATTCCAGTGAAGATAGCGTACAAAACTTCTTACATGGATTTCTGGTAGAGTAGGCATTTGGTACGCCGAAGATACGTCAGAGCTCATGCTTGAAGCTGCGTCTGAATCGAGTCTTTGACGTTTGACCGAGAGAGAGTTGGTAGCGGGCGTTTGGGACGCAAACTGCATCGAGAAGGACACTCGCAAGGGGACGGGGGAGGAAGAGCACAGTGCGTCACAAAGGACGTGGAATTCGTAGAGCTAGCAATAAAACAATAGCTATTGCATTCTTCAGTCTTCCGTATCGATGCGGGATCCCTATGACACGCACCACGATCGTTGCCTGTTCTCGGCACTCGCGACTGAGACAAGGAACGTTGTTTGTTTTATGACACTCTGAATCAGGTTCGGGCTCGCGCAGAGACCCAATAAGAGATGGCAATTCCGCGAATACTAGACTGAGAGAACTGCGCGAGGCTGACTCTAATTCAGAAGATGAGAGTGTCAAGGACAGACGAGGTAGACGAACAGTCAGCTGCAGACAGCTCGAATTTTGATCGTCCTCTTTCCATACGGCGCCACCGGAATTCCACGATGGCAGTGCCACATCCAGTAATTGTTGTGGCGCAGGATGGGACGGTGATGAGACACCACTCAGCTGTGTACATACTAATTCAGCAGTTACAATGGGTCCGGAACACGACAAGAAAAGATGCGGTAACAATAAGGTACAAGAGACTACATTATTTACGTTCATAAGTTACAGTCCACCAGAGTTCGCGAGTTCCCGCCGTTTCTGCTGCTGTAAAAGCCCGCGCAGTGACTGAACTGTCTTCGTATGCTCTGGGTGGGCCTCCATTGCTTAGATCGCGTGGGATATAGTAGAAGGTCGGTCAGTCAAATTGTAGGGAGGGTAAGAATCTTTGATCAAAACCTACCTCTTCGGCCCAGCGGCGTGGATGGGGCAGTCCTTCAGTAGGTGGAACTCACGACCGCCAACAGCACACCCTTCCTTCAAAGGGCCATTCTTTGCTTTCTTGGGGTGATTGGGTTCATCAGCGGTACTCGGCGCCACAGGATGCTTTATACCAGCCAGGCCTGCGCTCGAAGATGATGACACGTTCGGTGTAGCGGAAGGCAACTTAGACGCCGTTGAAGGTTTATTTCCGTTCAGAGCGTTCAGCGTCGACTGTTTAGAAACCGTTGGCTTCGAAGGCGTGGTTTTCGAGACGGGAGTCATCTGAGACTTCAAGGCATTGACTGAAGAGAACAATGGCTGTGGGCGGCCGGCAGCGGAAGAGCTTGACGCAGCAACATTCGACACGGTTCCATTGACTCCCTTCTGTACAGGTGCGCTAGCGCTAAGAGGACTTTGGTGATAGTGAGAGGCTCGCGTGTGTCGGAGAGAAAGTTCTCGCGCTGGCTGTGACATCTGCCTTGTTCAATCAACGACCGATCCTCAATGTGTCGACTTTGGAGGTATGAATTCTTGCTTGCACTTCACTGTGCCTCCATGTATCTATGCTCATAATCAATTCAATACTATCTGGAATATTCCTTCTCAGACTCAAATCGGTGATACCCTTTCAGACTCCAAAACCGATGACTGGGTCACTGCGTACAAGATGCGAGACAAGATGCGCTGTTCGCCTGATGCTCGCGACTCACTCACGGAACCTAAAGTCGTGACGCTTCCTCCTTCATCTGCTTACCGTAACTGATAAAACTTCGTAGGAGACGCTCCTTCTCTTTCATAGTCATGTCGGCGCAGTGTAATTGCAACGTGGCCTCCCGGTAGTGCTAAATTGGATTGGCAAGCTGGTAGACGACAATTTCGAAGACGTCGCACCGGGGCCACCCACACAGCCGGGACAACAATCTCGAAACATTATACTGCTGAACAACATGAAGCGCATGAAAATTGAGCCTTCTCCATCTCAGAAGCTTAATCATATCGAGCCTCCCTTCTCAACACCCCCTCCGCCGCCGCCACAGGCGCCTCCGCCGATTCCAATGGCACCGCCAATGTCAAACGGACCCTACCTTCAGGCCGCCCCGACTTATTTCCAGCCCAACCCAATCACTCCAGCGCAACCCACGGCCGCCTTCCTCCCTGCATTCAATCAGCTTGCCGCCCAGAGAAAGCACTCGGTAGAGTGGCAAGCTCAATCGACAGGACCATCGCACGCGCCTGCGTGGACTGTCAACTGTTTGGGTGAGTGATTTAGACAGTATTATAGCGCCCAGAGCAGAGCCAGATTAGACGGGGAAGCGAAGCGCCGTTGCTGCACTTGTTTATTTCTTTGTGTGTACATGCAATCAATGAGCTCGAAATTGTCTGTTGGTGAAGGTGGTATACAAGGAACGTCGCTGCCCCTCCCCCTCCAAGTTGGCTCTGCTCTGGGTGTGTCTTCCCAATCCTAATCAGTGAATTCTAGTCGACCGGTTACCGAAAGGCTACGGCATGTTATCAACTTTTTGTAGTACTATAAAATATATTAATGTACTTACCTACGAATGCATGAGCGAAAGAAAAAAGAAAACCCCCTCGCCACAAAGGCCACAGTCGAGCCAAATCAGCGATGATTTGAATCGGCTACCGGTCCGGCGTTCTTACTTACTACGCCACTTCGCTCGGGCCACAGTACTGATCTCTATCGAGATCATCTCCTCCTCGTTCCTTACTCCCCTCTTCGAGTCACCTTTGGTCTTGTGCTGCTCAGTCATTCACCGGATTATTCATGTACTTGATTACTGAGCCATGTCTTCATCCTTGGCTTTCTATTCGTTACTCTTGAATGTTGCTTAGATGTCTCCCTTTGCTATTCGTCGACACTTCCTATGGCGACATCTTGGCTCTTCGTACCTAATAATCTGGGTCATCTTTGCTTACTGGGTTATTCTGTCTCTGAATGTATAAAAAACTCGTATATACATTGAATTAAATCTCCAGACTCGATCTGGTCTGTTTCCTCCCTTGGGCACCTCCTCAGCTTCGTCCTCATCAGTCAAGCGCGACCTAGAGAACCCTAATCGAGTCGTTGACACGGCACTGGAAAGAGTGAACAGTTAGCGAAGGAAGCCGTCGCAAGACAGGCCTTTTACAATCTGGGTTGGGCTGGCCGTCAGTGTACTCCCGCTATTGTTCTGTAATCTGATTTTACTCAACTTAGTAAACAGGATCCTAACATTCACGTCGTTGGTCCTCCAACCACCCTCGGTGCCCTGCGCGCCCTTCTCCGCTCCTGATCTCGACGGGATGTCTGCAGTCCTCTGCATTATTGCTTGCATGTGCAGGTGTGGCACATGCGCTGGACCAGTAAGCATTCTTACAAATTTCTGCACCTGTTTTGGGCGAGCTTCCGAGCGGGGAAGGATCTGGAAGGATGCGCGGGGCACCGAGGGTGGTTGGAGTATGATTCAACGTGTCTGTATCCTGGCACTAGATCCAAGACTTTCAAAATCCATTGAGAGTTGATAGAGGAAACGAGAGTGCAGGCGGATGGAGGGAAGGAAGGAAGGCAGAGGCGTTCGGCAAAATTTGAAAAGTCGTGAATTCTAAGTCCGCGTCCAGCTCAAGCTTTACATTGACGCTTATCTTTCAGGCCGGGGCGTATTGGTATCGAGCTCCGATTTTTATATGTACAGTTTTGGTCGCAAATGCGACGTGAGGTCTGATCCTGTGTGTACATGACTGACCTGGATCTGTCTCCTGGTCCGATCCCTGGTGCGTACGGAAAGCTGGAAGGACTGCCTAGATCTGATCACTATGCTTACAGTTCTGCTGCATATGCCTATGCTCGGCCGCGAACTGCCACTCTCCAACACTATACACCACCACACAGACCATTCTGTGTCAAATTGACAGTGTTTTAGGCGTTCGTCTGGGGGAAGGTCCAATCCCTCATGAGTACGAAAGGTGCCCTTATTTGGACTGCCCGATCCACAAAAGTACAGAAATCCTCCAAAATTCGAGTACAGAACCACCCGAATGTTGGGTTTCGGGATCGGACCTCGATACCAACACGCCCCCCTCCTCACTGGCGGCGCACATTTGTTGTGGGCTGGGGGCAATGTCAGAGACCGGCTTGACGACGTTACGGTCCTCAATTACAATTCAGGCGGACGATATTATCGTCCCACATTACATTTCGAGTACAAGTTATATCCTAGCATGACGAGCTACATGACGAGCAAGAAAACAGCTTCTTTGAGGGCCCACTGCCGGCAAGGCACCACCATAACCAAGTACGCTCTCCGACAACTTCGACCGCTACGGAGAGCTACATTGTCAAACTCCTTGGCGTTCGCCATTCAGGCCAGTAAAATTATCCACTACATCTGTCGTCGAACAGACGTGGGCCTTTTGCAAGTCATACAAGATGTTCTAGTGGGGGACTTAACGCTCGACCCCGACATGGCTGCCTCATTTGAACCTTGCGATCCTTCGTTTGGCCCAGCTGACGATGCCGAGGTGCAACAATCGCTTCGCACAAGCTGTTGTACCTTACTCTCTTGCTCTTGTAATCGCAAAAAGTGTCAGTTACTGTTGGGTCCCGATGGACGAGCGGAGGCCGGATCATCCTCCCGCTCCTCCTCAGGGATCAGTCCTCACGCGGCCTACCATCCGTGATATCTGACGCCACACCACTCGCTTACGCCACACCGCTCGCTGACGTGTGGAGACGAGTTTTCATAGTGATGATGTGTGGGACGGGGCAAGACGAGTCAATAGAATTCTTGGATGTCACTGCAAGCTGGCCATGGAGAGGGTGCATACAAGCAGGACTGGTGCCTTGACCGTACAATCTCGATCTGATGTAAAATAGAATACCAGCCGATCCTGTCCTGCACCTTCCTGTTACGCGTCCCGTTCCTTGCTCCTGTCCTCACCCTGCGAAGAATCCAAGAGAAAGGCAAGAGTATAAATCCCTCACTGAGGTGCACCCAGCAAGACACCCAATCTCAACAGAGTCGTTCCTTCCTATGTTCGCTGTTAAGTTTAGTTAGAGTCGTTAGCAATTGGTGTATGCGTACCTCTGAGTAGACTCCGACATATTATCGGAGCCTAAATTGTTCCAAAAATAGGGCGATCTGCCCATGTTGTATCGCATTCCCAACTTACTCGGGCTGAAAGGCGGTGTGAGGGGTCGCTTCAGAGGATGTGATTCGTGGCAAAGATGTATGCCTGGACCCCCATGAAGAACCTTGCGAGCTTGTGATATGATTCCTTCGAACGGAATGGGTGGCGGCTGTAACGTGACGGTTGTATACTCTTGAATGGTTGATACGCGACCTGTAGCGGGTTCAGTGATATCTGAGTGTTCTAGAGTCTGGTGTTCCTCACTGTCTATGCGCTGGAACTTTGGAGACCGTGACACTTCGTCCTTCAAGAGGAGCTCCAATTTGTCTGGTGACATATGAAGCCTTACTGAGCAAGATTTCATGTGTGAAATCTTATCCTTGACCGTCTTTCTTGTCGTCCATCGTCGCTTGCAGCAGACACATGCTTCAATTGAAGAGACCTGCCTCTCCGATACATGTAATGACGATAGCTCGCCAGCAAATCGACGAGACCGTTCTCGGGACTGTTGGCGTGTGTCTGAAGCGAGATGGCGGTTGAGCTGCTGAGGCGACGAGGGGATCTTGTAAGAGCGCGATGGAGAAGAATAAGCAAATCGGCGAATTTTCTGACGAAAAATGTTAATGGAGCTGTCTTCGTCTTCGTGCGAGTCGCTAGCGTCCATGTATGAGCCAACTCCATCTGTAGACACTAGAAATAGTCAGTAGCAAATTCAGTATAAACAGGGGCTAGAAAGCCTGAATGACTCACTGGCTCTCCTGTTCGAGTTATCAGCGAAACCGCGGAAGCCTTACAGCGCCTTCAGAAAGCATGCGAGATCGCAACTTTCCGAATCAGCAAAACCGCGGATTTCTGACGCGTGGTTTTGGATTTGCATCCGCGCCACCGGCGTTTCTCAGACGCCGCCGGAACCCGGAAGAAAGAGGCAGACGGGCAACAGACGGGATTCGATTCCGTGACAGGTGTTTCGTTCCGTACGCAGTAAGTACGTGCACACCAGGCATTAACCTATTATTCCCCGTCCGACGCGTGTCGGTATGGTTTTGGTCAAGACAAATGTGGTTCTCTGTTCGCTTGCTCCAGATCCTTACTGGAAGGTTATATATCTGGCCGGGAAAAATAAAAAATAACAGCCCGAGTGGCGGCCGGTCCGTTCTTGGTTCGTTCGCCGCTGTGTGGAAACAAGGAAACAAGTTTGATAGGCCGACTACGCTACAAACATAGCTCAGGTACAGGACCTCGCCGGGCCGGACGGATAAAGTAAGAACAGCACAAGAAAACCAACTCGAGTCGCGTAAGTATGGTAAGTACGTTCGAAACAAGGATGACCGAAACAAGATCAAGGTGCGATGGATTGTAAACGGAGGTGTAAGATGTGATCAGGTAAAAGCGAAGAATCAATAGCGTTATATGTAGAGGACGACTTGTCCGAGACGGAAACCCTATTCTGCCTGGACCATTCTCCCCAAATTCTCCCGGATAGCTGGATTGCGACTGTGTGTCATAGATGGGCAACACGATGCGTGAACCGTTTCATCTCCTTGGTCGTTTGGTGTACTCCATTCGGTGATAGATGAGCCACCGAGGGGATGACGCCTAGGTAGTATCGCGAGCGATACTCGGGTCTGCGCGTCATCAGTGAAGAGGGTGGATGCTGCTCGAAGGAGAGCGGAGTGGGTGGTGGGTAGTAGTTGGAACTCTTCGAGCAGTTTGGTAGTCTCCTCGAGGACCCTATGGAGGTATTGTTGGCGGAGATGTTGGAACGACGGGCAAGTGACGAAGATGTGGTGTTGGTTATCAAGAACCCATGCGCGCCGATCGAGATGGCATTGGGAACGCCTACAGTTTTCGGCGCCATCTCGAAGCCTCGCAGATAGTAGAGCTGGAGTGGGTAGTTGTGAGGAGCGGGAGTACAATTGGACGATGGCGGAGTAAGCGGATGAGGCGCGGGTGTACGAGTGGTCAGGTAGAGAGTGGTCGTCATAGAGCAGTTTGAGGTGTGTCCGGTTGGGATGGAAAGCGGGATCGGAGGCGTATGAACGTGCGGAGAAGCGATGAACGAAGGAAGCGAGATTGTACTCTATAAATCCATCTGCTTCAGTGAACGGAGTGTAACGATCCATAAAAAAGGTATGGATAGGCATGGGTTGGTTTGGAGAGCGGGTGATATTGGGAGGAAGAAGCACAATGATCAGCATGTGCGTCGGCAATGGAAGGGAGGCTGGTTGAAGACGTATGTACAGGTGTATAGGTTAAGGCGGGGCGAGTGGGAAATTGTGAAAGAAGATCGCGAAGCCATCTGCATAAAGAACGGGCGGGTAGAGCGGACCACGAGAGGGGAGGTTTGGATTGGATGAAGGAATCGGAAATGAGACGAGTCGAATTGAGATGATCGGTAATGATAGGAGGTAGGGAATGAGATAGAGAGTGAGGAGCTTCGGATCGGAGTAAGACAACGGCCGTAATCAAACCATAAACTTCACCATGGAGAGTGGATGCACTTCTACGTAGTGGTTGGAGGGATGCTGTGACGGAACCAAACGTAGAGGAAACGGCTGGGGTGACGGAACGAGATTGGTGTAGCGGTACGGATGGAGGGATCATAGAGGCATCAGAAGCAAGAATAGGAGTGGGGGATGCGAATGGAGGAAGTGGAGAGGCCCGGAGGAGTGCGAGTGTATGATGTTCAGCCTCGTGTTGTCGTAGATGACGGGGAATAGCTAGGGAAGAGTCAAGGCCGTAGGTGATGTGGGCGAGAGATAGGTGGTGAAGCCACGTGGAGAGTGCGGTAGTTTGGTGTGCGGGGATATTGTTGGAAAGGAAATTCAAGACATCGTCACGAGGGGAAAGGGACCAAGTAGGTTGTGGTTGTGAGATAGGGTGAGTAGTGTATGTCCAAGTAGCAATTTGAGAGAGAAAAAGGATATTCAGGCGTGTGAGGGAGTTGATGATGTGTGCGGAAAGCGTATGTTGAGAAGAAAGAGATCGAGAGACATGAGAAATAACAACAGAACCAAGGAATAAGTGTGATTGGTCGGTGTGACGGAAGGAGACATTGAGCTCGGACATGACATTGTGCGCCAAGATCCAAGCCCAAGGGAGTAGGTTACGACGTCGAGTGAATGAAGGGCGAGAATTGCCGAGGGCAGAAGAGGAACCGAGAGGGGAACAGCAATGATTAAAAGAACACGTCCAGTCAGCTAACGTGATATCGGCCATCATACGGAAGGAGGGTACGTGGTGATTAAGGTCACGCTGCAGGCCTTGAAGAGCGCAGGCATCGATGATACGTGTGATGGATGGAAAGTCAAAACCATGAAGGGAAAGAGGAAGCGAAAGAAGAGTGGAATTGAATGCGAAGGGAAAGGAGAGATATTCGTGGATTTTCTTGGCTATCAGGAGATCGAGTGATTTTGCATCTTTTTTGGATATTGGTTGGAAGGATAATCGCGGACGTATAGACGAAATGAGACATTGGGAAACGATTCGGCGAAGAACAGTGAAAGGAAGACGGTAGGAGAGGGAGGGAAATTCGAAATTCTCAATCAGATCGCGGATTCGTAAGTATTGCGTGTGGAGATCATTTGTGTGAACGCGTAGGAATTCTAAGTGATTGGTGACTACGGACACTGGTTGGAGAGGAACGATATCGGAGGAGAAGTCGGGAGGGTCGATGGTTGGGATGGAAAGAGTGGACGGTGGATCGGGAACATTGCGGATTAGGAGAAGGGACTTCGGCCATGAAGTAAGCCAGCCGTAGACGGCTTGGAATCGTTCCATAAGAAGCGCGAAGAGACGGATCGACGAGAGGCGCGTTGCAAACAATGCGGAGTCGTCCATAGCTTCCACCATGGTGACTCGCAGTTGGATGTGGTCGGCAGGGATATGAGGAGAACCAAGACGGGATTGACGCGTGGAGATGACAAGAGCACCGGGATCGCGAGAGGTCATGTCGTGTAGCCAGTGATTAAGGGACATCCGTCTGAGCCGAGCGATCTAGGTCGATTATGGACGAAGGGAGGCCATAAGATATGATGGCATCGTAGAAGCCCTGAGGGTCGAGTCGGTCGAAGCCTTTCTGCTGGTCACGGCGGAGGACATAGAGCGGAACGTTTTCGCGTTCGACCACGTCTCGACCTGTGACAAGAACGATAGCAGGTCACGACCCTGAACGCCGGTCTGAGTAGCGATTTGCCCCTCCGGTAGGACACGAAGGTCAGCAAGAAAAGGCGTGAGGAGAAAGTTGAGCCAGGTGAAGGGAAGATTGAGAAGGAAGTGCTACAAGTGATGCCACGGTAGTTTGAGAGATGTATTCGAGAGCCCCGTTTGTGGATCGTGGATAGGGTGGACGGTTTGACAACGGTGGGGACATGGGACGCGAGGATTTCGTAGTTGGCAAGGTCAAGTATCAACTGGAGGACGTCATCGTTGAGGGCACGTACTTGCCATTTCTCCCACTCGTCGGGGCCAGGAGCTGGGCGTGAGTTCCCTTTGCGGAGAAGGGATCGGAACGACGATATGGTGACAGGTTGTCTCCATACAAAGGGTTGTGCGCGAACACGTTCCTTTACGGCCATCACAGAAGGCGTATCCATCCAAGGCTTCTCGGCAGACGGAGCGAGGTCGTGGTGGTAGAGTTGACTGAAGTACTCCTGAGTGAGTTTCTTGACGTTTTCTGGACTAGTGTGAAGAACATCGGGCGTAGCAGGATCGGCCAGTGCGAGGGGTGGTGCAGAGTATGTTAGTCGAGCTTGGAGTCTCTTAGAGGAGCCACCCATGAGGACACCATTGATACGAGCGCGGTGGGATTGGGCAAGCCGACGTTGGCGCTCAAGGCGTTCTTCTCGGTACAGGAGACGGTGGAGGGAACGACGCGATAGACACAGGAAGTCGATATAGGTAAGTGGCGTGGAATTCGAACTCGAGTGAGCCTGGAATGCCAAGTCATAGGAGGTGACCCAGGGCGCAAAGGACGCCAGTTGTGAAGTGCGGGGCGGAGTGGAGCGTTCAGCGGAAATAAGTCGCCCGATTCGGCGCAGCTCCATGACGATGATCTGTATGCTAGGGCTGGAGACCCGACGTTCGTGGGCAGGAGAGAACTGAGCGGAAGAGCGAGGGAGGTTGAACGATTCGGAGGCGGCCTCATGGAGAACTTTGGTGAGTGCACGATAACGACGTTCAAATGCGGAGTCATCGGTGATGGGTTCCTGATGGACTTCTGCTGATGCCAGACGCGAGGCCGCTTCTGCGAAGTGGGTGAATTGGGATTTTTCGTGACGTCGTGGGTAGAAGTACCAGGAGTAATGGTCGTGTGAATGGAGGATGGTAACTGAGTGGAGGATGCGAAAGATCTCGGAGGTGAAAGAAAGATGGAGGCCAAGATGGGTCTGTGATCAGTTGCGCCAATAAAGGAGGGGTGAATGGTGATATCAGCGCCAGCGATACCACGCGCGGAATGTGCAACGCGGTCAATGATACTCTGACCGAGAGGACCCCGATACGTGTAAAGTGCGGACACGGAACGATCGGGAACGTAGGTCCATACGTCTTGTCCTGCAGCGTTGCGGAGGAATTGGCTATACTGTCTGGTGGCGGAATTTGGAGAGTAGTGGATGGCCGAGCTTTCACAGGAAGCCAAGGTGGCATTGCAGTCCCCGGCGATTGACCAGGAAAACGGGGACGAGAGGCAGAGGTCAGCAATTAAAGGCCAAAAAGAGGAGGTGTCCGGAGAGGTCCCTGGATCCAAGGCGCGTAGAGCCCGATGAAACGGTGCGAAAGCCCGTAACCACTGGTCGTCGGTATGATCAGGTCAAGGGCAATGGCACGGCCCTTCAGCGTTTCATGAACGTCCAAGCGTAGAGCTTGGACATCACGTCGAACTCCTACGATAACACCCCATTTGCCACGGTTTGAACCGGCAGCTGGGAGACCGACGGACTCGAAGATGTCGTAGCCCGGAATAGATACACGCGACGCAACCGGACGAGTTGATTTGGTCTCGTTGATGACCCAGGCGTGTGGTTTGGAGGAAATGATGCCGCCAACAATGGCAGACTGTTTCATAACGTCACCGAGGCCATTTGCATTGATAGCGTAGACTCGGAAGGGATGAGAGGCAGATACACAACGCAAAAGACACAGACTGAAGAAGAAGAACAATAGGCGACGGAAACAAGGCCGACGAGAAGATGAATGGTTACGAAAGAATGGGGATGGTGCAAAAAGGCATGTCGCGCGGCGCCTCTCTTCTAAATCCGCCCGAGATGAAGCCTTGTTAGGCGGGTTCACTGGATTAGGGGCGCGAATCAGAAGGGCCGGCGGAGAGGCAGCGACAGTGGACGGCACCTCATTATCATCCATGTCGTCGTCGCCGTCGTTCACCGTCTGGATGCGACCCTCAGCTGGAGCTTTGGATTGGCGTGTGTTAGCGCGTTTGGGTGGAGCGGCTGACGGTTTCGCAGTGGAGTTGCGTTTCCTAGTGTTGCTGGAAACAGTTGTCGCCGAGGACGAAGCGGTAGGGGTAGTATCAGATGTTTCAGATACGGGAATAGAGGTGGGTGCGGATGGAGGTGGGTTCGGAAGGGCGGGAAAGGTCGATGACTGGAGTGCAGACTGTTGAGCTTGTTGGGTACGCAGAACATCTTCCTGGATCTTGATCTGTTGGAGAACGGCGGCCAGGTCTTCCTCGAGCGTAGCTTGTTCATCACCAGCCGCACCGACGAGCTGCCTCCTGATCGACCGTTGTTCAGCCTGGAGACTGAAAAGGGTGTTCTGGGTGGCGGAAGACTGCATGGTCAGCATGAGGAGCGATGTCTGATTGGCGAACATAGCTGCGGTATGCTGCTGTTGGACCTGGAGGTACTCGAACCGTTTGTCTTGATGCGCCAGTACTGCGTTAACTGATGTGGCGACGGCCTTGCCTTCCTGTCGAAACGAGTCCATCTCGGCACGGATGTCCCGGAGCTCCGCCGGATTGGTGCCCGACCCGGAAGGTACGCCGCTCAGAGCAAAGCCCTGCGAGTTGAACAGATAGAGCAGGACCGGAGTCGGGGAGCCGATATAGGAGGCGAGGTGAGTGCCGTGGAAGGCGGTGAAGGGATCCGTGAGGAAGCGACTACCGGTGTCCCAGTAGGTGAAGACGACGGTGTACATGTCCATCTCGGGGACGAGACGGCTGGCGGAGATGGCGTCGTTTCCGTATTTGTTGCGAATGTACTGATCGATGAACGACTTTGCGCCATTGACGTGCTTCAAGCCGACCACCGCGATCTCGAGGGCATAGAGAGGTTCGACACAGCGAGGGCGAGATGGGAAGAATGAGTGGCCGGCGAATACAGGAGGGTTTTGGAGGAGAGAGTCGACATCCTTGGGATCAATGAGGTCGAAGACAGCACGACTGTTATCCTTGAAGACAAACTTGATCTGAGTTGTAATCTTGCGACGACCAAATTCCGCCTCTAGCATAGGGAGAAGTTGAGCCATGGGCAGCTTCTCGGTAGGCGCGAACGTGACCCGTCGAGACTTGTCCGGTCCTGTGCAAGCTCTCCACGCACAGGAGACTCCGGCTCATTCCTCGCTGTTGAGGTAGTCCTTGGCTCTTTCGAGGAGGTCAGAGCGGGGCAGTTCATGGTCAGGTTGTTAGAGAGATAAGAAGGCGTAGTCGACAGCATTACGAGGATCTCCAGGAGTGTAGCGTAGAGGTGGGATGGGGTTATCGTTATCTGGTCGGGTGTTGTAGGCAGTGATAAGACGTCGGAGGTGAGCAATAGCAGATTGTTGATGTTCGCGCTCGAGGCCCTGCGCGACGGTTTACGACTTTTCCCAAGCCTTAATTCTATCGTAATTCGCTCTCCGCTCTAGCGTTTAGGCTTTCGCCCAAATGCGACGGGAAGTCATTCACTAATCGAGCCGGCCACTTTATCTAGGACTTCTACTCTCACCTGGAAGATCACATTCATGCCCGTATGCTCAATATCGAAGAGCGTGAGCTCACCCCACGCGAGCGTAACGAAGTAGAAATCCCCGGCTATATCGCCACCGTCGCCTACGCATCAACTACACCACGTACGACATTCGTCGAGCACAAGATTCCGTTAATCCCCAGAAACGCCGCGATATCATGGTACTCTCGAACAATCACGACGACGGTGCTCACCCATACTGGTACGCTCGTGTACTTGTTATTTTTCACTGCACGGTACGCCACCACGGGCTTGGGGGTCCTCTTCGGACTGGCAACGTCTGGAGTTCCTTTGGGTGCGCTGGTACACGGATCCAGTAAATGTTTGGGGCTGGGCGGCGAAGCGTCTTCCTCAAGTGTCCTTTGTCTCACGACAAACCAGATGCGTTCGGTTTCATCAGCCCTGCCAACGTTATCCGAAGCGCTCACATTATCCCGGCGTTTGTTTATGGCCGGACATCGACACTCCTCGCAAGCCCTTCTCTAGCTCGTGCTAACGGTAACAACGAGGAGGAAGAGGAGAATGATTGGACTTCGGCATATGTAGACATGTATGTGGTGTCCATTTTCCTCCTATGCTCACAAACGTCGGATTACTCAGGTTTTTCACCACTCACCTGTATTTAGGTTTGTCGACCGAGATATGGTCATGCGGTTCCGTGGAAGTAGGGTCGGCCATCGAAGTACGGTCTCTTGCAACGCCGTGCTCCGACGTGAGGCACCCACTGCGAGTTCAGTGCAATGGGAAACAGAGGGTGAAGATAGCATGGATTCAGGGGGAATCGAGGCTGATGAAGAGGAAGAGAATAGCGATGATGAGGAGGATGAAGAGACGGATTCGGATTCGGATCCTGACTCGGACGACGAGTTCTACAATCTCGGGTCTGAGGAGGAGTATAGGGACGAGGATGTATTGTCCGATGGCGTATTCGGAGCACTTTGAGTCTTTTACGGTACATGGCATAATCTTTAGTCTACGTACTGCTACAGATACACATTTTTACTACTCTGACTTGTGTGTTGGACGCGTCGTATCAACCACAGCATCCTTCTCTTTGACTACCGATGTGCACACTCCTCACCCTGGCCTCAAACTCACATAGTCTCGGGGTGGCACCACTATTGGAGTGAGGAGAGTTCTTCCATTGTCCTTGACCGTGCTTGATCGCATGGTCGTGCGCTGTTGTGTACTTTGTAACACTCAAGACAGCCCGGTAACTATCTAGGCTTCATTTGTATGCCACTCAACTGCACAATCATCAGATTTTGTGTTGAAAGCTCTTGCCCCAGAACGCTAAGCAAACACTCGTTATCAACAATATCAGGAAGCCCAGCTTCGGACTGAAGGTCAACACACAGCAGAGCTCGTGCAGATTGCCGCCCCACCAACGTTCGAACGTGAGCCATCCGCTGTTAGCATCATTTTCATCGTTGACGTGAACGTTTGCATTACCCTTCATGTTCAGCAACACCTGATCACGCCACCCACTTCTACCTCCTGTCCACATATCGCAGCACACTTACTTGCTTCACGCATCGACCCCGATCCCTATTGGCTGCTGTTCCCGACCCAAGCATCAAGGTGTCGGTGTCGACGGTCAGCGGTACCAATCCCACCGAGTTGACGTGATATTGTGAACGGTATTGCGGTGATGGAACGGTGATGGTCTCGGAGAGGAGCGATGAGACGGGTACATTGATTGGACATTGTTCATCGAGGGCGCACTCTAAGCCTGGGCTGTGCATTGCACGAAGAACAAGTCAACACCTCTACTGAGCGTGTCAACGCATGCAACCAAGCAAACCACGACATCAGGCTATGCCATTGTGCAGCTGGCACAGTCGTCGTGGCCCTTCTCAGGAATACATGGACGACACGAAATGCGCAATCAGAAAGGCGTACCTTGGGGTCGCGTACACAACCCGAGCGTTCGCGACTACGAGAGAAAGCACCTCGAGTGGCACTATGCCATCTGGGCCACGTTCTGTGCTTCTGCAGTGCAGACTGCTCTCTTCGGCTCAACGAATCCGAGCCAATACATGTGCCCCGACCGAGATGTCTTGTGCGGGTGTTTGTCGGATCTGGAAAGACCTTTCACCGGTAGACATATAGACTAGGAGAAATCGTTGGTCAGTATCTGAGAAAAGCAATTCAAGCCAAAAGCAGCGACTGCGTTGACACGCGTGCCAGTCACGAAGTGGTCAAATGCCTTGTTATTCGTTGTGTATGGTTAAAGAGAGGAAAAGAGTATAGTTAATGACTTACACGGATTGGAGAGCCAATGAGCGAATGGAATACCTGTTTAGATAGCATTGGTGCGAAGGACAGAGCGAGGTGAAAAGACAGGTGATGAAAGAAAGCGAGAGAGCGCCTCGACGCGTTGACGCGACGGAGACCAACTTCGGCGCCAGCTTATGGCATCACAATTGACCATAATCGGCCACCAGCGCTTCTGGGTAAGAGGCAAGCGGGATCAAAATTCGTATAAACCTCCTACCTTCAGTCGCTCGCGCAGCCCCTCTCCTATCCCCGAAGATTTAACCGTCTCGCACTCGTTCCCCATTGGTGTCGAGCTCATCGTTCGAGGTTGTGAGGACGGTCCTCCTCGTCGCAGCGTGCTCGGATCAAGCGGGCAGTGAATGCGGCAGAGATGTGCGCGCGCGAAAAGCATTCGGAGTCCAAAAATCTGGTCTGGGATGCGGCTTTGGCCTGTGTAGGGGGGTTGACACCCCTTCCCAGGCGTTGCACCTAGAACGAGGTCGCGTCGACCCGACCCAACGGTTTGCCATCAGCCGAACCTCGGCAGCATCGTTTGGGTTGGGTATTTGGTCTACGCAACGTCCCAAACGGCCACGGGAAGTCATCCAGTTACAGTAATTTATCAACCCAAACTTGAACTTAGTGCAGCCTTACCTTGCAAGCGGGGTCAGAGCGGCGCTTTCTCGGTGATCCCTTTTGTTTCCCGCTCTGTAGCTGTCTGAGTTGTCTTTCCGCTCGCTCTCGTCCACGCTCTCCTTCTTCTTCTCTACATAAGTACCGGCAGCTCCAAATTTGATATACCTGGTACCCTCCTTCTAAAGAAACTGAACAGTTCTCTCATTGTTACTTCTTGGCCTTCGTGACCACAGGAATCCCCTTCAACTCCTTCGAGCTCAACTGTCAACAGTCTCAACGCCCCGCCGCTGCTAGCCGCAGATCATACCTAGGCTCACCATCCGTTATATTTGACGTGAAGGGAATCGTACACTCATAGATCATACCTCTTCATACCACAGCGCCGACGTCACGTTGTTATTTCATCGTGATATTTTGAGGGAAAATCCAACATGGACACAAAACTGGACCGAATGACGACGACGCGTTCTTCGAACCAGCGAGGCACGCCACCTCACACTCACACTCACACTCTCGACAGCTATCAAGCAGCAAACTCTCCGTCTCCCTGGACGAACGGGAATACAGAGCGTCTCTCGAAAGCATAAGATATTGGACGTATCAAAGCAGCTCTCGGCCGACCTTCATGATCGTTCAAGGTTCGGCTGTTTCGCTACACCTTATCTCTCTCAGCCATAACTAACGAGCGACGACGGGCAGTTCAAAGTTGAAGAATAAAATTTGAGAGTTTCTCCGTGCCTTAGCACTTGAACCACCACCCCGCTCCTCGACACCTCCCCTACAGCCTCCGTCTCAGCCTCCGCCCGCTTTTCAGACCTCATCTCCACCACCTCCACCACCTCGCACCCGTAGGACAACCTCCATCAAAACCCCTCTATCCGAAGCCCGCGACAGTTTCATGACTTGTTCACCCTCATCGAGTGCTCCGTCGCCCGCAGCCAAGGGTTGCTTGTGGAGAAATATTTGAAGGTGGCCAGGATCGATTGGTGGTTTGTGAGATGTTGGTGGTAAAGATCGACGAGATAGATGCGGAGGTCTAGAGGATGTCGCTTGGGTATGAATGTAGAGGAGGGAAGGAGACGGTTTTAGGAGACGTTTCAGAAGTCTTTAGAGGAGAGAGTCAGTTCCTGTCTGCTTTGGCTCCGCTCGTGTGTGGAGAGCTTATGTTGACGTTCGCAGGCGTACGACTGGCGAACCACATGCTGAGAATTTGCATGGGCTGCATCATTTTCAGGGATTGGAATACGGGACGAGTACGTTGAACCATCTGGACGACTCGCTTGTACTTCGGACAGACTCCCCGTGCATGTTCGAACACGGCGAAGTCTGCATCGCATTTTCCAAGCCACAGGTATGCCACTCCACATTTTTTCTTCCTCATCTCCACGCATGACTAAGCCTCTACTTATTGCTGATACGTGTGATCCAAGAGCCATTCTCGCGAAGCAGATCTCTACCTCGGCATTCAACAATGTATGGCCCGCGCAACAACGCTCATCAAAATGCTATTCGTCGCGTCTTTTGATATGCTCATGCAAGATATCCGACGGAGCTCATAAAAGAAGGTTCGTTCTCTCTGCTGACGATCATCGTACCTACGCCACACTAGTACGCCACACTAGTTTGCATCACGTCACACCATCTTCTCCCTCTCATGCCCCTTTTGTCCCTCTCGTCCTCTTCCTCGTCATGTTATACCGACTCACTGACTGCCAACCTAGACGAATACGACATCCCTTTGACGGCCCAGAAACCGTCCTCTACACCCACTTCTAGCCCGTCCGCATCGTCCGGTCCTCTCGAAGCTCGGGGGTCGGCATCGCAGCATGATCAGTTGGCTTCTTCGTTCCAGTACTTTCCTCTTTCATCCACCTCCCGACTCTTGGCCCTTTGTTTTCTTCGCTTCAATAGTGTCGTCCTCCTTTCCTTTTTTTCCTGCGATTTCATCGCTTGACCTTTTGCACAATGCTCAAACGTGGGTGCCACACTATTCCTCGGCCCGGTTCGTATGTAACTAGTGTGATATAATTGCTGACACGAATTCATAGTTTTCTCATATAGGAGGGATCTATGGCGTGGTTCACGGCGACGAATAGGATCGTGTAGGGAAGGTTCGTCGAGGTATTGGGAGGGTTGGGAGTGGGGAGGAGGAGCTCGTCGAGGTGGTACGTCCGACTCTTTGGATTTTCATTCATCGTCGTCGTCATCAACATCATCGTGATAAGACCTATCCTTCAATGAATAGCGACAGACGAGTGCGGGTGTAGCTTTCTGAAGCAGCTCTGCACGGCCGGGCGGGAACGCTATCAGTACTGTATCAATTCGGGGGAGTATGAGCTTTAGTGTATTTTACTTAAATTTCATTTCGTTCTTGTCTTCTCGCATTCCTTTATACCGTTGTATTCGGTTTTTTCTATCTCATCTTTGGATCGACCTTTATCCTTTCGCGTCTCTATGCTAGGTTTGACGATCTCTGATCGCTCTCCTCCCCTCTCCTCCCCTCTCCCATCTCAACAGAGCGTTTTCGCAACCCGGCCAATCAGCTGTCGCTGCGACAGCGACAGAGTAAGTCGGCACACTGGCGCTTCGTTGGCGGTGCTGTTAGGCTCGCTCCACGACAGATCTCTGGGCGACCTCGACAGCTCCACCGGCGCAACAGCTGTCGCACTCGATAGCGAAAACGCTCTAACGAACGATCTCGATGCAACTTCGCTATACCGATCCCACTCTATCCACGGGCACAAAGAATGCACCTACCGACTCTCTACGCCCAATCGACCATGTACCCAACGCGCTCGATCAATTAACGCATCAAACTCACCAACAAACTCGCCACATACGCTCACGAAATCAAGAACTCGTAATCGACGGACCTGACGCACCCGACTAGTATCCACCTCCCGTCCACAAATCATACACGAAGGCTGACCAGACTAACTCCTCGCCACCGCCACCGCCACCGCCACCTATAGGGCACTGAACCGGACCAAAAGCTTCATCGCACGTGAAGGGATGTGAGTAGATGTAGCGGCAGAACACACCCATCACTCTAGGGACTGATCGGCAACTTTGCTTCGCCAATATTGAGGGAGATATCGAGAGGGAGGCGCTCATGGGTAATTTGGATGCGGATAGTCCGTCGACATCGGCAACGGTGGAAGGCGTTTGTAAAGAGCATATATTTGGCATGATCAATGCAGGTAGGTTTGTACAAGCCGTCACGAAGAGGGGCACACGGCATCCAAGAAAACAAAATGTCAATGAGAAACAAGAATGATGCCGTCGAAAACAAATCGACGTGACAGGATGAAACCGGCACAGCGGGGAAAACGCGCACGCCAGACGTCCTGCGGACAACGAATCGACAGGGGGCAGTTCGCTCATTTCTTCCTCGGCCTCAACGATGCTCTGCGCCGCTTCACGGCCTTGTCCTCCACCTCTCTGTCCGCGCGGTTCGGCGGAATCCACCCCCTCTCGGCCACCCTCTCCTGCTCGCTCTTCCTTCCACTCCCGCGCGGTCGTCCGACCTTCCTCTTTTTGGCCCCAGCGCGTGATCTGCTTCCGTCGCCTCCATTTCCTTCATCACCCACCCCCTCCTCACCACGAACGTCATCGTCTTCTCCACACTCTCCAGGTCCACTACCATGATCCTCGCGTTCCGTCTGCGTTTCACCGGCCTCTTGGTGCGTCGACGTCGTACCTAACACGAAAACACGCCGACGAGACGTGATCAGCGTCCCAGGCTGCACGCCTCCGGCCCAATGAGATCTCACACTCACCTCTCCCCTCCGTAACAGGTCGCACTCGAGGGGACTACAGCCGAAACAGAGTCAGCATGGCACAACATTCCGCACCGTCACGGCCAACACTCACTCGGTCGCGATCGGAGGCCCCACGAGCTTCGCCATTTTCTCCATCTTCCGCTGTCAAGGGCCCGCCCAGAGCTTCCGCATCGTCAAGGTCCCAACAGATACGGAGGCCAACACAGCTCACTCACCCTCGATTGGCCTCCCTGGGTCAGCCCCTCCTTCTCCATCACGAACGCCACCGTTATTCACTTTAAGCTGCGGCCCTTCCTCTGCGCCAACACCTCTCACACGACCTGCGCCAAATTGGCCATCGTCGTCAAGGCATGCACCCTCCGCAGTGAACTGAACGCACTCACCGCCGTCTGTCTGCGTCTCCTGCACAAGAAACCCGGATAGTCAACGCCACAGTCCAATGTTCAAAGAACAAAAGGTACTCACCATCGCCCCGCTCCCATCATCTCCCCCTCCTCCTCCTCCTCCTATCCCGTCAACTCCTCCTTCTCTTCCTTCTCCGTGCCCGTCATCTCCTCCGCTATCCTCGACGGCGACCCCGCTCCGCGTACCTACCGAAGGCCCCGCGTCGCCCTCGTCGACATCGCCATTCTGCAGCCTCAATTGATCCAGTGGATCGCGCGCGTCGTCGTTGATCCCTTGGAGCCTCTCGATCTCGCGCTTAGGCTTCACGTCGACGTCGTCGATGTCGCTTCGCTCCATCCCCAGTCCATCGCAGGTCGCTCTGACCACTTCTCGGAGCCTGCTGATGCCAGCCTCCTCCTCGGACTTGATCCTCATTGCGCTCTCCTCCGTTTTTACCTGACGGAGAGCACGGAACAAACAGTGAGCCGGTGGACTCCAATCTGCGCGGTCACCGCTTGACACGCGCGATGATCACCACAATACCCACGACAGACTCACTGTCACTTCCAGGCCTCCGCCTTCTGAAGGCTCGACCTTGGGTGCGGGCGGTGGTGGTGACCGTTTACGCTTCATGCTCATATTGAGTAGCGATGTGGCGTATGAGGTAGATATGCGGGCAAGACAGAGACGGAGACGTCTTCAAGCGCCCGACGCCACGCCTGCATCCCGGTTCCTAACACGGCGCCGACACACGTGGCCGCCATCCGATCTCCGCCTCTAACATTTGTGTGTGTGGCGAAATTACCTTGCTTAAGCTTTCCTCGTTTGCCTTAACTATCGATCCCAGATAATAGGGGCTATCACTTATTGACTGGGCATCATTCTAGTCGAAATCTTGCAATCTCAACGCGACGTTGATCTGAAAAGAGAACGATGGAGGCAGTCAAGATGCAGTCGTACCCGCAGAAGTGACTGCAGAGCTCACTCAGATCCTGTCGAATCCTGTCCTAGAAGACAACGAGATCCGTTCAAAGTTAGTGATTTTTTGATTTATATGGTCGTCTGGAGGCTTAAGGGATGGCTACAGTGCAGAAAAAGGCGGCCAACGCGAGGCTCGCGCAGACGCCAGAGGTCTATGTGCTCGCGCTCCCGTTACGATCAAGCGAGCCGTTACCGTCCACTACGCACCCCTCTAGTCCGTCATCGCATCAGCACCAGCCGACCGCTCTCCGCGATGATGATATCGATACCCATAGCCTCTCTGGGATACCTACCGCTCATAGCCTTTCTGGGCTACCTACCACAACGACACCGATTCGGAAGGGCCACACGACGACTTAGCCATTCACTTCTAACCACTTGTACAATGATCCAGCATACATGCGTGCGGCAGAGGAATTGAAAGGAAAGTTCGTGGAGATACCGACCCGTGAATTGCTCGATCAACTTCAGGGATGCCAACCCCGCAGCATGACCTTGGGCCGCTGAAGAAACTTAAAGATGTTACACTGGAAGACCAATCTTATAATTTATTTGTGCGTGGTTTGTGTTCATCTACCGTCCCGTTCGTGCTGATTGCTCCATAGATCAAGGCGATGCAACCCTGCCTGGGTAAGGGCTGGAAATTGAAGGATATCCACAACCACGCAGATCCAGACTCGAAAACCCCCTTGGGCAACAGTGACGTAAAACTCGATCTTGCGCTCTACGCTCCCGACATGTACGATGACGCTCGGCCCTGTCGGTCAAAAGCGGCAGCGCTGTTCGGCGAAGCCAAAATACTCGAGAAGAGCGAGCCTTTCCGTCTGCCACCTGGTGTGGCCCACGTCAAACCTCGGGTAGGATCGTCGTCGCCGTCTCGCTCGGCATCTCCATTCTCGTCAGCGACTTCTCGTCCGATATCTCCATTCTCGACAGCCTCCTTGCGTTCGGCCTCGCCATTCCCGTAGGCACTCAGTGGAGAGCTCAATGGTTTGAGTACGAAAGGCGGCGCTACCTGGGTTCAACCTTCGACGAGCGGGATGAAGTCGCACAAATAGTTCCAGGGCGGGATTCGATGGTACACGCATACGGTCGTATCCGCCTGGGAGCCACCCCGACATCGATCTCCGATCTCTGCTTGTTGACGAACATACCTCGCCTCTTCCTGTCGACGCCGTCACTGCGCTCTCTCGTACAATCGGGGCTCAGGGTGGAATAAGTTCGGAGCAGTCTATTAGCGAGCGCGGCAGTGAAGATAGGGAGGACAGTACGGCCCGCATGCTGGGGATGCTCAATGGCCAGGGGAGCTCCAGGAGGGAAGGCGACTTGAGGGTGGCGCCACAAGTTATCACACACAAAGTCTCAAGCAAGGAGACTATGGATGCGAAGCAGAGGAGACGACGTAGCTCGTCCGTCAATGCCATATTAGCCTCTGACTCTACCACGTCCAACTTTCCATCTTCGTCGCTCACCAGACTTGTATCTTCCCATTCTCCGCGCAAGACGTCAATTCCTCGTCGTGTGGACCTTCCACTCTCAGTTCCTCCAACTTCGCCCTCTACCCCGCCCAGAGCCCTCACACTTCGCGCGGCTCAGCCTTCTCCTCCACGCTCCACATTCATATCTCCTTCGACCGCGCCGACTAAATCTCATAGACCCTCAAGATCCGTCTCCTCCAACACCAACGCGCCTCGGAATTGGCCAAGGGTGATGGGCAGGGCCCTAAGGTGCGTTCAAACTTCTTTCTATCAGTTTTCCATCTCCTCATCCCTCAATTGTACACTTTACTACACCCCCCGATATCTACCCCTGTCCTCATCGTTTCTAACTTCTTTGTGTACAATGCATGCAGATCGTAACGACCGTACCAGACCTCATCGCTGCACTGGATGCCCAATCTGGCTGTGCCCTTGGTACGCCGGACTATAAATACGGACTCAGGGTGCTGGTGCTCGGTATCACGGCCGCGCCTCAGTGGACGAATACGGAGCGGGGGTTGGAGCTAGGAAAAAGAGACAGAGCCAGAGAAGGAAGGGGGGAAAGGGGAGCTATTGGTGGAAAAGCGAGTGGGCGAGGTTTGGGTGCGAGTGCTCGCTCTATTGTTGAGGAGGGGCTTGAGTGAGGATATCTATGGGGTGTCTTGGCGATTACAGATGTAGAGGACGGTGACGAGAGGAAGATGGGAGAGAAGCTGGAGCCGGTTATTGTCGGGTGGGGAAGTTGGCTAGACGGGGCGAATGGAGGGAAGGAGAGGGAACAGAGCGCAGAGAGATAATGACGGGGCTGACGAAAAGAGAATGTGCTGCTTTGGGAAGGTCTGGATGCATTCATACAAGTAGGTAGGGCTATACAATGTCCCTTTTTTCTTTCTATCTCGATTCGCTCGGTGGGCATGACTCTTCGTTTGATGCAAGAAAGAAACACTTTTCCAAGTACGCCGTCGCGTGCGCTGGTCCGACTGTCAACATCCCACTCGCTACATTTGGGCCCCAATATCACGATGGTACTCTCAAGAGATAAGTTTGTGCGCGTCTCCATCCATACCGTGCCATCAGAGGCGCATTTTCAACGACCAACAACTATTCTCGGTGGTCATCCCTACGCTAGAGGCTCCAGAGTCGAGGTACGTATCTCCTATCCCGTGGTTGTCTTTCCCGCATCCTCTAACGCCTCTTGCTTCACGTGCTGTGCCATTTCGCCGAATCCATCGGCTGTCTTTTATTTCGCCCTCCACGACCCTTTGTTGGCCCCGTTCGTGCTTCACCCACTATCTTCCTTCTCCAAATTATATTTTCATGGGGGATTTAGCTTTATCTGCCTACACCAGAAGGGCGACGAACGACAATGGGGAGATAAACGGCAACACAAAGGGTGCACGAACAAGGAATGTATGGATCTAAGTAGAAGAGAAATAGAGTTTCGACATTTTTCGTGCGATGAAGAGAAAAATGGAGAACGATACTCAGATAAGCGGACAGCAAAATACTGAGCTCCACTCCCAAGAGGCTGTGTCCTCGACGAATTCTTCAGGGCCCGAATGGTCGTGGTCCCGGTCGCGGTAGGGGTCGAGAAAAGGGTGGACTGCGCATCAGGGCCATAGATGTCGAGAGCAGAGGAAATCCAAGAGGAGCCAAGAAGCGTCGTCCTTTCTCAGTTTCGTTCCCAATTCGTTCCACCCCTTCAGCTCATTATTCACCACAAGATCGTCCCACTTCTTTGTACTATACTTCTGAAGGTGTTCACGCGGCCTCCCTTTCTCATTAGCCCAACTCCCTTCGTCGAGTCGAAGAGAGTACAAATCAGGGACAGTCCATCGGAACACGTACCTCATCAACATAGACGCAATCTCACCGGACGACTTGCAACGCAAAACGTTTACTTTGATCAGGCACTAGGTATCTGACCGTTGGCGCTTGACGTACTAGTTGAGAGCGAACAATGGCGAGGTCGAGCGTTTCTCGAGAGAGACATATAGGCGCTGTATGGCTTCGATGGCAGGATGGGTGGTGTAGGGCCAACGCCATGGCGACTCGACAAGGCAGCACCAGCGGCAATGTTATGGCTGGCACGGGTACGTCCGAACCCTCGGTCGCTTGGCTGAGTATCAAGAAGTTCATCGTGGAGCCCTGATAGACCGTATGTTCATGCATAGAAAACAGCCTTAATTTGTGAACATACACAACCCATCCAAACTGCTAGTGACGGAGAATGTCGGAACGAAGAAGGTCCTGAGGCAGGTTCGGATACGCTCGTGGATAAGGCCGTCCTCGACCCACCGCCCCCCTCCTCTGACCAGTGTTGAATTTGGGTAAGACGAATTAGTCCCTGCATTTGAATGTCAGGCCTGACTAAGAGAAAGAAATATGAGCGCATACTCACTTTTCTTGAACGCCAGTTGGTGCCTGGTCTTGCTTATAGTGAGCCGAGAACGAATCCTGACCAAACAGATTTATGGGATAAGCACAATCCTATGTCAGTACAGATATATCACACTCACTAGTACGCCAGTCATGCTGGCATGCAAAGCAGACATGCCGTCGCATACCTGTCGATATCGACGATGGTACAGCGTTGCGATTCGGGCGCAGTGAGCCTTGAGATCATCGTACCCTTCCTCCACACGAGCATTCAGAGTAGAGACGTTGTTATCAATGACCACTATATCCCGCCAATTATCTGTACAGATCTTGTCCGTCTCCGAGCATCTGTCATTGATAGCATTTATCTCTGACAACAGCCGCGAGGCCATTTCTTCAAATCGGATCTGGTTCTCGACAGTGCGTCGAAGTCGGGTTTCGACCGCGACGATGCGAGCAAGAAGCTCAGCGTGGGTGATAGGCAACTCTTCGTGTGCTGGGTCTGAGTCGATGGTGGATGCCATGATGTGTGGGCGTGCTGACAGGCTTGCGACTCCGATGCCATCCTTTATAATGTTGTTGTGTTCGCATTTGTATATGTTATGCACTTCTTCGTTCACTCGTGAGATAGTCAAGTAGACCTGCCTCACGCTTCTCATTGGCTTGTATTTATATTATGATTCTGTTCGGAGCAGTCATGTCTTACGCACGATATGACAAGTTCTGCAATCCCATCAGGAAAGCCTTCCCACTAAAAGACAAGTGGAGGGCCTGCCTGGCGGTACGATTCCACCTTTACTTTTTCATGCAGTCTTTTGACTCACCTTCATCTCGACACTCATTGGAGCATGTTGTTTTTGATATAGCCATGCTTTTACATGGCATGCGAACGATTCCCGTAAATACAGTCTCAAACCGCATAGAACAAATAACCATAACCACATGAAAGCAATGTCATAAGCACATTAAAGCCGGTATCAGCCTGATACCTACAGAATCCACAAAGGAACTAGATAGTGGCACATGAATGTAAGATCATTTCACCGATCCTCCTTCGCGTTCCCCATCCCTTGTTGGCCCAAGGCATTGGACACCGTCGCATCTTACCTTATGCGATAGCCCTGAAGTTCTGGTGGTGGGCAGCGAGGGCAGCACCGGGCGTGGAGCCTATTATAGATCACGGAAGACAGTCACTGTAAGTAAAAAGAGGGCCGGAGACAAAAGGGAGGATGGGGTGAGAAAAATCGATGTACGCACCGGCCGTCCATCCGAAACTTCCTCAGGGAATTTGGCTGACATTGATTGCATCCTCGGGCGACGGCACGCCCATAACACCAAAGCTAGACGTACCCGTCTCACTCACAATCACGTCTTTCTCCCTGAAGAACTGGCCTATCCTCGGCCACATCCACACATGGCTGGTCGTCTCCTCACAGAGGGGATCCTTAGTGGGAAACCTCGCCTCAAACTGGGGGACGGACAACTTGGAGGCGAAGACGGCAAGACGGAACGAATTTCGGGGCGAGCTGCTACATGCCGATGGCGTTGTACTTGGCGTACTTGGCGAGGGTGTGGTCAGAGTGGAGCTCGATGGTGCGCTGTTTGGGGTGGGGTATGTGAAGTTGTCGGTGTTGAAGTCGGACTTGAGGCCACCGACACAAATGATGAGTTTCGCGGGGCCGACATCTCTGGGCGAAAAAAGAAACCCCCCGACATATCTACAGACACGATCAAGAGAAGAGTCAGCGCGGAGCCTTTACAAAGAAAGGTAAGGAACCGAGACAACAGATAAGAAGATTCTTACATCGCCGTATCTCGTAACCCTCCCAGACGGTGCTCTTGCCCATAGGGGCAGCGTGAACCGTGAACCAACCGCGCACGCATCTCTACCCGCCGCCTCTCCCTTCCTGACCATATTGTCCAACATGGACTGCTTAGTCTCGTCGTTGGGCAAGAGAGCAGATGTGAGTGAGGTATAGAGGTTACCTATGGGAATCTTCATGAAAACGACGTCGGTGGGGATGAAGAAAAAGACGGCGCACGCACCAGTGATAGGTGCTGAAGAATTACAATTGACCTCAAACGGTGTGTTCCCAGCCTTACCATTACCAAACACCAAACATCAATGCACCATCTGCTCATCAAAAAGATGATACTCACAATCAAGCCTATGAAGTCCCCGAGCTGCAATACAAGCAGAATCTGCCGAACGACGAGTGAGAGACGTTCAGGCAAAGGAAGCGGTGTGCCCGTGGACGCACGCACCGTACTAGTCTCGGTCATGGGGCCTACTCCACATGATTCCTGCCACAGCTCCTTCGGAAGTGTTGGACAACCTGACACAGTTGATGCGGGAGAGCATATGTCAGTGTCGAGTCCAACATTAGATGTTCTAGTTGATGTGGAGTGACAGAAGGAAGGGTGAAATAAGTACGTGCGTAAGACAACGACTTGAACGGGCAGCGAGCAGCGAGCAGAGAGAGAGCGGAAACAGCGGAACAATGAGAGGGGGAGATGGAAGTAAAATATGAGATGCAAGATCATGAAGTGGCGTCGGTGCGGACACGACGCGTCTACAAAGGACCCCTGCGTATGCTGACAGAGGTCCCATCCGAAAACCCCCAAAATCGGTAGTTTTCGTCGCACGATTTTGGGGGTGTTTTCGTCGCATCAGGGATGGGACATCGGATTTTTGGCCATTTCCGTCGCACGTCGGATGGAACATCGCTCCGCATAAGGCCTTCCCAAACCCTGGTCGTCAAAAATTTTCCCCAAATCATGTTTTTGGCCGTGTTTGCCAAGTTTTTACCCCATTTTTTGCGGGCCCGAGAGACATTTTCGTCGCATAACGGGATGGAACATCAGCATCGAAAAGCCGTTTTCGTCGCACTACGGATCGGACGAAACGCGATTTTTCGCTCAAAATTCGTCGCATCAGGATGGGACCTCCGTTAGCATACGCAGGGGTCCTGTCTACAATTGAAAGTCAGCCCAAATTCTATCTCACGGTCAGTCACGTCAGATTAGATTAGATTAATACACAGCACGGTCCCGTTGAGGAACAGCTGGACCTTCTCCGGCCTCCTGCGGACGAGCTCGCCATATTTTCAGGCTGTAGATCCGCAGGCGCATGAGAGGCTTGATAGTAAGTAGGTAGTTACAGGATGTAGGTACAGAGTAGCATCTACATGTAAGAGACAGTTAGGGGACAGGCAGTGCCGGCCAAAGCATGGGCACTTCCTGATATAATTTGAGAACATCGTGTACAAACTTCGCCACTCGGTTGACGGTGTCTCGACGAAATATGATGTTTTGAGTGATCTCCACCGCGTTAACTCATGATCACGCTGCGGATCTTCGTGGAGGAGACATCTTGACCGTGCTTAGAAACGGAGTCATGGTGGCTATCTGACGGCACAAGTCAATTCGGACCCGTGCTGCCAGCGGAGCCTCTGCTCACACACACATCTGTTCATGCTTTGTTGTGTTGCGTGTACCGCTCTCACGTCGACGCGGCCTGTTAGGGTTCCTGCGCACCTTGACGCATCTGTTGCGGCTCGGCGCCGTCTCTCATCGCTCAGCGCGGCTAGGGCAAGACGTGTTTAAGAAGACATGGAGAAAAAGGGTAGACAAACGACAGAAATCGACACACAAGACGTACTGGGTTGTTTTTATGCTGCTCAACCCGCCTGCTCCGTTCGATCCAAAACTGAAGATGGTTCACCAACGCCACCCCGCTCGTTGCCTTCAGCTCATTCATGGTTCCACCCGTTGCCATCTACTCTGTTGTATGCTCCCTTCTTACGACTACCTGTTTGCTCTGGTACGACTCGTCAACGCTTCCACTCACTACTTAACTCCGAGTATCCTCGAGAGCGATTGCACGTGTCATCGAAAGACGTTTAAGCCGAGTAAATGGGATATTCGAATGATCCGAGGGGCTGGGTTTTAAAGTAGGCCTCCAGTGGAGTTCATGTAATCTCGGCGTGAGATATTAGTCTCCTACACAGACCTTTATAGTGATGCCTGTCAAATTGGACAAGACTAGTGAGATATGCTCTTCGAGAACCGGAGGTAGTTAGTCGAAGTGTGAGTCGACCGGATCTTGATTGCGAAAGGTTGATCATAGCATCGTGATTGACGAGAGCGGCCATGTATACGCATCCGGTCATGAGAAGAGATATATTCTACCGGGAAAACCCCATGACTAGCTCATCGCCGTCGACGAGGACAAAGACGAGAGCGAGGGCTTGGTCCTTGGAGAGCATCGCAAGCTGTGTGGGGATCTTATCTTATCTTACTCGCGATTATCTAGCGTTCTTTCTGGTGCGGTGGCGTGGCATATTGCGAGGTGGGCGACTCGGAAGTGCAAACGAAATGTTGAAGAATGTTGACCACGTCCTGCTACTTCTTTTTTCTTCGAAAGCTCCAAACTCCCGCTATGCATCGGCGCGTAGTAGTTGGAGATGAGATACTTAATTTGCCAAGCAGTGCACGTCTCGCCCTTCCTCTTTGTTTCGTCTTCAAACTGATGAGTTGGCAACGCGCTAGTGGCTCTGTGCATGCATTGAGGGACGTCTGACCGTCTTCCCCAGCGTTTTGTGCATATGACCATGCAGTTCATTGAGTATCCACAACAGTTATTGCCAGTGCTCGTGCGCACGCTCGAAGCTTCGGGATCGAGGTAGGTATACTCATTCCGCCATATGGGCCTCCAACACTAACCATTACAGGGCCGCTCCTCCCTTTCATCTCCGATACAGTACTCGCCGACACCGTCGAACACGTCCTGATCAGCTTCGTCGTAGGTGTAGAACCGGGCCCCCTCACTTTCTACATCCATCGTGAACGTCTTCAGAAGCTTCTCCCTCTCCGTCCTCCGCCTCTGCTGGCGGTAATGGGAGTAGAATTGGATGCGGAACGGGCGGGTGGAGGTACATATGAGGGGGTGATTATGACGCTGGTGATTGTTTTGCGGATGGGAGTAAGGATTTTCGAAGGTGCGTTCCATGGGTATTTCCCTCCTGGTTTCCCTTCTGATTCGGCTCGTGCTTGTGTGGTAGAACGACAACCGCGCATCACAAATTTGAGCATTACTCGAATTATTACCTTGCTCTTGACTGTCCACTAGAACGCGAATATACTAGAGTACAGGAAGTTGAGGTTGAAGGCGATAGCACGTGCGGGGTTGACTAGTACGTGGTCGCTACCTCTGCCTGCGCGTCCCTTGATTCCGAGGATTGAATGGCTTATTACCCCCTCTTGCTCGTAGCCATTGCCGTGGAACGACGAGTGTTCGGGCAGGATGCCCAACGCTTCCTGGAGCGGTTGATCCGATTACAACGTACGTCTTCATTTTCCACCCTCGTTCTCAACGATGTCATCGGCTTACCTCGGCCCCCAAAGACAGACAAGTCGAATCCGGCGACGCCACGCTGCCGCACTACTCCATCCCGACCTGGGCGAAGTTATGGGACTGGGTTACGAGCCTTACCTATCAGCTGTTATTACACAGATGTTGAAGGCTGCGATTGTGAAGGCGGATGTTTCGGGCTGCTGCTCGTCTACGCCCTCATGACCCACTTACGCTTATTGGTGCTGGTCTACTACCACCATGGACGGTAAACAGGCCGTCGACCGGACCCTGGCGATGAACGAACACTGCCAGGTATTCAAGACGCTGACGATCATATACCGACGTTTGAGCCACAGCTCCCTCTCTTGCGTTAAGCACTCGAGTTGGTGGTGCTGAGCTCGAGCTTTCATCTTCACCATGCGGTCAAGCATACATGTTCTATGTACGTTCTACCTCCACTTTGTATTTTCTTCCCAACGAGCAACGTGTAATCGGGAGGGTGTGTCTAAACGTATGTAGATTTTAGGATCATACCTATCCATATTCCAGCCGACAAAAACTGAGTCCCAACTCCGACTGATCACCTCAATCTCATCGAGCCCGACACCCCTTCCTCTCCACGCGTTGCTCTACGAGTCGCTCGCGGACACGCCCTGCGTCCTCGGCGACCCGTCTTTCCTCCCTCCCTCCCTCCATCCCCATCACTCCGATGCTTCGAAGCGTACACGGGCCAGCATGCAAGAGCTCAGGAAACGAAACCCAGAGAAATTTGGTGGATATGGGAATGGAGAATGTGGCAATTAGGGAGTTCTGGATGGAGGAGAGAGGAGTTGCCGCTGGTGAAGATGAAACATTTCGCGTTGGAGGACGATGTTGATGAAGATGTTCCAGTGGTTGTGGGGAAAGATCGGGACGAGCGTGCAGGAGATCATGGTCATGGTGGGGAGCGTGAGGGTTCTTGCGCCATGGTTCGGAATGTGGAAGATCGAGGCGGAACGTTGACGGGGAATTTGAACGTATGTGACACCAAGGGTGAAAGTTGTAGCTTCCCGCGATGAGCAGCAGAGATCGAGAAGGAGAGGCGGAGGTGATCGTGGTGGCTTTTGTAAGTGAGTCAGGGCGAGGTCTCCATCTGCCATGATGCATGATACGCGTATATTCTCACATTGTCTAACCTATTCGCAGATCCGATTTTGCTCGCTTGGTACGGTCAAAATCCCTTTGATCCCTGTTCGGGTTTTCTCAGCGCGTTTGCTGATCGTCGTCTCTTCCTTTCGCCGCAGCCACTCTTTCATCACTCACTTCTGACATATCCTTGTTTGCTAGACGGCTCGCAAGATATATACCTGTCGTTCTTTTTCACTCCAAGGATAATCTTCCTCTCCTTGAAGCGTCAATCACACTATCGCTGTAAAGCTGACACGTCGAAACTTCTACTTTGATTTCGCTCGTACTCGAGTCCGCCAACAGCTTTGTTGAATCAGGACGCTGCTTCTCCGATGCTATAGATGGGATAGTTCATTCGATGTACAGTTGGCTCAGGTTATTATCGGTTTTCACCTAGAGGACGAGGCCCTTGAACTGAAATCGGTAAACGTGCCACGGCCTACCCTCCAAGGCCCTTGCTCCCATGCCACCGTGTATTATAATAGTCGGGGGCCCTGACCATTCGTCCCGCTCTATTCCGGTTCTGAACATGCCTCTGCGGACTTTATCGTCGCTTATGTGGCACTTGCATGAGTGCCGTTCCGAACATGAAATGTGATTTGGTAGAAACATGGAACAAGTCTCCATCCTACCCTTCGGGGTCCGCTCTTATCGATCATGGTTAGCGCCTCGATGGTGTTGTATATAACCTAATCACACCTCTCTCGATTTCTTGACCTCTCCGCCATCGCCCATCCATCTCTTGTGGTATGCATGTGTCGTGGTTCAGCTGCACACCCACGTCCAATATCGATTTCTTCTCGCTTTACTAGATGTCGAACGAAGTAGAAACTCCACAACGTGATACTGGTGCTAACGTCACCCACACTGAGCTTAGCGCGGTGGTTAACGCCCAGGTAAACATCCACCGCATCATTTACCGATTATATTCGACTAAAAAGCTCTTCTCAGAATGCGCGCAGCCAAAAAGTTCTGAACTTCGACAGCGGAGACAATCTAACGGTGAGTTTTGGTTGCTTCGTCGGCGTGTTTCTCGGACAGATGCCGTACTCTACTCATCTTGATGGCCATTTGCAGCAGGACTTGGCAGACAATGACGGAGAAGATCGCTTGAATTCGCCTATGGCTGGAGACCTCATCATCTTTGGATCCACAGCGCTACACTCAACTGCGCGATCTTGCAGATGCACTGCTCGATCGTTTCCTTGACTCAGGTGGCTTGGATGATATCAACGGGGCAGTGATGTACGCCACGAATGCGACGTTGCTGTGCCCCTTCTCTGACTCGAGCGAAAGGGCCATGTCTCGATCCTCTAGGCAGTTGTCTCTGTTACTGATCCGAATTTTTTGGAGGTAATGCTGAAATTGAAGCAGCCATTTTTGCTCAAAAGGAGGCCGTCGAGCTCACTCCTGTGGCCACAAAGACAGCAATATCGACAAGTGCATCGCGTTCCAGCGCCGCGCCATCGCCATTATGGGTGAGAATGGGGCTTCTAAACCTGGGCAACTTCCCAACCTTGGATCCGCGCTCATCAGTCGATTTGATAGCTCAGGCAACTTGGTCGACGCCGACGAGGCTATAACGTTGCAGACCAATGCTGTTGAGCTCACACCCGACGGGCATGCGGGCGAGTCGATGTATTTCAACGGTCTTGCAGGTCCTTCCTTCACAGATTTAAGCATATTGGTGATACATAGTGTCGACCGGGCGATAGCGCTTCGACAATAGGCTGTTACCCTACTTCCCGATGAGCGTGCGAATACCCCTCTGACGTTGACGAGGCTATACAGCTTCGGTAACGCGCCGTTTCACTCACACCGGACGACAGTATCGATGAGGCGATATATCTCGACAACCTTGGAATGACACTATTGGGCAAATTAACAAGGCATGATGATATTCACGTGGAGTGTGAGAGGCTTGAACTAGGGCTTTTGCATTTTGTATGTGAAGCCTGTCCCGCCACACGCATAAACGTCGCCATTTAGGGGGCTCCATTTGCGGTACGGCTATGATCACCAGTGAACCTCCTGGGCTACGACGAGGGCGGCATGGATCCAAGATGAGTCGTCCAAATCCCTGTCCATCCGTTTCTGGACTCTTTCCGTTTCTGGGCTCTTTGCGAGGGCTCTGGGCAGAGTGCGTCTGAAAGAGTGTCTTCAACATAGTATTCCACCACCACTAGCCGCACCATGTCCCGCAGCATCAGTTTACGGGGCTTGAACAAGGGTGGCACGAGCGAACGAGGGCCACAGACAAGTTGGTCGACACTCCCGTGAGTGACCATATTATCGATATGGATGTAGAGTTAATAGACTTGAACTGATATTCCTTGGATCATTACCTATTGAGCCCTCGAGCGGTGCAAGACCTTGAAGGCGAAATGGATGCAGTACTAATGCTCTTCCGTATGAAGGCTCAAATCATACCCACAGCTCCCATCGGAGCCGTCAGGGCCACTGAGTATTGTCTCTGTTATGCTGTGGAGAGCTATAGTGCGAGATATAGTCGTACCGTCATCGTCGGGCAACAAAGTGGCTGAGGAAGCATCGGAGAGCGTAGTGCGAGTAGGGAGCAACGGTGTGACAGAAGTGACGAGGCGAAAAGAAGTGGAACGCGTCTGCCGATTTGATGGGAAGAATATTTTGAGTTGTTTGTGGTCTTGCTAACCCGACCGCTAATCTATCTAACTCGATTTTTAACCCTATTGATCTCTGGCCTACCCAACCGACCTAAGGTTGCGTCAATGAAACTCTCTCGGCCGCTCGAGCAAGTGCCGTTCCTACCGCAAGTAAACTCTTTTGACGGCGTTCGATTCTTCTCACAGGCGCTGATGGGCATTGCAATGAATCCATTCAACCGCTTGAAATACCTCACACGTCAAATATCACACCCTAAAGTATTTCCCATATGACTCACTATCCATATTCAGAGTGTGGCTCCTCTTTGATTGAGAAGCTGAGATCTGGGGTGCTAGTATCGCAAAAGAGGCGAAAAACCATTTTGAGGCCTCATGAATTGTGGGACCGTCCCGATTTGAGCACTCAAACCCCACTCTAAGCATGCATGATGGCATTGGTGGCTAGCTCGATCTAAATGGGCATATGTATGAAACCACTTCCCCCAATGTGCGAGGGATCATCGACGGTTCTGGGTGACGGTGAGTGGATGTGGCCATTTAATCGGTCAATAATCGGTTAACGGAAAAGGACTCGCGCAGAGTGCAGCGTAAGCACGGAAGTCGCACCAGTTCCCAACTCCACTTCCGCCAGTCAAGTTGGTCAGGGTTTCGAGGATTTATGAGCAAGTGGCTTCACGACCAAGATAGTGGAAAATGAAGAGGAGCGAAGCGGACGGGCGCTTTGAGCCGTGTCCGTCGTCCGTTCCCGGAAAAGGAAGGTAGCTGTGGCGGCTGCTTCTCCCTTTCAAAGAAACTGTCAGTCGAATAGCCTATTGAGTAGATTCCATAATTCCTGCCTTCCTTTTTCCATGACTTGAACTTGATGTAGATATATATATCTCGCCCTGCCTGCGCCAACGTTTGCTGCGCTTCGCTCTTGCCTTCTGGTCTTCATCAGCAGAAGCTGGCGAATTGTCTTGTCCTACTGATGCAGGCGTCTGTAACATCACTGTATCAATCCAGCGTAAGTCCTCTTGACTGGAATGGGCTACATACTTTTCGTTTGACGCCTTATTTCTGGTACAGGGCTGGATCATTGCATCTGGCACAGTCGAGGCTACACGACGCTTAACTACATACATCCTGCATGGGATCGTCAATTGTATGTATTTCTGCATATTCCCTTCATCATTTAAGTCTGACGACTGTCAAAGCATTCTTCCTCACGGCCAACTTTGACGAGCACGAGCCAACGTATAAATGGTGAGCTCGTTTAGCACATGGGTGGCGACCACATACTCATTGTCGATGAGTTCAGGATGATGCATTGGCTGCGTAAGGTACGTATGGTGTGAGCGCATTTCTTTGCCAGGTGTAGTTGATATAAAGCGATGATATCGTATCATCTTTCGTAGGAACCAGCGTGGGAGCGTAGTAGAGAGTTTGATATTCAATCTAACTTCACCTGGACGCAAGGTAGGAGCGTGGCAGCGCCCGAGGACTCCAAACCCTCAGTGCCGACCGATCGCATCTTCTTCGTCCCAAGTATAGGTCAGTAACGTTATATTACCGTGGGATCTCATATTCACGGGAGTGCAAATGACAGACACAGAGGCTACGATATATTACCATGGTCATTGGCTCCGTGTATGTTTTCACTCCTGCTCCGGTAGAATTCTCATTTTTTCTTAACTCTGAAGTAGGTCAAGAGAATTAGGATGAAAGAGGATTGGGGGTACAAGCAGTCGCTCAAGATAAGGTTATCGCCATCGTCTCAGTTCTCGAGTCATCGCCATCAATAGCTCCTGACCTGACTCTCCATTTGTTTAGCGTTGTGGCCCGCAACCACAACATCTTCAAGGAGTTGGTTCTAGAAGCAAAACAGGACTATGAAAAAGACACTGTCCACAGTGTAAATATCTACGCATCTGACTCGTAAGTTACTTCTGTTTTCGCCATTTTACAAGTTCATCCGTTCATGAAGCATGAAGGATGCACAGGTCCTGGTCTTGGAGAGGTGCACGAACAAAACGTCCGATGAACTCGGTGATTCTTGAGCCCGCTATTGCGGACTCGGTCCTTGAAGATTGTGTCACTTTTCTGAACTCTAAAACATGGTAATTTCGTTATTAATGTGCTTTTTTTCTGCGCTGATATAGTGTGTCTAAAGGTATGCATCAAAAGGTGAGGTTGTCTTTCTATGATTACATGCACATGCTTGATTAGCTTATTGCATCTCTTACGGCACCTTCGTCCTCTAAGGCATTCCTTATCGCAGAGGATACCTGCTGGTAAGCACATTAATTTGCATATTTTCAACTATTATATTTACAATTTCTTACAGCACGGTGTTCCGGGAAGGTCAGTATCCGAAGCCTAATACTGAGAGGAGCAATAGTGACGTATTAAATTAGTGGTAAGACATCGTTAATACATGCGTTGGCAAGCCAACTCGGGCTTGACATCTACATCGTTAACTTGGCGTCGAAAGGGTATGCATCACAATCTTTACTCTATACGGTATATCTGACCTATGTGCGTAGAATGAGTGACGAAGTCCTTGCTAACCTCATGGGCGCCATGCCCCAGCAGTACGGGTGATATCACAACCAATGAAACAGCCAAATCTTTCTCATTTCTCTTCAGTTGTATAGCGTTGTTTGAAGACATCGATGCTGCGTTCACTCGCTCTCTATGCCGGGATGTAGACCCGACTGGTGCCCCGACGACCTCGTCCACAACGACAGGCATGGCATCTGTGTTTATTGCGCCTGCAGACGAGTCTAGAGTGACCTTGAATGGGCTACTAAACAATTTGGATGGATTCACGGCAACAGAGGGTCGGTATGTACCAACAAGTTCTCCATCTTTCTATCTGCAAAGCGAGGTCATATTCAATCCTCCTTTCTTCACCAGACTTCTGTTTGCTACCACAAATCACATTGAATTTCTGGACCCCGCTCTCAGGAGACCGGGACGTATGGACGTCCTAGTCCACTTTAAACACTCTACGAAGTGGCAAGCTGCCGAAATTTACAAGCGCTTCTTCAGTTCTTCTCCTGCACACCCTTCCAGATCTCTGCCATCTGAGATTGAAAGCAGCGTTCTAGATGATTCAGAACTTGACCAACTAGCCCAACGCTTCGCAGGCACCATCCCGGAACACGAAATGACAGTAAGTGTGCGTTTGTACTTGTGGTCCGTATCACCATGCCAATGCCCAAGCATCAACAAGTCCGCAGACATTCTCGGCTACTTGCTAAAGAATAAGACTCGACCCAAAATGTGCGTTGATGAAGCACATGAGTGGTATGTACTTACTGCGTTCAATGTATGTCCATTCCTAATCACACATGTAGGGTTTGTTCCCACCGCGAGGAAGCAGAACGTATCAAGAAGCAGAGAGAAGCGGTGAGTTACCTTTCTCCATGTTGTTCAGTCAACTATCGTTGAGGCTTCTTACTGTTTCGAAAAGCGTGATGAGCGGCAGAGAAACGAGGTATGCCTTAGCTAGGAGCTTTGAATCTCCTGACTGACATTACTCAAATACTAAGCATCTTGCACACATACAGGTATGTCCTCCTATTATCAGTAAAAGTGGTGTTCACGCCTCATTATTTGCTTAGGACGTGGAGGACCAGACTGCAACGGTAAGTCTCGCAGCTATGTGGTGCCTCTAATCCAGCTCACATGTTGGCTTAATCAGAGCAAGGATGTGCATCTCAGTGAGGTCAGTGATATTTCAAGTCGGTTGCCACTGCGTCCAGATGAGTTAATCTATCCGAAGGACAATCGTGGCTGGAAGTCGTTGATTGGATTGTTCTAGAATTTGGTTTCCAGCTTCGTCCCTGCCAAGCATCTGTGTTAGCATTAGTCCCATGGCTTTCCGTTAGTTTCCCTCATTTTCATGTTCTTTGACTCGTTTTGATCGCCATTCACGCCATAAAATGTCACTTCTGATTGTTGAATTGATTCACGGACAATCCTACAACGCTTCATGAGATTCTTCTACATTTCCATCTGTGCGAGCGTAACGGCTCCAGAGGCAGAACAGGCGGGGTTTTAACAGTCCCAGTAAGCCTGGCAATTCGAGTGAGCTGCCCCAGAGGGCCACTTATGAAGGCATCCGTTTGTAAAACACAATTTCTACCACAGTTTTCATTGTATCGCTTAGCAGATGGTATGGGCGTGTAGGCGGCGGGCCATCAGCAGAACAGCTAATCGCTCAAAGACGCCCAAGGCCTTGGAGGACCGTGGAGCTCCTGCCCGCTGCTTGGACGCACCCGAGCTGCGGTGGAAATGAAGCAAGTGTTGAGACGGCGGTCAGAGGACGCCGTATACCTCGCTTGCGACTCGCAAATGAATTCTGCGTCGTCGCAGAGTCGTTAGGCGAGCTTGGAAAAGGCTGCCAAGGGCATCTGAGCTAGAAAGAAAGTGCAAAGAACATCGCGCCTGCCCCAAACTCATTTCATTTATGGGCGCTTTTGTGGGTTATAGTGCTATTTCGACCTCTTCCACGGCCACCATCTTCGTCCTACGTCTCCGCCGGTGTTCACCTCTGTGTATACCCTAATAACTTGTTTCTAAGACACGGGGACATCATGTATTCAATAACTAGCTGATTGCCTTAGCCAACACTGGTCTTGCTGTGTAGTACGGACCCGATGGTTTACCCCGAAGACAAGTATCTGGTTACCGGTGATAGGGAGTTGTCTGAATATTCGAAACTACGGTCGGTCCGTGAAGATTTGCTCAATATCTCTTATCTATTTACCGAGATCCCGCGCTGCGTGCGTTCCACAGTCGCCTGCGCGTCACTTATCCATGTCTTGTCCGGGCTACACAGCATAACGAAACATCTCACAGCCTCAACGATGCTGACATGAAGACTGTGGGACACGGCGTGCGTCGAGGTATCAGGGGTTACGTTGCGAGGGGGATTGAGACAGACGAATTTCTGTAGCTGGTAGGTCGCAGCTTGGCCAGGTGCGCAACAGGTGCGTAGGTTCTTCGTTTAGTCTCGATGATTTTCGTCCTCGCCGGACATTCATATAGTTGTGTTGATATGCTGGAAGATCGGTCCCGCTCTTGCTTGCGGAAACACCTTCGTCTTCAAGCCTTCCAAACTCGCTCCCCTCACCGCTCTTCGTGTGTCCTCGCTCATCAACAAAGCCGGGTTCGCGCCAGGCGTCGTGAACATTCTCGTCGGCTACAGTCCTACTGGAGCCTGAGGCGACGCCATGTCCTCGCATATGGATATTAAGACCTTGTATTTCATTAGTTCAACGTTGGTCGGGAGTAAGATCATGGAGAGGGCGGCATAGAAGAACTTGAAGGATATCACGCTCGAGCTTGGGGCAAGAGCTCATCCGAGCACCATCTCCAATGATGCGGATCTGGATCTGGACTGGAGCTCGCACGGGATCTTGTAGGTCTTTTTTTTTCTCCACTCGCTCCAGGCAATGCAATGAAACCGACTGTATTCGGTTCGCTATAAGTAGCTGGAACCACGGCCAAGTTCCCGAATCTTTGCACAGTGCGGTATCTATAACGAGTTCCTCACAAGTTTACCGCGAAGGCGGCATCGATCAAGCTCGGTGATCCATGCGCTCACGACTTGTACCATGGTCCTCAAATATCGCAACAACACTATGAAGTACATGTTTCCATCTCTCTTGCTCTTCCGCATATTCTACTGCTAGCTATGAGATCCATACTCACCCGCTACACCCGTTCTCAGTGAATCATGCCCTACCATATGTTCCATGCTTCCACAAGACATGCAGACTATAACTTACATATCTACCTCAAACGCTTTTCATTCCGTCGCCCAACTGCCGCCTGTCTATTCCCCGTACATATCAGTAGAGCATGACGTGCTCCACTCCCTTGGTGACAACTACTCTCGGTTTAGGTAGACTAGCTATAGGATATCACGAAATAAATATGCTTGGACAAACATACAATTATTTTGGCTGGTATAGTAGAGGCTCGAGGGTCAATATGTACTTGAAACTAGTGCTACTATTTGCTCGCGTAAGTGATCGGCGGAGAAGGACAAGTGATCGACGTTTCCAAGGACGCGCCTTGGAAAGCCTTGGAGCGGTCTTGGGCGCCCCACCCAGGATGGGTGTCTCTGGGAACACTCGGACGTCTTGGAGCCCTTGCAAGCCCTTCTAAAGGGCTTTCAGAGTTACTGATGATGTTCCTCGTTCCCCTCGAAATATTACACCACACCGAAGCCTCTTCTCGTAAGGACTCTCCGAGTACAGACTTTGCCGCACACTCCTCGAGAACGAGACGCCTGCGCGTGCTATGAACAGATGCTCGATATTGTCAGTGACGTGCGTGGATAGGCTGGACTCCACTATCGACATGCTGAACGAGTTAAATGCGTGGTTGGATAGATCTAAGAACATGAGTCTGAGACAGGAACGACTTATATGGTGGAGAAAGCGAGATCCATAGCCGTCACCCGGCCGGTGTATCGCTGCCCTCGCCTGTGTGCCATCCCAATCAATAGCAACAATTACATCCGCTACTAGCTTCACACCGCCGTCGCGTTGCTGGATGGCGTCGTCGATACCGTATCAAACAATAGTACCGAAGGAAGTTTGTATTCGATTTTGACAACTTAGAGGGGTCCGTGTGCGCAGCTCAGGTGTTTGTCATTAGCAGCCGGTCGGGTCAGGGGAAGAATGGCACCAAGGGGCCTCCATGTTTGGACTCTCCTTTCATCCCACGAAAACGAGGGCGGGGAAAGCATGGTGCATCAGCAAGAGCACTGTAAACTCCGCGGAGATCCTTTGCTTTGTTGCAATGCCTGCAGCACGATGTTTAGTAGTTGAATATTCAAGTACTGTAGGACAAAAGAATCGCACTCCGTTGGCAAAGCATTGATCGGCATGGCCGCTTCCAACTCGAATAGCACATATAGAAACAATCAGAAATGGACACCAGATAGTCCAAGATCAAGAGTGAAGGGTGAAGAGACAACAGTCAGGATCAAGATGATATGAACGCTATATCACCGCGGGCTCGATCTGCACACAGTACTCACACAATACACCATGCAGGCGCACCATTCAGGCCCATTCTCGGCAGGTAGAACGTTTTGATTGTCTTGTATGCCAGTTCATGTCTAGCTGGAGGCATGCAGTACGCAGGAGAGGATGGCTTCGAGAACATTGGGTTAGAAGAGACGACCGCGCGCCACAAACTAACTGCCGCCATAGGATAAGTTGCAACTACAGGGATATCCAGCAAGGTCATTCTGGACTCGCATCTCTCGAAACTCATCATGGGCTCTTGCCGCAACGAGCTCCAAACCGACGAGATACTATACAGCACCGCGGAAGAAGAGTTTAATTGTGTGGCTCAAAGAAATAAGGGGAAATGAGTGAAAGGGCGCCGAAGAAGATACAAACGAACAAGTACGTGGTGCTTAAGAGTAAGTGAGTTTCTCGGGCTAGGAGGAAAGACCTTGCTCGGCGCGAACATAAGAAGCTGAAACAAGGATTCGATGAAATGGGATGGCGCACCAGTTAGAGGCCCATTCGTTCAGATACAGAGCGAAACCAATGGACGCAGACGCCAGGCTGTTCAAATTCCTGCCCGTTTGTCCTTTGCCTCTACAGCTTTGTTAAGCCTCCCTGCACGTTCTGCAGCATTTCTCCGCCTGCGCTGGACTTTCTTCCGCTCCTTCTCCTTCTCGTTCGCGGCAAGATTGGTCTTTTTGCGCTGCTTCTGTCGCAGGCGGTGTCGTCTGCGGATGTCAGCTTGCTCGTGTCGGCTCACCAACCAGTCGATATGGACCCAGCGGCGTGCTAAACGACATTGTGGGCCTGTGGATGACAGCGATGAGCACACGAACGAACCAGTATATACGAACATACACTTTGGTACCAGGACGGACTCCTTCGCATGTCTTGCGGCCGCTTTCGCACATTCCTACTTCACGTTCAACACGTCAGTCCTTCCTTCAAGAAGATATCATGGGAACCAGAGGGTTGATCGCTCCACCATGGTAGAAATGAAAGCACGTACGATGTGCAGCAGTATCTTGCAATCACATATCGATGCGAGGTTGCAGCGGTTTTCCTCGGAGTTTTCGTCTGATTTAGACGAGAAGCAAATCTGACGAGGAGAACAGGAAAGTCAAAACCTTATGAACCGCAAGGGGAGGTGTCGAATCGACGCACGCAACAGGAATAGAAGAGGTCTTCCTAGTGTTTTGCCATATGAGTGACGAGGGATACTCGGGAGACATGACAACACGAACCTCTCCTTTTCGAAACCGCACTTTTCTGAAGAGGGCGGTGGTCCGCCTACGGAGCCCTAGGCCGGCATGAACAGCCTGCGAATCGGGCGTGAACGGCACACACACTGATTGCTAGGCACAAGACCACACACCTCGAACCGTTCTTGTTGGCTCAAGTTGCGAGCCTGTGGGGGAGAGAACAGCCGCATGGATTGCGGCTTGCGTATATAGAACTGGAGAGAGGCCATAGGTAAAAACGGCTTGAAGAAGGAGACGATTATATATGGTTGAAGTTGAAGTCGAAGTTAACGTTGTGGTGGCGCCATGAATAACCGTGGCCCCTATCGCGGCTATCTCCGATACCGCACTGGGAGCGCCCACTCTTCATCTCTTCGTCTTCCACCTCAACTACAGATCACCAGCGAGGTATAGCTACAGTGAGTATATATGATTACTTCCTTCTCTACTCTTAAACTCACCTTACTTCAACGTTCACCCAGATTGGCCCGATGTAGGATGCCGCTGCGGGTGCCGCTCGCGATGACAGCAGTCGCAAGCGTTGACATCGCTTGCGATTTGTCTTCCTCAGTGGTCCGTAAGCCAGCCAGTCAGCATTGTCACCGTTCAGCTGCCGCGATTGTTGACTCGATCGTGGCGGACAACGACGTGGTTCTGACCTGGCTGCTTGGATGCCGATCGCGCATTCATCGTTCAGCATCCCAGCTATGGAGCGTCTTGACTGACGCGACATTGGGTGCGAAAGCGTTTGAGTGCCGGCGAGATCTTGGCGGCGTTGCCTCACGTCCAGCTGCTGCGAACTTTGATTAGATCGCGGCGGAAAAGACGTGGGTCTACGTTGTCGTCTGGATAGCTATTACTCGTCTACCTTTGGCTCGAATGCACCTCCTCTCCAGGGCCATCCACCCCAACACGTTTAGTTGTGTCAACAGTCCGAAAGGCACATTAGTTTGAAAAGGGTCACGAGGCTAGCTGTCCTCGTACGTATCATCTTTCTTCCTGTTTAACCCCTTACGAGTCTTCCTTACTCCCGCGCGCCGACTATGCATTTCGCTAGATACATTCCTACAACATTTCTCGCGACTTCCTCTGTCATACACTCCGCTCTCACCCGTGTCCCGCCAACTTTTTGCTTCCGATCGGAAGTCCTGGGTACTGGATTAGATAGGCCAGTTTTACATCTATTTGGTGTATCGTCTCTGCATCTGAAGAGTCCAAACTGACGAGCGATATCGGTATACGTTACAGTGACCCTGCATATGGACGATGGGCCAGGATACGGAGTCACGACGCATGGATTATGGCCATACTTGTACGTTCTCCGTCTGTTTTTGTTAACTCGCTTTCGCTTGGAACCCCGTTTTTGTAACTGCCGCCTTCCCTTCGTTGTTTCGCACCACTATCGCTCATATTTATGTCTTTTCCCTCTTATCCCCCTCCCTCTCTCTCTCCACAACACCATCATTATCCATAGATACGACCCCTGCGACCTCTGAATTTTCCCGAACAAAGAGCAGCGGACGGATCGCGTTGGGCGGGGATATTGGAGACGATGGCGAGTTTCAATAATGGGCGCATCATTCGAGTTGGTTGCCTGGGTCGAGGTTGAGGTGCGTGTTCTTTTTTCTGTTTTATTTCATGATTTGCGTCCGTATGTTTTGAGTTGTGTTTCTGGGTGCGGGGTGCTGGCGGGATTTCCTCTTTCGGCTCTCGGAGCGTCGGTGGAGGATATATGCCAGCAGTGGGAAGTGTGGACGGAGGGAGCGGGTTTGTGGCGAAAAGTAATGAGACGGAATTTGAGATGACAGACGGGACCCGTGTATGCGTTCGGAGATCTGACGACGCATGACATAAGGCCGATGTTGCCTTCGTGGACCGACGCGCTCGTTGTATGTGTTGCGTACGCGGTTGACGTTCACGCCCTTCTCACCCTCGGCCTCTTTCCTGTTCCTGTGCGACAGCTCTGCGTCATCATCCGACTAACCTCTTCCTCTCCACAGCTCCTGCACCTGCCCAGACCCCCCTTCACAAACACCTGGAGCGACCGCGATGCGCCTGTTCTCGAAGCCGAACACAACAAGCTGAATGCTGAGACTGGCCATCTCGTTTTTCAGAGAACGCCAGTTATGATTCTTTGTATAATAATGCGAGTATGGACGAGTGAGAGGTTTAGGAAGAGATTATTAGTCGGCTGTATACTTATAGGTGAGTTGTTGGTTCTAAGTTTTGAAGATACAATGTTGATGTGATTTGGGTGGTTCGCACAGGTGCTCTGCGATTTAGTAGGTTGTTTCTGCGCTTATGTTCACGCGACTGGATATCTTCCAAGGTTCCGGCCAAGTGTTCAGTGCGTTTGGCATGTTCGTCTCCTTCACCTAACCTACTCTCTCGTCCTCACACGCCGACGCAACTACCCTCGCCACCCATTGCTTCGTCGTCCTCAAATGTCTCGTCAACAGCCTGGTGTCGGGTACTATACTCGTGTCGCGTAACTTCCTTTCCATCGTGTCCAAGTGCCGTTTCTTGCTTCCTGATACTGTTTGTTCTGCCTTTCCGCTTCGGGCCTCGAAGCTTGAAGTCTCTAACTATATTCCTTCCATTCTCCTTTCACTCCCCTCCGTCTCATTAGTTTTCTTACTATGTCACGTACTTAATCTGTGGGCACTCATGTCTGTCTGACCATGTGAGGCCTTTACAATCAAGAAACTTGTGTACCGCAAGCGCTGTCACCTTCATCACGGGGTGAGCTGCTCCCCGTTTATCAGCCAGCTCACATCCTCATGTTTTCATGCCTTCCCTCTCCCCAATATCAAAACGACGAGAAGACGGTCGTTTCCTCGAGGCGAGTTTAGCTATGTACTTTGCGTTCTGAGAACGATCTTTAGAACAATTTCGATCGCTCGATATGCAGCATTTCCGGGGCGATGCGGCTTACTTTGCAGGCACGACTGCCACGCGGTTTATATGGTGTAACTAGAAGGTAGTGGAGCATTCTCCGGAACATGACCCGAGCTGCATCGTTTCCAGCGATTCAGTTCTTTGTAGAACGAGTGGGCATATATTTATTATTGTTCCAGCCACTCTGGTCGCACTCGTCTACCCTGTACGTTCACTTGCACCGATCACTTAATCATACAGACGCCGGCTTACCCAATGGCGGCCCTCCTCACCAGTGACCTTTCACTGTACTGTACCGTTAAAGGGATCCTCGCGGGGATGTCGTTTCTGGAGGTGGAAGGTATACTACTATGAGATCTCCGATCTTCGTGCACAAGCACGAGCTCCACGGAGCGGCCCGCTGACAATGCGTTGCAGAGTGTGTCTCTTCTATCAAGGAGTGTGGGTTTATTGCGCAAGTCTCCACACATTCCTGCAACATGCCCATACCATGCACGCACCACGCCTACATGATTAGAGGTGTCCCATTTAAAGGTGCATCTACCTATCTCCCCTCCTTTTCACTCGCCCTCTCTTACACCCATATATCCCTCTTCTAGACTTCTATTTCACAATTTTTCGCGTTTTAGATGCCGGGTGCTCGGACAGAGACTATTATAACGCCTCTCCAGGCCAACGCCAACTTTCGATCACTTGTCCAGCACGCCGTAGCCAGGCAGAATAAGCGTGCGTGCCTCCAACTAGTGTGGAAAGTTGCACGTCACT